GGCACGCTTACTAAGGATTTTTAGTTAGTTATAAGGTACCTAGGTACGTAGTACTAGGTACTTCGGACTTCTACTACTTATTACTAGGCCGCCTTAAAACTCTATAGTAATAGACCTTTTAACCTCGAGCCTATCTATATTCGGTAGATATAGTACGGTACTACTAGAAGACTATCTTTAGCTTCGTATAGAGTCTTCTAAGGAGACTACTCTTAATTTTAGGATCCTTATCTTTAGTACCTTATATCTCTACGAGTATTAGAGATATTATAAAAGTTTCTATATAAGAAATATAGTACTTTTTACGAAGAAGAACTTTGTCTCTAGTAATTTCCCGATCGGGAAGTAGCCGCCCCGTAGTAGCCCTAACCGCCCCCGGCTAATCGCTAGATAAGTAGCTAGCGTAGTAGGATTAGTAGGCGGCTAGTAGGTAGCTAGGGCGGTTACGTAGTTAGGGGCGGTTACTTCCGCGCTTCTATAACGTATTATTACTATTATTAATTAATATATAGCCTATTATTAATCTATTTATATAATAATAGCGATAATAGTATAGGCTAATAATATAATACCCTACTTAGTATAGGAATTATATATTTACTAAATAAATAGCCGTAATAAAGATTACTATATAGAGTGCTAGTAGATACGTATACTAAGCATTACTTCGCAAAATCTCGATTCCCCGATGCGCCGATGTTCCGTTGCTTAAGGGTTTATCGTTTAAAACACATCCGGAGCTCCTTATGTACGAGTAATTGCGTCTGTCTCGGCGGTCCGGGCTCGCCGGGGTGAGCTCTCCCCCACCCCCCACACTCGACTGCTCCCTCCACTTCCTTCTCGACTTCAACCTTCATCATACATACCTTATTACAGCTGTAGGAATGAAGCTGGTGACGTGACTTCTCCCATGTAGCGACCGTCGCAACTCACCACTCTTCCGCCACCTGCAGACCGCCATGGCCCTCCGCTGCGCCCGTGGCGTCTTCTTCAATCGCCTGTCCACCACATCCTCCTCCCGAACCTTCTCCTCCTCGCCGCGAGCATTGGCAGATCATGTACGCATAGTCGAAGTGGGCCCGCGAGATGGCCTACAGAACGAAAAGACTGCGATATCTCCCGGGACCAAGGTAGAGTTGGTGCGAAGACTGGCCAAGACGGGCCTGGATACGATAGAAGCCGGGTCGTTTGTGCATCCCAAATGGGTCCCCCAGGTAGGCATCGCGGAAGCAGAAACAGCTGCGAGGCATTCAAATATTGAGTGAAATCAGATGGCCGCATCAGACAACGTTCTCTCCTCCATTCTCGCCAATCCTCCCACAAGTCCCAAGCCTATGACCTACCAATGGCTTCTCCCCAATGCCAAAGGTCTAGACAACTATCTCAAGGTCATGCAATCTTCGGCTTCATCCCCAGATGGCTATCCCACACCACCTCCCTCGCCTGGGAATGACAGTGGTCCGGCGATGAACACATCCAGCGCCGACCCCAACGCGATGCCCTCTTCGGCTTCTGGCGGTGCCGAGGTCATGTCACAGTCTCCCGAGAGTCAGCAACAACAGCACCAAGTCTCCATTTTCATGGCTGCTACCGAGTCTTTCAGCAAGAAAAACACCAACTGCACAATTCAAGAAAGCCTCGACCGCTTTGCTCCTCTGATTGCCGACAGCCGGAAAGCAGGCTACCCCGTGCGAGCCTACATCTCCGTCGCGCTGGGATGTCCTTTCGAAGGACCGGATGTAGATCCTCACCGCGTGGCCGAGATAGCCATTTCTCTGCTTGAGCTGGGCGCAGATGAGATCAGCGTCGCGGACACCACGGGCATGGGAACAGCTCCGAGGACCAGAAAATTGCTGCAGACACTCAAAGAGGCCGGCATCAGTAATGAGGATCTCGCTCTGCATTTTCACGATACTTTCGGCCAAGCACTGATCAACACCATGGTATCCTTGGAGCATGGTGTGAGAACGTTTGACAGCGCGGTCGGTGGACTTGGTGGGTGTCCCTTCAGCCCAGGAGCCACCGGGAACTGCGCGACCGAGGATCTGGTTTACTTCCTGCACAGCTTAGGTGCGAAGACGGGAGTAGATCTGGAAGAGGTCTGCAGGATTGGTGACTGGATCACATCTGAGATTGGAAAATCGAATGGCGCAGATGCAGGCCGAGCCACGCTGGCGCGGCTCAATCGAAATGAGTAAGCGATGATAGGCAGGGCAAAACCCAAGCATTTGTACATCAGGTGGTGACCTGTCACGAATATAGTACATGAAGCCATTTGCGAATGGGCTCAACAGAACCTTGGCCAGCCCGGCTTGAAGAGATCAACAAATCACGAGGACATTAGGCCTTTTATTCTTCATCACCGTCCTCCTCTTTATAACTGACAGCACCTTTACCGGACCGCCTACTGCCTTTTCGGGTGCCCGCACTCTTCTTCGCTCTAGGCACAACAGGCTCCTCTTCTTCATCGTCCAATTCTGGCTCATCAATCGCCTCATCACTCGACTCTGGCCTCGGCACTGGTGGAGCTTGCTTCTTCGCCCGTCCTGAAGCTTTCTTCTGCGCGGTATTCTTGCCCGGCTTCGCAGCAACGGCGCCTGTAATCTCCGCAGCAGCGTCCTTCACCGCCACCTTTTCGGCGTCAGCCTTCGTCTTCTTGCGCATCGCGGCTTTGGCCTTCTTGGTAGCCGGAGTCGCGTCGACATCGGAATCTTCCGGCTCATTCTTCACCTGGTCGCCGCCTTTCTTCTCCGCCTCGCGCGCGGCATAGAGCTCTGCCGCCTCTTTTCGCTTCTGCTCTTTCGTCTTCTCCGCCGGGGGTTCTTTCTTCTTCACTTCGCGCTTCTTGGGCCGTAGCCATTCTTCCATCCCGGGCGGCCAGTACACACGTCCCTCGGGCCCTCCCATGCCGACATCTGCCTCCGGGACGAGCACCGGCTCGGGCTCGTCGGACTTCTTTTTTTTCCGATTCATGGTGGCCAGCGCGACTTTATTGTCGTCATTCCTGGTGTACGGCAGAAGGTCGTTGAGAGTGTCGTGTCCCGGCAATTTGAAGGTCCTCATGAGCTCGAAGACAGCCTGTTCCTTGTCTTTGGCCTCAATCATGAGGTCCATGTCTGGCGCGCACGGAGGGAGTGTAGCTACGCGAGGGTTATGCTTTCTGCGCTGCCGAGGGGTAATGGCGGCAGGCGTGGGCTCCGAGTAGTGCATTTTCTGCTTGATGCCTTTCCGATCCCAGGTGGCTTTGATGCGAGGATAGAGGTCCATGATGTCTTTGGTGCCCTCGCGGATCTGATCCGCGTCAAAGACGATGTTGTGGTGGTGGTAGTCAAGCACGAGCGGAATATTGAGCTCTTCGCACGTTGGTAGGAGATCGTGGACGCTCCATCCCATATCGTCATTCTCGAGCACGAGACGGTTCTTGACGCCTTGTGGCAGATTCAAGTAGTTCTCCCTGAATCGTTGGATCGTCTCTGCCTTGCCTTCGAACATCCCACCCATGTGCACAATCATGACGGCGTCGCGGTCCTGCTGCTCCGGCAACTTCAAAAGCGTGAGCAATTCGGCGTGATACTTGAGGTCCCTGATGGCATTCTCGATGACCGGCTTTCGGGGACTACCCAGCTGCGTGAACTGGCCGGGGTGCGTCGTGACGCGATGACCCAATTCGGCGATCACTTTGCCGGCTGCTGCGAGTGCTTCGCTGGCGAAAGGCGCCAGCTGGTAGCCATACTCCGGATGCGACGCGAAGGGGAACATCTCCGAAGACAGTCTGAAGAACTTGATCTTGTAGCGCTCATTCCATCTTACCATCTTGATGATGTCTTGAATATTCGCCAGACATAAGCCCTCGACATATCGCTGGCCCAGAGCAACATCCGCTGGCTTGCTTCGATCTGGCTTGTTCTTGTTCGACTCCGGCTGTGTGGGGTCCTGCAGAGGGTGACGATGCTCTAGAATCGATTGAATTCGACATGTACGCGAGCTGAAGACCGGAGGGTTGGAGTTCCGCAGGTAGGTATTCAAGCATGCATACCCAAGACGTCCTTTCCAGGGTAAGGGCAAGTAGTCACTGTTGACGGGAGGCGGCCGAGCAAGAGCTTCCTTCACTTCTTCCTCATCGGCCTCTTCGGCTCCGTCTGCTTCTGGATCTGCCGGCTCTCCATCTTCACCGTCTCTTGCCTTCTTAGCGGCTATGCGCTTGCTGGCATCCGATGTTTCGCCGTCGATCTTCCTCTCAGAGGCTGTCTGGGCCTCCTTCTTGACCGGTGTAGCAGTAGATTCCACCCTGGCCGGTTTACCCTCCGTCGCTGATTTCCTGCCCCTGGGCTTCTTCGGAGAAGGTTCGACCACAGCTGGTGCTTCGCTCAACGAACTCCCCGAAGACACCCCATTCTCGATCTTGACGGGCCCGGGCACGATCTCTTCGTTGACGTCGCTATCCGGAGACGCGCGTGTGGCATTGGGAGCATCGAAGACCTGATCGTTCCGGTCGGGATTCGTAACGACTGCTGTCGCAGCCGTCCTCGCCGAAGAACGACGCTTCGGTGCGGGAGGAACAATGGCGACATTCGCACTGGAGTCAGGGTGCTGGGCCGCTCGCTTCCTCTTCCCGGCCATTGCCGTGGTTGATGCTGCGCGTCGCGAGATTACCTGACGCGTGATGAGGAAAGCGGATGATAGAGACGCAACAGCACGGAAGTGAGACAAAGCAAACATGCAAGCAGACAAAGATCGGAGGAAGATGGCAAAGAGTAGACTGGTATGCGAGAGGGAGTACATCTACTTACGTTACGTCGACGGCCCTTTCTTCAGCACGTCCCAGGCGCATTTTGGGGCACGTCGAGTCGATGATTCTGTGATTGGCGTGTGGATTAGACTCGATCGTGGTGCATCTGTGAGAGCTTTGACTAACAAAGAAGGTTCATGGCCCGGCTATCTATATGAGGTTTTGAGGTGTTTTTATGTCCCCTCTGCTTGGCTGCCAAGACTAGAGTTTTTTACACTTAGGCATAACACCACTTTAGCAAGTGTGGTGTAATTCCTTAGCATATAGGCTAAGGATCTTATATCCTCCCCTACTTAGACTTTAGTACCTACTAAAGCCTTAGTAGAGCCTCAATTGTCTGTAGATTCGTAGCCTCCCTCTACATGCTAGTATATAGTTGTCCCTACAAGCCTTAGCCTTATAAAAAGGTTATAAGCCTTAGGTAGTAGTATTTACTAGTATATAGGCTTTATCTTTCCTAATTAGGAAGGATGTTTGCTCCTACTTACTAGATAATAGTGAACTTTTACTGTTTGTAACTTGCCTATATAACCTAGTAATAAGGGTACGAGACCTAGTTATTAGAAGGTAAATAAGTAAGCTTCTAGAAGCTTATATAGGTAGGGGTATAAGAGCTTCTTCTCTACTCTTATCTCCTTCTTCTTATTAACTACTCCTCTACTCTATTCTCCTCCTATAATAACAAAAGCCCTCTCTAAGAGGCTATTTATATAACAAAAGCCCTCTCTAAGAGGCTAAGTATATATATATTTTCCCTTCTAAGCTTCTAAGCTCTCTCCCTTTACTTCTAATAATAACATTTATTAGTAGCTCTTATTAGAGCCTTAGCTAGTAGAGCTTATACTATGTCTTCCCTTTAGGTACGTATAGCTAGTATACGTGTTAGCCGTAAGAGTAGCCGTACTAATCTTAAGGCTAGCCTATCTTCTTTAGGGAGTAGTAGTAGAGAGCCGCTAAGGTAGCTACCAAATTTTAGACCTATAGTACTAAGCTTAATAGAAAACCAGTTCTAGTAGATTATAAATACTCTATAGGACTCGTAGTTCCGCTATACTTCTATTACTATAGATCTAGTAAAACTTCTTAAGCTAGCTCGTATTGTCTTTATTACTAACAACTATAGCCTTATCTAGCGCTAGTATAACATCCTTCTAAGCAGTTCTAGGAATAGCCGGCTAAACATAACTCTATTTAACTAGATTGCTTCTCCTAAGGCTAACTTTAATAATAATCGTAGTAATCCTAACATACGCCCTATAGATAAAGCTATAGTTACTACTATCCTAGGTAGTCTAGCTAGAACAATTACTATCAATCTATATAGTAGTACTAGCTACCTACTTATAATTCTAGGTACCCTACTAAAAGGGGCTGTTACTAACTCTAGTCCTCCTAAGTAGTCTCTAGATATAGAGGAAGATAAATAGAGCCGTTACATTTAGTGTAGCCCTAAAGGCTCTAGAAAGGGTAGGCTTGCTTTGTGTCGCCGGATACTAGATAGTTAGGGTAGTTAGTTACTTAGAGGTACCTATACTAACTGTACTTAGACTCTAGGTTATAATAGATGCTCCCTAAGCTTAGGAGTAAGTAGAGTACGCTCTAACTTAGCTAGCCTAAGCAGGTCTAGTAGGAGGCCTAATCGTCTAGTTATTAATAGGGAGGCCCTTTTTAACTAGGTATTAACTAATATCCGGGACATGTAAGGAGCTTAGGATGCTCTTAGAGGTCTTATCTACTTTAAGCCTAACACTATCGAGCCTACTAAGGACACTAGGGAGGGTGTAATAATCATCCTATTTAACTTTAATATTAATAATTAACTATAGTAGATTGTAAGACGAATAAAGTACGCCTTAGGTCGTAGTCGCTATATAGCTAATGTAGCTACTACCCGCCTTCGTTAGGATGTAGGAGGGGATGCTAATTCTAGTAGGGATAAGAGTAACTCTAAGAAATAGGGTCTTTCTAGTAAGGAGGGTAGTAATAAAGATAATAAATAAGTTTAGTTAGGGAGCTATAAGGGTTTAGGTTAGTAGTTCTTCTTTTGCTTTTACTTTTAGGGGTTAGTAGAGTTAGTAGGTCTTTTTCCTTTTTCTTTTAGCTATTCGCTAGAGTAGCCTATACTACTATAGGTTACTACTTATAGCCTTTCCTTTATGTTATAGAGTACTAGGACAAGTATAGTCTCTTATTAGGATTTAGTAGCCTCTAATAATTATAGAAATTGAAAACTTATCTTAATTTCTCTTTCTCTAAGAAGGAACAGGTCTCTACCTTAATCCCCTAGGTCTAGGCCTTACTAACTTAAGCTTATTCTCCTTATATTCTTAAGAAGAAGCTAATAGGTCCCTAGGGTTATAATCTCTTTAGAGAGGAGCAGTTATAGGAGGTTGTATTAGTCTTAGTTCTTCTACTATAGAATTAGGTTCTCTAGAGGGATAGAGTAAACTGTCTTTAAGTACAGTTCTAGGTCTAGAATTTCGCTCTATAACTAGTAGAGAAGGATTGCTAGGCTGTTCCTAAGCAAGCCTAGCTAGTACTAGGTCCTCTAGGATAGGTAGGGCTAGAGATCCCTCTATCTCCTTTGCTATATTCCTTTATAGGCTTAGCTAGCTTGTAGGCTGAAAGCTAGTTAGTCTTGTTAGAGGTTCCTCTTTAAGTCTGTTAAGTAAGGATTTTTCTTAAGCTTACTTATACTCTTAGATTTTTAACTTCCTCCTTCTGTCTTTTAAGACCTAATCTATAATTTTTTGGTTTGAACCTATTACTAGATTATCTCCCTCCCCTACTAAGAATCTTCGTACTCCTATATAAACACGATACTAGCTAGTATTCCTAGTTAGGGAATTCTAAAGTCTCTTCTATTTAGCCTCTAGAATTGTTAAGAGATTAGAAACTAACATCCTTATATCTCCCTCTTTATTTAGGATCTCCTTAATTTCTAGTGAACTTAGAGTACTAGGCTTACTATTTAATATACTATTAGTATACTTTAACTAGAATTGTTTAGAGCCCTAGTAATAAGTAGAGATTAAGCGATTACTATATATTAAGTGCCTTAAGACTCTCCCTTATAGGGTCTATAAGGCATAGGTCCTAAGCTAGTAGGCCTTCTTAATCTTAAATAGCCCTAGCTACTTAGGCTAAAGCTTTTTAGGTTTAGGGTTTATAAGTAGTACCTATTCCCTAACCTTTCTCCTTAGTCCTAATTCTACCTACATAATCTGTAGGTTTATTAGGCCTCTAGAGGTTGTACGGTTTAGTAGCCTTTTATTAGTAAGCTGTCGTGTATAGCGTACCTTAACAAGTCTTTTACCTTAATTATTAATTATAAGCTTACTTATTAGGCGCTATTTATTTTTATCCTCTAAGATCCGGGGGTGCTGTCTATATAGGAGGTAAAATAGACTTATTTTAGTAGTTATATACTACCTATATCTAGTATAGAACAAAGCCTTATAAAGGAATGTGTCCTAATAGCGTATGTCTATACCTAGGTATATCTTAGTTAATATATTACTAAGAGTGCTATTTAGATTCTTAACCTTCCTATTTGTTATTAGGTAGTAGGGAGTACTAAGCTTATAGTTTGTCTTAAACTGTTTTATTAAATAGGCTATAACCCTTAATAGGAAGTTTTTCCTATTATTAGACAGTAGTTCTCTTAGGGCACTATAGAAGCTATATATTTCTTTATATAGGAAGGTAGTAGTTGTCTTATTATTAGTAGAGGGCACTGCCCTTATAATAGGCTAGCTAGTTGCATACTTAATAGCTGTAATAATGTATTTATTTCCTTCTAAGGACTTAGGCATAGGTCTAATTATATTAATTGCCTATCTTTTAAATAGTTGCAATTGTAGATTGACCTAGTAGAAGGGATTCTCCTTGTTCTCTAGCTTGTTAGGAAGCTGTTTCTAGGTTAATTAATAAGTAGGACATTGTCTTAAGAATCTCCTAAGGTCTGTTTTTATTAAAGGCTACTATGCCCGGGTTTTAATATGTCTAAGGAGTCTAGGAAATCCAAAATAGCTATACTAGGTATAGATTCTATTAACAAAGTTATACCTCTAAAGGGGTTTAAGGTATAGTATAGTTCCCTTATTATCTAGTAGAATATGCCTAAGATTAACAATCCCTTTATTATCTATTAGGGTAGTGAACTGCTAGGATCTCTTAAGGACTATATCCTTAAGGTAAGGATCTTATAGAAGTGTTATATCTTGCTTATAGGCAAGTATAGCTTCTATAAAGGGTTTATGTTCCTTAGCCTTAAGTCTTAGTATAGCTAGCTATTTAATAGTAGCACTTGACTCTATAGGCTAAGCTATGTTTGCTAGTCCTTCCCTAATAAAGTTAGGCCTTCTAGAGATAGTATCTAGGACAATAGCTTTACTACCTTTCCTATACTTAATATCTAGGTTATATTCTTAAAATTCTTTAGCCTACCTTATAATCCTCTTGCTCTAACCTTTAGTCTAGTTAAGGTATTTAAGGGATTAGTAGTCTGTTAAGACAGTAATAGTTAGTCTATTTGTAATATAATTGCTCTAGGTTCTTAGGGCTTCCTTAATAGCTAGGCCTTCCTTTTCGTAGATAGGATAGTTAAGCTTAGCTCCTTAAAGCTTTCTTCTAGAGAAGGCAATAGGATAGAGCTTGTCTTTATTATTATACTAATACAGAGCGGCCCTAATAGCCTACTCTAAAGCATCTGTCTTAATAATAAAAGGTTTAGAAGTGTTTAGGGCTATTAAGACTAGGTAGGACTAGAGAGCTTTCTTAAGAGTCTTAAAAGCAATTATATATTATACATTCTACCTAATAGGTCGCTTCTTCTTGCTTCTTAAGTTAATATTATCTTCCTTTAAAAGGTTAGACAGAGGTGTAGCTAACTTAGTAAAGCTACGAATAAAGCGTCTATAGTACCTAGTAAGTCCTAAGAACTAACGGATCTATTAAGTATTAGTTAGTATAGGCTAGTTAGAGATAGCTTCCACCTTGTCTTATATTAGTTTAACTATGTTCTTAGTAACCTTATAGCTATAGAAGGTGACAGTCTTAACTCCTAAAATACACTTCTCTACTAAGTAGAACAGGTCTGCCTTACTTAGCCTCTTAAACACTTCTTACAAGTGCTTAATATGTTCCTTTATATCCTTAGAGTATATAAGAATATTATCTAAGTATATAACTATATTCTTCTATAGGAGGTCCCTTAAGACATTATTTATTAGGGATTAGAAGGAAGCTAGAGTATTAGTAAGCCTAAATAGTATTACTAAGAACTTATACTTCCTATCCCTAGTATTAAATACAGTCTTATAGGTATGCTTAGGTTTAATTAAGAGCTACTAAAATCTAGAGACAAGGTCCAGTTTAGTAAATATACTACCCTAGGTAATAGTGTCTAAGTAATCTTAGATCCTTAGGAGGGGGAAGCTATTCTTTATAGTAGTATTATTAAGGGCCCTATAGTTAATATACATTCTCTATTGCCTATTAGGCTTTAGAACAAAGAGTATAGGACTTCCCTAGGGACTACTAGAAGGCTTAATTAGGCCCCTCTCTAGTAGCTTTTAGATCTATATAGTCTGTTCCTCTAGCTGTTTTAGGTTCAAGCTATAGGCCTAGAGGTTAATAGGGGTAGTATCTCTAGTTTCAATTATATAATTAAAAGCTCTCTCCTATAGGAGTTTAGCTAGGAGGGAATCTCTCTAGAGGGTAGGGAACTAGTTTACTAACTTCTAGATTTCTAGATTACTATATAGGGGAGGTTTGTTCTCCTTAGGTACAGTCTCTGTCTTAGTAGTAGCATTTAGGCCTTTCTCCTAAATGTTATCCTTACTTAGAGGAGCCTTTCGTAGTATATATAGGTACTAGGGACTAGATATATACTTAACTGCTTCTACTAAATAGAGGGAGTTAAAGACTTCTAAATCTAGGTTTCTATCCTTTAGCTTAAAGATCTTAGAGTTAGACTTAATAGAGTAGCCTTTACTATCCTTGTCCTAAAGACTAAGTTTACTAGCTTGCTAGTTTACTATTAGGTTGTACTGTCTAAACTATTAGAGACTAAGAATCACTTTATACTCTAGGATGTCTAGGACTCTAGTAGGGATTTAGTCCTACTAGGATCTAATCTAGTATAGTAAAATAACTCTAGAATCTAATATAATGCTCTACCCTATTAGAAGGAGTATCCTTATAGGGGGCATAGATATATAAAGCTTCTTAGGGAGTCTCTTTACTACTTAGTAGGAGATATAAACTCCTAAAGTAGTAGTATCTAGTATAAAGTAGGCTCTAGTTAGTTTGTTTAGTAGTCTAATTACACCTTTAATAGTAAACAAGTTCTTATTAATAGAGGCAAGCCTTTCTAGGGTGTAGTCTTCTTCCTCCTCTAAGTCCTCCTATATAGCTAGTTTACCTTAGGAGCTAGGTCCTAGGGGAGAGGTAGAGGCATTTAACTGCTTTATAAGGTACTAAGCCTCTTTAGGCATCTTATAAGCTAGTTTTTTAACATGTACTCATTTCTCTAGTAACTAGTCTTCCTATACTTAAAGCAAGTACTTAAGGACTTGTTACTCCTAGTTTTCCTATTATGCTTCCTACCTTTCTTGCCCTTACTATTCCTCCCCTTTATGCCTTTGTCTTTTCTTCCCTTAGAACTTTAGGAGGTTCCTAGGGCTGCTAATTGTTCGGTATTTTGTTATAGTAGGGCATTTATAGATTCCTAGGCCTTCCTAGTACTATAGAGTTTTTTGTCTATATTAATAGCCTACCTTATATAGTCCCTAGTAGAAGTGTTTAATATATACACTCCTCTCTAGTCTAATTTATCTCTAATATCTCGTTTAAGGCTAGCCTAGAACCTCCTAATAAAGACGAAATTATTAGGTTTAGGGTTATAAAGCTTGTTCTACAAGCCTTTTAGTACTCTAATAAAGTTATGTACTCCTCCTGTCTAGGTACAGCTATTAAATTTCCTACGAATGGACTCCGTATAGTCTAAGTCTATATTTAGATCTTCTAGAGTTTGTATAGTATTCTTAAAAGCCCTAAGTAGGTTCTTTACTTTCTAGGCTTTAGTAATAGCTACTACCTAGTTAATAAGAGCATCCCTAGTAAGGTAAGTTAATACTAGTTACATTTTCTAAAGATTATTAAGTAGTGTTTTAAACATAAAGATCTTATTCTAGGCAATCTAATTCTAGACCTAGTTAATCTAGTCTAAGACATTATTATTTCTCTAGCTATTATTATATAGTACTAGATGTCTAATCTAGATCCTTCCTATTAGTCTAGCTATAGAAGTAGTAGTGTTTAGAGCTTAGTTAATAGTAGTATTAGTTAGAGGGTTCTAAGGAGTAGCTACTATAGCTTCTTATATAGTACTTAGTTCTTAGAGAAGCTAGAGAGCTCGCTAAAGGGCTGTAATTGCTACTAGGTCGGCTCCCTTACTATGCTCTAAAATGTAGAGGCCTAGGAATTCTAAGGGTAGAAAGTCTCGGTTAGTAAAGCGTATAGTATTAGGTAGGTTAGGTTAGTCGGCTATAGTAGTAGTTATTATAGTTAAAACTTAGATTAGGGCTGTAGTTAATTAGGTAACCTATAGGCTTGTATAGAGGGCTTTAATCTATCTATTCTTAGAAGAAAAGATAGAAGGTATCTTAGCTACTAGATATAAGAGCTTTAACTAACAAAGAAGGTTTATAGCCCGGCTATCTATATAAGGTTTTAAGGTGTTTTTATGTCCCCTCTACTTGGCTGCTAAGACCAGAGTTTTTCACACTTAGGCATAACACCACTTTAGCAAGTGTGGTGTAATTCCTTGGCATGCAGGCCAAGGATCTCACACATCTTGATCTGTCTTGTCGCGTGATGTCATCATCTTCTCGTTGAGATGAAGAGACTCGGAAGTCTTGGCCGGGAGCAGCGTTGTCACAGAGTCTGTAGCGCTCATTATTCTGCGTGATTCTTGTAGCGCCCGAAGTCGATTCATCTCACGAGAGGCGAGAGCGTTTGGCAGTGCCCGTACAGAAGAAGTTGCAGTGGGCGAATCTGAGTATCTCGATCTGATCTCGAACGGATCTGCCCGAACAGCCGGACGCATCCCGGCCTCAGGCATTCGAGACGTTCATTACCTTAGACTGTACCATGCCAACGCCCATGTCTACGCCTTGCTTCTCACTCTCAGCACCTGGAGACCTGCAATGCAGCCCGCAATGCAACCCTGGGCCTTGGTATCTCCAGCGTCCCGAGGCATTGGCCTTGAGCTCGTCCGTCGACTGCTGCAGACCACCGACGTGCCGGTGGTAGCAACGGCCAGAAAGGATTTGGACCAGACCAGAGAGAAAGTACTCTCCGGGCTACACAATGTCAAGGAGGATAGACTGCATCTGCTGAAGCTGGATGTGCTGGGTGAGACACGTGTAGCAATGTCACCTGGAAACAATGCTTACGTCCCAGCAGAGGAAGACAGCGTTGCCGAAGCGGCCAACAAAGTGGCAGAGATCTACCCCAAGAAAGAATCCTACCTTCACCTGTCCCTCGCCGTCGCCGGCTTGCTCTTCCCGGAGAAAGCGCCGACACAGATCAACTACGACGATGCCCTCCTGACCTTTCGCACCAACACGCTGGGACCTATGCTTCTCCTGAAGCATTTCTCGCCGTTTCTGCCGCGAAAGGCAACGAAGATCGACGACCTCGAGGGCCTTCCCAAGAGCGCGGTCTGGGCCAACATGTCTGCTCGCGTGGGCTCCATTGGCGACAATCGGCTCGGCGGGTGGTACAGCTATCGCGCTTCCAAGGCGGCGGTCAACCAGTTGACAAAGTCCTTCGATAACTACCTCCGTACGAGCGCGGGCGATAACGCAATGAGTATCAGTCTACATCCGGGCACGGTGAAGACGGGGCTGAGCAAGGAGTTCTGGAACAACGTCAAGGAAGACAAGCTGTTCAGCACCGAATTCGCGGCGGAGAAGCTCATGGAAGTGATCAACAGCCGCAAGATGGACGAGAGAGGCAGATGCTGGGATTGGAAAGGCGAGGAAGTTCCCCCTTGAGCGTACAGGAGGTATGCCTGACCACCATCATGACCGGAGAGAGATTGGTGGTGCGATTCCTAGTCGGTTACACTGCCTACTTCTTGTTCAGCTCCTCCGCCCGCTTCCTGAGCTCCTCTTTGCTGGCGGCCTCGGGCAAGTCTTGGGCGATGACCTGTCACAACAACATCAGATAAAAGCCTCTTTCACAAGCTCGCCAACACTTCGGTACGCACTGGGTTGGTCTGCTGTTGAGACGAAGCTTGCGCCTGGCGCTCTGCTTTGGTGGCTTCTGCATCCTTAGCTCCTTGCGCCAACTTGTCCTTCATGGCTAGATGGATCAATCACTGCGTCAGCTTGCTTTGGTCGTGGTCAGACACCCGGCCGGGACATTACTGACCTTGGTCATTGTCTCCTGGGATGACAGGCATCTTGGTTTCACGGTGCTATTACCTGGCTGTAGTAGAACGGGCTCGGATACCCTTTTAAAAGCTTGCTTTAGCTTGAGATGTTATCCGCTCTGTCTAGCTTTGGGCAGCGGGCTTGGGAACCGTCCTGGCTTCGTCTAATAGCTTGCCAAAGTCAGGCTGTTGTGATGAGTGTTGATTGATGGCTTTGAGCTCTTTCTCGTTGAGTGCCTGTAATTCTGGCGCAAGACGATGGAACGGTCTGGGTGGCATCTAGCAACCTTGAAGCCTCAAGGCAGCTGCGGAAGCTGTCGAAACACATCGTCATCCGACCCACTTGGTGCACGAGCTCACTGGAGGCAGGGTGACGCGCAGCGCACGTGAAGAAGAGCTCCAGCTGATGAGACTCCAAAAGGAACAGGAACAGGAATAGCACCAGGGAGCTCCTACTTACGTGGCAGTCTGTTGTTGGCCTACTGCGTGGCTCCATTATTGTTGTTGTTGTTTTCAGACAAGACCATCGCCGTGTTTATTGCTTGTGTCAAAACACCCTCGTCGTTTTATTATTTATGGAGGGAGGGAAGGAGATGTGGAGAGAGAGAGAGAGAGAAAGACATAGACATTTCGCGGGGGTTCACTTCACACCGGCCGACACTGCATGCACCCCGGTTCGGTTGGAGCTGTCACTACTTGGCGCCTTTACTTACGGACTGCAAGGTATCCATCAATCAATCACCACCTTCGTTTCCTGCTGCTGCAAAACTCGTGGGGGTTCACTTATTAGATGGTTCTCCAGAACATGGAGAAGAAGAAAAACGACCTAGATAAGATAGATACGCTGTCCGGACCCGGACTCGACGACTTCAATTTGATCCGACCAAGCCAAAGCCGGGACAATAATTCAAAACGCGTGATTTTTTTTTGTCGTTGAAGACGAAGTAATAGAAGAGGAAAATTGGAACAAATACTCCCCCTGGGGGACCAGGTCAGATTTGTTGTCTGCCATGTTCGTAGTAATAATGAGTGTGATAATGATGAGACTCTTCACTTTCTCTCACAGCCACAGCCAACGTGCTCTCTTGCTTCCTCCTCCTACAACATCCATCCATCCATTCAACCCCATCCCATGTCATGCATAGTCGGAAACGAAGAAGAAGTCTTTCGCGATCGATCGTAACTTCTGCGTTCCAGGGCGCGGTCGAACATCTTGGAAAGAGGAGGATGACGGGGTTTATCTACTTCTTCTGTACACACGAAGAATGATATGCTCGTTAGCTTCTCTCTCTCTCTCTCTCTCTCTCTCTCTCTCTCTCTCTCTCTCTCTCTCTCTCTCTCTCTCTCTCTCTCTCTCTCTCTCTCTCTCTCTCTCTCTCTCTCTCTCTCTCTCTCTCTCTCTCTCTCTCTCTCTCTCTCTCTCTCTCTCTCTCTCTCTCACTCCATTGGAGCCACGCAGAGTAGTCTCTGTCGATGTATTGGGTTCTCTTCAACCAGCATGCTACGCTGTACGACTTTTGACCGTTCGTAGTAGGAGAACGCATCTCGGCCTGCTGGCACAATCCATCCCACGTCCGGGGGATTCCGTTCGTCACGAGAGCTTGCGGAGCGACCAGGACAGGAAGTTGTGGTGCCGCCGAGAGCGAAGGGAGAGGTTGGCGTGTCGCGGAGATGATTATTGGTCGAAGCTCGAGCAGAGCATCAGTAAGGATATGCAGCTAGGAGCTACTCCATGCAATGAATGCCATGTGACCTTTTACTTGTTACGACGTGCGCCATCCGCGCAGAACGGCGAGCTAGTTGTATATCATTGGCAGAAGCTGACATTCCTTAGAGCTCATCAGCGAAGGGAGTTGTGAAGACATTCAACCTCAATCACTAGCTGCGCTCCGTGAGAAGCCTTCGCTCGCGAGAGGACGAGTTATAGGCACGATTCTCACACCACCACTGGACCACGCGAGACTCGCATGCGAGGGTTATGCTCAGAATCCTGCAAGCCTGCGGATGCCCCGGAATTTACCAAGGGCGCCCTCATATCCCACGACCTCCACCATTGCACGTGCCGTATCGTGGGATGTTGGTCGCATTGGGTAATCCAGAGGTCCCGGGATGGCCGTCTGGATCATCGCGGGCCATTTGTCTGAGCAGATCGATTTGGCATTGCATACACTCCGCAGGCCCTCTGCGCCCGCGAATCTGCCGTATCCTGATCCGCCAACTCCCCCGAATGGTAGCTGGACGACGTAATACGCCTGCAACGCGAGATGATCAGCTATTATCGAGGCCTCTAGATTTCCGAATACTCTACTCACCGCGAAGTCGTTCACTGCAACCATGCCTGCCTTGGCTGCATCTGTCACCTGTTGAAGATTTTGGCGGGCTTTCGAAGTCGATGTAGGACCAAACACACTACAACCTAGGCCAAACTCGGTGCTGTTGGTGATCTTCACTGCTTCCTCGACACTATCCGCCCGCATCATGACACATACAGGAGCGAAAAGCTCCTCTTGAGCGATGCGCATCTGGGACGTGACATCCACAATCAGCGTCGGCGTAAAGTAATGTCCTTGAGGGTATTTTCCGTGCCTGTATCGGTGTCCGCCCGCCAGTAATCGCGCGCCCTGTGCTCTGGCCTCGGCAATCAAGCCCTCCAGACGGTCAAAGGACGCGGGCGAGATCATCGCGCCCACGTCGACTCCTTCCTGGGCATCCTCCTCCCAGTCAAGGTCGTTCCCAAGGCGGAGCGCTTTGATTCGTGGCTCCAGGATCTCGAGCAAGGCATCGTAGGCTGCGGGTAGTGCGATGACACGTTCGATGCCGACACAATTCTGTCCTGCTGACTGGAAAACACCCCTCATGATGATGCTGGCGACCCGTCCTAATTCTCCTTTGGACATGGCGCGGCCATTGGGCTGGTCGAGGACGACGGCGGCATCTTTCCCACCAAGCTCAACACAGAGGGGCGTAAGCGACTTAGCCGCGCTCCGGGCGACTTGGTGGGCGACGGGCTTGCTTCCAACGAATGTCACGTGGCTAATTCCGGGATGCGAAGTCAAGTGGTCGGCGGTCGGCGGCCAGCAGGAGATGGCGTGAACGAGATTGGGATCGCAGCGACAGGCGTGCAGAGCCTCTCGGACGATGCTGCAGTAGTAGGCGGAGGACCAAGCCGTCTGCTCGCTGTTCTTGATGATGATGGCGTTACCCGCAAAGATGGAGCTGATGATGGGACCCATCAGGTTGTGGAAGGGATAGCTTCGGGAGCGTGTCAACAGGTGGCCTCGACATGTCCCGAGGTCTTCCACTTACTTCCAGCTCACACATGCGGCGACGACGCCCAGCGGCTCGTAGCGGATCTCGTTGTCCTTGTAGAACATGAGTAGGTTCGTAGGCCTCTTGTCCGGACGGAGCGCCTTCTCGCCGTGCTTGATGGTCCATTTGATCTTCTCGACCGTAACGAGGACCTCGCCGAAGATGGCGTCCGTACGGGTCTTGCCACTGTCCCGGCATGCGGCTCGGACAATGTCTTCTTCGTTCTCGAGCAGGAACTGGAGAAGAGTCCGCAGGACCTTCCTTCGCTGTGCGAAAGTCGTTCGCCGCCAGTGTTGCTGAGCAGCGGCAGCTTTGGCGACGATTCGGTCGATGCCATCCGGCGTGGCGGGATTGACGAGTCCTAGAAAGTGACCGGTGGCCGGGGCGTAGCATTGGATTGCAGTCGAGCCGCCGGGCACCTGGATGGACGCCCTCTCCACCTCCCTTCCCACCCATCCGCGCTTGCACTGCTCCGGGGCAGGAAGGGAGAAGGCGACGGCCTGCGCTGCTTGGGAACGCCAGACGCGGTACAGCAGCAGCAGCCAGACGATGGCCAGACACGTCGCCGTCGCGATCCATCTTGCATCGAGCGCCGCCGTCCAGCGCGGGGACGCGTCCATTTTGCGCGGTAACGTGACCGTGAGTGAGATGCAGGCGGAAGATATTGGCGGACTGCGCCGAGAGGTTGCGGCCACCACCGGACCAACACAGATCTTAAGGTGATCCGTGCGAGGCCGCTTGATCACGTGCACGCCGGCGACAAATGGTCTATCGTGGGCGGGCAATCGAAACATCTGAATGAACATTCAAAACACTCATTGATTTAATACACTCCATCGTCCGAGGCTCGCGGACCGTAGATTACATTATTACGCAAGATTCCTCTCCGACCACATCCCAAAGCCCAAGAAACTCCCCTCAAGCTGGGTATCTTTGCGCCTTGCAATGCCTACAAGGTCAACATCGTAGAGCGTTTCCATGACCAAGACATTCCCAGGGTTTGGGCTTCTTAGAGGAAGAGGGCGACCAAGGCACCGACGCCGACAAGCAGGCCGGCAGCATTGAGAGTCGAGGCGGCACCCTTGTAGGGGACAATCGGGGAGCTGGATGGGATTCCAGCAGAGCCAGCGGCGGAGGGCTTGTAGGCTGGAGCAGTGCCCGCTGGCACGGCGGGCTTGCTGCTGGACGCTGGGGGGACTAGAGAGGGACGTGAGCGCCAATTCATCGGCAAGACGTGGAGACAGAGAACTTACTGGAGCCGTATGACTTGGGCGCCGCCGAGGAGCTGACTGGTGGCATGGAGGCAACGGGCTTGCTGCTCACGACTGGGGAGCTGCTCACTGGAGCCGGGGCGCTGCTCACTGGGGCAGAAGCGCTGCTGGCCGGAGCGGAGTAGCTAGGGGCGGCGGAGGAGCTGGCCGGGGCAGAGGAGCTGGCCGGGGCAGAGGAGCTAGGGGCGGCGGAGGAGCTGGCCGGGGCAGAGTAGCTAGGGGCGGCGGAGGAGCTCCAGACTGGGGCAGAGTAGCTAGGAGCAGCGGAGGAGCTCCAGACTGGGGCGGAGTAGCTTGGGGCGGCGGAGGAGCTCCAGACCGGGGCAGCGCTGCTCTCAGAGGAGTAAGATGGGGCGGCTGGGGCAGAAGAGCTGTACTCTGGAGCCTTTGCTGGTGCAGAGTAGGCTGGAGCCTTGGGAGCCTCAGTCCAGACCGGGGCCTCAGACGAGCTGTACTCGGGAGCCTTGGCTGGCGCAGAGTAGGCTGGAGCCTTGGGAGCCTCAGTCCAGACGGGGGCCTCAGACGAGCTGTACTCGGGAGCCTTTGCTGGCGCAGAGTAGGCTGGGGCCTTGGGAGCCTCGGTCCAGGCAGCGGCCTCGCTCGAACAGCTGGTGGATTCCCACTCGCCGCCGTAGCCAGCTGGGCCGGAAGGGCCCTCGCTCCAGGATGGAGCGGCGACGGAGCTGGCGACGAGCGCGGCGGCGACGAAAGCGTACTTCATTTTGACTGGTGTGTGTGGAGTGTGTTTTGTTGGAAAAAAAGACCAAAAAGTTTGCTGTCGTTTTTAAGCGAGTGACTGGAGCTGACGCTTCGGAAAAGAGAGGACGACCGGAGTCAAAGAATTACTATGGCTGTAGAGCTGCGTGGGTTTGTTGTGACGAGGAAGCAAGACTGTCTGGTCGTGCAACGAGCGGTTATATTCGCAGCTGGGTTTGGTCGTCATGTGACGGCGGGCGGAAACGAGATTGCACAGGAGTTCGGCGTGCCTAACGTTGGACTAAAGGCAGTCCGTTGTGAGATTGGCTGAGCGCGGGCCCTCCTGTTCTTGTCGATCCATCAAACGCGGAGGCCCAATCACGACGGGAGCGAAGTCCAATAGACCCGATGCAGTCGATGTTGTGACATAGCCAGTCTGTATGCTGATGGGTCTCCGCTGCAGCACGAGAAGGATGGCCATGGGGACGGGTGGAAGAGAGGCGACGCGGATGCCTCATCATGGCCCGGAGTGATGGGCGACTGTTGGTGATCAGTCGCACTATGACAGGGGCAATAATAACAACGAGTATCATGTCCACGGTGCTTCGGGTGTGAGTTGGTGGGTAAGCGGTGGTGTGGAGAAGGGGGGAAAAGCCTCAAAGTCGGGGGCAGCCAATCATAGCGGCTGCCTCCTGAAATGCCACGCTGTGATGCCGATCTGCAGTCGTATTGAGAGGCGCATGTGGAGGAGCGGCCAACCAAGCGCGGCGGCGCCAGCAGGAAAATAGACCGTCTCGTTTCGGGCCACAGCACACAGCGTGGTCGTTGCCAAGGATCCCGCAGCATCTTCTCGACCCTCCCGAGTCTGTCTTCGTTCTTCTCCACCAACAACAAATCTTCAGAGTCAAGACGGCCATCTCACCGTCTACTGGCTCACCCTTGGACGCGTGGCGCGCAATCCCATCGATCCCTATTACCTCCATGCTCCTGATCAGTCTTTGTTCGAGGCCTGAAGCGAGCCTTTCGTTGAGGCACTTGGTCCACGCCAGACCTGTGAGATGATGAGAGACGACAAAGCAGTGTGTGAACACCAAGGCAGTGCGCCACCGTTCCTTCGCGAGTATCCAGTCGAATCTCCATCCAGCTCGTGGCGTCGGCATCATCGAGCGTTGATACCATTTCTAGCGGCTGCCTCCAAATATCCTCGGATCTGGAAGAACGCCCAAAAGGGTAAGTACTGGTCGACCAGTGCGTGAGATGCGATGCTGCACCTACCGTTTTCTTGATCCTCTTCGTTTCGCTTGCATGGACGCCCTTGGCATACTCGACATCCGTGCGTACCAGTCGCGCGCTACACATGCCTTCGTCAGAGCAGACGTCTACTCCATATCCCGAGCGGAGAGGATGTTTGAATAGTGCGATGGAGAAGTAGTGGGTAGTGGCCATTCGATGCTGCCTAGACGGAACGGTCAGGAGCGATGCTCGAAATGTGGAAAGCCATGGAGAAGCTCTCGAATGGCTCATTGAACGACTCAGGACGAGTCTGACGCCCGCCGCTGGAGCTGAAGAGATCCAATACTCACATGAATGAGTACCTGCAGCAGAACCATGTACCTGCCGTACAGAAGAGCGGATGTCAGCCACCATCTCAAAGATGCTAAAGCACAACAGGAGGTTTGGGGAAGCGGCTAGTGGCTCGGACGTGAGTGACGCTCTGGAGATGGCTTCCGCCCTGAGATATCGTACCTTGCACGTTGACGATCTCGGAATACTCAGTCTCGAGCTGGTCCAGACACGCGCGGATAGTAGTAATTAGCCAGGTCAGATCATTGCACGTGAAGCAATCCATCTTGCCTAGTCTGAGGGAACGCGGGAGCTTTGCTTCGGGGTTCCTCCTGAATACATCGAGCATGTCGCACTCAAATGCCAGCAAACGACCGCGTTGGACGTTGGCCAGGCAAAAGATGGGGTCGAATGGCAGTGGCCAGGGTGTGGATGCATCGAAGGAGTCGCTGCTGATTTTCAGGGAGACCCCCGGCAAGTAGCTGGCGCGCGTGCGTTCCTGGTCGAGCTGCACCGGACGTTGGGCGTGCTCGCACTTCACTCTATGCTTGCAAGACTGACTGTCAACACACCTCTTTGCGGCTTCGACCGAAACAATACGAGAATCCAGTAGACTGGATGCTTGATCGCCCTCCTTTGCTTCGAATGCCTCCTGCGACCACCTGCGTCTGAAATCAGCTTTCGAAACATCGAGCTGCACCGCAGTCTGCTCGGCGCCAATAATCTGCGCTGTAGGCTCGGCACTCCCAAAGAGTGAGCCTCGTTCAGCGATAGCATAGGCCAGAACAGCGTCTGCTCTTCGGTTTTGCATGGCAAAGAGGTCCCCCAACCAGTACGCGGCCGCACAATCTCCGTCGTCCAGATCGAATAAATCCGTGATCGGGGCTCGCAGCACTTTCATGAAGCGATCGAGGGCCTCGTCCCAATGGCCTTGGAAGCTCGCGCAGACAGCGAGCAAATGCTGCACTCGCCGCAAGGAAGCGTCCTCGGACCGGGCGTTGAGGCTTTCGAGGTGCCCTATTAGATGTCTTTCGGCCTGGGCCCAGTGGCAATGGTTCCAGAAATGCACTATCAACAAGATCCGTTCCGAGTCCAGGAGGCACGTTGATGTCACCCCATCGATCCCTTCTGGCCCGTAAAACGATAGATACCCAACAAATTCGGGCGATTCAATGAATCTCTCACGACACCTTTGTACGGCAGGCTCGTCGGCCCTGTCACTCAAGACCTCATCCACGCTCTTCCTAGGAACCCACTGTGATACATGCGGACTCGACTGCACGGGGCTCTTCTCGGGTACAGCTGGCAGTCCGGCGCCAGAAGTCTCCATGCTCCTTCGTCTTTCCGTCGATGTAGAAGAAGGGGCGCAAGCGGGTGGTCTACTCAACCTGCTATATCGAGGAGGTGGAGGCTGCGGCGGTACTTTGGGCAAGGGCTCGCGTTCTCGAACCTCGCCCTGGTCCGTTGCTTCGCCATCCTGACCTAAAGCGCAGCAAGAGTTGGATTTCATCAGGCTGCCTGCACGGTCGCAACCCTGCAAGCCTTCAAGATCTTGACTCTGCGTACAGCGGGCTGGTTCAGTAATTCCCGATGGAGGCTCGCTTTCGTTCTCATGTGGCGTTGTCCGGAGACTTTCACCTGCGCCAACACTAATACTTCGAATCTGGTGTTTCTCTGCAAAATGCAGTGGTTGGGGCAAAAAGGACGGTGCCATCCAATCGTGCTGGGCTTTTGGAGTTGGAGTTGCAGAATACAGATCATCCGAGTCGCCGGCAGAGGCAGTCGACGGTCTCGAGACCTGAAGCGTCAGATCCAAGTACTTGATCACGGGCTGGGCGCAATCGGTATTCGCCGGCTCTTCATGACGAGGTTCCAGGTTTGCTTTGGTCGATGTAGCAGAAGCATCTCCGAAGAGGCTTTCTTGGACGGACGCATCCGCGTCGCCGGTGCCGTCTCTTGCCATTAGTCCAGTAGCAGCTTCGCGCCGATGATTTTGAAACTCGAGGTCCGTTGCGTCGTCACGCCTGTCGGCTTTAGCGAACAAATTGCGGTCGAGCGTGACGGAGTCTCGTTGTAGCGACACATCGCCATCAAGTTTCTCAGAAGGCTCCAATACTTCCACGGAAGAGAGACAAGGTAGAGGAGGGTCCTTATCGTTCGCCATACCGGACATGCATAAGGCATCCGCACAGGCGACCGCCACAGTGATGTTGGGCTCATTTGCACCCAGAATCAGCCTTGTAGCATCGCTCAAGGGCACAGAAAGTGGGTCAAGCTCTAGAAAATGCGACTTCCAGCTTGGAGTAGATGCTAAGCTCCTAAGACTCAATGGCGATTGCTGAAGCTGGGTGGTTGCTCCGTTGCAGACTTCTCTCCAGTCATTTCGGCATTCTACCTGGGACGAAGTGCTGGAAGGCTCGTTGTTGACAGACCACGCGCTTGAGGAAGACTGACTGGGTGAACGATTCAGTGTACAGCCACACCATTTGTTTGGGGTTTCTGCCGCTACGTAGGCCACGAGCTCGAAGTCGATGCTTTCGAGTATGGACTTGAATGACGAGACGGCGTCCGGGTCGGCCGTGGCTTGGTTGTTGCACTTGTAAGATACCAGGGCTACCTCCAGCTTTTCCAAAGCAGTGTGGCATCGCAAAACAGAAGGTACCAGCTTCAAATCTGATCCATATGGGAAGCTGGTCAGCTCGTCGATCTGCCCAAGCTCGTTGCGGATTTTTCCAAGGTTAGCAGTGAGGGCGTTATAGGGACTTCTAGAGTCGCGGCCTGCGAAGTGACATCAGCTCACAATCTCTACTGTCAGTCGTTCGGTGGACTTCAGTACAGTGATGGTATAGCTTCCGCGCTAGGGCTTCGCAGCCGCGGACCCGTACGGTTGTTGACAGCTTTGACGACATCTCCGGGGCGGTATCAGGTCGGAGAGAAGTGAAGATGGTTCCCGTTCGAGGCTCAAGTGGTAGAGAAAAAAGCTGCACTTATGATGGCGTAGTGCTTGCATTTCCCAGATCTGATGGAGGACCGGGCTGCGGTACGCTGGCTACGTAGGCGCGACACTCGCCCGCTCAGCAAACAAAACTTGCTGTAACCACTCTAGCATCCTGCGGGAGGCGACGGACCGAAGAGCTGGCATGTCTTGATAGTATTGCTGAGCGAATAGGGCACTACCAATGATCGAAGTCGTCAGATTTGCAACATTCAAGGGGTCTTCAGCAGCATCTTCCAATCGCTATTAGCAGTCTTTCGAGTGTAAGGTGCTACGCAGACGCAGCGAGTGTGCTCGGATATGCAGCACAACGGACTCGTTCCCAAATCAAGAAGCTTGTCGCCCCAAGATAGCGATGACGAGCCACCTCTTGCGTTCCGTGACGTTTTCAAGGCCATTGTCTCGTTCCTTTTGCCATTCTCGTCTGTCGCCCTCGGCATTCTCCTCATAGATTTCCTCGATAGCGAGACCCTGCAATGTAGCTTCGTCGAAGAAGCCTGCCAGCTGTTCCTGGTGTCAGTATCGCATTGTCGCTCCGAGGGAGCGAGAGCCTCACCTTTGCGCGGCCAGTGTGAAAGCCAGCGACGACGAAGACACGCGCTTTATGCGACCAGTCCAGGAAATGCAGCATCGACTTGACCAGATTCTCATGCTCGTGAGGCATCCAAAAGCAGTCTGCCGCCAAGATCCGGCCGAATGAATGTGCATTAGAAGAAGCAAAGGGAGAAGTATCATCCCCCCACTCATAGCCCTCTATCCGGTAGCGAGACCTTGCACTCTGCGGAACAGCTCCCTCTGCGTTTCTCAAGATGTTGTCGAGCAAGGCATTGGCGGGATAGTCCGAGATCACGACCTGTCCCTCCCGTTAACGCCTCGCCTCGTGCTTCCGGCCCAGACAGCCATTCCGGCGGTCTCACCTCTCGGGCACCTGCCAAAGTCGCAATGATTCCATCTAGGCCAACACCTGTTCACCAACCACCATCAGCCAGCCAGCTCTTTCACCTGCAGAATAATCATTATCCACACCTGCGCCCAGCTCCAGGACTTTCTCATCCCTCACAGTCCACTCCTCCTTATCCCCGCTAATCAGTTCTGCCAGCTTTATGCCCGCGTTCCATAAGTAGTGAGCGAAAAGCTTTCTGTCGTGCTCGCGCTCGGGATCCGCCGTTCTCAGCTCGATGTTGCCAAATTTCTTGCTCTTATACAGGATTGTGCTGCGTTCGCCGCCATGCTGGTTTGCAAAGTCGTTGAAGAAGAGGCCAGAAGCAGCGGCGAAGATGTCTTCGGGCTCGTCTTCGATATCGGGTGGGATGACGGATACGAGGTCTGTCAAAGGCATTCTCACGCTTGAACAGGGTTGGAGGACGCGGCGGGGTGGTTTGAAGCCCGGACCGTACTCGTCCTCGTCTCGGGCATGTTGCGCTCATGTGACCTCGCCATTTGCCAGGTACATACACACCCCTACCCACTCGAGCTTCTCAATTGGGAGACCCATAACCATGACGGAGCCATGCTTTCATGTGAGCGAAGGAAACAGATCTCGAAAATGGGTTCAGCATCGTCCTTGGCATCTTCCGGACTATACAATCTGAAGCACAAGCGGCGCAATGCTACTTTACAACTCCTGCGCCTATTCCATCGACTTTGCAATTCTCCAACCCTACGACTCTTCCTGGCTTGGACCCATCACGCCCTGGCACGACTCAATGTCCTCGACCGTTTCGTTGAACGCTTCCTGTACCTTCGCCCAGACTTGGTTGCGGTTCCAATTGTCCTTCGTTCGCCAAACGACGTCCATCAGAGCTGCGTTGACCTGTTCGAGCTGCTCCAACGACAGGCCGCTGCTACGCGAAACTAGTTCTCCGTGGAGTTCGCCGAGCTTTATCTCATCGACGATCAGGTACGGCTCCTTCGACTTCGTCATCTCCTCCTCCTCGTCATCTTCGTCGTTGTTCAACAGACCCATGATATTTGAGGTACGCAGGCTCTGACGATGAGGCGGCGCTGTTCGTTGCGAGTTTGGTGAATCGTCGAACAGCTGTGACCCCGAGGAGTTGGGCTGCGATCCGGCCACGGAGGGTTCTTGCGTACTTGGGAGCTGACTGCCGCCCCTTGGTGCAGCCATTGAAGAAAAGTCTGGATGTCCTGGCGGCCCGATGCCATTGGAGCTGTGAGTATCTCCAGAAGAACCATCGTTGCCGGAAAAGCCACCACTGCTCCGATCGCTCGATTTGTGATCTGAATTGGTAGTTGAATCGCTGTTCTGGTACTGATCTGGCTGAGTGGAGTGCGCCGATCTCTGCGAGAAGAAACCTTGGCTTGGGCCTTGACTTGCTGGTTGACTGGCAGGCTGGCTCTGCGAGAGGGACTGGGAGAAGCCAGAGTGCTCCGGACTGCCGTCATGAGTATCGTCTTGGTGGTCGAACATTTCCGAATCTTCCTGCGCGTGCGAAGGACCATTGGAGCCATTTGTGTGATTGGATGGATGGCTTCCGTTTGTCTGCGTTGTACTCCAGTGATTGGAATCAGGACTGGGACCGCCGAGTTGATTAGGCGTAATTGGGAACATAAGTTTTCCTGGGACCTCCTGCCCTAGCATAACCGGACCTGAGCTTTCCGTGGTTGTCTTCGACGTTTGGACGAATGGGACGTTCGGAACGACCTTTGGGACTTCCTCGCCTCGGTCTTGAGCCTCTCGCGCCTTCTCCGCTTGCCGGAGAGCGCGCTGCTTCTCACGCTCGTAGACTGCTTGGCACTCGGCGGCCAGAGCAGGCTGCTGCGATTCAAGATCGTTCATGTCGACTTCGACGTTCGTCAACATCTCGTTTGCTTTCATAACCCGATTGGTGTCGCCCAAAGTATGAGCATCCTTTGATAACCGCCTGATGTCCGCAGTGAAGTCTTTCGGTCGCTTGTAATATCCGTTGGACAGGCGCTTCTCTATGGTCACGATCTCGAGATTGTAATAGAACTTGCCTGAAGCAACCTCGCGAAGACCTGGTACTCCACGGCGATCCTTGTCCTTTTCATACGGACGAAAGAGGTGCTGCTGTTCGCGTTGTTCTTCAGTCAGGTCCGTGGTAAGCACTCGCGGGTCTTCCTCATCAAACAGGTACGCGATGGTAGCGTCGTCAACAGGCGGAGTTCTGAAGGATCGATATTTCAGTTTGATTTGGTCCATGACCTTCTGGATGTGAAGCTTCAAGTGATTCAACGTCTGGTGATCCTTCTTCTTCTGCGCTTTTAGCTCCGCTTTGCTGGGACCTTCTGGCTCTGGAGGCGGTGGGGCGACCGGGAGATCCGCGAGTTTCCGCTTCTTCCTCGTAGACGCGGGAAATTCTGCTGGTGCCAATCGTATGAATTCGATGACTGCCTTGAAGAACTCGGTTCGCGCATCTGCTTCAGGACGGACGAGTAGATATTGGTTCTTCTTGGAATAGCCAAATAGGTCGTGTAGCATGTCTTTGTCCGGATTGGAACGATCTTCCATGATACCCAGTAGGAGCACTGGTTCAGTGGGTGACAAGCTGCGTAGCAGGCCGACAAAAGTCCTCTTGGTCGAATCAGTCAGTGTGTCGTACCAGACATTGACGTTAGGAATGTAGATGACGCTGGGCTTGTGCCTTTTGACTTCTTCAAATAGCTGCACTATGGCGGCTTCTGTAGACTGCGAGGAGGTTAGCCTACGCCCGTGAACACAGATTCGAGCTTCGATCTCTTACCCGAGTTGAGTCCTTCATCAAAGTAGCCAAGTCGAAGTTCTGCACATGCAATCCCTCAAATTTGCTTAGCAGCGCGGCACCAAGGTACTGTTGTCCCATGCCTTCAAATCCTCGAATCAAGAGTCTTGGCCGGAAAATGCGCGAGGCTTCGAAGTTGCGTTCCATGTTCTCCTTCTCAAAGCCCAATTCATCGTCTCGATCGTCATACATAGCCTCCTCCAGAGCAGTAGCCTTGCGCTTCCTGGGAATGGCCTGGTCAAGTCGACTGGTGATTTCGGTCAATGCCTTCCTCAGCAAAGGCTCAATCTCCTTCTTCAGCGGTGCAGCACCCGACGATGCGGATCGCTCTGAAGATGGGACGATCTTGTTGACCGAAAGCATGAAGTCCTTCGCCAAAACCTTGATTTGGCTGGGGTCAATGAGCAACTTCTTGTCACTGGAATAGATCTGAGGATATGTTCCTTGGACGGCGTTCAAGGCCGCTTCAGTGCACAAAGCACGAAGATCGGCACCACCATAGCCTCGCGTCAATTCTGCGAGTTGCTCTTTGAACTGGGGTTTGAGCGGAGGATCCCAACCCTTAGTGTGGATGTCCAGAATTTTGCGTCTTGCATTCTGATCAGGCAGTGGAAAGTAGAATTCTCGATCGAACCTGCCAGGCCGCCGCAGCGCAGGATCGACTGAATCTGGGCGGTTAGTAGCTCCGATTACGATTACTTGTCCTCTACCATCCATGCCATCCATCAATGCTAAAAGAGTTGCCACGATAGAAGCATGGATCTGTTCTTGTTTGCTGGAGCGGACGGGAGCAAGACCATCAATCTCATCGAAGAAGATGATGCTGGGCTGATTCTTGCGTGCTTCTTCAAAGAGCAAACGAAGCTGCTTCTCGGCCTCGCCAACCCACTTGCTAAGCGCATCGGCTCCTTTGCGCATGTAAAAAGTGACTTTTTGGCCTTGTGAGCTGACACTAGAGGCTAGAGCGCGTGCTAGCAACGTTTTTCCCGTGCCTGGAGGTCCATGAAAAAGAACACCACGAGGTGGTGTGACGTGGAACTGCTGAAAGACTTCAGGATATAGCAAAGGTAGCGTTACCATTTCCTTGAGTTGATTGATATGATTGTCGAGTCCACCGACACCGTCGAATGAGACATTGGGATCAACTCCAAGCGGGTCGGCATCTGCGAGTGCTCTCTTATCTTTGATCTTGCCGAGACCAGGCGCACCACCGCTAGGTCCTTGGATGGGGTCGCTGTTGAGTGCTTGTGGTGCATAAGGCTTGGGGAAAGCTGATGTAGGCGTCATGCCTACGCCGCCGCCAACCTGTTGACCATTTCGGCCAGATGTTTCCTCGTCACTGCTGTCTGAATCGACGCCACCAGTTGCGCCTGCCCCGTCTGGACCACCCAGAACCGGTGGAGGACCCCCTGCGCCACCGAAAGGGCCAAAGGTAGAAAATAAGCTGCGATACGCGTGAGAGGACCCTCCTCCACGGCGGGTCCTTTGGGGCGTTATGGCAACAGCAGTTGGGGCATCATCGTCGTCCACAGGAAAAGCCAACTCGGGCCTGAGTATTCGATAGTCCGGTCTGTTTCCCCGACTGCGCAGATTCGGCTCGAAGGTGATTCGAGCCTCCTGTCTGGGCGGGCGTCGTCTTGGACGCCGATTGCGACGATTGTCCTCCTCGAGATCTGCCGCCTCGTCTGCAATCTCCTCGCGGTCCAATTCGTCGTCTTCGTCTGGTGAGCGTCGGGAGCGGCTTCGCTGCGAGGCTGTCTTACGGGTGGGCCTGCCAGAGCGTCTGCCACTTTGAGAGCTGGCTTCTGCGCTACTTCTGCCCCTCGGAGGCTTGAGGTGGTCATCGTCCGAGTCAGACATGTCTCCCTCCGCATCTGCATCACCTTCCGCGTCAGGCTCGAAGTCGCTGCTCTGCTCCGCAACAGTCTTGCGATTTCTCAGAGAGCGGCCCTTGTTGATGGGTTGCGAAGCAGGTGGCGTGGAGGACTTGCGTCGCCCTCTGAGCGTCCGTCCGCCTTTCGAAATAGGCTCCTCGTCCTCTTCTACGTCTTCCGGGTCAGGCTGTGACTCCTGTACAACTGCCTCCTCTTCTTCGTAGCTCATGCGTATGTCCTCATCTTGGCCTTCGGAGGCGGGAGACGTTGGCGAGATCTGCTTCGCTGGGTCGTCCGTTCCCGCAGCTTGTTGAAGTTGAGAAAAGAACTCTTCGCCTTCCGCGGTCTGCTGAATGCCTTCTGGGTCAACGAAGGAGCCCTCCTGAGACGCCTCAAAGACTACACTTGGCGGCTTCTTAAGCCCTTTACTACTGCGTGTAGGCCTGCCGCTGCCTTCTGGCTCTGGAGTGCTTGTTCCGGCTCTTGTAATTACCTCGTGCTTGCCCGAGTCTGTGAGCGCGACTAGATCGCGCTGTTCGTCATGTGAGAGTCGACTACTTCTTCGAGAGCCAGCGGCACCCACTGCCTGAGGTGTCGGTTCGCGTTTCAGGCCTCTACTGCCTGCACGGGTCCGAGAAGGGCGTGCGTGGTTCATGGCGAGTGTTGGTACTTTTAGTTTCACGACAAGTGATTTTTCAGGCGCGACCCGTCCAGTGCGGCGGTTCTTCACCGGCCTAGGCTGCAGTTCGTCGCCGTCACTTTCGCTGTCTAAGATCTCCTCTTCCTCGTCACTCTCCTCATACTTCACAGGCTTCTTGGCCGCCGATCGCACTCCTCTGCCCGTCCTCGGATTGCGCTCTACGGGCTCTTCTTCGGCACTCGATTCGGCGAAGGAGTCTTCTTCAACGCTGTCCTCGGCGCCGCTGTCGGGTTCGATATCGCTATCGTTGTATCGCTCGCGGCGTCGCTTGGAGGGCTTCTTGGGAGAAGACTTGTTCGATTTCCGTGAACGCCCAGAAGGGCGCGCACGTGGTGCTGATTCCTCCGCTCCGTAGTCGAGGTCGTCGCTATCGGATCTGTATAGCATGATCAATCAGCACAATGAGGAGCTTGTCAAGCGCAGCAACCCTCAGGATTCTTACTTGTTCGGATCGAAGTCTTCGAGCTTCCTTTTGTATCCACGGCCGGCCATGTGTCACTTGAGAAAAACGGGGCGTTGATGAGGATGACAACAGGCAGCGGTCGTCAGGGTGCAGCGGTGGTGAGAAACGAAGCTTCGTTGCTTGGTCGCAGCGAGAGAAGAACGCGCCAGCACAGGGATCGACGCGCGCGAGAAATCGTCTAGCATTCACTCATCGAGCAGACGCACGAGGGTGAATGGGATGCATGTGCTTGTTATTGCGCGACGAAGGAGATGGATGCCCGAGTGTGTTGAGGCGTGGCGAGTAGGAGAGGCAGCAGAAGGGCGATGGTTGGTCGGTCGATAGGACATGCCGGCATGCACAGACCTCCCATATCGCGCTACGCTCCCGCTTCCCGGTTCAGATTTCAACGCCGAAAGAACTCGATCTTTCCTAGCGATAATACATCTACAAAACGAGTCTCGCGGCCACTGATATGTGAACGGCAGTTGTCGCAAATGTCTCGCGAATTGATTCCGGCCCCAAAGAGTATTTCTCGGCCTCAATTGAACGCCCCAGTGGCAAGGCTCGTCGGCATTCAGGAACGAAAGCAACGCAGTGTTCAGGAAATCTAGCTTGCAGCAGATCGAGGGAAGCACCATGGCCCTACTCTATTTCGACCTCACCTCATCGTCGTTCATGTGCCGAATTGAGCTCACGTGACGCGCACCTCCGCAAGCTGGCCCGACCCTCTCAAGCCTCTCTCTGTCCCCGTTACCTAAATACTTGAGATGAGCGGCTTTCGACTTCTACACCAAGCTGTGCCAAAAGACAGGACAATACATTTGCAAGTGCTCTGGATGACTTCTGCTCAGGTGAAATTTGCGCTGAATATCGAACGAGTGGGATGATTGGTTCGTGGATACCTATTACTGGGCTGGGCTGAGGCCACGCAGACTGTGTCTTCTTCCAGAGGCGACAGCAATTGTACTCGTCGCACCAGACCGTTCTTTGGGCGTGCAAGGTGTTGTACATTTAATCTGTTATGGCCCTGTAACTGCGCTTCAGGCATGTATAGAAGAGCTGAAGGGTCAGCGTAGAATATCTGCACATGGTAGAGTCGTCAATAATTCGCGGCCGGGGCGGTCTGTTCTATAGTGGATTAATCTGATGCGGGATGCTCAATAACATCCTCATTAATTTAGCGAGGTGAGCCTACTCGCAATCGAGGATTTGTACGAGTTGCATAGGGGTGGTCGGCAGCCAGGGGCAGACGCCGACGCCGCGGCTCCTTGTCGCGTACCTCGTTAACTTTTTTTTTGGACTGTGAGTTCCAACAACTCAACGCTTCTCGCGGCGCATCCCCTATCTACTTCCTCCGCTGCCACCATCACTCATCCTTTAGACACACTATCCCGTCTTCTCCACGGCGCTTTGGCCATCGGAGAACTCTAGCGGCCGCCGAAAAGCGGATCGCGCCGTTGAAACCCCCAGTCTCCCGTCCGTGCGTCCACGGACCACGAAGCACCTAAACGCAGCCTCGCAATTGTTCCAGCTTCATCGTGGCAGCTGTCTCCATTCAGTCACCACAAGCGACTGGCGCTCGACGCATTCCTCGCAAACTTCTCTTCTAATCCATCTGCGCCCTTCGCCCACCGGCCCTCGGCGTTGGTTCAACCACACTAGACGCGTCCTGCCGCCGACCGCTGCAGCACGCAAAGCTGCAGTGCCATAAACTTCGAATCATGGAACAGGTCAAAGAGAAGATGGAGAAGGTCAAGGACGGCGTCAAAGAGAGTCTGGTGGGAGTCGAAGACGATGCTGCGCAGACCTCGCAGCAGACACGCTCGGAATTCCGCGCACACGCCATCAAGGACGCGGAGACCGGCGAGTACTACATGGGCGAGAAAGAATTCATTGATGCCGTTGCACCGGAAGGTGAAGATTATGTGAGTCTCCTCCACGGCTTCTCACAGTCAAGTACTGCACAACAAGAACAAATACCACCAATGGTCTGCACGGCTCGGATGCAAGCTGACGAGATGATAGCACAAGATCAAGCGCGAGCAATACGCCCTCCTCTTCCAGATTGCGGATCGCAACCAGAAGAATTGCGTCACGCTGCAAGACTGGTCCGTCTTCAACAACCTGCTCATGAAACCTGATGCCGAATACGAGATCGCCTTTCGCCTCTTCGCCGATCCGAACAATGGAGTCGTGGACTTCAACACGTTCAAGGAAGTCTATGCGCGCAATAAGACCAGCGACACCATTCCCTTCAATTGGGACAGCGACTGGGCAAAGCTATACCTGGGCGGCAAGCGGCACCGCCATTCGATGACATACCCGCAGTTCGCGCAGATGTTAAGGGGCCTGCAAGGAGAACGAGTTCGGCAGGCTTTCCTGCACTTTGACAAGGATGGCGACGGCTACATTGAGCCCGAGGAGTTCCAGCGCATCATTGTGGAGACGGCATCTCACAAGCTGTCAGATCACTTGCTCGCCAATTTGCCCACACTCTGCAACATCAGCCCAGGCTCGCGGATATCGTATGCGAATGTCCGGGCGTTCCAGAATGTGATTCGTGAGATGGATCTGGTCGAGTCCATCATTCGACATGCTATCGGCAAGTCGGGTGATGGCAAGATCACTCGGGTGGACTTCCTCAACGAAGCCCAGCGAATCACCCGCTTCTCCCAATTCACGCCCATGGAGGTGGACATTCTCTTTCACTTCGCCTCGCTCGATCAGCCGTCAGGACGACTGGGCATTACCGATTTCGCTCGTGTGCTGGACGCAAGCTGGCATTCAGGACCCAACGGAGATGGTCAACCGCTCAGTGGTGTAGGCGACATTGCCACAAAGGCCGTTGCCAAGTCGTCTGGCGTCCTGCATAATATCCTCACTTCGGTGCATCACTTCGCGCTTGGTTCTCTGGCAGGTGCCTTCGGCGCTTTCATGGTCTATCCCATTGACCTTGTCAAAACGCGAATGCAGAATCAGCGATCCTCATCAGTGGGACAGCGTCTGTACAAGAACAGCTTTGACTGCGCTCAGAAGGTCTTCAGGAACGAAGGGTTGCGCGGCCTTTACTCCGGTGTTCTTCCCCAGCTGGTTGGTGTCGCGCCCGAGAAGGCTATCAAATTGACAGTCAATGATCTGGTTCGCGGCAAGTTTACCGATGTCAAGACCGGCAACATTCCGTTCTGGGCAGAGATGCTTGCAGGTGGATCGGCTGGTGGGTGCCAGGTCATCTTCACCAACCCGCTCGAGATCGTCAAGATTCGGTTACAGGTTCAGGGTGAGGCCATCCGTGCCGCCGCTCAAGAGGGGGAGCAGCTTAAGAAACGCACCGCCCTCTGGATCGTGCGCCATCTTGGTCTCAGCGGTCTCTACAAGGGTGCATCGGCATGCCTGTTGCGTGACGTCCCCTTTTCTGCAATCTACTTCCCCACCTACAGCCATTTGAAGAAGGGCCTCTTTGGCGAATCGCCAACCAAGAAGCTCGGTGTTGTCCAACTTCTGACTGCTGGTGCCATTGCGGGTATGCCTGCTGCATACCTCACAACTCCATGCGATGTCATCAAAACTCGTCTCCAGGTCGAGGCGCGTAAAGGTGACACCTCGTACACCAGCTTGCGCGATTGTGCCCAGAAAGTGTTCAAGGAAGAAGGTTTCAAGGCGTTCTGGAAAGGAGGACCGGCTCGTGTGGTGCGGTCATCCCCTCAGTTCGGCTTTACACTCGCCGCATACGAAATGCTTCAGAACCTCTTGCCGATGCCGGGAGAGCACAAAGAAGAGGAAGTGCGCGGCACCCTCGAGCCCATTGCTGGTCTACAAGAAGCCAAGGCGCCACTTCCTCACTTGCGGTGCCGCAACGCACTGAAGATTATCAACGACCTCGACCTTGGATTCGGCAGGATGAGGGCTCCTCACCCGGAAGGTGGTCTGACGAGCTGGATGGGCGGCAAGCTGACTGGCTCTCCGCAAGGACAGACGCAGTCTCCACCAACTGAGAAGTGAGGGCATCATCTTGGTAAGTCTGTTCTGCTTTCTTTCGCGTGTTTTGATGACTTTGTGAATCCGACCGCAGCAGGCGGAGCAGCGGCGGCAGCGGCGAGCAACAGACAGTAAAGATGGGGCATCGGGCTTGTTTCGGTGGCAATCAGTTCGCGCGGCACGACAGGCTGCAGAAGGCCATGAGCAAAGATTTTGCGGTGCAAAGGTTGAAAAGCGCCGGCTGGATGCGGCATGCGCAAGACCGAATGGGAGTACGGCTTTCTTTGCGGGCCACTTTCTGCATAGCGACACAGGCGGCAATGGTGTTTGGGGGGCATCGGTAATGCGTTCTGTTTTGAATGCTACTGGACATAAAGGCGGTCTTACAGTACTGCTGGCGTGAAAGTAGAGGAATTCTGCATCAGAGGGGGGACGAGTCATTCAGCATTGAGGAGGACGTAGAGGATGGCTTGTCAGGCTTAGTGCGCGAGGAGCTGGCTGAACAGGCAACTGTGTGCTGTTACGCTTTCTCATGCTATGGCTCGCGTATAAAAAACGTGTAAACATCAACAGAAGCGATCATACTTTGCGCATACGCAGTGGCTCATGGTGACGAATCTTCTTGATGACTGTCAGATTTCCTGCGCGGCCCGGTTCCATCCTTGTTGTGCACTTGGCATCTCACCGTCACCTGCTGCCGGTCTTCTCCATGTGGACATTGGTGTTTGGGTGCTTGTGCAGCAGTAGCCGCTTGCAGTAGCGTGCCACGTGCATGCTTGCATTATCATAGGGTCGACAATACCGTCAGAGCCAAGTTTCCCGATTTAGCCATCAAAGTGACTTCACCAGACCTCTGACGGGTCGACTTTGATACTCTCCCCATTAGCCCTCACCGTCTTGCGTTGCTTGTCCCTGCTTAACGGCTTGCGCATATCATACGCATCGCTGCCGTCATTGTAATAATCCGTGATTCTCCGGTAGACGGAGTATCTAAATCGCAGATGGAGTAGTCAGTATTCACGTTACATCTCCCCGCGACAAGCAGCAGCAGCAGCAGCAGGGATACACTGCTGGCGAGCGTGGTGAACAGAAAATCCAGCAGAACTCACCCCATCTTCTTGTAGAGCTTGATCGCGGCCTCGTTCTCCACTCGCACGAACAGGTCCACGAACCAGGCGTTTTCGTCATCACCGACTCTCTCGACCGCTTCGGATAGCTTCGTTGCGTAGCCGAGGCGTCGAGCGGCCGGAGAGACAGTGAGACAGGTGATGTGCGCATGCCAGGGCAGGTAATTTGGGAATTTCTTGCGATAGATCGTCAGGCCCGGGTCGTAGGGCTCGACGGGGGCGGGAAAGGGCGAGGATTCGACTTTGCCCATGACTAAAAAACTTGACGGACGATTGATCAGGAAAGGAAATCTCGCTCGTGCTCCTCTTGTCTGGAGGTTTTTCTCCCGTACGTACTGTAAGCTTCGATCTGTCCGGTTGGTCCCTCGATTACTTTGCAGAGGCGGGGCCATTTGGTGAAGTATTCGAGGTAGAAGCCGATGTTGTACGTTTCTGTGAGATGGTCGAGGTTGCAAGGATTGAAGTTGAGGAGATCCATCGCGTTCATTGGGCGTATGGTCGCCATTGTGGCGGTCTTGGAGATCTTCGCTACTCGATGGTGATGGCAGGTGAGAGTGGAGGGCAGTGGCCTGCACCCAAAGTACCTTTTGAAGTATGAGGTCACATGACCATCACCCTCGCTGCGAGGAAGTGTGGAGTTGCAAGCGAGGCCGACATGTGCTCCTCTTCCTCTCGCGCATCCTTCAATTCTCCTGCTGACGGAGAAAGTCAAGGCATGTCAACACTCGGGTTGCCACTTCCTGCCTCGCCGCCACATTTCATCGTTATCCTATACAGGAAAACGTTGGACGGAGCTAGTCTGAGTTACGAGAAATGCGAAATCCGCCTGCACATATAACACACCTTCTCTCTTTCCCTTTCTCTCGTCAATACCTTTCCTTCTCACAACAACTCTCGCAATGGCCATCATGGCAGCTGATACCAACACTGATGCAGTGCGAAACGTACTCCGCCTCTCTACCATCTTCTCTCTGCTAGGCTTTGTTACTCTGATTGTATATATCTTATCACGAGCCGCATATAATATCCTCTTCCACCCACTTCGCTCATATCCCGGCCCACTCTCATGGACGCTCAGCAGTATCCCACTTGACTACCATACCTGGAGGGGCACCGCGAACCGCCAGATCTTACGCCTGCACCAGGAGCACGGCCCTGTCGTCCGCCTCTCTCCCAACGAGCTCAGCTACGCCGATGCTCAGATCTGGAAAGATGTATGGGCCGCGAGAAACCCGGAATTCCCCAAGCGTCGCACACCGATGCCTCCGAACGGATCCTATAGCATTCTGAATGCGCCCAAGGACCATCACGCGAGATTCCGCCGGCTGTTGGCGCATGCCTTTTCGGAAAGGGGACTTCGGGATCAGGAGCCACGGATCAAGCAGTACGTAGACTTGCTCGTCGAGCGCTTGCAGGAGGTCGCGCGGACCGGGCAGAGCACCGACATTGTCGACTGGTACACTCGCACGGTCTTTGACGTGATTGGAGATCTTGCATGGGGAGGGTCATTCGATGGAGTACGAAACCGCTCGACGCACGACTGGATCCCGGCCATCCTCGCCAATGTCAAATACGTCTTGCAAGGGAGCATCCTCTCGCGCTGGGTAAGCAGACCTAATTCACAGTCTGGAGAGGGAAGACCTGCCCAATTGACGTACCTTGCAGCATCTGGATCGCCTCAAGACCTACCTGCTGGACCAGAAGGTGGTCGAGCAGCGCATGAAGAATTACTCTCTCTCCACCGAGAAGACCAAGAGGAGGGCCCAATACGGCGGCGAGCCTCGTGGAGACTTTTTCGATCGCGTTCTCATCAAGTCAGCGGACGACAACAAGACTGGAGAGGGAATGTCGCTTGATGAAGTAAGCAAACCGATACGTGAAAGCCATCACTTTCAATTGTTTGAGGTATGCCGATGCTTACCGTCCGCCTAGATGGTCAACAATACCAGTGTCCTAGTCCTAGGAGGTGCCGAGACGAGCGCTACAACACTGAGTGGAACGACGTGGTTGTTACTCAACAACCCCGCCGCGATGGAAAAGCTGCAGCAGGAGATCAGATCGGCATTCAAGTCTAGCGACGATATAGGTTTGTCCTGGCGAACCTCCTACGCCGAGAAAGTATGTGGTGTCTGTCTGACCAGCTTACAGATCTCTTCTCTGTCAATCGTCTCAGCTACATGCTCGCCGTCCTCGACGAGACCATGAGAATGTACTCTCCAGTGCCGGACCCAGCTCAGCGCGTAGTCCCAGCGGGAGGCGGTGCAATCAATGGCAAATATCTACCAGAAGGAGTACGTTGCTCTCCCGTCACCACATCGAATTGCAAGGCTAACAGCCCCGCGTCGTCCCAGACCGTAATCCATGGTCACTCCTACGCGGCCGGCTACCTTGAATCGAACTTCCATCGTCCGAATGACTTTGTACCCGAGCGATGGCTCTCCGACGCCCCTCCCGAGTTTGCTGATGACAACAAAGGCGCCTTTCAGCCTTTCGCTGCCGGGAATCGAAATTGCATCGGGAAGAATCTGGCGTACGCAGACATGCGACTCATTTTGGCCAAAGTGTTGTATAGCTTTGATCTGGAACTCGACCGGGAGCAGAATAGGGGCGATTGGATGGAGGAGCAGAAGGCATACGCGGTGTGGTTCAAGGGATCGCTGCATGTGAAGCTCACTCCAGCAAAGCACTAGTCTTGTGAATCCACTCAGGTCGGGTTGCAAGTAGCACGCACTCTCAGTGGACCTTCCTCAGAATCCATCACCCGCTTTCCATTGCCGATCCGACTCTCTCGCGCGCTGTTTTGGATCCTTGCCCAGCTCGAGAGCATCCTGCTTGCTCTTGTCCAGCTCTTCTTGCAATTCTTTGATATTCTGTCGATATTCTTTATCCCTGCCCACTTCCGGGACTTCTAGCATGGCCTCTTCCACCATCTTTCCTTCTTTGGCGTCTTTCCGCCATTCGTCGATCAGATCGGCCTTCTCCTGCCACACGCGCAACTTCTCCTTGAATTCGTCCTGCTGGAATCGAAGCTCAAACCACCTCTCAAACTTTTCTTGAGTGCCGAAACAAAGCCCATATCCGTCGCAATAGCAGGCCGACATACTCGGGCAGTGAATGGGGGCCTTGTTGAAGATGAACTGCCAGATGTACTCAAAGATGCGGCCGGAGAGGTAATCCGACAGTTCGGTCTTGATGAGCCAATCGCGCATGTAGATGTAGCGCATCTTGTTGGTCTTGAGGATGCGATCGCGGGAGACGGCGAATTGGGCGCAACACGGCTGGGCCAGCACGGTCGGGATGGCATCCAGAGGGAAGAGTTGGGACCACGACTCCGCCAGCAGGACTTCCTCCTGCTTGTCCACATTCCGGACCGTCGCGCCCGGATGAAGCCATTCCGGACACCCCGGATCCCAGTGGCACCGCAAGTTCATGTACCCTTCCCGCGTCACTCTCTCCGGGCTCAAGTGCCGCACCATCTGCGCAGCGTCCCTCTCCAGCAATTCGTTGTTGTGCCACGTGAACTGGTGGGCATGCATGAACAGACTCACGTCCGCGAGGTCCTCGTAGTTGTCGATGATGTACGACAAGTACACCATGACTTCGTGGCCCTTGTTCTTGGGCGGGTGCAGCTTCGCCGTCTTGTCGTTGACCGTGTAGACCGCCGTCTGCAAGAGCCCCGACTCCATCATATCTCCGAGCTCCTTCTCAATCCAGCTTGTGTCCTCCGTCTTCGTCCGCGGAATGACCAGGCACTTGGTGTAATTGCTGCCCGGCGGCTTCGTCTCCCCCACCCCATACGGACTCTGGTTCTCGATCTTCGGCTCATGGAAGCCCGAAAAGTTCGGCCGGGGGCTCGAGACTCGCAGGTCGGGTAGGATGTTCTCTCCGCTGGCAATCTGTTCCTCCGTCGGTCCATATTTCTCTCCAAAGCCAATCGCCTGGGGTAGTGTGCTCCATGACAGCCCGCCGTTGGACAAGACCGCGAAGAGGAAGAAGCTGCAGAGGCTGGCGACGATGAGAAACGGAAGCGTCCGACGGAGGAACATTCTACGGCGGAAAGGAGCCGTTTTATGTACCGGGACGGAAGGAGACCGACTGTAGAGCTTTCAAAAGAGTGTCAATGATGAACTCGGTTCATGGTGTGAAGAAGGCCAGACAGAGCACCGAGCGTACTACTGCCGAACGCTTGGAGTAATCTGCATCGTGTCGCGCCGCGTCTGCGTTAGGCGTCTCGGAGGTGCTGACGCTGACGCAGCCCCATCACAACCATCCGAGCGATCTGCAGGGATTTGCTGTTTCATACGCCTAGCCGAAATGGGAGCTTCACGTCTGGTACTATCATGTTATATACTATATCACCATATCATCTACAATCTCTACTAGCAATCGGCGACGTCTTCTTCACACATCTGTGGCTGTACTGTGGCCTGCTTGGTACCAGGACCAAATATTGAGGCCAATCTTCTGACCAGACAGAACTGGCATGCCGGAGTGTATGGTGTCCCGGTATCCTTTACCTTCAGCATCGAAATTCATCCAGAATACTGCATTGCCAGCGCGTGGCTTGAATGTGACGCCGGGAGCATCACCCGCTCCGCACTCAATGAACTCACACCATGCGTTATTCTTGGGCTTGGTGAGCCGGGGGAAGTTGGTTCCGCCTCCTTCACAGTCATCCTTGACGTAGACCATCTGAACGATGCATAGTATGTAAGTGGGAGTCTTCGCCGATGAGGGATGGCCTTTCGCCGACCGCGCCACTTACAAAGGTGCTAACGCGCCGTGAGTGCTTGGTAGCCATCGCCCAGTCGTAGTGTAGAGCATAGTGGCCACTGATGTTGTAGCGCTGGGTCCAGAGTCGCTCAATAAAGGTCTCTTGCGGCCAGCCTTGGAAGGCGAGTGCCCGTTGCTCGATGCACTGGACGACATGGTCCCGCTCGACCCTGGCCTTTTCTGACTTTCGCACCCCGTCGTCTACGGATTCCACCCCTCCATTGAAGACAGTTGAGACATTCCACCTATCTTGACTGTGCCTCTCGTTAGCTCGGCGTAGATGTCCACCGTGAACTGATTCACCTCAACGCAATGAGATGCTCGGCTTCGTCGGAGCTCAGGAAGCCGTCAACGTAGAGGATCAATGGATCTGCGGAAAAGACGTGCATGGCATAGTCGTGCCGCGGACACTGTAGATTCTGAGATGGATACACCAGATTCTCTACCTTGGCCTTGGCTTGGGGCACATCATGAGCCTGATGGGGCCCATCTTTGATGGAAGATAGTCCAGGTGCGCCCAGGAGGAAGTATATCACGAGGGATATGACGGCGACCTCAAGCACGGTACGATACCGGAATGCCTGGCCTGACATTCGGGGCGTGTCACTCATCGAGTTAGAAAGAGCGAGAGCGTCACGATCTGATGATCCGGTGGTGGTTGTAAAAGCGAAGAAGAAAGAAGGGCAGAAGGCAGAAGAGGCAGGGGAGTCCCTGTCGGGAAGCTTTGACTCTTCGACGTCAAAAGTTCGGATCTGTTTTCCTTCCACAGCTTCCACTTCACCTGTCCATCCACACGACACTGACTCAAGCTGCCTTCCACCTCATTCTCATTCACGTTGAGCCGCTGAATCGCGCCATAATGCATTCGCCTCTCCGCGAGCAGTTCGCATGCTGTTCCAGGCCAAGGAGTGTGTGTCGGTCCGTGGATGCAATGGGCGTAGCTCAACAAGTGTACGACTTCGTTCGTTCATGCACGAGCATGGAACAAGGTCGAAGATACTGCATAGCCACGCAACGGCCAACCAGTGTCATTCGGTTCCCTTGTCCTGATCCGGGGCCTTCCATGCGTGCCGCGACCTCCGTCTTGTTGCTCCCTCAAATCGGCTCCTAAACTTGGTACCACGGCGATGCCTGGACTTCAAGCCGGCAGGCTATATACCCTTCTTTCGTACTATTTGGCAATCTCCATACATCCACCACAAAAACTCTTGGAGCTTCGGACGCCTCTCCAATCATCTATAGCGAGCGTTGGCCCATCATGGCAGCAACTCTTGAGGTCGACCATGATATGACGGACCATGACTCTTCGTATGGTGTATGAGTTGGAATTCTTGCCTTCAATCAGAGAGAATGATTCTGATACATTGCCATCAGACGGAAGGAAGCAGCGAACTTACAAGCCTGAGCTCCAGTGTGACCGCATATGTACGACTTTACCCGGCTGTGTCTGTGAGCATTCTCTGACCGCCTCGCCAGCGATATGAAAATGGTCGCCGTTACCGTATGCCAATCTCGTGCGAGGACCTTGAGAGTCTCGTTCTAACCACACTTGCCGAAAGACGCCTATCACGCAGGCAAATACTTCACCCCGAACGACGAGCAAGAAATGGATCGCGAAGACATGAAGCACGCGAATTGAAACGTGGCACATCATGGGCCAGTACTAACTTCTCGTTTGCTGCTATCAGACACCACTGGTTCAAACTGATTCTACACGGCAACCTCCATCTCGCTCCTCTCCCCGCCAACCCGGCGCATATCCTCGACCTCGGAACGGGGACGGGCAACTGGTGCATTGAGATGGGCGACAGGTACCCTTCTGCTAACATACTAGGCACCGATCTCAGTAACATACAACCCGTAATGATCCCACCGAATGTCCAGTTTGAGATCGACGACTGGGATGACGACTGGATCTACACCCAGAAGTTCGACCTCATCCACAATCGCTTCAACTCGACTTCGGTCGCAAGCTGGGAAAGCTTAGCTCAGAAGTCATTGACTTATTTGAAGGAGGGTGGATGGGTTGAACTGGCTGATATGACAATACCTCCCGAAAGCGACGACAATAGCATCCCAACGAACAGTAAGCTGCGCGAGTTTTTCAATTTGTTGGTCGAGGGATCCAACAGAGTCGGACGAGACCTCCATGCTCCAAAGAGATGGAAATCTATTCTTGCAGATGTCGGCTTTGTCAATATTGAAGAACGTGTTTTCAAGGTCCCGGTGGGAGAGTGGCCGAAAGATAGACGGTTGAAGGAAGCCGGGGCATTCGAGATGGAGACGCTGCGAGAGGGACTACCAGCTATCGGCATGGGCGTCTTCACAAGGGTGTTGCAATGGTCTCCCGACGCCGTGGAAGACTTCTTCAAAGGCGTGAGAGCGGAGCTGGATGACAAGACTATCCACTTTTGGATCCCAATGTATGTTGAGTATTCTTGCGGGCTCCGACGATGGCCATAATCAGCTAACTTGGACCGGCGCAGGCACGTCGTTTGGGCGCAGAAGCCTTTTTAATGAATTTGGTGTAAGGCCACATGAACCTGAATGCGCTGTAGTGTGCTTCTCCAGCCATCTGCGTGCTCTCAGTTGTTTCGGATGCTTGCATCTGCCCGGCCCTGCTTTAATCTTTTCAATACACGGCAGAGCTCCCGCGAGGATGATACCCCCACATGCATGTTACATGCAGGCATTGCTGTATCAAAATAAATGCAGCGTGCTCATCGACCACCACACGAAAGAGTTGCTCTTTCGCACCGCGGGACTTGCGCGTCTCCACCAATCGTCTCACGCTCCAACCTCACGATTCATATCCTCCCCATGGCCCTGCTCATCACCATAGCCAGCTGCCCGTCGGCTCTGCGCCGCATCGCCCGACTCTGCCTCATCCGCCTTCCTCCCATACCCTCCCTGCGTTGCACTCCCCGCTTGTCCCGTCGTGAAGCCGCTCATGCCTCCCTCGCTGATCGCCTGGCCATACCGGATGTTCTCGGCCGTCTTTTGTCCTCGAGCCGATCGAGCTTCAGCTGCTCCGTCGGTGTTGCCGGGGTCGGTGGTTGTTTCCGAGTCCCCGAGCTGACCGCCAGATTTCTTGTGCGGAACTTGGTCTACGTGGGTGGCTTCGTATCTGGAGCAGAAGTCAAGTCAGGTCAGATGTGCTGCCAATGGAAGGAAAGCCACAGGGCGATATGGCAGGTCTTACTGCGTCTGCTCGCCGCCCTTTTCGGTGTCCATCAGGTTGGACGACATGATGCGTGCTCGCTTGCTTGCTTCGAATATCTTTCTCAGATCGGGGGACTTTTGTATGGAAAAGTCTTTGGTATTTTGTACTTTGCAAGTGGAAGGCTGGATGTTGTAAGGAGAATGGTGCGGTGTAGATACAAGTTCTGTTTCCGTTGAGCACGAGCTCTCCTACACATCCCACTTGTGCACTCGTAGCGATGATCTCATGGCCCACCATTTAACGCCGCGCTAATCGCCGAGCATCTGTGAAACAGCAGAAGGAACAATCGGCCAAAACATCAAAACTGCATCAGTCGTCGAAGTCGAGGTCCATGCCGAGCAAATGACTCTCGTAGATGCGCATCTGGAAGTAGAAGGATAGAAGGTCAGCAAAATTACCTTTGGCGTAGGGGAATGGACAGGCTATCGAGAGAACTCACAAACTTAGCTACAAAAGCCTCGAGATGGAAGATGACTTTGGAGCCGGTGCGGATTCTATGCTCGTAGAAGGCACTCCATCTGACTACATCAGATTTGAGACTGTCGTCGAGCTTCGGCATGAGCTTGAAGGTCAGAGTCTGCGAATCTTGTCAGTGCTGGACTGCGCCGTAGATAAGACGTGGGGATCACAAGGCTGACCTTCAGAACGGTCGTGGCTGGAATGCAGTGCGAGAGCAGATCGTACAGCTTCGCTCGCACTTGCAATATCCGTGCTGGTGTGCGCTCTTCGATGATGTCCTTTGCAATTTGCTCGATCAACGCTTCCCAATCTGGCGGCGGGATCGGTGTCTTGTCAGAGACGTTGTCGCTGAGTTCCCGGTTAGCGAGAGTGCAATAATACTAGGAGCATCGTTGAGCTTACTTTTGTGCGTGTACCGCCTCGAACATCAGCAGAGCCCTTCGGAGGTTCCTCTTGCTCTCCTTTGCAATCTTCCTCTCCAATGCTTCACACGAGACCATCTTCTCTTCGCGGCCCACTTCGGCTAGCACTTCGCAGATCTGCTCCTCGGTTGGCGCAGCTACTCTGACCAGCAGACATCGCGACCGGATGGGCGCTATGATATTGCTCGTGCTGTTCGCCAGGAGGATGAGGCGCAAGTTGGGACTGTACTTTTCCATGGTCCGCCTGAGCGCGGCCTGGGCATCTCGAGTTAGATGATCCGCCTCATTGATCACCACCACCTTGAAACGTTGCTTTGCTGCCAAATCGACCTGCTGTGTCTGAGCCACCTCTTTGAGAAGATCCTGAACGACGACTCGGTCGTAATTGCCAACGTCTGAAGGTGTGATCTCGAGATGGTAGTTGGAAGAGACGATATTGAATTCGAGTTTGCGGTTGCTGGTGGTCTGGAAGACACGACTGTCAATCTTGATCTTCTCGACTCCTGGGCCGTAGAGGGCTCTCAGTGTAGCTGTGATCCGGGTCTTCTTGCCCGCGCCGGATGGGCCGTAGATGAGGAGGTGAGGGAAATCGCCGCTGTTCGCGAGGGCTCGCAATCGGTCGGACAACTCGGGGTGGTATGTAAGAGTCTCAAGCGTCCGAGGACGGTGCTTGTCGATGAGCAGAGCCATTGTCGTGATGTGAGAACGATTGGGGTTCTGTGCTGTGTTGTATGCCAGACGAAACACGATGGGGGACGCGGAGGAACGCGAATGCAACACGCTACGGAGCTGGCTCCGCCGAGGAACTTTACCTTCGTGCTGCTTCCTTTCTATATGCTCCGGATCTCTCGTTCGCAACCTTCATGATGCACTGGATTTCGTGGTATGGAACAGAAAGACTACTGAAGATCTCGCGCTTTGATCAAACAACATGGAGCACCACACGCGTCCATCACAAGTGCGAGCTCGTTTCCTCAACATGCGCACTCACGCTACCCTTACGCTCCGCCTCCTCAACGCGATGCTCCAAATCGTGCTGGTCGAAATCGCGCATGTTCATTGTCGGGACAAAAATAGGCGCATTGGAGAACAGATATGACATCTCTTCAAGAGGCCTATTCGAAGTCTCGGGTTGTATAGCCCCTGCCCACCGTTAGCCATCTCATCGCAGACAGAACGCAGATGCGACACTCACAGAAGAACAGGGCGTTGGTAAAATTACAGACGATGAAGAGGTAGTAGTACCGATAGCCAATGTTCGCAATGGCTATCGGTGTCACCTGCCCTATCATCGTGTTGAATGCATAACTTGTCATGCATGCAATCGACACCCCCTTGGAACGCGTCCTGGTATCGAATATCTCTGCTGGGACGATCCCTATCAAGCACACATCAGCAAAGCCCTGACACCGACACCGACACCGGCACACCATGCGATGGCATTCCACTCACAAGACAGAGGCCCATTGGTCGCAGAGAAACTGAAATTGTAGACCCAGGTGATCACAATGAAGGCCCAGGAGGCTCCATTGTTATTCGTCGCCCCCGGTGGAAACTTAGCGAGAAGAATCGTTGCAATGATGAAGGTCACACAATTTCCCAGGTTGCCTCCAATCATGGCCCATCTGCGCCCAGTCCAGTCGATCAGGAGGATACAGAAAAATTGCGCTATCAGGGCGATGAGCGAGCTGATACCCTGGTACTTCAACGTATCTGTGCCTGGAATTCCTATCTGCTTGAAGATCCTACGACAGCGTCAGTATATTTGCAATTGTCTGGTTCTTCTTGTATGGACGTACTCAGGAGAGTAGTATTGAATGGCACTGACGCCAGTCATTTGCACGGACGCTTGGATGGAACAAGCTAGGAACAAGCGGCGAAAGGAAGACTTGTTCGTGAAGAGGTCGACGTAGGACTTGTCTTCGTGTTCATGCTCGAAGGTGATCGTATCTTGGATTTGCTCAAACTCGGCTCGAACCCACGCGTCGTTCGTGTCGCCGTGAGAATGCAAACGCGCAAGCGTACGAAGTCCATCTTCAGCTCTTCCATGGTCGATAAGCCAACGCGGAGATTCTGGAAAGAGTAGAATCAAGGCGGCGAGGATCACGGCCGGGATAAGCTGTATCCCTAGACTGATTCGCCATTGTCCACTGTCGGATGCTGGGAGGTATGTGTAGGTCGCGTACGAGACCCAACTCGCCACAAGGGACCCAACTCCCAACATGAACTGTTGGAGGGCGGTGACTCTGCCGCGAATGGACGGATGCGCTAATTCCGCTTGGTACAGAGGCACGATCATGGTCAAAAACCCAACGCCGATGCCTGCGATAGCTGTTTTGGCCGTCAGAGTGTGTAAGCTGATTGCTTCAGGTGTTGCTTTACCTCTTCCAGAATACAGGTAACCCAAAGTATGTGCTCCCGTCTGCAATCCTCCCCCAAGAATGAAGATTAGAGCACCCAGAAGAATCGTTTTCTTGCGGCCGAGAAGATCTCCTGTAGGACCAGCAAAGAAGGCGCCAAAGAAGGCGCCTCCCGTGAAAACCGAAACAACAGCTCCTGTCTCATTGGCACTTGGATTGAATGTGTTGACGAAGTTCTCCGACGCTACAGCGCCCGCAATAACACCAAGATCATAGCCATACAGAACACTGCCCAAAGAGGCGAAAACAGAGACCAGGAACTACACGTCTCGTCAGTCTGCTCTGCACACTTACCCAACTGGGCAATAACTCACCTGATACCACTGTGGAGGCAACGCCATTTTGGAAGTGCACTGGAAAACGCCGTTGAGGTGCGATGCAGAGAAAGCGACAGGAATGCGCTTGATACATATTCAGCCTGGCGAGCCGTGCTGCCTGCATTCTTTCTCATGCCGTTTGTCCCGGCCGAGTCAGTGGCGTTTTGTCATGCAGAGGGAATACTTGCATTGTTCAGCATTGGCTGGGCATGACTGCACTTCGCAAGCGAACCAACAGAGTGCGGACAATCAAAGAAGAGCCGCTAACAGGCTGAAGTCACATGGCGTCAAGGCGTGTACCGCATGGGGACCCCACAGTGTTGTGTGGAGGAAGCCTTCTCGGCAACGGCTCTTTCGACAGCGAAGCTCGTGGTATTAAGGCCCGCTTAGCTCTGCGTCTGGCGACGATGACGGAGAAAGGAGTGGGAAAGACTTGAGGAACTACCCTATCGTCGTATCAGGCCCACTTACCCTTCACAAGAGCGCAGTGCTTGCCTTGGCCAAGCGTTGACGCTCAACTTCATGCACAGGATACCCATACGTTGGTGAGGATATTGTGCGCACTTTCCATCGTTCAAATCGTCCACCAACATCCACTTGCTACCGGTCATGACGACCTTTACCAAAGTCTCCCCTGGTACGCAAGCTAGCCTCTCAGTCCATCCTGATCGCAAGCTCAGCAAGGTCAACGACAATATCTACGGCGGCTTCACAGAGCACATGGGCCGATGTATCTACGGCGGACTCTACGATCCTGACAATCCGAATACACACCTCGTTGATGAGAATGGCTTTCGGAGAGATGTCATTGAGGCCATGCAGGAGTTGAGAGTCCCTGTAGTAAGATACCCGGGTGGCAACTTTGTTGCGACATACCATTGGCTCGATGGCGTGGGCCCGAAAGACAAACGACCAAGAAGACCGGAACTTGCATGGCTGGGTGTCGAGAGCAATCAATTTGGGACAGATGAATTCATGAAGTGGTGAGTGAAACAGTAGTAGTGCTGAGTCTCAAATCGTTGTTTGCAGGATTTACTCACTTTGCGTCCTTTCCGCCCATAGGTGCGAAGAGGTGGGAACGGAGCCATATTTGGCTCTAAATTTTGGAACGGGTCTGAACTCTCAAATCTACGGTGCCTGTGGAGCTCTGCTGACTTTCGTTAGGGACACTCGACGAAGGTATGTGCCGTCGACTATGCAGAAGTAGTCTCGATCATTGACTGCGCCAAGCACTCGCATGGCTAGAATACTGCAACTCGACGCAGGACACCCACTACGCGAACCTCAGGAGGGATAACGGGCGCAAGGAGCCGTACAAGGTCAAATATTGGGCGCTTGGAAATGAAACTTGGGGTCCATGGCAAGTCGAGCAGATGACCAAAGAAGACTACTCCAAGAAAGCATACCAATGGGCCAAGGCTCTGAAGCTGCTGGATCCGTCCATCACCCTGATCCTCTGCGGCGAGACCGGCCATTCGACATGGGACTACTACACCCTCAAGGAATGTGTGCGATGGGACCAACACGCTCTCGGGGCAGGAAACATCACTGCGAGCGTGATTGATATGCACAGCATCCACATCTACACGGCCTGCGATCACGATCCTGTCAAGAACTCTCTAGCTCCACGATCCGCCGAGCGAGCCATTGAGATCTGTGCCGCGCTCATTGACCTGGCCCGGATCGAGAACAACGTGCCACCGACCGTGCCACGGCAGACGATCTGCTTCGACGAATGGAACGTTTGGGATCCCCGGCGCGCGCCAGGCAACGCCGGCGCTGAAGAAAGATATACCCTCTCCGACGCCCTGGCTGTGGCCATCTGGCTGAATGTCTTCATCCGGCAGAGTAGACACGTCGGCATGGCGAACATCGCCCAGAGCGTCAATGTCATTGCGCCTCTGATGACGAATCGAAATGGTCTGATGAGACAGACCACGTGGTGGCCGTTGTTGCTCTTCAGCAAATACATGCGCGGTTGGACGGTGGCTACGCACGTGAGCTGTAGTAGCTATGAGGATGATACGGAGCCGAGATGGCTACGGGCGGCGGCCGATATGCCCTGGCTGGATGTTTCGGCGACCATTAGTGAAGATGGATGGGTGAGCTTGGTGGTCGTGAATGCGAATCTGACGGATTCGTTCGAGGTGGACTTGGCTGGTGTCGATGCTCGAAAGGGTCATGTGCATGTTTTCACGGTTACTGGAGAGCAGTGGGATGTGGTCAATACACCTGGGAAAGAGAATGTTGGCATTTCCGAGAGCACGTGGGATGGTCAAGGCGCTTTCAAGTTCCCGAACATGAGCATGACTATGCTGAGGTGGAGTGCCTGACCGGCGGTGCTCAGAAGCCATGTCGTTGGCGCGCTGGCGACGTTTGGATGAGACGGCACCGTCACCCGGGGGCTAGAGACGATTGTTCATCGCGCTTTCGTATAGTTCAATGAGGCGCGAAGCAGCATTCTAACGTGATGCTCTCGTACATAGACGGTGACATCTCTTCGTCCGCCTGTGAGCTACCACCCACAGCACCATGGATACCACAAAAGCAACGGACTCATCCTCAGTGAAAGAATACTTTGTCGACAGTCCAGAAGGTCTCACAAGTTTGTGTTCCCACGCCTCCGAGAAAGACAAGAACTTGGACGATAGTGGGACCATATCACTGCTTACGACGAAAGCGAACGTTGTTTTTGTACGGAACCAAGGCCAAGTGCACATGGATCTCGTGTTCTCCCGACTAGATGTACAAAACTCACATATGACATACGCTGCTCTTGGCACCATACGGCGTTTTCTTGAGGCTTGGACGACTGGGAAGAAATGGAAAGAGGAAGCAGTGGTAGACAATCGCCGGTAGCAAGATGCTAAGAGCTTTCATTCGACATTACGTTTAATGCATTTTGGTATTATCATCCTCATCGTGGCAAGTCCGAAGAAGGATCTGAATTGAACTCGTGATTGCCATTGTCCCTTTAGGACCCCATCTCATTCTCGGGAGGGAAGACAAGTGTGAAGTCGCATTCGCTGATAGCCTAGACTTCGCATCAGACTCCTGTTGTTGTCCACAATATCGATTTGGTGTCAAGACTTACCGCTTTCAAGTTGGCTTCATTGAGCGCGATTCCTTTCAGGATCTCCTGCTTGAGCATAGTGAAGACAGGCTCGTCGATGGCGTAAGTGCCTGTCAAATTGCCTGCCTGTGCTTTTTCTGTTTCCTCGGCTGCAGCGTACTGGGCGAGACCTGGAATAGCTGGGTTGCCTGGAGGAGCGATTTGCTGGTTGAAAAGGCGGATGTTCTGTCCTTCGTTAGCAAGAACAGACAAGCTCGCTGGCTCATAAATGCAGGATAGATACCATTCCAGCTTGCACGTCAGATTGGAGCATGCCGATTGCCTTGTAGATGTCCGCATTGGGTCCGCTTGGGTGAGCCTGCTCAGCCTGCTCCACCTTCTCGGTGCCGTTGTACTCTGCGTATTGTCCGTTGATGTTCAAGTGGATGCCAGTAGCAAGGGCGACTTCAGCCTGCGAGCAAGGTCGCTTGCCTTCCGGCTTGCCTTCCCACTGGCCCTCCCAATATCCAGGAGCAGCGAGTGCACTGCCCAACAGGATACTCGCGGCGAGAGCGTACTTCATTTTGAATAAGGTATCGAGTGATGTGAAGGGGCGGGAAAAGGTGGTCAAACACGAGGCTCTCTGTGGGATCTGGACGAGGTTTAACAACAACGAGGATAGGTACTAACAGGTAGATACGATCGGGCGGACCATGGCATAATTAAATTCGCTGTCAGCCGTCCGAGCTCACAGGCAAATGCCGCATTGGACGTCACGGCCGGTAGGGATCAAGATCTCAAGAGGTGACAAGAGGCTCCAAGGGCGAAACAAGCTCGGGTCGAGTCGAGTCGTGGCAGACTAAGCTCGTGGACGGACTGGAAAAGAAAGCTTGATGACCATTCGGGGGACGCCCATGACGCGCTCAGCCAGTCTGGTCGAAGCCGAGGACGAGTGTGGATGGCGTTCCTGCAGCTCGCGCCAGTCTCTCTTCTGATGATGCCTTTTGGAATCTCACTACTACAATGCGCAGCGCTGGAAATGGAGAGGATCACCACCGGAGCTCGCACCTTCCCCGCTTCGTGTCCGCAGAAGTAGCTTCTACTGCCGTCAATCATGAAGCAGTCAACCATGCAATCATGCACCTATACCGTCTTCTGTCCGCCGCAGAGGATCGGCAAATGGAAAGGTGTGTCAATCCTCGAATCTCTCTCCAGACACCCACGCTTCACGTACCCTCTCCGTCGACCAGTTGGTAGTGGAGCCAACGAAAGACAATGTTCCCCAACGCCATGCAATAAAATCGAAAGAAACCAACTCCATGAGACCTCGATACAACGTAAATCATCAGCAACGTCATGTCCATTTTGTCTCCGTTCCAGGGCGACACGTGAACGATAGCTTTTGAGGACAGAGGGACCAAGCGCAAGTAGCCTAATAGGCGCGTTGTTGTCCCACGGACATGGCCTGAACTGGTTGCGTGAAGCCGCCTTGAGCTGCGTGCTGTGACCGCGCATTGAGCTCAGCAAACCAGGGATGAGCGAGTGCTGCTTGAGCGCTGCATCGCATCTCTGGTCGCAGTTGAAGAAGCTGACCAAGTAATTGGAGTCCTAGCGAGTCGACTTGAGGTAGAATGGCGCGCAGCTCCTGCGTCGCGTAGACGGGCCATGTCTGCTTGTACTCTGGAAAGCTGCTGATGCCTGGCCAGCTACGCTCGGAGGGAGTGCCCATGAGCCGGAAGATCTTGAGCAGCTGATCTTCGTTGGTAGTACCAGGGAAGAGCGGCCGTCCCGTGAACATCTCTGCCATGATGCACCCAGCGCTCCAGATGTCGATGCTCGTGTTGTAAGTGCGACTGCCCAGTAAAACATCTGGCGCACGGTACCAAAGGGTCACAACCTCGTTGGAAAAGGTGTTGACCGGGATTCCGAAGGCACGGGCTAGACCGAAGTCGCCAAGCTTGAGCTGGCCTTGTGAGTTGATGAGCAGGTTCTGGGGCTTGAGATCTCGGTGCAGCACTCTGTTCTCGTGGCAAAAGGCGATGCCACGGAGCAGCTGCCACATGAAGCTCTTGATGGTAGCAGGATCCAAGGCACCACGCGAACCGCCGGTGGGGCTCTGGTAGCTGTCCATATACTTCTTGAGGTCCTTGTCCATGTACTCGAAGACCAGCATCAGCTTATTCTCGGTGTGGATAACATCGTAAAGGCTGACAATGTTCTCGTGCTTCAGCTCCTTCATGAGCGAGATCTCGCGGATGGCGGTGCTGGGCGTGCCCTCCTCGCTATCGAGATGGATCTCCTTGAGGGCGACGAACTGGCCCGTCTGGCCATTGCGACCCTTGAAGACGGTTGCGTATGTGCCCTCGCCCAGCTTCTCCAGCTGCTGGAAGCTGGATGGATGGCGCTTGTCCATGGGCTCGATTTTGTGACCTCCGCCCAGACTGCGCACCGAGATGTTGCTATCAGTTCGGTCGCCCACGCTCAGCGTGCCCACATGCGTTGGGTGCAGGCGGATCTCGGGAGGCTGTCTGGCTGTATATCGGGGGTCCCAGAGAGTTGCGCGGGCGGTGGTGAGCTGGTTGGCGACGGTCAGGGGCGATGTCGGCCGGCGAGCGGACTGGCGGTGGTGGGAGGGAGTTGGGGATGCCGTGATGAAGGATGAAGAGGAGCAGGGCGGATGAGACCGCGAGTTGTGATTTACGTTGGAGCGAAGATCGGGTGCAGTGGTCGGTCGAGGCCTGGTGTGAGTCGGAGCTTCGATTGGCTGGGAGATGTCGCTGGTGGGGTTGCTAGCCAGGTTCGCAGGCGGCAGGCCGAATAGAAAGTAAGAGAGGAATGATCTGAGAGGCTCGTCGAATTAGTCGCCGGTGGAATCAAACAGACGCGTTCACGTGGGAGTGCAAGCGCAGACGTTTCGCGCGCTCGCGTTCTATCTTTGTCTTTTGCATTTTGGCTTTCTTCCAGACTCCTCCACAGACCTCACGTGACCTTGTCACTTGCCTGCATAACTAGGACGAGATTCACCTACCAGTATCACTATGCACGGATCAGGAACGCACGGTCGTTTCATATGACAGACATCTTGGAAGACAAAGGATCCAGAGCAGAGGGGATGGGTTACAGGGCCATACCCGCCACCACAGTCGGTATCATACAAATTTTCCATCATGCTCTGTCTCCAGACTTATGCTATACACAAAACCTCTGTCATGACTCCACGCTAAGAACTGTCAATCACCATCAATCCTTGCAAGACGCCAGTCCTTTCCAAGCAACATTTTCTTTTGTCTCCTTCCTGCCACCCAACGCCAAGCCGTAGCAGGACCAACATGGTCCTTTTTTGCACATTCAACATACGAAATGCCCACAGTCGACTGTGACAATCCTGTGGGCTCAATTCAACATCTCGTTCCCTTTCTCCCCTGATTTGAGTGCCTCATCTGTGGTTCCATTCCAAGGGATAGGCAGATCGCGTTAACCACGACGCCTCGGCTGAGCCAAGGCATTCAGTCGAGCCGCACTGATGGTGCTTGGGCGCTTGACTGGGCTCGTCGTCTTCGCGCCTTTGGGCTTCACCCCGAGCGTCGTACGCCTAGCTGCGCTCGATGCCGTAGCGGCACTCGCGCTGGACTTCTTTGCAGCAGCATTGAGAGCACTAGGCTTGGCACGCTTCGCAGGGCGTTGCTCCTGCACCTCGTTCTCGTCGTCAGGCGCCGACGTGTTCTCTTTCTCGGACACTGGGCTAAAGATCGGTGTTTTCGCACCGTCGTCGCTTGTGCCCATGGCATCGTTGTCTGCTTTTGAACCCTTCGACTTGCCGTTTTCGAACTCAAACTTGCGCTTCTTGCTGCCCACGACGGATCTCGGGGCTGGTGACGGAGCGTAGCCAGAGACCATGCGGATGGTGGACGGACGCTTGGCTTGAGTGGCAGATGCAGGCGCGTTGGGAGACTGGCCGAACACGATGTTCTGCTCTCCGGCACGAAATGTGAAATCTCCGGGCCCAGATGTCTGACGTCTCTTCTGTGGAGAAGGGCTCAGCAAAACTCCATCGGAAATCTCTGGGTACGTGACTGTCTCTGGCTCGGCAGACAAGGCGACCTTGCGCTCCATCATCGGCGATGGAGTCGGCGTCTTTGAAGGAGTACTGCTCTCCGCCTTCTCAAAGCGCGCTTTGGTAGAGTTGGAGAAGTCGACGTGCTTCTGAGCGCTAGGCGGCATGGAGCCTGAAGGCTGCTCCATGGCTTCGAACCCATGCTTTGGAGGTGTTGCCACGTGGGTACCGGCAGCAATCTTAGCCGGGTCGTCAGAGTACAGACGCTGTGGAGAGCGTAGGATAGACTTCATTGGAGACTGGCGAAGTAGGTTGAAGCGGCCGAGCAGCTTATTGGCTGTGCTCTTCCCAGGGGTCTCCAAAGGCTCCCGTTCCATGCTAGCCATTGGGATCTTGGATGGAGATCGCGACAAGAATGGAGTTGGTGCAATGTTGCCCTTGGCGGATTCAGACTCTCCAGAAGTCGTCTTTGCGATCATGGTCTTGACTGGTGAGCGCGACAATAGCGGCGCAGCTTTCGACTTCGGAGCACTCGCTTCACCGTCTTCAGCAGCGGATGGCTTCTGGACAAATGATTAGCATGGCGAGCGAGAAATCGGAGGAATAACTGTATACATACCTTCGCCGATGGTTTGAATGGGGAGCGTGACAGCAGCGGGCTTCCCACAGAATCTGTCGATGGTTTCCCCATGATAGGCTTTGCGAAAAGAGACCCTTTTGATGGTGAGCGTGCCAGAAGAGCAGACGAGCTCTCTTTCGGGGCCTGACTTGACTTCTTCAGTATGGAGACAGGAGCTTTTGCTGGAGTGAAGGTCGGAGCAGGTATGGCAGAGTTCTTCGTGGATGCAGGGACCTTAGAGCGCGCTGCGGATGCCTGCGTTGGTGTGGTAAGGTGTGCGAGCCTGGACGTTGAAGGAGTAGCTGGAAGAGGCTCCTCGCCGTCGCTCGAGCTCGGACGGGCGGCGAAAATGTCGTCCCTATTTGTGTGCTTGACACGCTTGGCCGGCGAGGTCGACTTAAGATCCTTGGTCGAGGTCGAGCGTGGCAGTTGAGTACCAGGAGGCGCTGGGAGAGGTTTGGCGGTATCCCGTGAAGAAGGTCGGCTCGGTGTAGAGCTTGGGTTGTCGAGGCCCGCCTTAGATGGACTTCGCTTCAATGACTTGAGGCTCTGCGATTCCTCCCCAGAGGCTGATGCATTCGGCCCGGTTTTCAGACGGAATGCGGATGCATGTCCAGCAATGGAGTCCATCTTCTCAAATTGCTGCAAGTGAATCTGACTGAACCTGCCCTTGGGCTTGGCGATCTTCCGAGAAGCCAGCATGTGATCGATGGCTGGCTCTTGCTCGCCCTCAGCAACCATCTGCTCCCGAATCTTGGTCGCCTCCTCACGCTTCTCATGCATGAGCTTCTTCGCCTCAGGACTGAGCTCCAGCGAGTGCTCGCGACGGAACGTGAATTGGTAGCTCGGAGATTTGGCGTCTACGTCTAGGTTCCGAGTCTTACTTGGGGTGCCTTGAATAGTCGCGAGCTTGCTGTTGTATTTCGGCGGCTCAGTGTGTGGCGCCATGCTGGAGAAGCCCAGGTGTCGAGCCTCAGCTCTTGGCTTTGCGGTCGTCTGATGATGGAGTTGTGGGTGCATCTCTTGCGCTGCGGGCTTGATCGGCGCGGCCTTGGTCGGTGTCGCCGCAATGAGATTGTTCGGAACGGCTTGGATCAGGGCCAAGCTCGATTTGGGAGACGCGGACTGTGGATACGTGCCAGGCATCTCGTCGTCTTCCTGAAGAGAGCCCAGCTTAGTGGGCACGGTGCGCGGCGTGCGGGCGGTGGGAGCATCGTGGGACAGCGAGACTCTATTGGGAGTCGACGAGTTGCGATTGCGCAGGCGGGCGGAGCTACGCCGAGCCATGGCGGCGTGTACTTGTCGTTCAGGAGTGGGGATGAGAAACAGAGGATATGAGTTGCAGCGAGGATGTCAAGGATGGTAGGTCTGGCCGCAGAGACTAACGCGCAATTGGTGCGTGCTATGTCAAATGCGAGTCGGAGCGGTGACGAAGCCTTCGAGGTGTTTTTGTTATTGCTTCGGCTCTAGCCGGTGGACCTGGCAACGCCGACTTGGTGGTCTGTGCGCGGCATCCGCCACTGCTGGATCACAGGCATGACAACCTTTCAAATGGACGTGGGACGGATGCATTGCTAAGGGGTTTAACACATCTGACATTATTTCACTGTCTATCCTAAACCAAGGCCCTAACAAGTCACCGCAAACGAGATCTGCTTTTGGTCGCAGCGATTTATCAGAGTTACTACTTTTACGGCGTGCTATTGTCTGCTTGCAAAATCGCTCATGATTCCGCAAAATCAGACTAATGGACTACAAGCGCAGTCACAGCTGGACCGGATGGCATGTGAGATCCCTCCGGATCGGAAAGTGATGCCGCAGTCCTGCATATGCAGCGAGCCGACACTAGTCGTATTCAGTTGACAAACGTTTTGCTGGGAGGGTTCGCGATGTCTTCGATCCTGCAACAAGTTAGCATCGGCGTGTATGTGAAGAGGGAGAGCGGGCTCGGATAAGCCAAGTTGCCGCAATCGTGACTTTAGTCGCGCGAGTGTGCCAAGCCTGCTGAAACGAAGTTGACTGATTTGTGTGAACGAATGCGACAAGCTCTGGGGCCGGAATCATTTTGCTGCTACTCTGGAGACAAGGTGGTCACCACAGCGCAAGGGCGGTTTCGTGATCGTGATACGTTGAAAGTGCTGCGACAGCTGAATCACGGCGAAGGTTGACTTGAGTCATGACGGATGTGGTGGATAATCGATGCGATAGCTGAGCCGCGATTGCTGCTGCAGTCTGTGCGAAAATACAGCGGGGGCACAGCTGGGTCGATGATGGCGAGCCGAAATAATAGTAGGAAAGTTGTCTCATCGATTAAAGTCATTGCCGAGAGAGGTGGCAGCGAGAGTCCTCCGATGGGTGATGGAAGTCTGCTAGACTCATTGCTTGCCGAACTGTATCGAACGTTCCTTCTGACGCCGCTAATAACACATGCAGAAGTCGCACCGGGGAAGGGAAGGTGTAATAGTAGTACAACGATGGTGTGCCGAACTCCCGCAAGAACTCCTCGGATGCAATCTGATTTTGGTGTTATGATGCCGTTTTGGTAAAGGTGAGGTGCATGCTCCGCGACGCCTGTTCGTTAGCTCGCTTGCAAACACCATGTCTTCGACGCATCATTTAGTCGTAGCTTCGGCGTTCCTCGTAGCTGCGCGCTGGAGGAGCGTCGCGAGGCGCAGCAGAGTCGCCGTACCCAGGACCTCCGACTCCACGCTCTGGTGGCGGGCCACGAGGTGGGCGGTCGTAGCCTCCGCCGCGGCGGTCACCGCCATAGCGGTCATCGCGGTAGCGATCACGTGGAGGGTAGTCATCGCGACGACCATAGCCACGATCATCATACCGGTCTCGGTAGTCTCCGCCACGGCGGTGATCGTCTCGCCGGCCGTGTCCACGATCCTAAGAAGATTAGCACGTGTTGGGTCATCGACGAAGGTCAAGTATACTTACGTCGTTGTACCGGTCGCCTCCACGAAAGCCACCACGAGGTCGGTCGTCTGTCTGAGTGTCAGCATAGCCTGCACACTACCCGAAGGGTAGCAGGAAGGGGCGCACAGTAGGGGTAGGGGTCGAAAGCACGGAGTGGCAAACCTCTCTTTGGTGGTCCAAAGTATTTGCCAGGAGTTGGCGTACGAGGACGAGCACGGCGAGCCTTCTCAATGCTGAGAGTGCGGCCCTCGTAGACCTCGCCTTGCAATGCTTCCTTCGCAGCATCCGCCTCTGCCGCCGTCACCATCTTGACGAAGCCGAAGCCACGACTCTCGCGGCTGTGTGGGTCACGCATGATGTTGCACTTCTCAACTTCGCCGTACTTCTCGAAAAGACGAGAGACCTCCTCTTCCGTAAGGCGTGGATGAATTCCAGTAACGAAGAGGTTCGAGCCCGGGTTGGTCGCATCGTCGCCGCCGCCGTTCTTGTCCGCAGCTCGGTCGTCGCTGTGCAATATGTCAGAGATTGCCCTTGAGAGAATACAGACCGCGATCCATGATCACTTACCGGTCAGCACGTCCGTTAGCTGGCTCATCGCGAACACGGACATCGCCATCACGATCGCGCTCGGGAGAACGCGAGCGGTCGCGCTGCGGGTATTCGCGCTCCTCTGCACGTGAAGTGTTAGCCTGTGGCTCTTCGGACTGTGTGCTTCTTCCTCATGCAAGTGGTCTGTGAGGCTGAAGCTATTGACCGTCGTTTGTCAAGCTTGGCGTTGCGCCGGCAATGTCGTGTTGATGGAAATATCAGAATTGGAACGTACCCTCGTAGGTGCGCTGGTCAGCATCGTAGGTATCCATGTCGGCCATCGTGCTGCTGGAGCTCGTTTCGACGTTGGAACGAAGTGAGGGCGTGCTCTGTCGTCTGACGAGGCTTGGAGAGCCGGAGTCCGCAGCAGGTCCTTTCGGAGCTGTGTTGGGTCACGCGGTGGTGCAAATGACGACGGTCTTGACTATCTCAGACAAGCCAAGAATGAGTGATATGTGTAAGGAGTGAGGAAGAGGAGGAAGGGGTTGTTGGTGCGGGTGGTGCTTGTCGTCGCAGACAAAGAAAGAGTGAGGCGTGTTAAAAGCTGGAACGGCAACGAACAGGGCCCTGGCTAGGAGGCCCCTGCGCCGCTCGGCCCGTTCCACTAGCTCTGGTGCTCTGGAGGATTTCCCTCCGGGACACATTTACCAATAACTCTTCCTTTTTTCACGGCTTCTGAAATGTTGCAAGCAGTTTGAATCATGGATCTTGAATCTATATTCTGATCAACATATATCCGAGAAATCAGACGAGCACTATCACGAGCTTATTGTCCAATGAATGCCCAAATGAAGCGGAATTAGGCGTTGATGCCCGAAAGATGATAGGCATTTGCTTTGAAGGTCTCGCAACGGATCACAGTCATATGAAGGTGTCTTTTACTGGGGCAAAGGGTCTTGATTGATAATTCATGCGAGCCTGGAATCATCACCTTGGCGCCACGGATGAATCCATTCATCAACATTGGCATGGCATGAAATTTTGATGGGCTTCCTCTTTCGTATTAGTGCGAATTGCGGTTCTGCACGTCCACGACCTCATCAGATACCTGATACCACCAGCACAATTTCGCTCGCCGTCAGCCCATCCGTAGCCATTTGGCAGTTTATCAACCGGTGTCTCCCCAACCCGGATAGGAAGAAATTGCGGGACACCATCTCGAGACTGCCCACGCAAAGCAGAATAGCGGCCCTGGAGGCCTTCGAACCTCCTTCGACACCGCAACATCATGTCTCTTGTCAACTTAGCGCATGTGTGTTCGCATCTACAGAACGCGTCCCTCGGCCGTCTCGGTCTCACATCGATCCCGTACACAAAATGGCATCTGTCGCTTGCGCTGCTGCTCCAGAAGCAGGGCTTTCTCTCACAGGTGAAACTTGGCGGCCCATCACCTCCGGCATCCTGTTTTGGTCAAGGACCACGAGATGACCATCAAGTCACCAACTTTCCGCACGAAAGTGCAGGACGGGATCCTCTGAGTCCAGAGTCTGCTCTCGCGAAAATGATACGGGAAGGATGGAGCAGACATGCATTGAAAGCGGGAGGGTTTGGTGAGGAGGCAATTGCATTCGCCGAAGAGCATGGAAGGAAGAGCTTGACGGAACTGGTCGCGAAAGGCTGGCGGCAGCAAGTTGCGCGCTGGCTTGAAGATACCAGAGTCTACACGGAAGACATTGCAGAGAAGTACGAGTCCGACTTTCAGCAAAACCGAAGGCTTTGCGAGAGTCCCGAGGAGGCAGCGGCTTTGGAAGCAGAATTCGGCGCAATGGCGGTGGAAAGACGAGAGCGTGTTCTGGAGCAATTCAAGGCAAATCTACCTGTCGGCCAAGCAGTGACGTTTGATAAGTATGTGGACGTTCCAACCGACCAGCTAGAGCAAACAGCGTTCGAGCTTGAGGATATCGAAGCGATAGCTGGGAAGGAGGCATACATCACCGAGCAGGATATCCGTCGAAACGGGCTCACCATTGAAGCGATGGGCCTGCAAATACCCAATCAAGCCGTCACCCTACCCATGGCAGACCGAAGGGGCAGAACGGCTGCAGAAAATCAGGATCCGGGTATGATGGAGACGGAAGGCGTGTTGACGCAGCAGAATCGTGCATCGCGGAGGTTATGGCTCGGTATGAAGTACTACGACAGCAAGCCGGTACTCAGCCGCGCCAGCATGATCAGCAAACCAACCAAGCGAATATGGCTCAACAACAGCGACATTGGCAATCTGGTACGAGGTCGACGTGCTGGCGAAGTCAAGCCCATGACCCAGATTGGAGAGATTTTGGCCGTGAGCACCGACAGGGGTATCATGGAGGCGCGCGAATGCGCGGAAAGAAGGATAGGTGGCATGGTCCTGTGTCGGGTCTGGTAAAGCCTTGTCCGGAACTAGATATGTACAGTACATTCCACATTGTAAAATTGATACTGCTAAAAGCGGCTCGAAAGTAGCACTTATCGACCTTTGCTCATTCAATTCGTGTATATCTCGTCCATCCCGTCGGTCATAACTCCCTGGAATCCCAATACAATTGAATGCTATCCCTTTCTTCCTTCAGCCCAGCAACAGCAGCTCGCAAATCACTTCCCGTAGCTTCCGGCCCAGAACCCACAATCTCAATCGCGCCTCCACCAACATTCCATCCTTCTCTCCCGACAGTCTGTGACGATCTCCGTAGCGGACGGGTAGTGATCTGCCAAGAACGCAATCCGGAATTGAGGATGTCTTGCGCGCAAGGACTCCTCTACAGAGATCTCCAAGTGAGCGGAGGAGGTGCTCGTGGTCGTGCCGGCCTCTTCTCTACGCTTGGATGCGAATCGTCCCAGTGAAGCCGATAGAGGAGAGGAGTCTTCTTTCTCGCCTCGCGCTTCGCGGTTCACGAAGATTGAGATTCATAGACCTAGGAATGCGTCCAGGAGTCGTTTTAGGCGGTGGATTTCGGGAGTAAGCCAGCGTATATCTTCACTCTTCCTCACCACCGACACAAAGTCCAACACCGCGGCCTCACGGCTGAGAACCTGGCGAGTAGCGGCCTGAATGATAGGCAATGCAAAGGGCGAATGCAAAGGGCGACACCGGTGCCGCCTGATACGGCGAGTACATGTTGCGTCTCATACAACGTATCGTTGCGTCATGCTTCTGTTCAACTTGCCGACAAAATTTGCACGCATCGTCCACAAGACAGGACAGATCTCCCCTGCTTTGCACCGCAACGCCGAATCGCCTGGACCTCAAAATACCACCGAAGCCAGTAGGATAGATAGATACCTAGGATGACTCCCCCCAGAGGATGAACTTCAGGCGTACAGCATCGAACACATATCCCGCATCCAGTCTACGGCATCATCGAGGTATTCGCACCTTGCGGCTTCCTTGGTGTATACATCCATGGCAGCAGCAACTCTCGCTCTGCAGATACCCGATACTTGACCCGCGTCGTCGTCGTACTGGGCTCGTTGCGGTCCGGTGTGTGTCTCAGATGGCTGCCATCTCCAGGGACAAGCGGGCGGTACTGACTTCCAGGTTATGCTCCGTCTCTTGAGAATGCGAAGATGTGTTGTCGGCGTTCAAGACTTACTTACAATCCAAGGAGAAAAGTACACTCACCTCTAGATCGACCATGCGGCCTCCCTCTATATTTTTCCCGGCTTCGTCTCCTGTCGACAGACCGCTTTTCGTCCGACCCGACATGTCAGCACCTCCAGGAGGCAGCTGAGACCAGTTTCCGATCTGAGATAGATAGATAGATAGAAGGAACCGATTCCGATTCTCATCTGAAGTTCGGCTTCATGTTCTATCTCATTGCTCGATCCGGTCGTCACCACCTCACCTCACCTCACCTTATCGAGTAAGTAAGTAAGTAAGTTCCAAAGGTAAGGTACGGTAAGGTAGCTCCGGAGAGTGACCCGGCCCGAAACCTAGAACAAGTGCCCTTCGAGACGTCACCCCATCCCATCACATCAAACCAACCCACCAAAAAAACACGAGATTGATGATGGATGGGTCCAGTCTTGCAAAGCAAAGCATATAGGTGGACACGTGAGTGCCACTCTCAATAATAATAATAATACACAAAATCTCGAAATCTCGAAAATCCAAAAAAACCACAGACACGCCCGCCTGCCTGCCTGTACCATTCTGGGGGAGTTGTCATGTACTGCGTTACGCAAAAATCTCTCGACGACAGAAAAAACAACAACACTCAAGTCAAGTCAAGTCAAAGCACACCCGACGACCGTGATCGAACGGTCGATCCACCACACACGAACACGAACTCGCTTGCTCCGGTATGCCATGCCTCAAATCATACTATTCTACACTTGCCTCGGCGGACAAGTATAGAGAGTCGTCGCTCCTCTTTGTCTTGCAAGTCCCAGTCCTCTAAAACGCCATATGCAGCCCTTTTCCCCCGGGGAGAAACAAATACGCCACCGAGCAAATCCGACCCCATCCCTTTCCCTTCCTCATGCGCGTAATTCTGCAACCGGCAGCATCGGCGCTCGGTCGTGCTGGACATCGTACCCCGTCTCACGCAGTATCACCAGATCATTCTCCCTGGAAGTGTCGCTTCCGACGCTGCTGTTTGCGCGCCACACATTCTGGCCGCCATTTCCGATCGGTTCTGCCGAGACGCTGGTGTAAGTCGCTATTCCACGCTCTGGCCTCAATTTCAGCGCGGGCTCTTCCACGCTGGTACCATGTGCTTTCGGTCGTGTGACGGCGTGACAGGGCTTTCTGACATGTTCGGAGGGCTGACTCTGAGACCCTGAGGCGCACTTGCTGTCCTTGTCGGTTCTTGTTGCGCCTGAGGAGGCGGATACGTTCGAAAGGCCATAACAGTCGTCTGCTTTCCCTCGAGTGACTATATTGAGAAAAGGTTACATTCGTAAGCCACCCGGTCTCTTTCACTACCTTCTCTGCCCCTGCGAAAACTTACATCCGAGGCCAAACCCGGTGTTCGCCGACTCCGTGAACGACTTCATTGCCGATAAGGTGCTGGCTCCGATGGCGTAGGCGAGTTCGACTTCCATCCAGATCACGACGAGGGCACTATCGAAAGTGGGCGAGGAGTCCGATTGCTGCAGCTGGAGGGTGTAGTAGTTCCGGCCGAGCGAAAAACCCAACGCCCTGAGAAGGGTTAGTCATTTATCGTCACAGCTCCACACTTCACTTCACTTACGGTAACCTGACCCAGAATGCAACCGTGATCATTGCTTTCTTGGAGAGCGGCATCTGGAGGTTCCACACGAGATGGATCGGTAACACGAGTAGTAAGATCTCTGTTACTATGTCCAGCCCGGTTAATGTCTGCCAGCGGGCGCTCTACAGAAGTCAGCATCTCTCATGCGCATGATGTATCTCGGACTTTGAAGATGCGATCGCCGCCAAGCTCGCACTCAGACGCAACTTGCGCTCTCGTTGCTATTGAACATGTCTTACCTGAGAAGGGCAACTGGAAGCATTCCAATGGAAGGCCCAATAGTATCCGGACTCCGTGGGGCAACCCGCGGTGGCAATGATCATCGAAAGCAAGCCCAATGCGCCCACAGCACCAGTACAGATGTGGTATAAAAGGACTTGAGAGCGTGTCTTGGTGATGCGGCGGAGGAAAGCGAGCATGGCGCATTTGGAAAGGTAGAGTGCGGCGAAGAAGAGGATGATGCCAGCGAGGGAGGCCTGTCAGCTATCAGCATCGGAGCGTGATGTGTTGGCTGCGTCTCGGCCCAATTCACCTGATCAAGCTTGTCCAAATCGGCGCTCGCGCCGTCCTCGACTGCGACCCATCGCTTGCCAAGACCAAACTTGAGCGCGGCATAGCTGGCCGCCGTGTGTCCAAAGGAAAGCAGGGTTGCAGCTCCTATCACCGCATCATCGCGGCCATACGCGCTCTTGCGAATCCAGAGGCGAAGCAGGGCTACGCAGATGGTGAAGACCAGACACAGCGAGACCACATATGCGGTTGCATTCTCGTAGCCCTCTCCTCGTGGCATGTTTGGGGGCGAGGAGTCTCGAGATGTCAGGTGTCGGAGATGCGAGGCCGTCGACGGCATGAGTCTGTCATCGGTTGGGTTGGAAGCTGGCGGGGACTTGCAAATCTCGCGGTACTTGGAGCAAACACGGAACGGCGGAGGCAGCGGACTCGAAGCGCCAAGCTTCGGCAGAGAAGAAAGGGGTGGTGGATGGAAGTCATTGGGAAGCGGCAGAGAGTTTGGAAGGAGGGATTCACGACGATGGCGGCGGGAGGCGATTTGGTGTGACCATGCCGTGCGTGCGTAACCACACGAGGCAGATCCGTCTCGGTGGACTCTCTTTCACAGGACCTTTCACCAAAGCATTATTACTGTACATTGGGGCTTTTGGGCCTCCCGGAAGGGTGCGAGGCAGAAATGCAAATGCGAGGTTTGAAGTTGAGAAGTCGCCTTGCTTGACGCTAGCCTCGCTACTCGTCGACGGGCGGGTGAGAGAGGTGCCTGGCATGAGGTGGCTGCTGTGTCCGGCGGCAGCTGCATTCTTGGCAGCTCTGTCCCGTGGGCCCGAGACGTACAGCAGCGGCGGGAGGGGTCGAAAGGGGAACGCGTCGCAGCACCGCACCAATGTGCAGCAGTGCAGCAGTGCAGCAAGTGTGTGCAGTGGCTGCGGTGTTTCGTTTGCGCTGCGGTGTAACGGGTACGGAACCCTGCAATCGCCCCGCGACCCGGAATTTTCGGCCTCTGTGGCTCGGTGGCTGCCGTGCAGAGTGCATCGGAACATTGTTTCCCTCGAGCCATCCGCCGTGTCATGCATGTGTATCGGCGGGTGCACGCCAACGCGACGACTGCACCTCCCAGGCCAAGCCAGGCCAAGCCAGGGGGTGGACTCGTGGAGCGCGAGATCACCAAACCGCGGTAGATGATGGCTGCATTAACCCGTTACAATCTGCTGCGTCATGTTGGTAGAACCGTGCAGCGTTGCACGGAGAGCGGGAGATGATGCTGGCGGGCGATCGGATCTCAGGCTGCTTGCTGTCGACGGTCCACGGTCCACGGATTCTGGTGCGGCGATGAGCAGAAGTCGGATCGGATGAGCAGCAGGTGACAACTTGACAAGCACTCCACACTCTGTGGTCTGTCACTCTGCACCCAGACGGCATCTGCACCCAGACGGCACGGAGCCAAGTCGGCTTCCTTCCGACAGTAGGTACCTTACTGTACTAGCACCGTACAGTAATAACGACAAGGTAAAACCTGAGCCGTCTGGGAGCCCTCGTGGCCTGCTCCTGCCGTGCGACTGAAAACAGCAGCCGCGAACCTCGCTCCTTGCCTTGCCTTGCCTTGCTTCATACCTTCGTTCCTTCCCATCAAGGACTCCTGCCCCCTCGACCTCGCCGTCCTCCTTCCCACCACCGCACACCCACCTGCATCCTAGTCCCTTCAACCATCACCGCCGACCAGCAGCAGCAGCAGCAGCATCGACAATCTACCGTACAGGCAGATATGGGTGCCGCTTCCCGGCCAGAGACTGACATGGGTGCCGACGATGTCAACTCCATCGAGAGCCACCATCACCAATACTACCATGACGGCGAGCTGCGCGCCAAGGAAAAGGGCGCGACCGACATCGACGGCGAAGACATGTCGCGCATGGGCAAGCGACAGGAGCTCCGCCGCAACTTCAAGTTCCTCGGCATCGTCGGTTTCGTCACCATCTTGCAGGCGACCTGGGAGAACATACTCCTCTCCAACTACATGGGCCTCTTCAATGGCGGTCGCGGAGGCGTCATCTGGTGCACCATTGCCGTCTGGCTTCTCATGCTCTGTATGATTGCGTCGCTGTAAGCTTTCGGACTCGGGTCCTTGGTGGAGACCAGAATCGGAATGCTGATCGCCCGATAGTGCTGAGATGGCTTCAATGGCACCCACTTCAGGCGGCCAATACCACTGGGTCAGCGAATTCGCCCCTCGACGCTTCCAAGAGCCGCTCAGCTACGTTGTCGGCTGGTGCTGCTGCTTGGGTTGGATTACCGGAGTCCCCTCGTGCTGTCAACAGCTTGCTGGTATGGTGACCGGTCTCATCACCTTGGTCAACCCGAATGCCGACGTCGACCAACTCTGGCAGGTCACGCTCCTGATCTACGCTTTCATTGCTCTGTCAGTCGCATTCAACATCTTCTTTGCCCAGCATCTACCGCTCGCCGAGGGAATCATCCTGTTTGTGCACGTGTTTGGCTTCTTCGTCTTCTTGCTGGCTTTCTGGATCATGGGCGACCACGGTATGTACGAACGGAGGGCGCATTCATACTGATACTAACAGGAGGCAGCTTCGGCATCCGATGTCTTCACCACTTTCCAGTAAGCTCCCCCCTCTTTTTTCCCCGATCTTCGACCGAGTCTTTTCCGCTGACCAGAATAAAGCGACGGTGGCGGCTGGGGCAACATTGGACTCTCGTGTTTAGTTGGACTCGCAACGCCTGTTTGGTGCTTCATTGGACCTGTAAGTCGAAAGCGGTGAGCGCAACCATTGGCTGGACTAGAGTGACGAAAGACGTGTAGGATGCCGGAGCGCACATGTCCGAGGAGCTCAAAGATGCTTCCGTCCAGCTGCCCAAGGCTATGGTCTGGGCAACGGTACTGAACGGTATCCTGGGAATCACGATGCTGATTACCTTCTGGTGAGTGCACGAGACACCGTCGCCGCGAATTCACCTCTGACCATGACAAGCTTCTGCATCACAGACCTGGATAGCATTCTGGCCGACAAGTCGTCATTCCCGGTCGTCGATGTCATCCAGAGCGCGACAGGCTCGTATGCAGCAACCTGTGTGTTGGGTTCGCTCCTCATCGTCCTCGTCTTCTTCTCCACCGTCACCACCATTGCCAGTGCTTCACGTCAAGTCTGGGCTTTCAGCAGAGACCGAGGGTTCCCTTTCTCCTCATGGATTCGATATGTGGCACCGGAGTACGAAGTGCCAGTCAACTCTGTAAGTCCAAGACGGTCTCCGATTCAACAGACGGCTAATGCGTATCAGCTTCTTGTGGTCATGGGTGGCTCTATGATCATCGCGGCGATCAATTTTGGTTCTGACGTGGCCTTCAGCGCAGTCGTGGGCCTTTCCAACGCAGCCCTAGCGTTCACCTATATCATCTCGGTAGGATGCATTCGGCTCAAGAGACTGCGCGGTGAGCCGCTGCTTCCTCGAAGCTTCTCTCTGGGGAAGTTTGGAGGTCCAATTAACGACATCACGTTGGTGTTCCTGGTCATCATTTTCATCTTCTCCTTCTTCCCCGAGAGCCCGTCGGTGGGAGATGCAGAGTGGGCAGTCAACTTTAACTGGGCCAGTGTCATGTTTTCAGGCACATGCATCCTGGCTCTGGCATACTACGTGCTGGGAGGTGGCCGGACGTACGTGGCGCCCGTGGAGCTGGTGAAGCAGGAGTAGATCAGTCGCCCAGCGATGGGACAGAGGTTTCCCGTGCGCGGTGGTGCCACGGTCCGATTAATGTCGTCATGATGGAAGAGGAAGGGAAAAAGGGATAGAAGGAAATGGGTCATCAAAGTGTACAATGTCGGAGTCTCCGGGCGTTGCGTCGGGGCCTCTTGCTGCCAAGCCAAGCCAGGCCTCCGCTGGACTAGTGTGCTAGGTTCGTTTGATGAGCATGAAAAAGCGACTCATGTCATGTTTCTCAACCCCTCCTCGCGGGAAATACTAACGACCCGGCGCACTTTGGCTAATCACCCGGCGCACTCGTAATCTACTGTAATACCTAGTTAGCGTAGAGCCCTATTCGTATAGCCGATTTTTAGTATAATCGCGAGATCTCGTTCCGCTTATATACTCTCGTACTTACGACCTTACTATTACTACTACTACTACCTACTACTACTATATCTACTATATCTCGCTACTCTTTACCTACTACGCTATTATAGCTCGTATACTACCTCTTAACGATATCTTAAATTAATTACGACCTCGAATTACTTAGAGAGTCTCTTACTACTAATAATATTAATAAGATTAATAAGGACTTTAATAAGGTAGATTTCGAGAAACTAGACTTAGTAGAGCGTACGGAGTATAAAGAAGAGCTACGTTATTACTATAGTATTACTCGTATACGTAAAGAGGTACGCCTTACTTATAGAGACGTAGATACTAGTACTTTTAATACTACTAATACCGCTAATACTATTAATAGTAGTAAAGAAGAAGAGGTTAGCGATATTAAAGGTTCTAATACCTCTAATACCGAGTTTAATAGCGAAGGAGATAGAGCTAGTAAAGTAGAAGAAAGGCTACTAAGAACTTACTATACGCGCGAAGAACTAGCCGTATTAGTAGCTACTACTACTAGTTAGCTTATAAATAAGACGGATAGCGACGATAAGGTAGTAGAGCCGCTATCGTTTCTACTAACTAACCGAACGTTCTACTCTAATAAAGAGGCGTTTAATTTTACTTAGGCGTAGGTAAATATTACGGATCGAAGTAGGAGTAAGGCTACTTCGAGAATTCCTAGCTAGTAAGGTAGAAGAGAGACCCTACGCGTGTAGCGAGGCACGTCACGTGTTACGTGTTCGACTAACGGGGGGAGCCGGTAGTCGAACTCTACGAGGAGGACTACGTAACAAGTTCGACTGTTCGACTATAGCTCTAGTCGGATAGCTAGTTTCTAGCTAGTAGGTAGGACAAGTTAGTCGAACTAGAAATCTATATAGGAACACTAAGAGTGCCTCTAGCTTTCGATGTGTTTAACTTACTATAGCATCTTACTACTTAGAATACAATCCCTTAAGTTACTATATTACTCTATCGCTTTACTCTTCCTCTACTAGACCTCTCTACTAACGAGCCTAATACCGATTAAGCCTTATACAAGTAATCCTTATACATTGTAAGATTATTAAGTTATAGACTTAATAGTAAAGAAGGCTAGCTACGCGCTATCGACGAGAGATCGCTATCGTAACCGAAAGACTCGTAAGTTAATAAGCCGTCGTCTTATCTACTACTATTACGGCAATCTAAAGGAGAATAAGAGAAAGATTAGTAAGCGAGAGTATTACGGATCGAAGTAGGAGTAAGGCTACTTCGAGAATTCCTAGCTAGTAAAATAGAAGAGAGACCCTACGCGTATAGTAAGGTACGTTACGTGTTACGTATTCGACTAACGAGAGGAGCCGATAGTCGAACTCTACGAGAAGGACTACGTAATAAGTTCGACCGTTCGACTATAGCTCTAGTTAGATAGCTAGTTTCTAGCTAGTAGACAGGACAAGTTAGTCGAACTAGAAATCTATATAGGAACACTAAGAATGCCTCTAGCTTTCGATATATTTAACTTACTATAGTATCTTACTACTTAGAATACAATCCCTTAAGTTACTATATTACTCTGTCGCTTTACTCTTCCTCTACTAGACCTCTCTACTAACGAGCCTAATACCGATTAAGCCTTATATAAGTAATCCTTATATATTATAAGATTATTAAGTTATAGACTTAATAACGAGCTAGTAAAACGCCCTATTATAAAGTATCTACTAATAACGCGGCTAAGTACGTAAGATTCGGTCTTATCTAGTACCTTAGTTCGAGTAGTAGTTCCGTTAGTAGTTTATAAATCTACTACTACTCTCTAGATAGATACTATATTAATACGAGTACTAGCTACTATAGTAGTAGTAGTAGTAGTAGTAGTAGTAGCTATACCTATAGTAGCTACCTACGCCTACTTAGATACTAAATCTACCTTACAGACAACCTATTAATACGGTACCGGTAGTAACTATACTACTAAGGCCGTAACTACTATCTTTTAAGTAACTACGGCTATATCTATAGTAGTATTAGTAAGTAGGGTAGGGGAATTAGTTCTAAGGCGGTAGTAGCCGAGCTAATAAGAGTGCTAGAAACACCTATAATAATTAATAAAGTAGTAGAAAGTACTATAATCGCGTTTTCTTAGTTAAAGTAAGATAGTAGTAATTTTAATAGAGAGCGGCAGTAGCCGTACTACCCTAGCAGACTACTTTATACTATAGATTAGTACGCACGCGTCCTCCCCCGTACTTTATAGTAGATTACGAGTGCGCCGGGTCGTTAGTATTTCCCCTCCTCGCCGTCACAAGGTATTTATAACGAGACCCGTCGGAAGACGTCAAGTGCTTCTTCCGCCCCCGCAGCCAGGATGCGACGAACACTACTGTGATTAGTGTGCGGCTGTGATGACAGCCTAGGAGCTTCGATGCTACACAAGCCCTCGCGACACGACCAGGTCGACACAAGCATTCGGTGCATTCATTACACAGATTATTCTCTACTCGCGTTGGACACGAGATCGCCGTCCGGGATTGTGTGTGCTGTCTCTTCCTCCACGGACCACTCCTCCATCTCCATACTAAGGCAGAGCTCGTCTCTCGCCGCAACGCAAGAATGTTTTTCCTTAGCTGTTTCTTTTCCACCTTCGCCTTCCTCCTCGAGCGCATGCACTTTAGGCCATGCCTCTGTCACTCATTGAATCGTTATTTTTCTTTCTGTCCGTCTCTGTCGGTCTTTCTGGCGCGCAGCAACAGTATCGCAATCCAGCGCCCGCCTACATAGTGAAGCCGGATCCGACAGCATATATAGACTTTCTGCCGAACAACCCTGGCCATGGTATCTTTCGGGACAAGAATACCACGGTGACGCCTTGGTCCCCGATCAACATCAGCGGGCTCTTGCCGGAGTATGGGAGACCGGAGGCATGCGGTGTCGAGACGCCCGCGCCACAGAGCCGTTTCTGGCTGCCCGACTTCCAAGGAGCGCAAGAAGGCATCAGTCCGTTCTTGGTCAACGGACATCGTTACAAGGTCTTTCGCAATGTCAAGGACTATGGAGCCGTCGGCGATGGAGTTACAGATGACACAGATGCTTTCAACCGGGCTATTACAGAGCAATCCAGGATGGGCGGCGGGAGGGGTAGCGGAGGTATGTCTTGAATGTCAATGTGAAGCATTCGAATGGCTGATCGGGTGGCAAGGGGTGACTGGACAGCCGGCACTGATCTATATCCCGTCCGGAACATACTCGATATCTTCTTCGATTCAGCTGTTCATCGATACACAGGTCATTGGGGACCCCATAGATCCACCCACCATCAAGGCATCTTCCATCATGAACAACAACACCATTCTCATCGACGGCTATGATTTTGGTAAGTACCGCCCCCTTGAGCAAAGTCATGCCCTAACCCTCGTCCTAGGCATGCAGTCCACCAACAACTTCTACATTGGTCTACGGAACATCATTCTCGACACAAGTGGTGCTTCGTCTGCGGATACCATTTACGCTTTGAATTGGGCTGTCTCCCAGGCGACCAACCTCGTCAATGTCAACGTCACCATGCCCGTGGGTAGCCAACACATTGGCCTTGAGATGGACGGCGGCTCGAGTGGTGGTGGCTCTGGTCTGTTCATGGGCGACCTCGCCTTCGAAGGCGGCTTGATTGGCATTCTGTTCAGCAACCAGCAGTACGCGATCAAGAACGTCAAGCTGAAAGACATTGGCACCGGAATCGCTGTCCGACACGCCTTTGTTCTGGCACTCCAGGGCATTGAGTGCGAGAATGTAGGCATTTGTGTCGACGCCGGTCAGATCGACATCACCGGATCGGTGAGCCTCATCGACAGTAGCTGCGATACATGCGGCGTCGTCGTCAATGGCAGCGCCAACGTCTTGCTGGAGAATATCGACGTCAACAATTCCGGCCCAACTCTCAAGATCAACGGCACGTCCCGCGGCATCTCCAACCTCGTCGGCAAGACCTACGCTTCGGGACACGTCTACAAAGGCGCGAGCGGTCAGCCGGTTGCCGCGAATGGAACCTTCCTGCCCTACACGCAGAGAGGCAGCCTGGTGGATGCAAGCGGCAAGTATTTCACGAAGAAGCAGCCGCAGTATGAAGATCTTCCTGCTTCCGCCTTCGCATCTGTCAGGGATGCTGGCGCCAAGGGAGACGGTGTCCACGATGACACGAAGGCCATCCAGCAAGCGCTGCTGTCGAACGCAGGCTGCAAAGTCACATACTTCCCCCACGGCATCTACATTGTCACAGACACCATCTACGTCCCACCCGGAAGCCGAATCGTGGGCCAGGTCTGGTCTACCATCAGTGCTTCTGGCAAGGCCTTTGCCGATGACAGTGCACCTAAGCCGATGATTCAAGTTGGAAAGGCGGGCGAGGTTGGTCTCGCGGAGTTCACAGACATGCTCTTCACAGTGGCAGATGTCCTCCCCGGAGCAATCTTGGTCGAAGTCAACATGAAGGGCGCCAATCAAGGGGACGTCAGCTTTCACAACTCCCACTTCCGTATCGGAGGAGCCGTCGACTCACGCACCGAGACGGCCTGTCAGACCATCTCCGACCCATGCAAAGCTGCCTTCCTGGTCATGCACCTCCGCAAAACCAGCTCGTCCTACATCGAGAATGCCTGGCTCTGGAGCGCAGACCACGACCTGGACGGCGTGCTGAACCAGCAGATCGGCACCGGTCGCGGCATGCTCATCGAAGCGACCCAAGGCACCTGGCTCGTGGGCACCGGCAGCGAGCACCACACCCTCTACGCCTACCAGCTCGACAACGCCCAGAACGTCTACGCCTCCCTCATGCAAGTCGAAAGCCCCTACTGGCAGCCGCTGCCCCGCGCCCCCGCGCCCTGGACCCCGGACCCCCAGTGGAACGACCCGGACTTCGCGGGCTGCAAGGGCAACGTCTCGCAGTGCTACATGCAATGGGCGCTGCGCATCGTGGGCGCCGACACGCACACGCTCGCGCTGTACGGCCAGGGTTTCTGGACTTTCTTCAACGGGCCCAACTACGGCAGCTGCACGGGGCCGAATGGCAATTGCCAGATCAATATTGTCGACTTTGCGGCCAATCTCACCCGCGGCGATGGCGTCGGACTTTTCAATTTGAACACGAAGGGTGTGCAGAATATGGTGACGCTCGGGGGCAGTGGGGGCAAGATTGCCGTGGCGGCGAGCGCGAATGCTGGGAGCTGGGGGGGCGTTTTGGCGGCGTATCTTGGCTTTCAGTAGAGAGGCTCGGGTTAGCCCTGAATAAATTTCGGAAGACGACGACGACCGGGCTTTGTTGCGAGGTTCGCTCCTGGAAGCCTTTTCACATTATTTAGCGTATTACTAGACCCTTTGAGACCAAATAATTGTACACGTGATTTGCTCCCGCTAGCGAAGCTTAAGGTATCAGTGAACGACTCTACCTTACTTGCAGCTTCAGCCTGCCGTCCCTTCTTCTTCTTCTTCTTTTCTTTCCTTTCCTCTTCACGCAACTCCAATGTCGCGTCCGGGAGTCACACCTCGCGCTACTGCTGCCGGGGCTGTCCTCTGCACAAAAGCCGATTTCTGTCTTTAAGACGCCAGGTAGGCTTCACTCCTTGCTTCACCGCTCGGAGATATTCCAAAATCTATAGGCATCATTTCATGCAAGCCTCTATTCCGCGGACCGGCGCTCTGATGGGCGCCCCCTCTACCTAGCCACCAAACCAGATCGGAATCGTCGTTGTTCACCTTCTACGGCATACATGGATCTCGACGCGCACGAAATCCCCGGCTGTTGCCTCTGGTACTCGGCTCCCAATGTGAAGCTGTACTTCGCCGAGCACTTTCCCTCTCTTCCTGTCCCAAGCGTACCGCCCTGTTCTGTGCAGCACGACTACTGCTTGTCAAATAGACAGGAACTCACTATAAAGTCTTCGCCTCCGAGGTTACAGACTTAGACGGCATGTAGCTGAGTTTTGACTGCAGCACGCATGCATGCCAGCATCTGTTGACGAAGTAAGGACTTGGTCGAAACGGCATAAAGGACGGGCGGAACGTCTCTTACGGCTCAGGCAGATACGGCGAGAGCCTAGACCAAAGGGGCGTGTAGCGTTGCTTAGGAGGTTGGAGAGAAGGAACCAAGGCGGGATGGGTGTTCCGATATCCTCTTGAAATTGATTGATACTGCTGGACAAGTAGGTGAAGAGCGGTGTAAACAGCGTGCAGGCAAACCCGACATATTCCGAAAGAAGTGTGCACTAGTGTGCTAGCACACTAGAGGCGCACCTCACACGCCGCAGGTGAGTACCTCGCGTAGATCTCCAGTAGTATGTATCACGGGTATGGAATGTACAGGAAGTGGTCTTCGGGAAGATCCCGCTGCAGGGAAACGTACTGTCAACCACGGTGTGACGGTGGTCGACGGTCAGACAGCATGTTGGGCAGCCAGTGGGCCTTGTGGCACACTGCCACCAGCACGCGCCCACGCGCCGCTGCGGATACTACAGTACCTAGTCTCGTTATGAAAAGGTCGGTGTGGAGGATTTTGTCTGCGTTGGTGATGGGGAGGGTCGTGGAAAAACGGGGTTTTTTCAGGGCGTTATTGATATTTCCCCGTGGAGCGAAAGGCCGAGGCAGTCGGGGACATGCTTGGCAGCGTGGTCTGCTGTGTTCGTGGTGGAAAGCTTGCACGGAATATATATACCAATGGCAGGAGGTCGTCGGGAGTTCTCGCGTTCTGTGAGATGGGAGTGTGGGAGCGTTTAGACTTCGGAGAAGTGGAGCTTCGTCACTGGCAGCGGGGGCGTTCTGAACGAACCTACCTAGTATACCTGGTACCTAGTTAGGAGCGTGGAGCGCGTGCCTTGAAACGAGATCGATGGGCGGAGTGATAGTTGATACACAGGATAGGTTATGCACGCCGCAGCGTAGATCTGGAGATTGTCGAGGGGATGGAGGATGGTCTAAGGATGGCCGGGTAGCAAGGGTAGATATGACGTCCACCTTACCTTATGAGGAAGATCTCCTTCTCTCCCTCTCCCTTCTCCCATCCACTTCTTCCCTCCACACGCCCCGCATGCTCGATCCGACCCTCCCACGGCATATCCATCCTAACAACTACCTCATCTTCTGAGCAACCGACTGCACCCGACGGAGCCAGCAACAGCCCCCACGATCCATCCTTGCTTTTCCCGGACCTGAGCACTGCATCATCATCTCGTCTCTTCTCACCTTTTGCGACTGCCACCGTCACTGCCGCTGCGAGACGACCCCTGACCACCGACCGCGTGCTGTTCCAACTCCCATCGACACTTCTCGACACTTCTCACCACCCAGCGCCTTGTTCACCGCCTCTACCGATCTTGTACCGATCTCCCACCGTCGTCGACTTCCTGCTGGCCTGGTCGGCCCCCTAACGCGCCGTAAACTTGCGTATGTGCGAACAGGCAGAGTTGTTCGTGTCGGCTTTCTGCCCACCCTCCTGCAATGCCTCTCTCGCAGAATACGCCCGATGCGGAAGCTAAATCAAGCGACGTGCCAAAGCCTAGGCGCTTTGCGCCGGAACCGATCGAGACCACTACCAAGTCGTCTAGAACTGTCCGCAAACATTCTCCAGAAAAAGACACCTCGACTAAAGTGAGGCGTTTCGCCCCAGTCGCCATTGAAACAACGACCAAGTCTTCGCGGAAAGACGACGGCGCTGGCAACAGCAAGCCTGCTCCACGCCGCTTCGCTCCACAACCTATTGAAACCACGCAGAAGAGCAGCAAAGATAGGTCCAAGGACACGGCCTCGTTGCCACATATCAGATTCACGCCTCGGTTGGTTGAAACGAAGTATGGCAGCAACAGGAAGAGCAGCCGAGAAGATAGCAAGGACTCGGAGGATAATGGCTCATATGTTCAGATGCCGAGGAAGTTCACGCCGGTAGTCTTGTCGATCGCGAAGCGGTCTCGCAGAGCCGGTGATTCCGACCCTGCAAACTATCAGGACCACAGAACTGAAGAAGGACATCTCATCCATGCTCGCGAGCTCCAGAAACATGCTGGTTGGAAAACATCTGTAGAAGGTCAAGTGGCGTCTCGTTCAGACGATGTCTCACATCCAAGTCACAAGCTGCCTCCGGGAGAAGCGCGAAGACAGGTCTATCCACATGATGGCACGCCGGGAAACAGGCCGTCGGCTCTAGTACCGAGTCGTACTCATTCGTTCCGCTGTCCTGATCTTGATACAATTGAAAGCTCTGAAAGCGAGCGGGAATCCGGTCCGTCTTCCATGTCCTGTAGCCCAGGGCAAGGCTCGCCGCTTACTACGTCAGACTCGTCTTTCAACGAATACTACAAGCACGCCACCCGGATAAGAGAGAGTGTAGACGAGAACTTCAGTCACTACTTGCTGCAGCTGGAGGCCAAGAAGGCACAGCAACGGCTGCAGGAGCAGGCTCTTGCAGCTTTCCCAAACTCGGACTTCCACGAACCCGTTCAGCATTACGTTAATGACGATCGCGACAGTGTTGAGGAAGAAATTGAAGACCGGCCGGTCACCTGGGAGGGCTTCGACGAGGAGGAGTATCTTGTGCGGGTCCGCCGCGAAAGCACAAAGACCCCTTGGGAGCAGCTGGAGATGCAACGGCATGCGGAGATTCTGGAGCAGGAGCGAAAGGCCAACATGACCACTGCGGCTACGAAACAGGAGCCGTCTTCGCCGTGGTGGAATCCAATTCCCGCTACAAGCGTGCATCAGCCGGACAGTGAGATGAGGTCGATGCGTGACCGAGCAAGACCACCGATGCTGGGGCGTGACTTGAGGTTTCCGAGATGCCCGTCACCTGAGCCTGCTCGCTTTGATGTCACACAAGGGTCGGATAAGCTTCGTCAACAGATGTGCTATCTTAGCCAGCAATCTCAGAATCAGAAAACCGAAGAGGGCGGATTGTGGAGTGCTGCACCGAACAAGACTCATCAGCAAGAGAGTATGTCCTCCGCAAACTCCAAAGGGGACGCCAAGAGCACCACTGGAAAGGGTCTCTGGGGAGGGTTCTGCTTTGCCAAAGCTGAAGATGACGCCAACACCGGCCTCGCGCCGCCAAGGGGGCCTACTGGACTCATGACGCCGCGACCGCGCGAGGACAACGCCAATCCGTTCGAGCAATCCTTCGCATATCGTGGAGGCGGATCGGGCACAGTCATAACGCCGGGCACACCACCCGAAACCGACCTCAATAATCTCGATGCCATTCTCGACATCGAAAAGAAGTTTGAGGAAACGTTTGAGCGCGAGTATCCGGACTCCTTCATCACGCAAGTCTTCAACTACCTCTCCCTCGGCTATCCATCCCTCGCGCGACCCTTCGATGAGGAACTCTCCAAGATCTCCAAGATCCCCACTGCCAACCTGCGACAGGACGATGCCAAAGCCAAGCAAAGTCCGAAGGGATACATCCGGCTCGACCCGGAATTCGAGGGCGATAGCTTAACGCAGGAGTGTGTGCGATGGCAGGCTCTCAAGGCGTATATCCACGAATGGGCGAGGCAAGAAAAGAACATGGTGCGTGTTGATGCACCCGGTGGCAACTGGGCCACCACGAATAGGAGAGGAAGTTGGGCAATTTGAAAGGATATGTTGAGAAATGCTTCTTGTTTGCTGTCTACATGCAGCCTTGCAGATGCAGGCGGCTTTTTTGAGATACAATGCGGCTTTCGCGAGTGTTGGGGGTGGTAGCATGGACCACTAACTACTATTGATGATGTAGCAAAGTTGCAATCAGGACAATCCAGACAGACAGACAGGGAGTGCCATTATTTTTTTGGCCATGCAATGCAGTAACCCATTTTTCCGGGCCACTTGTCTGCCTCTAACAGCGTCTTTCCTTGGCGGCGGACGGCTAGTGCGTCCTTTAATTTCTTGCAACAAGACACCAGAGTAAAAGGGAGTGAGACATACAGCGCGGTTCGAGGACTACGAAGGCCTCTTTTTCGCCTTGTACGAAGCACTCCTCTTCGTGACCTTGTTCTTCTTCCCAGCATGTTTGCCCGCGAGCTTGAGCCCGCTCTTTCCCTGACGGGCAGTGGCGCGATGACCTTCGAAGATGAAGTTCTCCGGCTTCTTGATGCCCTCTCCCAGTGCTGTCGACGGTCTCTGGGCTCGGTCAGGCCTCGGCGTCTTGTCTGTCCTCCGCCCATTCGCAGCCGCGGCGCGGCCGAAGAGCTTGCTTGCCCTGCCCAACTTGGAAGCTTCTTCTCCGGTGAGCTTGCGTTGGTAGCCGGTTGCTGCGGGCTTCGATGTCGAAGGTCTACCAGACCCCGGCTTCGCGTTGCGCTTCTGTGCTTTCGCTCGCGAGACGCGCAGCTTCCGGGGCAGCATCGGCGGGAACTTCTTCTCATTGTAAAGAAGAGCTGCTTCGACGGAATTTTCGTCTTCGAACTGAACGTATGCAATGCCCTTACCGACGCGCGTCGTGCTGTCGCGAATGACGCGAACGGATTCAACTTTGCCGCATTTCCCAAACGTACGCCAGAGACCTTCTTCGACATCGGCGGGTTCCTTGCCGGGTTTGCGTTTCTCGCGGCCTTCTTCTTCGTTTGCTGCTTGGATGTTGGATTCATCTGAGACGAAACCAAGGTTGCCCACAAATATGCATCGACGATTATCGATTTTGCCAGGGTGGGCAACTTCGTCAACTCGCAGATGTCTGTCGAGCACTACAGTGCCATTGAGACGCTTGGCGGCTTCGCGAGCGAGATGGGACGAAGAGTAGACAGCATAGGCATTAGTCGATTTGGATGTCGCGTCCATGAGTTCTTGTTTGGCGTATGCTGCTTTCTTCGGAATTGCGGCGGCGTAAGGAGTGGAGCGAAAGCGTATCGACTCGACCTTCGGTGTGGCACTACCACTGGAAGATGCGAGGGCCGTGAAGAAGGAGGCGAGATGACTGAGAAGGAGCTTGCGCGAGGCCTTGGAAGTGATCGCTGCGGTAGAGACGTTTCCCAGGAAGACGGTACGGTTGGCCTTGTCGAGTTCCTCATCTGCCTGCTGTCGCGTCTCATGCTGAGGCGGAGGCGACATCTCTGCACTGTTATGTTTGTCTTCCCCTTCCGCGCTGTCACTCTCATCTGCCGCCTCCTCCACATCACTGCTGTCGCCGTCGTTGTCCAGGTTCTCAGAAGCTCCTGCCTCTGCGTCCTGCCTTTGGCGCTTTGCGGCACGCTCAGCAGCTAGTTTTTCGTTTTCCCTCTCCTCCTCGCGAACAAGCCTCGTCATATAGACATTTTCGAGCTCCTCGTCTGCATCTCTTCTCTTGCGCTTGCGCTTAGACTTGTTGTCAACCTCTGCAGACTCTCGCTCTTGTGTAGAAGTATCCAAGCCTCGCTTAGGAAAACTTTCCTCTTCTTCGGCTGTGGACTCGGCTCCATCATCGGAAGGATTGGCTGCATCTTCGCTGAGGTCCTCCTCGATCTCGGAAAGCTCGGCGTCATTGTCGTCTTCCTCTTCACGTTGGTCGCTGGAGTTTGGTTGTTTTGCCGGCTTTTCCGTCAAGGGGGCCGGTTTTGCCTTCACGGGGGGTTGCTGTAGATTTTTAGCATTGAGACAGTAAGCGTCGCGTTGGACCGTACCTTGACTGCGAATAGAGAGGAAAGACTCTGGTCTATGGTCTTCTCGTCGGCTAGCAGACTGAACGCTGCTGCTGCAGCACGCTGTTTGTTCTCTTTCGATCTCTGGTCGCTCTTTGTGGACTTCTTGGCCTTCTTCCCGACCTTGTTCTTGTCGCTTTTGCTGTCTTTCGACATGTTGGACGTCGATGCGGCTCGTCGAATTTATTGCACACGAGGACGTCCCAACTCCAAGGTCCGGCAAGGTTTTCTCCTGCCCACAGCAAGGCGAGCAATTTCTAGGTAGCAAATCAGCAGTTCGTGCCTTCCGCGATGCCGGTGCGACTTTTCTGCTTGAAGCTCGGACCCTGTGGACGTTGACCGCCCGCGATTCTGCCATGACGGAAAGCGTGATCTACTGAGTAGTATCTCCATGATCTCTCCCCGCCGACTCAACCTACGACCAGCTCACAGTCACGCCCGTAATGGCCATGTCGTCCTCTGGCAATAAGGACACCACTCCACGGCCCTCGATATCACCACTGAGCACCAGAGCTTCTCCTGCCGCCGTGCGACGAACTCCAGTGACCGCTGACGACCAGGACGACGACGACCGCTCTAGTAGCCTCAGCGAGCCTGAGGACGACATCGAAGACGATGCCACTCCAAACATAGCAGAGTTTGATCCTAAACACGACGTGCCATCTTCAGAAGAGCGGGCTGCGCATCAGTCCGTCGAGGTGGACTCAGAAGCGGAAACGGAGCGAATTGATCAGACGCCAGCAAAAGCGCGCAAAGAAGCGGATGCGACACAAAAGACACCCAGCAAATTAAACCAGGCTGCAACGGCTGACGATGACCTCTCCGATCCACCTTCGCCCATCCCAGCGGGCCCAGGAGCGGCTTCGAGCACCAGCACCATTGAAACTGCTAGTACGTTTTGCCAACCTAGCTTGCAGGTTGTGCCGACTGCTGATGGAAAGCATCTAGGCAAAAAGCGCAAGCGATCGGACACAGCAGATAGTTCGTTGACAAGCGCCAATTCAGAGCTCGGCGAGTCACCACGCAAACGAAGCCACAGTGCTGCTGCGGATGACGCAACGGACGACAAAGCGAATGGCGAAGATGTCAACGGAGACGTGCCAGAGCCTGTGGAAGCGCCGATTGAGACTGAAGATCATGAGGTCGAAGATGAGGGCGCGACGATCACCGTTCCGCCCAAATCTGGAAGAGGTCGCAAAGCCGGTAGGCCGAAAGGCAAGATGAAGAAAGAGCTCGCAAAGGATGACGAAACAGAAAAGCAAGAGACAGACCCGCGGCCAGACGAAGAGCAGAATGAAGAGGGCTCAGCAAATTCCGCGGAGGACATGCAACGTAAACAGGCCGCTTCTACGGTTTTTGAAGATCTGGCGAAGCAGTTCGCGGCGTTCCGCGAGAGGGTCAACAATGAGCGGCTCGCGGCCGTAGATGCCGAGCTAGACATGCTCAATCAACCGGATTGCCAGCACCAAGACTATGTGCGCCAAGTCGCTTGCGTGGACGCGCGACGCCAGAAGCAGATCAAAGAGGCCGAAGCATTTTACAAGTTCAAGCTACAGAGTATCCGACGAACAACATTAGCCGAACGGAGTCAACTGCACAGCCAGTACTTTCAGCACGCTCGAGAGCTGCGAGAAGATGTCATGTACAAGCTGGGCGAGGACTGGTACAACATCCAGAAAGAACGTCGGCAAAGCCACCAGGAGAAGGATGACGCATATATATTCAAGTTCCCCACAAAGAAGAGCGACCAGATCAAGCAGCAGGCCAAGTATAACCAAGAGGTGTCCGTGCTCAGTGGAGTTGCGAAATACGTTGGCTTTCCAGCTGCGCCGGACATCGCTGGCGCGGAAGGCGACTCTCTGGAAGACGATCTCAAGGCCATGAAAATCTCCAGACGAACGAATCAGCTGCCCATAGCGCAGTCACAATCTTTTCTGGTAGGGAACAGAGGCCGAATGGAAGGTCAGAGGGAACGACTTGCTCATGAGCAATATCTCGAACAAAATGCGTGGGCCAGACCGCAAGCTCCCTTGATCCATAACACCAACCACGTAACGCCAAATCTGACCCATACGCCTGACTGGGCCGACTCGAAGCATGCAATCCGAAACTTGAGTGGAGTACTCCCCAGGACAGGCAGCCCCTACACAACGCCAATGGCCCAACGGAGGCCACCGTTAGATCACTCGAGCTCGGAGATAGCCTCGAGTGTTTTAGCCGCACCCCCTACATCAGATAGACGTGAGCAGGGCTCGCCTCTAGCTGTGTCAAAACACAGGCAGTACGGGGGAGAACTCACGGGGTTCCGAAACATCTCTGGAGCCAGTACAATAGATGCGCCCGAATCCGCCGAGAAGAGGGATCGAGGTTTGCTCTCCACATGACGCGTCCTCGATAGCTGCTTGATGTCTTCGTCTTAGCATGACTTTTGCTTCAAATATCGAGATACCCCGACGGTCATATTTGTGCCGCTTGAGATCCTGTAGATTCTCTTATATACATGACCTTTAGCCCGAGCCTAGACACCTTGTGCCTCACACGCATTGGATGGACATCTGCGCGGCTGCTACTGCTAATGTTAGGCTGTGCGACTACAATGTTTTCGGTCTTTCCTCGAGTAATTCCAATGTCACTTCTCTCACTGGCGCAAGGCTGGTACTTCCGGTCGTCGGGGTGATGTGTCGTTTCTCCGTTCTCTGTACTACCCAAGTTTCGAAGCTAGGTCAGGTGATCCACAGCAGCCTCCACCACGAAGAAAGTCCACTTGTATGCATTCTAACTTCTCCCCCAGTCTAGAAGAGAGTTCGCTCACGGCATGTGATTGCCAAGCTTGCGGGTTGGCTAAAGGCCGCCGTAGTGGGCGGGCCATTGTAAGCCCCGGAAAGCTCTTTCAGCCACGCGTGGAGAGGCTAGCGCGACCCCCTTGCGCCTCGCTTTGGAATTTCAACAGTTGGCCTTCATTCTTGTTCGCATTCACCATCGACGCTCCTTTCTTGCACTGATCCCTTTTGAGATCTTCTTCTTGCACTGATTCCTTTTGAGACGAGTTCGCCTTCCATCTTCTCTTCATTACACCTTTTCACCAACGACTCGGCAGCGGCTGGCAACCGCCGCGATCACAGCTGCCATGTCCACGCCGCAAGGCTCATTACGCCAGCGCGGGAAAGACAGCTCAAACAAAAAGCGCCCTCATACACCCAACAGCGATGCCGCGAACGGCCAGATCGAAGAGACCTGGGAGGTGTCGAAACAGAAGATCAAAGAGACGGTGAAGCAAGACTGGGATCAGAGGATAGCCTTTACGATCATCACCATCCTGGGCTTTTTGACCCGCTTCTGGGGAATCAGCCATCCCAACCAGGTTGTCTTCGATGAGGTGCATTTTGGCAAGGTGAGTGAAGGAATGCGCCGCGATGATCTTCGTGGTATAGCTGGACAAGGCTGACTCAATTGGCGGACAGTTCGCGTCTTACTACCTCCGCCGCGAGTATTTCTTCGACGTGCACCCTCCCTTTGGCAAGCTCCTTTTTGCATTCGCTGGCTGGCTGGTCGGCTACGATGGCTCCTTTCTCTTCGAGAACATCGGTGACTCGTACATCGACAATCACGTTCCCTACGTCGCGTACCGATCGATGCCCGCACTCATGGGAGCTCTTACAGTTGCAGTGACCTACTTGATCATGTGGGAATCGGGCTACAGTCTTCCAGCTTGCATTGTTGCCGCGTCGCTGGTGCTCTTTGATAACGCGCATGTGGGACAGACGAGGCTGATATTGCTGGATGCTACCCTTGTGCTGTTCATGGCGCTCAGCGTGCTCTGCTACATCCGCTTCTACAAGCTACGCCATGATCCATTCGGAAGGAAATGGTGGAAGTGGCTGCTTCTTACCGGCATCAACATGAGCTGCGTCATCAGCACAAAATACGTCGGAGCGTTCACCTTCTTCTCCATCGGTGTTCCCGTCCTCATCGACCTGTGGGATCTACTGGACGTAAACCGCAGACAAGGCGCGCTCAGCCTGCCCGATTTTGGCAAGCACTTTAGTGCCCGAGTCATCGGCTTAATCGTTGTACCGTTCTTGATGTACCTTTTCTGGTTCCAGGTCCACTTTGCGATTCTCTCGCGATCAGGGTCGGGAGACGACTTCATGACGCCAGAGTTCCAGGAGACTCTGTCTGACAACTTGATGGCCCAACAGGCCATGGGAATCGACTATTTCGACAACATCTCAATGAGACACAAAGATACCAAGGTCTACCTGCACTCTCATACTGACAAGTACCCTCTGCGATACGAAGACGGACGGATCTCCTCCCAAGGGCAGCAAGTTACTGGCTATCCACACAACGATACCAACAACCTTTGGCAGATCATCCCCTCGGAGCCTTTGGAAGGACTTGGCCATCACGTCAAGAACGGCGATGTAGTGCGCTTGCGGCACTTGGTGACAGATACCTGGCTTCTTACCCACGACGTGGCATCTCCGTACTTCCCAACTAACCAGGAGTTCACCACTACCCCGCTTGAAGATGCCAATGGCAATAGATTCAACGACACGCTCTTCCAAATCAAGATCGACAACGGAAAGGACGGCCAAGAATTTAAGACTCTGTCTTCGCACTTCAAGCTCATCCACGTCCCGACCAAAGTTGCCATGTGGACTCATACGACACCTTTGCCGGAGTGGGGATACAAGCAGGCCGAGATCAACGGCAACAAGAACGCATTGCAGACCTCGAACACCTGGTATGTTGAGGAAGTCCAAGGCATCCCTGTAGACTCACCTCGCCTTGTCAAAGAGGTCAGGAAACCAAAGAGCATGCCATTTCTGAAAAAGTACTTTGAGCTTCAGCGCGCCATGTTCTATCACAACAACGCGCTGACTTCGTCGCACCCATACGCCTCCTTTCCAATCCAGTGGCCATTCCTTCTCCGAGGAGTCAGCTTTTGGACGGAGAACGAAACGCGGAGACAGATCTACTTCATGGGCAACCCTCTTGGTTGGTGGTTTGCATCTGCTCTGCTTGCAGTGTTTGCGGGCATCCTGTTCGCCGATCAGATGTCCGTGCGTCGAGGTGTCGATGCACTCGACAGACGTGAGTATCCCTCGATCCCTAAATCTTGAATAGTCACTCACCGGCATCATAGGCACACGCTCTCGACTGTACAACAGCACCGGTTTCTTCTTCCTCACTTGGGCGGCTCACTACTTTCCATTCTTCATCATGGGCCGTCAGCTCTTCCTGCACCATTATCTACCCGCCCATCTCGCCAGCAGTCTTGTGGCGGGCTCCATTGTCGAATTTGTCTTCAACATCGAGCCTCAGGAGATTGCCAACGTGTCCGCCACCAACCCGATTGTTGATGGCAAGAAGGGCAACAAGGCACACGCGCGGCAACGCAGCAAGCCTATCCGGGAACGCATTGCCGGCCAAACCTTGCTGGCCACTTGGACCGCCTCCGGCATCATCGTCGCTATACTTGTGTGGTCTTTCTGGTTCTTCTCGCCCCTCACTTATGGTAGGCCTGGACTTGAAGTAGATCAGGTCCTGGCGAGGAAGTGGCTGAACTACGATTTCCACTTCGCTAAGTAATCGAGAAGGCGTTTTGAAGGTCGAACAGGCGAAGCTCGGGCAGAAGCCATTGTATGATTGAGGGCGGGAGTGCGCGGAGGGCAAGCATCTACTAAGCGGGCGTTTACAAGGCGCAAGAAAAGGTGCAAAGTCTTTCTGATCAACCCGATCACGATGTCGGGTCGGCGACTGCAGCATTACCCATACTAGACACGGACGAGTGGAAAGAGTAAGAAAGGCAAGGCATCCAGAACTGAACTTTCTTGCAAATTGACTCGAGCCGCATACGTCCATGGTCACCCTGACATATTGACACCATCGCTCCCGTGAACTTTTGTGCATTTGTCCTCCCCTCATTGCAAATCATAATGCATGAAATCATGCGTCGTTAACGTTGCCTCATGGCTCCGACTCGTTTGCTGACAAAATCAGAATCTCATATCCCATGTGGATTGGCAAGCGACTACATGGGCTTCCTCCAGTTGCTTCTTTTCCAAGCTACACCTCAATCGCGCTGTGTTTGAGTTCAAGAGCAGTTTGGTACCTGATCTCGTCATCTGAGTTGGAAATACAGATGCATCCACGGTCGTTGCCGTTTCGTTCTCGTATCTCGATTACACGCTCGCCTCTACGAAGACCAGCACTTCTTCCGGGCCTGGAGTTCCAGACTTTCAATTGGAGCCGCGTTCCTACCGCCGTCCCTTTGGATGCTCAGTGGGACTACCACCAGCATTGTGCTGAGCAGCTGAGTCTTTGCGTACCTCATGAGCTGGGTGCGTATCTCTTGATGGCCGTTGATCGTCCAGTTTATCGAGGAAAGGGCTGTAGGGTGCAGCGACGGTATGTTCCCTCCCTCTGTCGAACGTATTGTAAGTGAGACCAGGCCATCGCTGTTGCTGCTCGTGCATGCTCTCTAGCGGCGCGCCGACAACGTGGTACTTGTCCCAATTGATGTGAGGTGTCCTCACGACGTTCTGAGGACCGGGTATGCGTGGAAAAGGCTCACTCGAGTCCAGGACCATCTTGTCCGGCGCATGGGATTCATCTTCATCCGTCTCGTCCAGAATCGCTTGAAAGTCGCCGATCTTGGGCGTCTGCTCTTTCAGCCTGCCGGCGGCCAGCTCACTCTTGAACATGTGCGGGTTCTCGAGAGCCAGCTTTTTGATGTCCGATAATGTTTGCAGGTCATCTTGCGCCTTCTTCTTCTGGATTTGGAGGGTCGAGATGGCTGCGCGGAGTGCTATTGCGTCCGTCGCATCGTCGCCGGAGAATGGCTGGTTTGGTGGCTGTTTGATATACTGGGTGGGGGCGATAGGGGGCTTGTTGTCTTGCTGTGCTGGTGGGGTGAAGTTGAAGGTGCCGCCGTTATCGGGTGGAGGCGCAAAAGTGTGCCCATTGGCCGGCAAGGCGGGCTGCACTTTGGGAGTGATGGGGCTGTATGCGGGTGCGACGGGCGAGGAGCCTCCTCCGTCGTGTGAAGGATGGGCGGTGGTGGTGGTGGTGGTATTGATACTGCTCGGCATCGTCGGTGTCGCAGCGATCGAAACAGTGGGCAGACCAGACTTCAAGGTTACGATAAAGGCCGATATCTCCGACCAAGGAGGCAAGAACAAGTGTGACTCAGCAGCGGCTCGCACTGGGCAAGCAAGCAGCAGATTCTATGTCACATGACTAGCAGGAGGATTCGTGCATCCATTTGTAAGAGAGGCGCTCGCATGTGTCGAGAACCTTAGAAGAAAATGGAGAATTGCGCCGAACGCTGCAGTGCCGATTCTGGGCGGCCTGCGGCTCGCGTGCCTGAGGTTCGTCATTGGAAACCTTGATTATTTCTGGGGTTCTATGGATGGAGCGTTTTCCTCTTCAACTGCATCTTCACCTCATCCCCTTCAACTTATCCATCACACCCTCACCATCAACACCATGACAGCCTGTTGACAGCCATCATGGTCCGAGCGAAACGCCTCTCTGGCCTGCAACGCGATGTCCTCTCCCTCTACCGCCAATGCCTGCGAGCTGCCCGGCAAAAGCCCTCCGACACGCGACCCAACTTCGAGGCCTTCGCCCGTCGGGAATTCGAGAAGAACATTGAGATGGATAAGAAAGACTTCGGCACCATCGAATTTCTGCTGAGAAAAGGGACGAGACAGCTGGAAATCTACGAGGCACCCAACATAACCAACATTGCTGGATGAGAGTAAAAGCTGCATCTTTGCTCTCATAGCTTGGAAGCCATCACCTGACTGCCATTCCATGAGCTACGAGGCACTACCAATGGAACGATCCTCGCACTTGGTGTGTTATGTGAGAGATGATACCTCGCAGGACAGCCAAGCTGAAATCTGAAGCTTCGAGGGTAAGTTGCTCACCTCCCATTTCATTTTCTGTGATGAATATAGAGAATTCTGCAATGCTGAGGGTTTCTTCGGAAGCCATGTGCGGATTATTCCAAAACTACACTTGATCTGACCTTTCCACGTTTCATAAGCCTAGCTATTCGTGCACTACATTCTTAAGCATGGCTAACAGTTGCTACAGCACCCTGAAGTGAAGAACGCCGCCTTGTTTCCCGAGGTTCTTGTTATTGTCCGGGTATCGGTCGGCGCAGCAGAAGCGGCTACTGAGCTGTCACGGTCGTCACCCTGCACCACACTCCACGTACGAGACGAGCTCTCCCGCCATGAACTGGATGCTACGCGCGGCATTTGCTGCAGCCTAGAACAACTACGAAGCAGAGCTCCACGAGAAAACACCTTTCTGTTGACGCACAGGTGCTGGAGCTGTCATTTGGGGTTGGATCGAATTTCTCTGCAGCTGACTTTCTTGATGCATGTGAGTACAGATTGAAAGATTACGTATTTTGACAATCGTAAACCTCTGTCTCATCACTCCTGGAGCGGCGGAGAGTCGCCAAACGATAGCGCAGCTTGAGCTTCTGGATACCTCTCGCCAGCGATATCGACACTCGCAACAATACTGTCGATCTCTTTGATGTCATTCTCACTCAGCTCAATTTCTGTGCAGTTCTCCCGCACTCGCTCTGCCGAACTTGCACCTGGGATGGGAATGAGGAGCGGCATTCCAGGCTTGTTCGACTGCGCTCTCACCCAGGCAAGAGCAACCTGGCCAGGAGTGGCGTTCTTCTTCTTCGCGAGCGCTTCAACCTGGCGCACCATCTCAAGATTCTTGTCAAAATTTTCCGGTTGGAAACGAGGTAGGTGCGATCGCATATCGTCCGCAGGGATATCCGATGGTTTGGTAATCTGTCCCGTGAGGAACCCTCTCCCCAGCGGAGAGTAGGCTACGATGGGGATGTTGTGCTGCGCACAGACTTTGGCGACGTCGTTGTCGAGGATAGTCGTCTCCCACATGCTGAATTCCACTTCGACTGCTACAATGTGAACTTCCTTGACGGCTCGCCGGATCGTATCTGCGCTACATTCGCTGAGAGCGATTCCTCCGATCTTGCCGGCTTTCACGTATTCGTTCGCGGTCCGCATCGTGATTTCAATCGGTGTTTGAGGGTCTACGCGCGCAGCTTCCCAAACATCGATCTTCTTGATGCCGTCGAGCACGGCGAGGGTGGCTTCGATGCTCCGACGCGTATTCTCCTCGCTGCCGTCGGGTTTCAGGCCGCCTTCGACAAGACCGCCTTTGATGGAAAGGACGACCCTGTCGGCGTCTTTGGGATGTTTCTCGAAGTACTCCCGGAGGAGATGGGCGCTGTTGCGCTCCGGAGTGCCATAGAGCTCGCCTCCGTTCCAGAAATTGGCACCGCTATCCAGAGCCGTTTCTGTTTGCCGCCGTGGTCAGTGGAGGTTCGTCGTACCTGAGCAGCAACAACAACAACACCAACAACAGGGTTTCAACGTACTCATCGCCTCGTAGCTCTGCTCTGCCGGCGGGGGGTTTGCTCGCCACGTCAACCCCATCAGGCCATACCCCGTATGATGAACCTTCTTGCCCGCGATGCGGATGTCGTCTTTCGTGTTGTTCATGTGAAGCGCATCTTTGGCCTTTTCGACCATTTTGGAAGCCATTCCTTGGAAGGACAGAACCTTTTCTTTTTTTTTTTCTTCTTCTTCTTCTTCTTCTTCTTCTTCTTGCGATCCTCGTAAGACTCTTCTGTGTTGTTGGGTATTGTATGATAGGTAGGTAGGTAGAGTCTCTATCTAGGTGTGATGATGATGATTGCCCACCCACCTAGGAGGATGTCAGGAATTTTTTTTTTTCGCGAAGACCTTCTTTTATATCACTCTTCTCTTTTTTTTTTTTTTTTTTTCTTCTGTCGGTGTGGTACATACAGTGCAGTAGTGCTCAAGCGGCGGTCCTAGTAGCTAAACTCCGTCACTCACACACACAATTCAGTAGGTAAGGTAGAACGGTCCTAGTAGCTAAACTCCGTCACTCAGACAAGCAAGTAGTTAAGGTAGTAGGTATGATAGGTAAGGTAGAATTATCTAAATAGATAGGTGGCGGGCTGTTTTTTTTCGATGATGCAATGCGCTCAGCGGGTGCTTTGCGGGCGGGGGGGGGAGACTCTCCAGTTCTCACAATCTGAAGAGGCGGGCGTTCTTTTCTCGATCAGTGTGAATAAGGATGGTCAAGAAATCTTTTTCCTTGGAAGCCGGTCTATGATAGCTAAAAAGTTCAGACTTCAGACCTTTTGAGTGCTGAAGCAAGGCGATGAATGTACGCTTCCTGTCTGTCTTCATTACTGCGTCCTACTCTATTACTTCTAAACAATCATTACTTCCTTCTCGCCCCCCCACTCCCTGTCAATCGCACAATCGCTCCCAATACACTCCACAGAGACCGACTTCAAAACTCTTTTCCCTCAGCAAACAATTCGTCACAAAGCGCTGTACTTGACCACACAAACCTGTGCCAAAACATGTCGAAGGGCGCAGGCTGCTCCATGCTGGAGGAGCAGATGTCGCCGCTGCCTGCGTTTCCAACCCAAACGCATGTCCAGAGAATTTTAACACGACGAGGCACCTTGTCCCGAAACTGCAGCAAGAAGCCATTGCTTGCTGTCCTTTCGTTTCACTCGGGATCTTCAAGCCCCGATGACTTCACAGAGAGCTCGCCATTTCTCTTCATCCTCGACGAGCCAACCACGTCCTCTCATGACTCCATCGACGACCTCCAGAACTCGTCGGAATCCGCTCACGGCCCCTTTGACCTGGACAAAGCGGGCAATCGAGAGTCCAACCTTACGTCCATGCTCAAGCACGACAAAAAGCTCGATACGGAAGCTGACTGGCTTGATGTCAAGGGCATTGCGTTTGTCCACTCGGCCAGCAATGGTGTTTGTTCCGCGAGAATACTGGAGGTCGCGAATACCGTGGCGCTGCCATTCCTTAAGGAGAATGACCAGCTCTTGCCGTGCCCTGCCTCGGCCAAGGTTGAAACAGAGGACCTGAGCAGCGGGCTTGATGTTGAAGAATCTGGCAAACCAGGAGCGTTCAGGCCCTGGAGCTGGGGGCGCATCGTTGCTCGAGGTTGCTTGAGATGCGGACGAGAACAGTGAATCCAAGGACTGGTTCGTCATGATGGTGGTGTCTGTGACATGTTGTGAGTAATTGCACTTAGAAGAGGCGCGGGACGTCGACAGTAGGTACTCACCTCCTTCCGTCATGTTGCTTTCAAGACCCTTCTCACGGCCCATGCGGCCAATCCATCTAGCAAACCCTTTCTTCCCACCTACAAAGCGATGCTTGCGCACCGGAAATTCGCTCGACTGCGCCGAAAGAGGTGGTTCCGTTGGCAATGGCTTCTGTCGTGGCGTATCGATCTGGAGCATGCCAGAACCGCGGCGGTCAGCAGAATCGTCCAAATTCGTGGACACAGTCGTCGTGCCAACCGCGGTGGTGTCCGCTTCCGTATCATCTTCTTTCTTCCCCCGGCCGAACCAACCAGACCGCTTCTTGCGAACGACGGTGGGTGTCGTCAAGGTGCTGTCCTCATCGATGGAATGGAGACCGGATACATCCGTGTCATGTTGCTTCCGGCCCATTCCTTCAAGAGACGCATTCGCGGTTGGCTTTCTGCGGCTGTCGTCGCTGCTCAATTGACTCCCGTTGCTTCTCTTTCGAACATTGAGGGGCGCGATGGCTCCGGGAGAAGACGGCGGGACGACGCGAATAGTTCTCTCTTCGTGCTTTCGCGTCTTGTTCACCGGGTCCGTAACGCTTCGGTGCCAATTCGTCCCTTCCCTACTGCTCCGAAGATCGCTGCTCTCTTCGGATATCACGGGCAGTGCGCCGATCTGTTCGATAGCCTTAGTTGCATCCGGAGCTGTCACTGCTCGTCTATCCTCGGAGGGATGCGGTCCGGGCATGATCGTGTCGAGCATCTTCATCACTTCGTCGAACTTGGCTGAACTGTCGTCACCGGAACTCTTGTAGGCCTCGAGCTTCATGCGTGTTTCTTCCAGTGTTCTGGTCAAGTACGTGTTCGGAGTATCCTTGGGAAACTCAGGCAAGGGTCGAGGCGTGGCTTTCATTGAGGGAAGATCAGGTGTAACAGAGGGAGCTGCTGAGATTGAAGAAGGCGGCGTGTCGTATGGCGATGGCTTGTCTGTCAGTGAAGTCCGGGCGGTCACACCAGATCCAAAAGAGTCTCGGAAGAAGGCCTCCTCGCAGGCTTTTTCGAGCTCCGCGCTGTGTTTACGAATCTCACTTCGCATGTGCTGACTGGGAGTCTCCGGCTTGCGTACCTTGATACGAGGAGTATTCAACTTTGCAGCTCGCTCCTTGCGAGACTTGATCGGCTGGTCCATGTGCGCTAATGGACTTGATGCCGGACCCTCTTTGGCATCAGAGTGTAGTCTCTGAACTCGGTCACGGAGTGTGCCTGGGAGGCTTGGAGTTGCTGGAGTGGACGCCTTCGAGGAATCTTGGCCCGTTAATGCGCTCATAGTCGAGGTGCGCCGCATGTGACCAAAGCTGACACCGCGCTTGTGGACATCGGACGGCCGCATCTTGGCGATCACAGGAGGGCTACTGGGTAGCAACGTGCTGGTCATCGAGTGCCGGGACATGGATGAGCGCTGCATGGAGTGTCTACTCATGCCAGAGCGTGTCAGGCTTGACGCCGAGCGGTTATGGTATGATCTGTTGTACATCATCTCCCGCTTGTGCTGCTCGATTCGAGTGGCTGCGGGATGCCTGAGTCGGCCACCTGCTGTGCTGGTCCTACGAGTGCTGGTGGTGCCGCTTCGGTGGACGACAACGTTGAGGTAATCACCCCGTGCGTCCACGAGTGGATCCTTGGACGCTCGATAAGGATCGTAGCTGCTCAGCGAGGGAGGCGGCCCAGCGAAGCTGCTACTCGCCCGCAGGTGCTCGTCATTCATGATGGAATATTGAGACTGGGACCGCGGTGCATCGGAGGGTAAAGGAGGAGCATCCGCGGCAATTGCCGGACGACTGTGATGGTAATCGCTAGCAGAGTAGCTGATCTCATCAGGTTCCCCGACATAGTTCTCAAGATGTTCCTCGCGATGCTTGACGAGAGCAGCATAGAAGAGCTTCTCTTGGTTTATGTCATTGTTCAGAAGCTTCTGGATAAGGCCCTGTTCCGACTCGCTGTGCCACAAGGTACGCATATTCCGCAGAATCTCACGGTCGACGTCCTGTATGCGCTTGACCTTCCATTGCTCAAGCTTGGGCAATTGGCCGATGGCGGCCTCTTTTGTACCGTCAGCCCCATCAAATCGGAACATCTTGTCGTATTTATGCAAGAGTGGATGTTCCCAGATGCCATCCATGGTAATGCGCTTCCTCGGGTCCGTCACGAAGATGCGCTTGATCAAGTCCTTGGCTTCCAGGCTGAGTCCGTTTGGCATGTAGTAATGCGCTCGTCCAATGTCCCGAAACAACAAGCGGATATCGCCGTCTTCTCCGTAGTTGAATGGAGTAGTGCCGGTCAGCATGACATATAGAATGACGCCGCAACTCCAAACATCGGCCTGCTTCCCGTCGTATGGCTTGCTGCTGACGACCTCGGGGGCTGCGTAGTGAGGGCTGCCGCAAGGTGTGCTAAGCAGTCGGCCCTCAGGCTGGAGTGCTGCCATTCCAAAGTCGATGAGCTTCACGGTCAGATCGTGTTTATTGAGGAGGATGTTCTCGGGCTTCAGATCTCGGTGGCAGATGAGCAGGCGATGGCAGTACAGCAGCGCAGAGACGATCTGTCTGAAGACGTAGATTGTCTCGTCCTCTGGGAGCCCTTTTCGCTCGTCGACGTAGTGAAAGAGTTCGCCCCCATCGACGTACTCCATGATGAGATACCTGGTGAGCAGTTTAGTATATCAACTTCTAGGGCAAAGGAAATGTTACTGACAGCTCATTCCTGTTCTCCCATACGTCGAACAGACGCACGATGTTGGGATGCTCGAGGAGTTTCATTACCGCGATTTCACGCTCCAGCCCGTATGGTATTGGTTTGTATCCGGTAGGCGTGAATGACGACGAGCCTCTGGTACTCTCAATCAGATTGGCGAGACTCTGGGCGCGCGTGCTCTCTGCCACCGATCTCGTGATGATCTTGACGGCACCGAATTGGTCTCTATATCTGTGCCGAACCACACGGACGCGCGAGCAGCCGCCCTTTCCAATGGTCTTGCCAAGCTGCCAGTGGCCAATGTACGTCTTGCGTCTTCTCGATGACGCGTTGGTCGATGTGGTAGAGATGGCAGAATTGCGTTTGGAATCGCGCTCCTCGTTCGTGATCTGAGACACGCGCTTATGGGCGGAAGATTCTGGCTGCTCACTGCTGCGGACGGCCAGGGAGCCATTAGGCTCCAGAGACTCATTATGCGGGAGGCTGGGGTTGGAGAAGTTGTTCTTGACGTGCTTGGTGGTGGCAGCGGAGCCGCGCTGGGACACAGAAGGAGTGTTTCCCTGGTTGCGAAGTTCGATCAGCGGCTGCCGCTTGGTGGCGTGGCGGCCGGTCGGGGTGCGGTATCGATCCGCCATGGTGTATCAGTGGGGGGGTTGGTATTGTGGTTGCATATGTGCGGAGGGAAATGCTCGCAGAGGAGGTTGCTGTGTATGTGTATGGCGAGGGTGACTGTTGATGCCGGATGGTCAATGCGTCCCTGTTTGCGGTATCCAACTCGCGTTCACTCGTCGGAGGCTCGGTGTTCACTGCATGCGCTGGTGACTCGTCTTTCGAACTCAATGAATATGGGTGTCGCCAGCAGTGACGGACATGGACGGCGCGGGTGTGGAACGAGAGGACGGCGTGCGTGTGGTGCAGACCACGCCCGGGTTTGGTCGAGAGAGCACGAGAGGTCGGATGCTGTCAGGAGCAAGGAGCAAGGAGCTGGCGCAGGTGGGAGTAGGAGATGCTGCAGTGCCGTCCGTACAAGAAGCGAGCGTGAGGGTGAGGGGAGAAGGAGGCACTGGCACTGGCCTGGCACTGGCACTTCCCGGTGGTGATGGTCTCTCAGCGTGGAAGTGACATTTGATCGCAGTAACGGTATTGGTGATGGATGTGCAGATCAACGAGCGTGTTGGAAGTCAAGCGCAAGGAAGTAGGTATTGTGTATGGCAGAGGGGAGTTCTGTCCGGAAGCTGCCAGTCGCGGTGGGAGACGCAGTCGCAGCTGCAGTTGCAGTTGCAGTTGCAGTTGCAGTTGCACCTTTCTTTCTTGCTTGCTTGCTTGCTTGCTCGCTCGAGGCGGGAGGCAGGCACGAGCTCGATCGCAGCTGCACCGCCCAATAAGATGGTCTCGCTCCGATCGGGTCGGCGTGGAATGGATATGGGAAATGTCTGTTTGTTTTGCGGGAGGGTGACCAAGGAATGCACTCGCGCCAAGAATGACAAAACCAACGAACGCCCTCGCTCGCCCATACGAAGAGATTCACTTACTGCCTTGGCCTACACAGGTGCCTACTGCTACTGCTTCACGGGTCTCTTTGACGGGATGAAGGCTAGTGGAGGATACGTGCTGGACGTGTACGTGTAGCTTCAAGGAAGGACAGCCCAGCTTCATTCCGACGTCTCCGTGGCATGAAGATTTATTTGTACACGTGAAGGGCACTTTTGCTTCGTCTGGCTCTGCAGCGCATGCTCTCACCCACCCGCAAAGAGGCATCTCCTCATCCTCGCGACGAGTTCGTCGTCCCTCGTTCGTCGTCCCTCGTTCGTCGTTTGTCGTCCGTTCGTCGTTTGCTCGAGCGAGCGTAAGACGTGAAGTGTGAGAGGCAATGTCAACACACAGGAGGGTAAGGGCGGTGGCCTGAGCTTACAAATCCGCAAAATGGTTTTGCCGGTTTTGCTACCGCACCACCACACTCTCACACACCGTAATCGCAGTGGTTAGGCACTGATGTACTCGCTATCGACTCGCAATCCATCTATTAGGTCCTTTATTGTCTACTTTGTCGTTATACCGCCTTAGGCCCTCGATTTACAGCCCTATCGGCTCTAGATTAAGCTTTAGATTTATACTAGATATACCTACTAGCGAGTCGTATAGAGCCTACATAATACTAAGGGCATTCGCTACGGTATTAGAACTCTATAGACACACTTATCGCGATAGGGAGTAACTACTCGCCCTCGAATTAACTATAGTAGTAACGTAGTACTAATTAAGCGGATTACCGAGCTATTCTAGCTATATACTATTAGCGACAAGAAGAGCTATACTATACTACGGCTTAATAGCTATAACATCTCTTTAAGGTAGTATTAAGAGCTCCGCCGTACTTACGGCCTTAAGCGTCGACTAGAATACGAGGAATTAGAAGTAGCTACTACCTACGTCGATAAGGTACTTCGAGTAGTACTAATTAATAGGCAAACCTAAGACTTTAGCTATCGTAAGCTCGTACGAGAGTTAAGAACCTACTAGTATATTATAGGTAGGTAGGGAATCGACTCGTAGCCGACTCGTAGCCCTCTTCTTACTATACTAATGCCTACTAGGGACCGTATCTACCGGATTTCACGGCAAATCAACGCTCTACCATATAAGCTTCGCGAACTACGTAATCGCTATCCGAATAGGCTACGGCACGTACGACTAAAAGCTAATAGGCCTAACTACGTCTAGTTAATTAATGCCTTCTACAAAATCGAGCAATTCGGCATTTAGATTTACGCCTATATTAACGTCTACTTACGCCGGATTATCTAGTTCTACGTTAGCCTAATAGTAAAGACAAAGTACTTAGTGTTTTCGTAGTACTATACTGTAATTAACTATATCTAGCGAGTCCCTTAGCGAGTCCGCTCTAATTAAGGTGTCGAGACACCTATACTAGTAGACGCCTATCTACGGCTTCGAGAGCTTATCGAGGGCCGTAATATCGACTTTGTTAAGGCCTTCTTATATACTACGAGTAAAGGCAATTAGACTATTAAGTACTAGTAGGGCGAGATAGCTAAATTAGCTATAAATCGCTAGAGAGACCTATTTAACTAGTATATTAACCTACACCTTTTCGAGGCCGCTAAGCTATCTAATCGACTCGCCTTCCTCGTAATCTATACTCTAATTATACGCTATATAGTTAGTTACTTTGTCTTAGAGTAGAATCGGCACCCGGTACGAGTACAAAACCTTAAGAGCTATATTAGTAGTATACCGGATTTGCTCTACGAGTATCTAGAGCTCGAGGACACTACCTAGCGTAGGCATCTAATTAACCCTAAGAGTCTAGCGAGTACTACTCTTAAGTAGTAGATAAACCGGATAGACGGCTATAGTAAGCTCCGCGGGTAATTAAAGAGCTTTCTATATTAGTACTAGGTAAGTAGCTCGAAATTGGACCGTACTCGTAGCCAATTTAGCTGTACTCGTAGTCACTCGCAGCTCTAGCTACCCGCCTATAGAGTTACCCCTCTCTTACTCCTACGCTAACTACGCCTCGCTATATATAGACCTTAGCTTATACCTGCCTCCGACAACTCTATAATAGGTAAACGAACAGCTCGTACTCGCTAGCTACCCGTTAACCTTTAAAGGTAGCGAACCCGGATTCGGTAATAGGCCTAAGAAGCTTTATATACACGCTTATTAGTACCTCCGAGGAGTAGCTAAGTAGTACCTAGATACTAGTAGACGACTCGCTAAGTATATCGCGCCGACTCGCTTAAATAGCCTCGAGCCGTCTAATCGTACGAGAACCGTCTTTACTACTACTAGGGAGCCTCTATAAAGCTTCGTATATACTCGTAGTAGACTCGTAACGTTACATTCCTTAATACTACGTCTTATCTTTCTATATACGTCTATTATAGCTTCTTCTACTAACTTCTAGGAAGACTTCTATATATCTAATAAGGTAGATTATACTCTTAATTATACTAAAGAGTATAGCGATAAGCCCCGCTATAGTAAATGCGGCCTTAGGAACCCGTTCTTTACTATAGTAGACACTAATATAGCGAGTCGCCGCGAGTCGACTGTAGGCCCTTCCTTAATACTAGTACCGGATCCGATCGATTCCCCTACTCTACGGCGGAAGGAGCCCGCGTCTATAAAGGGCTATAGTAGCTTTACTAGACTCGCTAAAAGCTTATTTAGCCGTACTAATGCCGTTTTAGCCGCTAATAAGAAGTAGCATATCCGCCCGCTTAGTAATATAGGTATTAATCCGTTATCCGGAGAGGTATAAGGTCCTCGTACTAGTAAAGCGAGTCTATATAGGAGCACGCTAATCGCTACGAATCGACTTAAGGCGGGTAGTAGTAGTAGTACCGAGCTACGAGACGACTCGTAGGCCGACTCGTAGTCGTAGAACAAGGGTAGTAGACCGAAGAAAGTACTAAAGGGCCCTAAGCTTTACGTTATAGTGTATATAAGCAAAGTAGTAGTTAATGTAGTTAAGAAGGAAGGCTAGTAGAGGTGGACGGTTAGAGATAATCTAGAGCTAGTCGATTACTAGTCTATCGTAGGCTACTAGAGCGACTTTAAGGCCCTACTACTCGACTCGCCGCGTACTCGTAACTAGCTTTACTACTAGGCTTTATACGCTAGCTATATTAAGGTTAAGAAGGTTACCGGCCTATAGTACTACAAACGTCCGTTTATATATACCCGGTACGACAAAGAGTAGAAGCTCTTAATTATACTAAGCTCGAACAGTAGAGACAAAGACGACCTTAACGAGCAATTACTACTATTTAAGCGTAGGTACTAGGCAAATCCTACGCGAAAGGAGGTAGATATTAGGGTCGCTGTCCTTGTAGCTAAAGATAAGCGGTAGAATAGGCTTCCGAAGGACTACGGCGAGTCTAGCGAGTCTACCGACGACAGCTCCTCTTTAGATCCGGATCTAATAAAGAGCCTTAATAGGCGCTATCGTAGTAGGCGTCTAGGTTAGAGGCCTAGTACTAAAGCTAAAAGAAAGATAGCTAAGGAGGTAGTAGCGAGTGTAGTAGCGAGTATAGTAGCGAGTACTAGCGAATCTAAAGTAGTGCCTTCTACTAGCCCTAATAAACTAGCTAAATTCCGCTAGCCTACGAGTCCCTCTACGAGTGCCTAATCTACCGAGAAAGAGGCCTCTACTAGTCCGCTAGTTAGTTACAAACGTTAAGCGAGTCGCGAATTACCCTATCGATCTACTCCTTCGTCTATATCCGGTACCTAGGGATTAAGCGCCTATAACCCTATCGATATTATTAACCTTACTAATAATAACGACGACGACGAGCCTACGTACGTACGAGTGCCTAAAAGCAAGCTAGTAGTAAAGTAGGAGGCACGTATAGTAATAAAGAAGGAGCCTATAGATTTAAGTACTATTAAAGAAGGAATAGAGATTACTCCTACGGATTTAGTAGAGCGAGTCGCTAGCGAGTCGCCGGTAGCGACGGAGATTTAGGGCGATAGGTAGGTTACTAGCTTACCTAAGGATACTAAGGCTACGAGTGTACTAGCGGAGCCTACGAGTACGCCCCCGAGCGGACTAGCGAGTACTACGAGTGTACTAGCGGAGGCAATAAGGAATAAGAAGCTAAGGAAGGAGTATATAAGGATTCCGGAGTTTTAAAGGGTTATAAGGGCGTTAAAGAAGCTATAGCGAGTCGGTAGCGAGTTAGTAGCGAGGCTTTAAAAGGATAGAAGGGCGTATAGGGTTAATAGTATAAATATAATAACGATTAAAGGCTTAGAGATCTCTAATATTAACATTCTCCCGACTCGTAGGCTAAAATTAGGTAGACTCGCGGGCGATTTAGGGATTCTACGATCTCTAAGATTCGTAGTATTATAATTTGCCCGACTCGTAGGCCTAAAATTGCTAGATTCGTAGGCGATTTAATCGCTCTAAGATTCTATATATCCTAAGCTACCCGACTCGTACGGAATCGTAGGCTAAAATTAGCTATACTCGCTATAACTCGTAGGCTAGAATTAATCTATACTATCTACTAAGTATATTTGCCCTTATATTTAGCTACGAACTACTCGCTACCCGGTAGCTACGTAATAAAGTCTATTATATAGTAGAGCTTAGCCTCTAGATTATTAATACGCTTATAGGCAAACCCTAAACCCTCCTTAAGCCTAGTAATCTTAGTTTAAAGACTCGTAGGCTTCTACGAGTCGCCTATCTCAGCCCTAGAGTTACCTATAGTAGCCCTAGAATTACCTATAGTAGCCTACGAGTCCGGCTTAGGCTTTAGCGAGTTATCCTACTTATCCTTCTACTTCTCGTACTTCTTCTAGAGCTTACTATTATAACCTAGGCGACCGTAGCGCTTATAGAACGCGTATTAAGTATATTCCTTACCTTTATAGATAATATAATCTAGACCTCTCGTAGCGTACTACTTATAGCCGCTAGGCTTAGAAGATAGTATACCTACGAGTCGATTAGATTTTAGTAGCGAGTCTATATAAATTAGAAAAAGCATACCTAGATCCGTCTCTATTATCTCGCTAGCGTAAGTAAACCGCCGTAGGCTATTAGCCGCGGACTTACGAACCTACTTATTACTAGATTTAAGATTGTTTAAATAGCGCTACTAATCCTTATCGGAGATATACTAGAATGTAGTCTTATCCTACGTCTCTAGTTTACGGTAGGACTCGCTAGACTCGCTAATTAGCTTTTGCCTATTCTTTAGGCTTCGGATAGCTTACCTTAGGGCCGATATAGTTACTACTAGGGCGCTCTCGGGCGTAGACTAAGGCGGAGGCGAAGGAGTAGGTTAATAATTAGGCTAGTATCGGTCGTAGAGTCGTCTATAGATAAATGTAAGAGTCTCCTAGTCGATTAATACTATAAATTGTCGATTTACGAGTCTACGAGTACGATCTAGGTAGGAAAAGAGGTCTAGGTTCGCTAGATAAGAATGCCTTCTTATAAAATAGCCTACTTATTATTAGTAGCTACCTTATTGTTCGATATTATAGACTCGTACTTATAATAGTATAAGCGCGACAATAGCTTTTAATTAATATAAAGCCGCGTACCGCTATTAACGGGTTTAATATAAAGCTAAAAGCTGCGCCTAACTTTATATTAACCGTTTACGTCGACAATAGCGGTACGCGACACTCGTGGAGCCTCATTGTCGCCGTCGTAAGTTGTTATTGTGGTGGTAGAGTGAGTCGCGACTCACAGCGAGTGCCGCTTCGGCAGTCGGCAAAACCATTTTGCGGATTTGTAAGCTTAGGCCACCGCCTAAGGTCGGTGCACTATCCTTCGCGGACACCTGCAGCCGGGCGACGCCGACAGGAGAGATAGCCGCACACCAGGCGAGGCGTATGTACATGCAGTATCCGGCAGTGATGAGCGGGCGATGGTGCAACAACATTCAATCATCAGCCCAGATTCTCTCCGCTGTCTCGCCTTGTCTGTCGGTCTGTTGTGTGTGTGTGCAAACCTCCCCGGCGAGCCCGACCGCTTGGCTCGCGCTGCTCTCCCACCCACCGTGCACAGTGCACAGTGCACCCATCTCCCGGCCCCCGGTCCCATCCCTGCGCTGTGCATCCAAGCCTTAATTATTCTAAATGCACGACACAGTATCCAGCCAGACACATCTCTCATCTCTCTCTCACACTATGGGATGGCCCTATCCCATCCCGGCATCTCGGTCGGCCGACGCCGCAGATCGAGTGATTCCAGCTGGACAAAGGAGGAAGTCGCAGTCTCGCAGCGCAGATGAACCCTGAGATGAGATGAGATGAGATAACGGCGCCCAGCCCGTTGTGGGATCCCGGTTGATTACATGTATTGATTGATCGATCGATCGTGGTTCGCAGTGATGTGTGATCCTGGTGCGATCTGCTGCGATTCGGGCATGCTCGGCCAACAGACCGACACGCTGTACAGTAGCCATGTAAGACCGTTGTGAAAGTGCTTGTGTGCTGCACTGACTCAACCCTCTTCTCGCACCTCGTTGGACGGGCGAGCCTCGCTTGCCTTTCCGTTCGCGCGCATCGCATCATCACCAGATCGCTGCCTTCATGTTACTATTGACCCATGTCCGTGCGGTCGTGACGGGATGGAATGCATCATCGCCTTCTTTGGCCAATGCAATGTCATGTGACGAGGAAAGACGTGTTGCCATTTCAGCTTCTCGCTAACAACTGCTGCTGCTGCTGCTGCACATGCACATGCACACTACGACGTGCTGAAACCACGCCCCCCTACCCCCCTTCCTCGATCATTGCATAGCACAGTAGAGATGGCCAACCCATCCAACCAATTCCGCCATTGCCCTCCAAGTTTCCAAATGCACATCCAGGCATGTTGTCACCGCTGTTCCTGTCGCTATCCATAGGTATCTGTCGCTTCCAGTAGTAAATCATCCCGCAAGTCCACGACCTCAAACCGAGGTCTGCTCTCCTGCATACAAAACGCCCCCAAGGTAGGTACGCCGTGCCGTATCCCGGCCAAGCCCTGAGTTTTTCTTTGCTGGTCTTCGTCAGCCCTTCCATCCCGTCGTAACGTTAGACATAAGAACAGCGCTGCTAACTAAATTATACAATGCGTGTGAAGGGTATCGTCATCAGGAGCAATCAGAAGCAAGTCGTAACCATGGCAGTCAGGTTACGCGGTGGCAGTCACGACGGGACTGACGCTCTCGCTCTTGGGCGAGACGGAGCTGTCCATCTCCTTGACGTCGGCCGTCGCTTGCGCTTTCCCGCACCCTTTGACAAGGACATGCCTCTGCAATCGCGCGTCAGTCTTGTCCCTGTGGCAACAACAACAACAAAGGGAGACGAGAGGGAGAGGAGGTCTTACCTTGAGCGCATCCTTGCGCGAGAAGCTCTTATCGCAATGGCCGCATGGGAATGGCTTGACTGCCAGGTGGATCCGCTTGTGACGCTTCAGGTCATGATTGCGGTTGAAGCTCTGGGGGCACTGGTCGCATCGGAATGGTCTGTCGTTCTGTGGGCTCGGCTGTTGGTGGGGATGGCCATACATGGCGTGCATCTGCGCCGCGTGGCCGCTGTTGAAGGCCATCATGTTTGGTGGCATGCCTCCTCCCACGAGCGCGAGCTGGCCACTTGGGTTGTTCACATTGGAGAGGACTGGTCCTGACATGGGGTAACTGTATTGCCTGTGCTGCGAGTACTGTGGCTGCGGAGGGTGTGAAGGAAGTGGTCCCTGGTGGCTCACGGGAGACATCTTTGCGAGCGATCCGCCCGCGCTCATGGGGCTATGTTGGATCGGTGAAGGGCCCGAGTACGAGTAGTTGCCATGTTGGTGGCTCTGGGTCGGCTGCGAATAATAGCCCTGCGTGGGAGTCGGAGGCGGGCGGGCAAAGGCTTCATGCGCACTCACAGGAGACGCATGGGTCACTGGACCGGAGACAGGTGTCTGCTGTCCGCCCATCATGGAGCCATGACCATGCATCATCTGCTGGTGATTCGGAACGGCCGGAAGGCTGGGTGCAGACATCGGCATTGATTGTTGAGAGTAGTGTGGCATGTCGTATGATGGTGGCGGCGGCGGCAAGGCTTCACTGGCAGTTGGCGAGTTGCTGCCACGCACAATCGAGCCTAGCGAAGGAGAAAAGAGCGCACGACCTTGGAAGCTGGACTGGGGGGGATTGCCTGCCTGGAAGCCGTATGGTGTTGATGCGGAAGTTGATGGAGGTGGCCACATGCCACTGCCGCTGGGTGTGAATGGTTGAGCTGCGCCGTGGCTCGAGAGGGATGCGCTGCTGGGTAGGCCGGAGGAGGTAGGGCTCAGGCCGTCGGCTGAGCCGTTGCTTGGAGGAGTCAAGAGGTTGCCCACGCTCGTCAAGGTCGTCGCGGATGGGGCTGGATGAGCCGAGTTGAGGTGCGAATAGTTGGCCTTGTTGTTGTACGATTGATGCAGGTGGGAGAGTGGTGGTGGTGGCAGTTCGAAGGATGGGAGGTTGGAAGCATTTGGTCTTCGAGCAGTGAAGCTGGCCGGAGCATCCATAGGGCCAAGCCCGGGAACCATTGAAGGTGGAAACGCTACTGCTGCAGCCACGGTTGCGGATTGCTGATCAGTAAGGCCAAATGGCTGGCTCTCCGCTGGCGGAGTGGGCAGCGGCTGGATGAGGGAGTGAGGGTAGGAAGCGGCAAAGAGCTTGTCGCTGTGCCAGGAGAAACCTGGGGGAGAGCGAGTGGAAGCCACGAAGGGCGATCAGAGGAGCAGTGTTTTTGAGAGGAGGGCGACCGTTGCAGCAAGTGAGCGAATGCCGCGAGATCAGTGTAGTGTGGTGTCGATTGCGTCGATGTTGCTGCTGCAGGATCCGGAGCACTGGGTACGGGCAGGCTTTGTACTCAAGCCTTACACCGAGCGGATGGAATGCGAACGCCTTGGGCTGCGGTGATGAGCAGCGAGGATGGGCTGCTCGAGGAGCGGAGAGGAGCGTGCGGATTGGACTGAAGTGACGCAGGATGCTGCAGGTGCGTCCCAAAGTCGTCTAGAAGGGCTCAGTGGGGGATGCTGGTGTTGCACTGGCGTTACCAAGTCCAAGACGTGAGAGATTGAGAGATTGGGCCGTCGGTGGGCTCTCGTGCAATCGGAGCGCCTCGTCGCCCACGAACCGGGCAGTCGAGATCTGAAGACCGGAAAGTGGGGTGGTGCAGAGGCCTGGTCGCAGGCTGGTGCTACAAGGGTGATATGCGACTGGTAATATCGAGCAGTGCGTGATGCGAGCTGACGAGGGATAATGTCCGAGGATCCCCAGAGGCGCGCGATCCTGGGTGGAGAAGTGGGACTGGGTGATATATCTGGCGCAGCAGACAAGGAGCGGCGGCGGATTGCTCTTTGGATGAGTAGATGAGTAGATGAGGTAGAGAGCGGGGGTATTTTGGGTGTGAGTAGATGGAGTGTACGTCGACGGCGGCCGGGGGGTGTGTGTGGAGGGTGAGGGTGAGGCGAGATGATGTGAGGTGAGGTGAGGCGAGGTGCGGCGCGGTGAGGTGCGGCGGACTGGGTCTGGTTGATGCCACGAGGCGGATCTCAAGAGCGGAGGCAGACTGCCACGAGGTGAGGTGGCATTCACATTCAGGATTCAGGTCGGCGGGCCTTTGAGGGGTGGGAGTGGCGATCCTTTGTTAAGCTTAGGTGCGGATGGCGGTCGAGGCTGGACACGGCCCAAGCCCTTGGGGATGTGGGCGTTCAGGTATACATATCTACGTACGGGCGGCAGCGAGGGGCGAGGGGGAGGAGAAGGCAGGAAGGCAGCGTGCAGCGTGCAGCGTGCAGCGTGCAGCGTGCAGCGGGACTGGATCGTGGACAGACGATAGGGAGCGGTTTAGCGTGGCTGACGAGGCCGCTAGAGGGAGCGTGAGCGTGAGCGGGTGCGCTTCCTGAGGATCTGGATCTCTCGCGCAGCGGTGCCGCAACACTACTACTGTGCCGGGCCTGTTTCGATGCGGATGTGCGATGGTCGAAGCTTTGGCTCTGCTGCGATGGTCGAAGCTTTGTCGCGCTGCTCTGCGCTACTACATTACTATGTACTCAACTGCTGCTGCTGCTGCTGCTGCTGCTGCTGCTGCTGCTGCTGCTGCTGCTGCTGCTGCTGCTGCTGCTGCTGCTGCTGCTGCTGCTGCTGCTGCTGCTGCTCAAAGCAGAGGCCACCTGCACCTCATTTGGAAGGGCACTCCTGCCCGCCAGATCAGGGTAATGTCCCGCGAGAGGAATCACTCCACCGACCCCGGGCGAGGGGGGGTGCGCAATGAATCATGAATCGTTCATCAGAGCACAATGCGGATAATGCACTCTGCGGATAATGCGTCTTGCTGCCCATCTCATCAAAGCACTCTCCCTCTCCCTCTCTGCCTCTGCCTCTGCCTCTCCCTCTGCCCGCGATATGCTGCACGGTGCCTGTAGGCGCGGATGCGTGTGACGACCCAGAAGGCACGGTGCAGCCTCGTTGCCCTCGACGCATCACCATTCGTCCGTGTGCTCGCGCTCGTCTCTGCGATGCATTCCTCGTCCAATCCATCCGTCGCGGAGAGCACCGAGCGGTATCCGGAAGCCCCTGCTGAAGTGAACAGCGTCCGGATCAGGAAATGAGCCTCAGGTCGAGACAGGAACAAAGCGGCCAGCTGCAACAAGCTATGTCTCTTCGTCCACACCCCCTTCCCCTTCCCGTCCCGCGCCGTGCCCCAAAGAAGCACCAGAACTTGGAAGGAGCAGAAGTGCGGCGGCTCGAGCAAAACAGACTCCGTCGCATCCCTGTCAGCGTCGGCGCTCTCATTGGCCCGATAGTGATTCTGTCCGTGCGCCGACGTCCAAGCGTCCCGTCGCGTCCCAAGCTTCTGGTCTCTGCTCGTTCTGGTGTCTGGTGTCTGGTTCTGGTTCTGGTTCTGGTTCTGGTTCTGGCTCTGGCTCTGCTCCTGGTCCGGGTCCGGGTCTCGTCCACTCTTTCACACGCTGCTCTGCTCTGCTCTGCTCTGCTCTACTCTGCTCACCTCTGCTCCCCTCTGCTATGCGCGCCGCGCCGCCAACCCAACTGGCTTGTCCACTGCCGCACGCCGACTCGTTGCGTGCTCACGCGAGCTGGTGTGCGTCCAAGACGGTCGCCTACTTTGACACTGCAACACTTGCCGGCATCTCTCCTCGCACGCGCTGCTTCCTTCGTGTGTCGAGATCAGCGATGGCTCGGAGCGCAGCCGATGCGGGTGCAGAGCATCGCTAGCCAAAGCATCTCTCCCAGAACAGAGCGTCCTCCGAAAGCCACCGCGGCTCTGCGGCCATACTTTCCCACTACTACCTGTCTCTCATCAACTGGCCTGCGAGGCATCAGCGATCACGGCTGAGCTCCATCCATCACTACTCGCACGCATGTGCTGCGCGAATCCTTCTGCCAGGCTCGTCACCAGGCCGAGATGGCTGCCAGACGAGTCGCGGCACACGGTGCACAACTGCATCTCTGAGCCCTCGGGTCTCCAACCGAATCGGCACAGCCTGGACATTGGGCGCTGTGCGCGGCGGTTTTGCGCCCTGTCCCTCGCAGCTGTTTGGCTTCAATGCCACGTGCGAGCTAGCACAGATTCACCCAGCGTTTAATTACTGCTTTTGCCCAGGCTCATCAGCCTCACATCAATGAAGAAACTACGGGCTGCTTGCCCGCGAGGCCATCACGTCACTGTGAGACACACGCGGGCGTACAGCATCTCGCGAGGACAGACGCATCCTCCCGCCCGCTGGAATGACCTCCTGTCAAAGCACGCTTGCTGCTGCAACTATCCAGTCTGGAGATCACTCATCAGCAGAGTGTGTGCGCCCATGCGGAACCGCGCTAAAGTCCTGAGTACCAACCGCGGGTGTGGCTTCCTGCTCCCGACTTCGGGTCTTCTCCTCGGCGCCATGGCTTGCCAAGGTATGCTTTCGGTTTCACGGCGACTGTCAACACGCTGTGCGGATTTGTGAGAGCACAGAGGCCCGATTGGGATGACCGGATCGCTACAGACGCTCTCCGCGACTCCACGTCTCGCCTCACACTGTTCGACTCTGAAGCTGGCCCACTCTCATCTCACTTCTGGCCAGCTCTTCCTAACTGGAGTGTGCATATAGCCAATCAGACACTCGAATAAGCGAGGTTAAGCATTCGCAGAGAAGCGCATCGACGGCGTGGGTCCGAGCTGTAGGCACCTTGCCAGGCGCTCTAACTTTCCCAGCTCCTCTGCTCTGCGGCCGATTTCCCGCTACGGAGCTCGCTCGGGCGCAGGCGTCTCGTCCGCGTCCACTCGGACTGTTCTCGCCGGCAAGCGTAGCCTTCCCACGCGCTCGCAAGCTTGTACTTGCTAGGCTCTGACCAGACTTCGGCACTCGAGCAGGATGAGTGCATTCGGCGTCGCCGGGACTAATGTGCAACCCTCGGGCATCTGTGGAGCTCAAGACGTAAGAGTGCGGTGCGTGACATGGGTGTCTTACGCGCCCTCCCCTGCTTCCGCTATCCCACGATCGATCCCAACCGAGTGGGCAATGGATCTCAAACTCTGATCTCCCCACACATTGACACGCGACAAGTTCAGGGGTACAACTCGGTCTCTCGATTCTTGCACTCGCTCTAGGGAACTCAAAAATCGCACTTGCTCCAGACCAAATCAGAAATAGAGCTGCCGAACTATGATGGATGCCGCACCACTATACCGTTGACCCGAAAGCATCCCAGCTCTTGGGCGTGCCTGCACAGACAAGGGTGTTTTCTTGAAACAACCTCTCAACCATGGCCGCAGTCAGCGTCTTGTATTGCTAGTGTGCTACCGGTAAGCATCTCTGCATGCCATGGATGGATGACACGCAGGAAGTCCCTGGCTTTTGTCTTCCTATGCGCCGGCGACAGGTCTGAAAGCGCGACACATTCACACTCCTTTCCTACTCGGATTTGGTCAGCTGTGCCGAAATGCGTGCTCGCTCGCTTGGCATAGCACTAGACGATGATTTATGCAAAGAAAGCTCCTGCTGCTCGCGTGGAGCCTCTTTCGCGCAGGCTTTTAAATTGCTTCCCGGAGAAGCTAATGTGCCGTTGCAATGGAGTCCGTCGTCACGACAATGCTTTCGGGGCTTGCCCCATATGTCCTTTTGAAGCAAGCTCAGAACCGCATTACTAGGGAGTGGACTCATCAACCGGACGTTGCTTTTCCTCGTTTTAGGCTTTGAGATAGGCTGCCAAGGGAAAGCCACCCGGAGATGCACGTGGAAGACACGACGTTCTCACCACGATTGAGGCTTCTTGGCTACAACTGTACCCAGATGCTTCAGATTGCCTTCGGTGCCGATATATTGATCAATGACGCTCCCAGCTTTTCGCGCTGAGCGAACCTTCGATCTGTAGCGGATGCCGAGTTAGGACTCTTCTAGAGTTCGATTCGCTGATGGCATGCCTTGCAGACTTGATGCCCTCCCGCCGAAGAAGAGCTCCTGCTATTGCATTGAGTCTGACCCTGAGAAAGCATACTGGAAATGTGGCGTTGTCCACGGCGTTCTTCACGGCAAACGCTTTTGCGCCTCGTCACTAGCAAATACTATAAACGCCTCTGCGTTGCGGAGCGCCCAGAAAGATCTTTCTCCGATCCTGCGAGGGCTGGCGGCGCGGCTACCTGTGGCCGGCGTTGGCACAGCCAAACCGGTCCAAACCCGACAAAAAGGTTTGGAAGTACCTTTTTTGTCCTTGTGATTCCGGCTCCGGTATCTACTTCGACCAATATTCGGACAAGAATAACCGCGCCCGAGGAGGCGGATTTCGAGCACGAGAATGTCAACCGCTTTCTCCGTGGTAGCGTTATGAGATTTCTAACATGGCCGCCTATCTATCTGACTCTTCGCATCCTTCCAATCTCCACTCTAGGAAATGCACGTCTTCGGACGGCAGAAAACTGCATTTCCGTGACAGACAGACGCATCTTCAGAGGAGACAACGGGCCGGAGCTGCCACCTGGAGGTGCACGCTTGAGCGGTAACTGAGATGTCGCAAGCCGAAGTTCGCTCCGCTATTCGGACCCGAAGAAGCAGAACCGTGTGAGTAAGAATAAAACCTCGTCACAGTCGAATCCGCTGTGCGATGAAGTTGTCGTTGGCCGCTTGTACCGGCAGAGCCTAGAATTGTGAGAGTGATTCGCTTCGGACCCGCATGGCTCCAGAACATTGGTCATCCACGACGCTGCTGATCCTCCCATGTACTTCTCACCCCTACCACGTGGCAAAGCTGCTCGTAACGAGAAGCGATCGGCTCTGATAATCTATCACTCATCACTAGAAAGGGCGAGAAGTCTTGGCTCTCGAGTGATACGTAAGTAAGATTCTTGGCTTCGAAAGCCGCACTTCCACTCAAAAAAAGTGTTGTGTCGATGCAAGTAATAAGATCTTGACTGACCAGCCTTGTGAAGGCGAGTGAACGATGATGTACTCGTGATCACCGTCATGGAGATCCTCGCTCCAGTCAGCCTTGCCAGAGGCAGCGTAACTCATCAGCGACAGACAGCCTATGATTTACCCCCCTATTGCGCGCGAGACTTGAGTATGTCCCTGGAATCGAAAACTAACGCATGAACGAGTACACGCCACGCATATTGTCGCTACCAATATCACTGGTGGAGGACGTGTCCAGTATGCATGCACGACGGAACATTCGGGAGATATTCGAGCGGCATAGAATTTTACACGGCGAGTGAAGGTGTTATCTGAATACATCGGACAAACACACGGAGAAGTCGAGTGCTGTTGTTCTTGGTTCGACTTGACATTCTCTCTCTCTCTTGCCGATTACGTACGTACGTACTCCTCGAAATACAATTCCTCGTCGTCTGTGGGCGAGAATTCAGTCTGTCGACAAGCTTCTGGCTTCTAAATGTTCTGCAAATCTCCACACTGAGCTTATCAATATCGACTTCCGGAACCCGAGCATAGCCTCTCCCAAAGCACCCGTGATCGATCCATGTATATTCTCGTCTTCGAGTTGCTCGGGAGCGGTCAGCTCGCGAGAGTGGCAATCCGCGGTATAGTCGAAAGCTTCATACGCTGGCTATCCTCAACTCGACGATACGAACGTGCGTCACATATCCACATTCTCTGAATCCACGGGGCTTCCAATAGTACCTGCCGGATCAGAGAATCTTCGATAGCGGCTCCAGGGTAGTCGGTCAACGCTCAGAATCCGATATCTCTGCTGCAGCAGCACCTGATTCCCAGAGAACTTTGAGGATCGTGATGACGGGTGTATCGAGTCTGCTACGCACGGATCGTCCTCGTGAGGGAAATTTGCCGGAGAAAGCGAATGGGGAATCTTGCAGATTTCAGATAGGGACAGTTTGCTGATGATTAGGGCAGGGGCGGCAGTCAGACTCTGGCTTTGAATTGCTTGAGTAATAAGTTGTCTGTAGTGCTCTCGGTCGTCGTCGTGATTCCAACTCTTTCTTCAGCCATGCAGTTGTTTTGGAGATCTGGATAGGTACTTGGTTGGGTCACAACGACGGCATATTGCCAGTTGGATGGCGCGGAAACGCTCGACAAGGGTTAGTTGCATTCCACCTACTACAGCGTTCGGTCGCTCAACTTGACAGACCGCATACCCGGCATCGGTGCGCGAAGGCAGTCTTCTAATTCATGCGCTCGGATTGTGATGCTCTCGCGTGCTCTACATTGCGGTTGGCAGGTGGTCCAGCTTGGTATTCTTGGATAGGGGGATGTACGGCGTGTTAATGCTCTAGCTGTTGCTCCTCCCTTTCCGCAGGGAGCATTAGAACTGACTCATGACAGTGTTGTATATGCGTTCTCCATCACACATGTGAGGTGAGACTGCTTTGCCACGGCAGATCAATTCTCGAGGGCGAACAGTGCTGTCGCTAGAGGTGAGGTCAAAATGGAAGCACGGGGTGTTTCCGCGCTGGATGTTTCATATGAGCAGCCATGTGCAGATCGGCAAGGCTTGGCAGCAACTGTGGAGACCTTGCTTGCCCTGAAGAACGTCCAGCTTCGTGTCACTCCGATCACCTCCCAAATAATACCACCCACAAGCACAACAACACGTTACAACACAGTCCGCGATGCTCGTCTCTCTGACCGTTGGCAAGGTCGATGCAGGCGTCGCGGTTCTTCTCACAGAGGATAAGCGACTGGTCAGTAGCCGCAGCTTCCCTACATATAACACAGGCCAGTTGTTAACCCAGCCTCTCCGAAGATCGAGTTTCCTTCCATTCTCCTCCCACCAGACATTCACTCAGGCAGCATCGTCGACATCAACGTAGCTCGCAATCAGCACGCCGAATCAATCGCAGATCAGAAGTTCTCCGCCCTACAAACCGAGATCTTCGAGCAATTTGGAACGACCTCGCCCTCGGCCCCGGTATTACGATGCCGAAACGCTACGCAGACGAGCGTTGTGCTCGAGTGGGATCCGATTGAGCTGGCGACTGCTGAGTTGAGGAGTTTGAGCCTGTACAGGAATGGTACCAAGGCGGGTGTTATTCCCAGGGATAAGTTGAGCACAAAGATCAGCGGATTGGCACTGGATACCGAGTACACCTTTCACTTGGTACTGCGAACGAGCGCGGGTCAGTACTCTTCGGATAAGCTCGCGGTCAGGACCCACAAGATGACGGACCTCACGGGAATTACTATCACACCTGGCGTCATGCCAAGCCAGTTGAAGGACAGTCTGGCGGAGACCGTCGGTAGAATTGACGCGAAAATCATCGATACTGTCCGGATAGACACCACGCATTTTGTTTGCACGGAAGCCCGCGGCCAGGCTTGGGAGAAAGCTGTGGAGATGAATGTGCCGGTCGTCGTGCCCGACTGGGTCAAAGGATGCGAGAGGGAGGGCAGGATTGTGGGAGTGAGAGGGTACTATCTCGACGCGGATCCAAAATTGCGACAAATGGGGCCCAGCACGCATCAACAGCGAGCAAGCGTATCGAGTGCGCCCATACGAGATAGCCCTCGCATTGAGCACACTCCGCCTACACCCGAACGTACCACAGCTCCTGCGAGGGATGGTGGTGAAGAGGAAGCCTCTGCTACAGATTCTCGGGCGCCAGCCCCCAAACCGGTACATGAACGACTTGCCGAAGGAACCTCTGAGCAGGACGGGACATCTTACTCTGGCACTACCTTGAACCAGAAACCCGTGTCGGCGGATGATTCGGACGAGAGCTCAGACGATACCGAAAAGCTACCGGAGGATCCTGAGAAGCACGCGATGCCTGGAGACGCCCCGAAGGCCATCGTTGAGTCCGCAGGTGGCGAGGGTCCTTCAACTCCTGGAGACAGAGACGAATTTAGCGAAGTACAGCTGTAGTGGCGAAGCGCGTCTCGTCCATCGCAGAAGATGTACCCGCATCCGCCCGGGTAGGCATGTGTTAATTATCCTCAGCAAGCGCTTTTGATATCCTACAAGCAAGCATTGATAGAATATTGCGATACTTCATAGCGGCAACTCATCAATGGGTTGATCAATCAACGAATCCATTCTCTCCTGCCGCGCCCTCCTCTCGCTGACCGGTATAGAAAGCAAGCCCATAATCATCATCCGTCTCGGACGTGATTGTCGCTCCGGCCGGAAAGTAAAACACGTCTCCCTTCACCGCGTGCACGGTCTTGCCCCGTCTCCTCAGACATGTCAAACCCACGGCACCTTCCCAAGATAATCTTGGCCTCTCGTGGTACGTTATACTCTGTATACCAGCGAAGTGGTGGCCAAGAGACATTTCCCATCCCTTGTAGACGTGTGATGATGATGATGATGATGAATGGAAAGGGTCGGAGATGGTAGGAAGAAGAAGAAGAAAGAAAAAGAAGAAGAAGAAGAAGAACGGATGGACGGACCTTTTTCTCTCGAAGTCGTCAGAAAACCCGCACTTCGATGGGTGTGCTTTTTTGTGTGTGTCGTTCTTCTTCTTCTTCTCGCTGCTCACGACGTCCGCCGCCCGGATGGATAGATATGGCGTTTTCCGTTTCTTTGCCACGAAAGGAGCGTTGGTTTTGAAAGTCGTCCGGGCTGAGAGGGGGAAGGTAGCTAGGACATTTCGAAACTGCCCGGGGGATTCGGTGGTGGTGGTGGTGGTGGAACCCATCGTGTTGTTGTCTCTATGTCATAATCTACCTACCAAGTAGATCCTGACAGTAGAAAGAGCTTTGGGGGTTTGAAAAGTTTTTGGCTTGAGGAGACGCGAGTTTATCGTCTGTGGATGTATACTTTTGAAAAACCGCCATGATATATACTCGATAAGTTTCGATACTGGTTCAAGCTTCCAAGTGTTGATTTCTCTTATTTTTCGAGGGGGGATGACGGTGATGGATAGATAGACAGCACCACCTCTTTGTCCATTTGGAAAGAAAGCTATACTTGCTTGCTATCTATCCATCCATCCATCCAGTCAGCATACAAAGATAGAGAGATAGAACAAGAGGGGCATTCCAAGAGAATCCATAGCCACGCTAGCATCCTAGCATCGACAGGTATTAACAACACCATCCATCAGCTGTGAGTAATGATACCCCTTCGTAAGGGACAAGAAAAAGCATAAACGACCTTCTCCAATTTTCTTTAACTATATAATATGGGAATTTTTCTTCGTTTTCTAGCGAGAGAGAGAGAGAGAGAGAGGCATCAATCAATGGGTCTCAAGAGATCAGACATTCTCACTCTCGTTCTCATTCACTCTCTCTCACTCCCTCTCTTCTTCTTCTTCTCAGTAGTAGTAAGTGACGTGTGCAAGAAAACCAGTCACATACATACATCCGTCCGTCCTCGACCACCTCTTTCTCCCTCTCTCCCTCTCTCTCCCTCTTGAAACTATAGATAAGGTAAGTTATCCATCCTCGACGCGGGACCGTACAGATCTGAACTTTTGCCTTCCTTTCTTTTTCCGTTTTCGCTCCCCCCACAAAAACCGGGTCGGGTGGCATTCTCAGACGGTGGCGTAGCCCATCGGCCAAGGCATGTGAAGCCGCAATCGTGGCACTGCCTTCCCAATTGGGAAAGAAGATCCCATGGCCGTGTTCGCACGTGCCTGCCATACGCCGTCGTCCAATAGTAGTAAGAACGAATGGGCGTCCCGAATTGTTTCGGCCATGAGGAAAAGGAAGAAGGTAGTGTGGAAGAAGTCCACAAGGAGAGCGCGCCATTCATGTCGTATTTCCTTTTTTAGGACCTAAAATATCGTGTAAAAAATTGAAGTGACTGACCCTGCCGTTTGGATCCTTTTTTCTCGATTCGTTTCGTCTTCGTCTGTGCCCCTCTGCACGCATTCAATCTTCTTCCCCTCAATTCGTACCGTCGTCATTACTCTCGTCCCCCCTCTCTTCTCTCATATCTATTGCCCGGAGCCTTGGTGTACAGGTCCCAGTAAACAAACTCCAAGGCGCCTTGCACGCTGAAAGCTCGATCGAAAGCGCAAAACAAGAACAGGGCCGAGAGTCCTGGATTGCACATATCAAAACAACAGCAACGAAAGGACAATCTGAAGAGCGAATGAGCGAGCAAGCAAGCAAACAACCGGGAGACCCAGACCGAAATATGTCATCAAATCATCAGAAGCCACCATGCGTGCGTAAATCATCCAAGTAAAACTGTCCGCACAGTAAGCGATTGTCATCTGCCGTGGAAGATTCCGTGCCACACTTACCCTCCCAACCCCAATCCCACATCACGCCAACCCAATGCAAGTGACCTCGAACCGAGTACGCCGGATCCACCATGACGCGGTCTGAAACATCCTTCCTCCATCTTGCAGATTCTGGCCCATTCAAGTCCTTGAGCGGGTTCCCCATGGGCTCGCTTTCAGACTCCACATAACTGAAAACAACACCGGTCCGGCCAGGATCGGAGTTGAGGACCTCTGTCGCGCGTCGAGGTGGAAATGGCGAACCTCTCCGCCTAGCTGGGTTGAGCTCAGCCGTCTTCACCAGTTTTCGATGCGTGATTGGCTTCGCTTCGTATGCATCCTTGCGACGCCAAACCTCCTCGGTGACCTGCATGCACTTGTCGATGACTCCGATGCGCATTCGCTCAGCCATGACCTGCCAACGCTCGCGGACCCACTGACGGTCCTCGGCCTCTGAGGCCTCGCAGCCAGCCACCATGAGTGGATAGATCTGCACAACGAGCGTCCTGGACGTGGTCGGAACCGTGGCCAAGGCAGCCAGAATCTTCTGTGCAAGGTCGGCCGACGTCAAGGAGGGGAGCTCCGGGACGGATTGATGCAGATGGAGGAGTGTTGCCCAGCGATATGCCTCCGCTGTCTGCAGGGTATCCTGAACGGCAGTTGTTGGATCCTGCGGACATTCGATTTCTTCCGGCGACTCCCACCTGTCGATGGCGAATTTGAGGTCCCTGGCGTGGCTGACAATACCTGGAGAATTGGTTTGCGACCTGCACACCTTTCGAACGAGGTTGGCCACGCGCCCAATGAGTGGAAAGAGTGTACCGGCGCAGCCCATGAGAGGATCCAGTCGAGCATCGATAGGCATGCCAAAGTTGATCCCGAAGCCGTCTTTGCTGTGCTTTTCTGTTCCTTGAACTACGTTTGAAGAATTCGAAGCGAATAAAAATGCGTTGTCAAAGTCGTTGGACTCGTCACTGTCCACTGAAGTCAAGCGTGAAATGACGTCCATGAAGACCCAAGCGTTGCAGAGGAATTTGAGCCTGCTCAACTCGACGCCAGTGACGGGTTTTCGCCGGTGGCCTTCCACGCAACGTCCGACCAACACCTGAGCACCTTTGATGTGGCTATTGCCGGTTGCTGTATGTTGGTCCCAGGACTCGGAGAAAGCTAGGGCCAGTGCTGTCGCTATTGCTGCCTGATCAGACATACTCACGTCTCTAATACCAGCGCCAATATTCTGGATGCTCGCATGTTTGTTTTCGTGGCCAACGACCCTAAGCACCGGAAAATCATGAGCAGCGTGGTAAGCAGCCATTGCCATCAGGGCATGGTAGAGAGCTGCCGAAGTCTGTGCCATTGGCCAGATCAGTGTGCGCCAGGGATTCTCGGTCGCTCCATCCATGATTGAGAGAATGCCGCAGGTCGTGTTGAGGAAGCGCATGGCAAGGTGCTCATGGCTGTCGATTGGGAACTCTGGCTGCATAAAAATTTGCGGCAGTGGGTGATTCCACTGAGCAAGTGATTGGTTGGGAGATCCAGGTGTGTCCGACGACGTTGGCGTGTTGAGACCGGGAGACCAGGCAAACGAGTGCCCCTGAATGTTCTGAATTGGCACAAACATGTTGCTGGGGTCTTCAAAGATGTGCTCGGCCGTCAGCGTGGGATCGTCCGCACCAGTGGTCCAGAGCGGTAAATGCATGTCATCTGGGAGCGAGAAAGGGACAAAGTCCTGATGAATGCCATTTTCGACGTCGTCCAGAGGGTGCTCCGCCTGCAAGAATTCTGTCAAGGTCGGCGAACGACCTCTGACGGGTGCTGGGGAGAGCGAGCGCGTGCGGTAAGCGAAGAGCGATTGGGGATTGAAGTTTACGCTCGCAAACTCCGAAGAGGGACCCTCGTCTTCCGGCTCAGGAGGTGGTGCAGGCTCGGGGGATTCTTCGACAGGGCGGGAGAAGATGCTATCTCGAGGATTATGGGCATGTTTCCGAGGCGAAGGGCTCTGCCTCCTCTGACGCGATGGCTGAGTAGGTAGACCGTCGTGGTCGGGCGACGCAGCTTGACCGTTCCTCTTCGTCTCCACAGGCGTAACCTGTGGCAAGCCAGGCAACTTCGGAGGATGCTCATTTGAAGGCGTCACCGAGGCAGAAGAGTCTGCAGATTTGCGCACCGGGGAGTTTGATGTCGCTGCTAGTTCTGTGAGCCAAAAGAGACGGGACCCGACTTGCTCGACGTACCCTGCTTCTGACGCTCGATGTTCGTCTTGACGTCGGGCTTTCCATAGTCTCGCCACTGGAAGACCTTCTTGTAACCGCCGCATGGGATCTTTCTCTTCGCGCCTGCAGATGCACGCTGGTCAGTTGATGAGAAGTGTGGTGGGAGAGATGGGATGCGGCACAATTTTGACAGGCGGGCTTCTCTTCGCCACACTTCAAACGTTTCGCTTTGCAGGTCACGCATCCTGCCAAAACCTTCTATCAGCATTGCCATCAGGGTTCTCAAGTCCGTGAGTGAAACTCATATATGACCATGTAAGACGGTCGGATATGATGGGAGGAGATGTTCTGGTGCCTCGGTGCGTGGTAAGTAAGCATGGTAATACCGTTTCGTGACTTGGTTTGCTTGGGCTTGACGACGTTGGCATCTTTGTCTACCGCGGGCGCCTTGCGAGGCGCGGTCTTGCGGTCTTTGCTGGGACGGCGAGCGTGTTTGGTGTCCTTTTTGGCGTTTTCGGGCTGCTCTGACGCATCATCGGCGGCGTTGGCGGGGGCGGGGGCGGTGGCGGCGTGGTCTCCAAGGATGAGTCTGGGGGAGGGAAAGGGAAGCGGGCTGCCTTCAGCCATCAGGCCGCGGCGCACGCCTCTCTGGGGAAGGGAGTGCGCTGGGACAGGCGCGGGACGGCGGCAAGCATACGCGATGGGATCAGGTAAGGGTAGAGTCGGGCGTGATGATGAGATGGATGGATGGATGGATGGATGGATGGATGGATGGATGGATGGATGGGGACAATGGAGACAGAAGAGGCCAAGTATTGCGGGATTGGGGATGCTGAGATTGGAGATTGGAGATTGGAGATGGCAGTGGAAGGGCAGGTGCGATTCCGATGGCACTTGCAGCTTCCTTGGCCGGATGCCAGCCTATCGCCGCCGTCGCGCGTGGGTAAGAATAATTCGCACAGGGCAGGGCAGGGCAGGGCAGGGCAGGGCAGTGGAAGGGAAGGGAAGGGAAAAAAGATGATTACATGATGAGAGCGCGTGCGGATTCTCCATCTTTCTTAGCTCCCGCCGGCCTCTGCCCCGAATGCAAGGCGGCACTGTGCTGTGTGCTGGGGATTATTTGCACGGGCACTGGCGCTGGCGCCGGCACTGGCACTGGCACTGGCACTGGCACTGGCAATGCCAATCGCACTGCCCACCAGGAGAAGAGTAGTTCCATGAGCCTGCCCACCCGACCTCATCCCAGTGCTCAGCAACGGATTCTGTGGGTGAACAGCTTGACAGCTCGACAGCTTGGATGGGACAGCTTGACAGGGACGGATGGAGGATGCCGATGCCGATGCCGATGCCGATGCCGATGCCGATGCCGACACCGACCCAACCCTCTCGCCGGTTCGCCGCATGCGCATGGTTGACATGCAATCACCAATGGAATGCACTGCACCGCACTTACCCTCACACACTCACACGGTGACGGGCGCAGCTCCCCACATCCAACTTGTCATTGTGACACGTTGCCTGCACAGCTAGCTGCTGCATCCATCCACTCCACCTTCCCGTGCACACTACTACGGTACACTACTACTCCTACGGCAGGCACTGCCAAGACCATCCATTCTCCACGTACCCCTCCAGGCATGCCCGCGGCGACACGGAGTCAGCACGGTCCCGTCGCCAGCAGAACACCTACGCCCACGGCGGTTTAGGGGGACTGCTACGAGTACAGCCATCACCATGTTGCCCCGGGCCCAGACTCGGCCATGGCCCCAAAGCAGCCAGATCAGCGAATGCGCACCACGAGACCATGGCGAGCTCGGAAGATCAAGGTAGGTAAGGTAGTAGTGTGTAGGGGTTGCTGCGCGTCACGCGCCCTCCTCACCCTCTCTTGTCTTACCCATGCCCCTCTTCCTTCTGGAGCGACAGCTGACCTCCACCTATAACCTCACGCCTGCGTAACTATTCTACGTTACGCAAGCTTGGATTCCCGCCAGCTCCAGCACCACGCACACGTAGCGTCCGTCCCCAGGGAACCATACTTGTTGCGCTGGAAGATCCGCCATCCGTTGCCGCGGAATGCCGGCTGGGACGACTTGCCAATCAGCTCTTCGCTGACATGACTTCACTCGTGTGAATTCCTGCATGCGTCTCGGGAGAACTCATCACTCATCATCGCGATTGCACCCCACCACCAATTGGCGCACCCATCAGACGCTCGGCGCACAAGTCGTCGATGGCTCGTGTAACGACGCTCACCAGAACAGAGCCTCACCATCAAGAAGACGATATTAGCAACCTACCGCGAGGCCCTGCCAGAGGGCGCACCGCACCGCATCCGCGAGGCGATAAGGGAGCCACGATGATCCAGGATTCTAATCGCAACCCACGATTCTGCCAAAGCCGTGTCACGCCGGCCATTGCAGTGCCGGCAAATCACTTCAATATCTGCACTTTGGACTCACTACGGCCCGAATGAAGCTGACCCAGACAAGACACCGTCACCCTGTTATCGGACTATCGCAGACTGAACATCTATCGCAAGGCAACCATTCGGCAGTGATAGGAAAGAATCCGACTGCCTTCGCATGTCCTGTCCGCCACATCATCTTCTCGCCGTCCCTCTGTTATCGTATCGCACACCGCTCTTTCGCTCCTACACCATCTCCAAATCGAGGACGATACGAGCAACGGCGGGACTCCCAGCCGGCATCGCATACGTGAAATTCCAGAAGTCAAACTCGCTACCGACAACAAAAGCCTGTCAGCATTTGGCTGGTCGGTCGGCATCCGAAGAAGCGAATCAACGACAACACTTACTTGATCGTGTCGCATGCTCCTCCTACTAACCCACAAAAGCTCGCGCTCGGTACCAAATCCACCGTCGATTCATTCGAGACGCTCACTCGGATCCCCTCGATGTCTGCCCAAGATGCTACGTCTCTGGGACCGGCGAGCCCATTGGAGTCCACATGGAATGTGAAGCGGCTAGTCTCGTTTCCATACGGGTAGGTCAGGCTCACTCTCGCCCTTGTCCCGCTATCGTCCGGTATCACCCTCGCCTGCATTGCTTCCACTTCCGGATAGAGGGTGATGAAACCCGTCTTGCCGTCATTCTTCAGCCATTGGATCACCATCGGATTGAATGATGCTTGGTTGATGTTTGGTCCCCCGACCACGTTCTCATCAAAAGACTCTACCCCAATCGTCAGGTTAGCGGACAGAAAGGTCGTCGTGTTACGCTGGGAATGGTCGTATGCTGGAGAATATGCCGACGAGTGAACGACGTGTGTTCCGGGAAACGAAGTGAAGGCTTTCAGAGCATTGGAGCCAATGAAGCGTTCATGGTACGGGGAGAGGATGGCAATGAGTGGTCCAATCTCGAGGTCATCGACATGAGCCTGTGCACGGGAATGAGCAGCTTTCGAGACCATCCAAGACTCCGCGAAACCTCACTCACCACGGCCCAAGGCTTCTTATACACCGGCGCCCGATCCAGTCCGACAAAAGACCAAATCCACAGGCCCATGACCGAGAGATATCGATTCATATCGTATCCATAACTACGATCCCACGGTCCCGCCAGATTCTTCATATTGGCATTATACATCTCCCCCACAAGGTCCCAAATGGCACTGATCATCCTCCCTCCATTCGCAGCTAGGGTCGAATTGGGTGGGAGATACCGGTCCCACAGCGTCAGAGCGAAGAGCGAAACACCCAGGTAAGTCGGACTGTTGAATTCGGAGAGCGTGGAATTGCGATCGAAGAGCTCGACGATCTCCCTGGCCCACGTCTCTCCTTCGGCCGTCAGATTGGCGTCTCCGGTCTTGTATCCCACCCAAGCGGACAGGACGGTATGCATGAGAGCGGCATTGCTATAGCTCGAATAGAGATTATCACCTGCCACGCCTCCGACGCGGTACGTGTCACCAATCGCATCCAAATGCAGACTCCTGACCATGCGGACTTGCAACGCTGGTGGAAGCAAGTGACTGAATTCCTCCAGGATCACGATGAACGCCGTGCCGATAAAGCCGCGCCAGTTGGGATCCCAGGAATTGTAGATGACGTCGGGATAGGCTTCGGTGCCTGGTGTCGGCTGTTCTGGATACACCTGGTAGTCTCCGTACCATTGCTGGCTGGCGTTCTGGAATTGGGGTGCGATGATATTGTTGATGATTTTGATGGCTTGTTCGCGATCATCGTTTTCGTTCCGGGCGAGGAGACCAGCGCTATACCAGCTCGAGCTTCTGGTCTCATGAAGTAAGGCAGTGTTGAAGTAGAAGAGGTAGCCTGCATCTGGATCGTAGAGCCTGTCCATGAAATCCATGGACTGGGTTAGTAGATCAGCAGCATAAGAGCTTTTATTCAGAGCGGCAACTATGGCCGGCCTCCAGATCGCCAAGAGTAGGCATTGGTAGGAAAGCCAAACCTGATGGAACATGGTGAGCTGTTCTGGTTGCACAAAATCACAACCAATGCAGTGCCTACTGATGAACGTGGATGTGCCGTTTTCTTCAAGCTCTTGTTGGACGGACGCCACCTCCTGCAGGAACCACAGTGTATGCCTATCCGCCAGGTCGGCTACTCCACGACTGGCAGATAGGCTGCCACGGGTGGATTGAGAGCGGGTCCGGTGCTTTGTTTGGTATGCGGGTGCAAACATGAGGCACAATGCTCTTCCCGCTAGCTCGTGATGCCTTCGGCACTGTGCATCGTTCGCCGACAGTTGCCGATGATGGCGATCTTTTGGATATTATTGCAAAGGCGTAAGAATTGCGTCCGTTGATAGGTTGACCAGCCAAGACTGTTCTTCAACTGTGCCTTCTCTGCAGCCGACCTCCACAACGACACTGCGTGCATTCGACGGGCAGGCTCAGCTGCGCCATGCCTACTTCACCACAAAAATCACGAAGCCACTGTAGTTCTTCTCTCCAGCCGTTTGGATCATGGTGCAATCGAGCCCCGAGTCGTTGCCTTCCGCTCCAACGACATCTCTCCTTCCTTGGACATTGCTGTCCGCCTTCGCGGCTTCAGCGCCGCCTACCTGTGACCCCGACGGACGACGTTGTCCGCAATGATGCAAGCACCACCGGACCTGGACATGTCGGTAGCCAGTTTTCAGACAGTTGATATTGTTCTATTCGTCAGCATCAATGAAACAGAAGTCGAACTTTTCACGTTTGACCCGATATCGCTCAGATTGGCATTGGAGATGACTTTTTTTTTCTGTTTAAGATTGCTTTCTTGTTGCTCGTCAAAGCTCGACGGATATACGACGTTGATGTCTGCGCTCCAAGACCTCTATGCAGCCAGAGTACCAACCTCCCAAAGGCGTTTCTGGCCTGGGATGAGCTTACAATGCAAGGCGAGCAGCCGGCCTTCTGAGAGGTGAGACGGCAATACCAGGGAGGAGGCCTTGGGTCCGTACTTCAAGGCTTCGTAGAAGTGGGTGGAAGCGGTGGAGAGAGATGCGGTCGTGGATGGGGTGAGAGAAGGGGACAGCAAGAAAGCGAAGCGAAGCTGGTGGAAAGCGGAAGGGAGCGGCAAGGGGAAGGGCAACGCACGGACGCGAGAGAGCTCCAGATTGCGGGGGGCCGAGGTGAGGAGCTGTGCGATGATGCAGTGCCGACCCGGATGAGAAGAAGATGATGGAAGCTCGCGCCGGCAATTCTAGGTTGTATGTGGTATCGTATATGATGTTTCTTCGAACATTCTGCATCCATCATGCTCCTTCCCTCTTGTTCCGCGGCGTCTCTACAGAAAGTCGCACCTGCCTCCGTAGTACGAGGGACAACTGCCGCCGATCCACCAGACACCAGACGACGTAACGGACGGTAGACAGACAGACAGACAGACGTTCCACAGTTTGTTGCACTGGCCGACTACTCACTCGGAGCAAGACACAAGAACTAGGTACCATCTACCCGCCCAAAAACACCATCCGCCATGTCAGACTCCCTTGCCATCTTCCGCGACCGCCTAGGTCCTGATCTCAGCGCCCTGGCCGAGAAACACCTGCAACATGAGTACGTGAGCTCCCCAGCTTCCTCCTCCTCCCCCCCCCGTCATGATTATGATTCCCCGTGCAATTCACCAACCACCATCCCACCCAAACAGCCTCCGACAATCCGACCGCGAAGCCCTCGAGCGAGCGGCAAAGACCGTCTCCGTGCACACCTCCATCGGCTCCCTCATCGGCGTCTCGCTCGGCATCCTGCTCGCGTTCCGCATCCGCTCCGCCCGCCAGCGCATGTTCACGGCCTTCAAGACGGCCGAGCAGCCCACCGCTGTGCGCTTCGCCGACGGCCGCGAGGAGCCTCTGCCCGACATCACCAGCCTCATGCGGCCCAGTCGTCTCGGCGATTTCGCGACCTACACGCTGCTCGGCGCGGGAGGGGTCTTCTTTGGCGGGGAGACGGGCTTGTTGACGGGGACGTTCAGCGCGAGACGACTCATCAACGCGGATCGGGAGAGTCGCGAGAGGATACAGAATGCCTTCAGGCGGTTTCAGGCGGATGCGCTGAGGACGCAGGCGGATCTCCTGGAGCGGAGCGTGGAGCACGGCAATGTTTCCACTCTATGAGCAGAGGACTTCAGCAAGCATAGTCTTGTTCAGGGATAAGCTCCAGTTGAAGCTGTTTCACATAGTGCGTAACAATCATCTGCACTGGTTCTGCGAGGTTAGCTCGTGGAGAGAAGAGCCAGCTTGAACGGTATCCAACGGTATGCGCCATGTTCCGCATCACTGAGGAAGTCCCCTTCAAGTCGACATGGTGAAGCTTGGTCGAACTGTTCTTGAGATGCTCGAACGTAGTTACAGAAAATAATACATCAACGTTTCATTGACTTTCTTCATCGTTGGCAGATGTCGTTCAACTCCGCTATCGAAACCTCTCTTTCCAATTTACAACTTCGCGGCTGGAAGCTTCTCGCCCGTATTCGTGATTTCGTTATATAGCAAGCTGCAGGTATGTTAGCATATAATTCACCGATTATTGGTTTGCGGGGAAACTTACGATGTCAAGAACTCGGCGTACTCCTCACCAGTGACCTGGGTTGCGAAATACTTCGCAGCGAGCTGGTACTTGTTGCCCTTGGGTCCCTCCTTTTCGAGCTTGTCCGCCTGCTCGTACAGCAGCTTGAGCGCGTACTGCTTGTCGATCTTCTTGCCTTCGTTGGTGGTGCTGCCGTGCTTGCTCCATTGCCACAGCTGTGAGCGAGAGACCTCGGCGGTCGCAGCGTCCTCCATCAAGTAGTTGATCGGCACACATCCCACACCACGGAGCCAGCCTTCCATGTATCCCAGCCCAATGTTCAGGTTCTTGCGGATGCCCTCCTCAGTAATGCCACCCGGCACATTCATGTTGAGGAGGTCGTTGGCGTTCACCTGGACTTCCTCCCTACGGACGTGGAGCTGGTTTGGCGTGGGCATGTGCTCGTTAAAGACCTCGCCGGCGATCTTAGCGAGAGCCGGGTGGGCGACCCAGGTTCCGTCGTGGCCGGCACGGACCTCACGCAGCTTGTCGGCACGCACAGAGTCCATGGCCTTCGTGTTGGCTTCCTCGTCGTTCTTGATTGGGATCTGAGCGGCCATACCACCCATGGCGTGCACGCCGCGGCGATGGCAGGTCTTGATCAGAAGACGGACGTAGGCATCCATGAAAGGCGAAGTCATGGTGACGGCGGAACGATCGGGAAGGACGAATTGGCTGTTCTGGCGGAAACGCTTGATCACCGAGAAGATGTAGTCCCATCGACCGCAGTTCAAGCCGGAAGAGTGGTCGCGGAGCTCGTAGATGATCTGACAATCAAGGATTAGCTTCGTCCGCAACTCCAAACAAGTCTTCGTCACTCACCTCGTCCATCTCAAACGCGGCAGTGATGGTCTCAATCAAGACCGTTCCTCGGATGGTTCCCCGTGGCATGCCAATGTAGTCCTGCGCCAGGTTGAACACATCATTCCAAAGCCTCGCCTCAAGATGGCTCTCCATCTTGGGAAGGTAGAAATATGGACCAGCACCACGCTTGACAAGCTCGTGGGCATTGTTGAAGAAGTAGAGACCGAAGTCGAAGAGACTTCCGGAAATTGGCTCACCATCCACGGTGAAGTGCTTCTCCTCTAGATGCCAACCGCGAGCACGGGCAATGAGCGTTGGCAGAGCACGGTCTGTTCGGAGCTTGTATTCCTTTTCGCCCTGCTTGAAGTCGACCTGCCTGCGAATCGCGTCGTGCAGGTTCAATTGGCCATTGATCATGTTGTCCCACGTGGGCGCGTTTGAGTCTGTTGAATGTTAGAGCTGATATCCCCGTGAGTCTTCTTTGCAGCTACTTGCCCTCAAAGTCTGCCATGTATGTCCAGACATCCGAGTTCAACGCATTGACAACCATCTTCCTGTCTGTGGGGCCGGTGATCTCCAGTCTCCTGTCCACCAGGCCAGGCGCCGGCTTCGCGCCCCTCCACGCATCGTTCTCGCGAATGTGCTTCGTCTCTGGCAAGAAGTCTAGCTGCGCACCCTTGTCGAGCTCAGCTTGGCGAATCTGTCTTCTCTCGAGAAGAGCCTTGCGTCGGCTGTCGAATGTACGGTGAAGGACGGAGAGGAAAACGGTGGCATCCTTGGACAGGATCTGGCGGGTCTGGTCATTCAGAGGGCCGAGGATGTTGACGTCCCTCAGGATCTGCTCGGTGTTGACTGGGTTAGGCATATTGGGCTATTCTGGCTTTTGTTCTTGTGGGGTAGCAATGCTATGTAGAGCGAGGAGAGCAAGGAGAGGAGGAGCGAGGAGATATGAGGAAAGCAGATCACCTTTCATATATACGTCAGTAGCAGAGTTTGTAGCCCGTGGCCCAGAGCCAGGTGAAGAGTACATTCAGTCGAGCCGAGGGCGATGACATCCGCTCCGCTCGGCGTAGAGCTTCCCTTGTCGGCTGAGGGGAGGCACCGGGAGACCCCAGACCAATCCCGGCTAGCCCCGCTGTTTTGCGAGGCAAGATCGAGTGTGGCCGGGATGATTTCACTTGCCGCAATCTTAGTTGCATGTGAAGGAACATCATTCCCGACCACATCTCTTCTCTCCATCAACAGCAGACGACTCAGAACGTCCCGGAAACACTCGCGGCAGCCATGAGTACGAGCATAAGGGCCTGTCTGCTCTATGATCGCGGGAATAACCGGGTCCGCCCTCCAGAAATCGTTCCACAGCTCCACCGCAATAGCCGCTCCGCAGCTTCCGATCCCACAAGGCTGAACTGTCACGACGGGACACTGCGAGCTGTACTGACCGGCGAACCATGCAAATTCTGTCGAAAACAACCATTTCCAATACAAGGTATCTGGCTGTTTTCTTGCGTCCAAAGAACCGCTTCCGCTCTGCTGTTTGTGGCCTCTGGACCGATCTTCAACTCCCAGCGCTCTCGCACCTTGCGATGCCAAGTAGGTTTTGACATGTGATAGCGCAAAGAATCTGTTGAACCTCGGGTCCTGAGCCGCGCAAGATGCTATAATGGTATATGCTAGCAGTGGCACAGTAATCAGAAGTCCCCAAGCCTCGGCAAGGCACCCGCTTGAGTCTACGGAACCAGAAGCTGGGCTTCACTTGGACCTCACAGTTCACTTCATCAACTCCACGCACCGCCTGTTTCGAGAAGGACTTATCCTTTGCGGTGTGATCCTCACAGAAGAAGGGACTGGAGGAAGCGGACCGTTTCCGGCTCGAGGTAGAACCTTTGACAGCATCCATGTCTTCCACGTTATCCGATCTCAAGGGTTTGAGTTTAGATACATCCTGCCGGAGGCATCTCATTGCTCCCAAAGCGGTTGCATGGACAATGCGTCGACGTGTATACATGCACCTTTTCCTGCGGATGCATTTTACGGACTTTGATGGCTCATCCGCAGCGCTGGTTCCTACAATAAAAGCCCACCTTGACAGCCAGGGTACACTACATCAAAGAATAGAATCACTCCTGCCACGATACTGCTAGTCTCCGGAATCAGCGTACCCATCACTGGCAATTTTCCTGATGATCAAACCAGCATTTGATACTGTGGGCGGCGTTTGAGACTCCAGTCTCGATCACATGTCCAGCATGTTCTACGCCGGAAGCCACAGTGTGGGCGGCCGTGGTGGCACCAGAAGCAACTTGCTGTCCAACACTTTCGAGTTTTGAAGTGGCCACCGCCAACTCCGACGCGAGCGTGTGCGTCACGAAGTTTCCAACATGCTCTGAAATAGCGGACTGCACTTGAGCGGCATGTTTGGCAACCTCGGATTGCACAAGATGCGCGACGGATTCGACCTTGGATGTGGCCGTGTTGACAGCTGAGGCAGCCGTCCCTAGCGGTCCTACCGTTTCTGAAAGGAACTTCTGGAGGATGGGCGTGGGCATGTGGGTGGGCTGCGGAATCTCCGAGACACGCGTGATGGGCATGCATTGGGAGTACAGTGGGGTGGCAGTCGATGCTAATGTGAAAGTCTTTCCCTTGCCCCAAAAGTAGGCTCGACCGGATACAAAGGCACCAACCTCTTCGGCGACGTCAAGCTGGAGCTCCACGCCACGGGATGCACTCTCTTGACCGCATGCTGGCTTTTCGTCAACGCCTTTTGCACGTACGTTGAGTGTGCCGCCTCCGATGATGAAACCCGCCTGGCCTCCAGATATGATGTCTTCGAGTGCAAGTACCAGTCTCATTTCTTGGCCCATTTTACCCGTGATCGAAATTCCGTCGGAGAAAGCAGGCTCGACCGCTTCGATGCGAGGGTTCCAGCCGCTTGCGTCAATGTTCTTGGGATTGGAGAGGTCGAGCTTGAATTCTGACTCATCCGCCAGTGTGATATTGTAGCCAGCTGACAAAGCTACTGGTTCTGGATTTCCTCCCAGGCCGGCGCGCAACAGCAATTCGACTCCCAGGCCTACTTCAAAAAGGCGAATGTTGTGAAACACCAGAAACAGTCCCATGGCCGGAACGGGCGCTGCGTAGACCACGAGTCTATGGTCGATGACCTTCTTCTGTGCGCCATAGACAGACGCATTCAGCCTCATGAGAGCGTTTATACCGTGCGATGAGATGGTGATCTCGCCCTTGATGATATTGCGCCAGTCTGGCTGGATGTCAAACTTCATGTGCAAACTCCCATGGATGGTGCACCCATCACACAGTATAGAGCCGCCTGGTTTTTGCGTACCGATCACCGTGTCCTGGATGATCAATCCACTTCCGAATCCATATCCGACTTGCGGGATATGGACAGAGACATCAACCATCCCGCCATGAGAGCTGAAGCCGCGCTTTGCGGGTCGATCTGGGAGGATGCCTTTGCTATTCGCTTGAAGGTGCCAATTTTGAAAGGCCTCTTTTGGCTCTTTTGGTTCTGCCACAATTTTAATGCTGTTCTCCTCACTGTCGAAATGAGCCTCACTTACGTGCCAGGGCTGTAGGAATCCCGGGTCATGGGGTCCCCTGTCACAATGACTGTTCGTGGTCACGAATATGATGTAATTCTTCTGAGCCGTGTTCACCCACTCCCAGTCTTGTCTAATCTTCTGGAACTCGACCTCTGGCAAGAATTGAAGCCTGATCGAGTGGTCTGTGCAGTTGGCCCAGTCGAGAAGTCCGTCGAGGCGGCCCAGCGAGAGTATGCGCTCATGGATGCCATTGGTGTAGACTGTTAGATTCGAAATGGGATGGTTCGCTATAGAAGAACCTGGTCAATTATCTGCTCTGACTTCCACCGAGCATACAGTGATTACCATTCAAACCGTGGTAGAAGCTCTCACTGTCTGTTTTCAAGATAAATTGCTGCTCCGGGGGAGAACGACGAAAGTTGTAGTCAACAACGTCCGGTGGAATTGGTATGACCGTCTGGTTGCGAACGCCGTTACCATCACCTGGTCTGATGGGCACCGCTCGAACTCTGTCGGTAGAAGAGCCATGTCTCCGAGCAGCCGCAAGAGCGGAAAATAACGAGATTGGCAGCAAGTGACGGAGGTGCATGGTCCGGGGGGCGATTGGCGCTGTAAAAAAAAAAATGGTAGCCAGATGGGGCTAGAGAATCCAGTCAGCATTGGTGTGAGGCAGGTCCAATGTCGAACGATGCAGAGGATCGCCTGGATGAGACAAGAATTCAAGATTATCCAGACTCGCAAACAGTGACCATGCACACGCGGAAGAAGTTCTGTTGTGCATTTTCTTTCCCGTTGATAAGGCCCACGCACCGAAGGTTGACCCAGCTGACAGTCTCGCTGTGGACCATGTGGTTTCTCTTACTTTTGGAAGACGAGCTTGTCTTATTGCGATCTCTATGCCTCTCTCGTGGTGTGTGCATGCGTCTCGTCGCTGTTGTAGGACACGTCGAAGTCGTCAGGGACGAACAAGTCCCCTTTGAAGAGATATCTAGCGGTGCGAACAAACGAAAGCGTCTCAAAAGTCGGGAAGCCTTTCTCGTCAGGTGCGCCAGTCTCAATCGATATTGGTAAGATGCCGGACGGATGATGTACATGGAACACGTTCTTCTCCAGCGCTTCCGGTCGCATGATCGCGGCCACAAGGGATCCGCGAACACGACTACACGCAGCAGTGCACGTTGCGCCTGCACCTGCCATTGCTGAATGACAAGCGTTGTCAAGAAACAGTCGCGACTGGATGTGTGCTTTTGGATCCGGTGTCTCTGAGAGTAACGCCACCATTGGCAAGATTGGGGAATCTTTGTCGACGGTTGATGGATCGCGACACAGGCCCACGGAATATGCAGCCTTGCCACGGAAGGCTCTGACGCGATCGAGAAGCTCTTTATCCTCATTGATGGACTTTGGGTGTTCGTCGCCTTTCAGACCAAAATCGCTGGCTCTGGCGAAAGCTATGATGTGGGCGGCATCGCAGATACTGTATTCTATCGTTCGGCCGTTCAGCTCCATGGTATCTAGAGGCTTCCCGGTGGGTATGAGGCCTCTGTCAACGCCGCCCCCGATTGTCTGCGTCTTGTCAGAAGCGTTCTCGTCATTTGCACGGGCTACGAACGTAGCGATAATCCATCAATATTGGCGACCCACTGCCTGGACATCCTGCAATCTCGTAACCTCCCTTTGCAGTGAAGCGTCCCTGCGCATCGATAGGTACGTGTGCCACTAGAACCTTCTTGGTGCTCAAAGGCTGAAAGATCCTGACTTCCTGCGTTGTGTATCCCTCTGCGGCACTGCCGAGTCTCTTCTGTCTGACCAACCCCTCATTAATGGCGAAAGGTCCTACTCCAGAAGAAATGTTTCCGCATCCGGCGTCGTAATCTACGAAGCGCTCGTTCACGGAGACTTGCGCGAAAATGAAATCGACGTCAACGTCCTCCCGACGAGAAGGCCGAATGATGGCGACTTTGGAAGTCACTGGGTATGTACCTCCCATGCCATCGATTTGCATTGGATCTGGCGAGCCCATCACTCGCATTAGAAAGCGGTCTCTGGAAGGCCCTTGGGGAGGAATGTCCTTCTCATGGAGGAAGAGGGCTTTGCTGGTGCCACCACGCATGTAGACTGCGGGTACCGTGTCTTGATGAGACTCCATGGCTGTACTCACGACCAAGTAGTTGCTGTTTGAACGAGTAAGAGAATTTGGTGGATACCAGAGAACGGATGGAGTCTCGCCTCGACATCCGTCGCTTGAACGGATATGTGAGGAGAAGTACCGAGGCAGTATGCGGTGTGCGACTCATCAAAGGCGGCAAAGATACGACATTGGGTCGTTTCACACATTATGTCCACTTCGAACAGGTGAAGCCATATAAACAACCTGTGAGAGCGTGGCCACTGTGTGGTATTCTCTGCCATAAGGTCAACACTCTCTGTATGGCAACTGTGCGGTACGCTAAATATAAGTGGAGACAAAGTGCTTGTCAGTGCAAGACTCATCAGCACGCTCCTCTGAAAGTGGCCACGACAGCGGACACGCATGAGAGGGCGAAGTTCAACAGACGAGGCATTGGAGCAGCCTGTCCTCTCTAGTGTGCAGCAAAAGCACTCTCAGCCGCATGCGAAGCAAAAGCCACCACAACGCGCAGGGCGGTGGGACGGATCGGGCAGTAGCAGCACGCCACTGCGGCCATTGCCAAGTCCAACAACCAGAGAGAATGACGCTGGAGCACAGAGAGTCGAATGGCAGGACGAAGAGCCGCGAGATCTATTGCAAAAGGGAGTGAGGCTTTGCAAAAGGCTATTCCTTGTCCTTCGCCTGCGCTCGGTTCACTGTACGTCCACCCAAAAGCACAGTCCCTTCTATACCACAGCGAATAGCTGCGGTGGAATCGTAACCTGCAGCACTGCAGATCGATTAGTGGATCTCTCAACAGCTTTTTCGATGCAAGAGCGATCTTTTAAGTATTTTTCATGTCGATCAGCGAAAACATGCTGTCGGTTTGCCGGTACGTCGAAGGCACAGCACGTCGGTCGCAGTGGAAGGTCTCGGATGCCCACAACTGGGAAACGATGGTCTGGACGACTCTTGATTCGCGTAAAAGTCCGGAGAAAAGAGCATCACAATCGATCATCGATGCTGTGATAACCTGGACCACTCGCAAGTTGCAGGACTGCTCTGCGGCTGTAACTTGTCGATCTCAGCATACCATAACGGATGCCATCTTCGCGATCCTTTTGGTTCATTTCGAATGCAACGTTGGTCCACAGTAGATATCTCGATCCGGCCAATGTCGGAAATCCTTTCGATTCTCGCAGGCGCTTCCTGCCCACGTGCACAACGTGAACGTTGCAGTTGGAGCTAGCCGTGTAACATGCCTTCCAAACAGTCGCCTTGGATACTCTGCAGGGTGGTGGGTGCCCACTTGAGTCAAAGTGACACGAGTTGGAGCGGTATATCAATCGTCCGCGGTCCTGCACGGGAGGTCTGTTGCAGCAAAGCAATCGTCAAGAGGATTACGTCGAGCGAGACACAATCGCGGCCGTTGCAGCCGTTGTAAGCGAACTCGGCTTTACGCCTGGCGGAAACCTTCGGAATTGCCTCCGAATTGGCAGTATGGACTTCTCTGATGACAAAGGTAGGCCATCGTTCTTGGCAGATCAACTATGCGCCAAATTCGGTACAGATGCGTGGTCGGATTCTCGCTCCGGAAGTCTTTGCAGGAGGCTTGTGAAGTTCCACGCCACGTTGCAGACTAGCGGACGCATCTTGACGAACGCGCCCGATGTTTTTGCTGTATCAAACAACCGTAGGGTGCCCGAGAAGGCCCAGAAGAGTCTAGAACAACGCACCTGACAGCATTACAAGGACCAGGTTGCTGATGATGCTATTGCGAGAGACTTTCTGCTGCTGCAAGCCTCGAGTAGCCCACGAGGGCACTGTGCTATGTTGAGCAATCCGGGGCCTGGGGCTCCACCCACGCGGTCATCAAAGCCACTGGGTGATTGAGCTGTTGTCTGAACTCCAAATTCGTGGGAACTGCTTGCAAATGGAGGTCGTCCGCCGGCGTCCACGATCCAACTCCGCCCTACCGTCACCGTATGCACCCTTCGGCTCCATGCCAAGATCCATTCTCAGCAATTTGTCGTAGAGGGCACGACTACGGATGTGTCCAAGGTATGGAGGAAGGGCTTTGCCATGCTATCGAGCTTCGAACGCGGATTTATAACAGATTTCCCGCGCTTGACAATACCGAAGTAGGGTAGCCATCAGGCAGACGGTTTTCCGTTGATTTCCCTCAATAATGGTCTACCCGTAATGAGGCACAGTGTTTCTCATTGCGCTCATGCGGAGGATGCCGCCATCGCTTCGGGGTAATCATGCCGAGCGCGAATGCGGTGCAATGGCCGTCCTGTAGGGTCTTCCTTATGAATGTCATCGCCGGTAGCTCACTTTGTACGCCCAGAGCGCACAACCTCGCCTTCGAAGTTTTGCATACCTAGAAACTCGGCAAGCCGTTTCTCTTTTCACTCCATGGACGCACGCAGGCAGCAAGACTTCGACATGGAAGCATTATGGTACGTTCAAGTGCCTTCTATACCGTACGAGCCACGGCAGTCCCATGTCTTTCTGCCGCAGAGTTTTGACATGTCTTACTCTGAACAACCGCGACCCACTTCTGGCGCAGGCTTTGCGAGCGCATCAAGGCATCGAGTGCAGTCGTCTGCCGATGTCGGTACTTTTGGCGTCCCTTCTACGCCCGCAAGCGCATACTGGCCGAGAGCGCAAGGCCAGCAATTGTCTCACGGGCATAGAGGAGCTGAGCTCCAGTCGCGGGCCGAGAAGATAACAAGAACCAGAACGGCGTGCGACGAATGTAGGAGGAAGAAACAGAGATGTGACGGGAACGAGCCCTGTAGACCGGTACGTATGGCAGGCGCGCGCCTAGAGGTCCAGCAGGCTGAAGGTCATAGTGCTCGGATCAGACCATCGAGTGTCATTACCGTGACGTGCCACCAACGAAGGAGGACGACGTCATGGGCAAGATGTTGCAGCTGGCAGAGAGCTACAACACCACCCTGGCAGCCCTTAGTAAAGACGTGGACGCCATGACTAGCACTCTACGAAACATCGAAAAACGTCTGGATACCTCATGGCGGACGGATCGTCCAGGATGCACAGGTACGCCGGCGTGTTCTCGCTGCGCAGAGACCCAGAAAGAAGGCGAATGGAATGTGTGCCAGACAGCCGAGCTACAAGACGACTTCCAGGCCCGGCCAGCCGCCAACCAACGATCAAACTGCCATCTCAGAAGATGAAGGGGCTGGCTGCAGCAGGATCGAAGCCCACAGCCTTTCGTTTGCGAGGTTCACGGCGATCGCATTCCTGGCGAGGAACGCGTTGATGATTGAAGAAGCCAGTGAGTATAGCGGTATGCGCTGTCAGGTGGACATATATTCGCGTTCCGGAAGGGCTGGAGTGTCCGCAAAAGACAGAATACTCGAATTTTCTTCGCGAATCGCCAACATCTAACGTATATCGTCAAAGTATACCGAAGGCGCTTGCAGAGTCGTATCCTTGGCTGACAGAAGTGTTCATGCGTTTCCAAGCCTCTCTGGACATTAGAGCAATGTATTTCCAGGTCAGAGACAACCACTCGTCGTTGTATCCGCTGTTGAGTAAGATCGGGTCTCAGACGAGCGGGTGAGGTTCAATCCCGAGACCTTCAGATTCAAACGCCTCTCATTCGCTCATGCCGAAGTCCATGGTTGCAGCTGTACTATGCCTAAAATCACTTTTTCTGATTTGGTGCCGTGGATTGGATGATCTCAGTGCCTGGCGGGGGTTTGGTATGCTTGGTTTTCTTTTGAGTCCGAACCGGCCGTCTAGATCCAATAGGGTACCTCTTCTTCGTTCCACAAGCAGAGCACTGGATGATAAGTGTATCCGCATGGGGCTTTCTGCCGCCTCGTGAAAGATTCTCCACAGATTTTATGCAGGTATGACCTTCGATCAGTACCGAATTGCAAGTCTTGCAGCTGGAGCGTTTGACGGAAGGGTGCAGCCGGATTTGGGATTTCAAAGCTACTTGGCGAAGCTGAGAGGATAGATGAAGTGGCACGCCCCTTGAGAACGGCTCGAGTCGAGAAGCCTCTTTGACTACGGCCGTCGTGTGCGATTCCTCTCCCATGGATCTTTCCTGTTGTCCGCCAGCACCTTCGCTTTGCAAATGTCGACTTGGAGGTGTGTTGGCAACACGCGCGACCGGACTGGAGCGGTGGAGCGTAGCGAGATGCGATGCAGCCTGGTGCAGAAACGAGACTCGGGCGTCAAGATGCTTGGATGTCACACCTTTTGCTCCCTTGGATCTGTCTTTGGCCATGATGCGTCCTGCTCTCCAGGGAGGAGGACTCGGGTTCAATGGCGTGTAGTTCCTGTATTTGGAGAGTCACCTCTCGACAGTCTAGTAGGAGAAGAAGAAGAAGAAGTGAGGTACGCGCGAGTCAAGGGTGATGATTACCGGATGATTACTGAACACATAACCAGTCGTGCAACTTGCAAGTTTGCATTGCCCGGAATGAGAAGAGGCTGAAAATTGTCTGCCTTAGGCACATAAATTCACGGGGAGAGCCGCGCCGCGCCGCGCGCGCCCTGTGCGTGCCTTGCTGTTTGGCCTTCCCTGACTTCCTTCGCTCTCCATCACCTTCACTTTGCACAACCACAATCTCCATCATCACCTCTCCTCGACCGTCGCCACCGAGCATCGCAGCGTCGCAAATACTGCAAGAATCTCCTCGAGTACCACCGCCCGCATCACCTCCCTCCCATATCCGCTTTCGCCAGCCGACTGTCTGCCGCCGACAGGTCGAGGCTGAGGCTTCCGCGCACGCGACAACATCCACCGCAAATCCACCACTAACACCCCACAACCATCAACATGTCTGGCGAGGAAGACCTGATCGACTACTCCGACGAGGAGCTCCAGCCCACCGAGGGCGCCACCGCCACCGGGGCGACGGGCGCTGCCAGCAACGGCGAGGCCAAGAAAGGCGACCTGACTGTCACCGGAGCAGGAGCCAAGGGCAGCTATGTCGGTATCCACTCGGTCAGCTTTCGCGACTTTCTCTTGAAGCCAGAGCTCCTCAAGGCCATCACGGACTGCGGTTTCGAGCATCCATCAGAGGGTTAGTCATCTCCATTGAATATGCTGCTTTGAGCCTCCGAGCCACACACCGAGCGATCGAGGAGCGTCCGTCCATACGTCTAGCGCATCAGAGCGAATCAAGTATAGAAGTCGCGAGCAGAAGAGTACGCCCGGTGCGCATGAGGCATGCGTGGCGGCGCGGTCACGGCTTTCGGGCATCCTGCACTCTACGTCCTGCCTGGGATTTCAGACAAGACTCAGGGCACCATACAGACTTCAAATGGCGGCCCTGATGTACGCGGTCTCGAGAGAGTTGCGGATGCAGCGCTGCAGGGGCGCGAAGAATGCCTCCGGGGGAGGGTCAAGATGGCTACCGAAGACCTGAAAGACTGTCTCACGTGCAACATTCGCGTCTCTAGACAGCGAGTCACGTGTGTTCCGTGAGGACGATGGACACTGATGATGGACGGACGCTCTCTTCGCACTCTTTTCGCGCTACAAACGATTGGACGAATAAACTCTAACATCTTCCTCAACAGTCCAACAAAAATGCATTCCGCAGGCCATTCTCGGAACCGATGTTCTCTGTCAGGCGAAGTCTGGTCTCGGAAAGACAGCTGTCTTCGTCCTCTCCACATTGCAGCAGATCGAGCCCGTCAATGGCGAAGTCAGCGTTCTGGTCATGTGCCACACGCGTGAGCTTGCCTTCCAGATCAAGAATGAGTACGCGCGTTTCAGCAAGTACATGCCCGCCGTGAAGACTTCTGTGTTCTACGGTGGCGTCGACATCAAGAAGGACGAGGCTGTGTTGAAGGACAAGGAGACTCACCCACACATCATTGTTGGAACCCCAGGCCGCCTCAATGCACTCGTGAGGGACAAGAAGCTTCGCCTCGGCAGTGTCAACCGCTTCGTACTTGACGAGTGCGACAAGATGCTCGATCAGATCGGTAAGTCTGAAAGCTTCAACATGCTTCGAATCTAGAAACTGACCAGAGTGAACCAGACATGCGCCGCGACGTCCAGGAGATCTTCCGTGCTACACCTACCCAGAAGCAAGTGATGATGTTTTCGGCCACACTGTCCCAGGGCACACGACCTATCTGCAAGAAGTTCATGCAGAACCCTCTGGAGATCTATGTCGACGATGAGACGAAGCTCACCCTGCACGGTCTCCAACAGTACTTCATCAATTGTGCCGAGGGCGAGAAGAACCGAAAGCTCAACGACTTACTTGACAACCTCACATACAACCAGGTCATCATCTTCGTCAAGAGCACTCAGCGCGCGACGGAGCTTGATCGTCTCCTGCGAGAGTGCAACTTCCCCTCGATTGCAGTTCACTCGGGCGTGAGCCAGGCCGAGCGGTATGTCAATTAGAACATTGCTCGAGTCAATTAGTCACTAATCCTTCAACAGTATCGAGCGCTACACCGCTTTCAAGAACTACGACAAGCGTATCTGTGTCAGCACAGACGTGTTCGGGCGTGGAATTGACATCGAGCGCATCAACTTGGCCATCAATTACGACATGCCAGAGGCGACCTCCAAGGAATTTGATCCGCTCTCGAAGGAGTCCCTCGCCTCTGCGGCAGACACATACCTGCATCGTGTTGGACGTGCCGGTCGTTTTGGTACCAAGGGTGTTGCCATCAGCTTCGTCAGCACAGAGCGTGATGAGAATGTCATCCAGGCCATCGAGTCTCGATTCGAGAAGAAGATTGAGGAGTATCCAGAGGGCGGTGTCGACGTCAAGGGTGGTGAGGCTTAGGGACTCGATTGGCTTCGAGGTACGAAAATGGCCGTGAAAGCTGGCGTCCAAGGGAGAGTCAAGACGTGGCTGCGTTCGTCACCACAAGAGGACCAAATGGGCTCCACGGAATAATGACCTACCGGCTCCTGCTCTTTTTAGGTCAGAGAGGGAATGATGTATTTGTAAAAGCGACGATGCTGCATTCACGATCGAACTGCGCCCCAATGTTTTCAATTAACAAATATGCTGCGAGTCGCTGTACCTGTCGTCTCCCAGAAACGCCGCGCAAATGCTGGAGCCTCACCAGATCGTCCGTGGACCCTCTTACCACAGCTTGTCCAATTTGGTCAAATATTTTCCCACCTTGCCCTCCAAATTTCCAAAACTTTCTGAAATCTTCGGATTCTTTCCCTCGGTGGAAGCAGAGCCTGTCTGCGTCCTCCTGGGCTTGGGGTGATGCGATGTTGCTTCGGCTTCCGTAGGCCGATAGACTTGGCTATGCATGTCTCCGGTATAAGCGCCGTGTGTGTTGACGTCTCCTGCCTGGGCATTCTGCGCGGCGCTGTAGGAATAGTTGCTGTAGCCTCCGCCTGGGGTTTGTTGCTGTCCTTGTTGCTGTTGTTGCTGTTGTTGGAGATGTTGATGTTGTTGCGGTGGAGGAGGCGGGAGGCCTGGCGATTGCAGTGGTCCGGCGGAATAAGCTGGTGGAGCCGAAGGAGTGGGAGGGAGCTGCGAGTTGAAGCCCGGGCTACCGGGGTAATTGGCATACTGGGTTTGTTGTTGAGGATTGTAGTTTGCGTATTGTGTTTGCGCTTGAGCAGCACCATACGAGGATTCACGTGAGAATGGGGTCTGGTTCGATGGCGGAGGTTGCGGGACAGTGCTCTGAGCCATTGGGCCGAAAGATGGTGTTCGTTGCTGTTGAGGTGGAGGAGGCACGCCTCCTGGTGGACCGGGGAAGCTCGACTGAGAGGAAATGCTGCGGTGTTGGGGTGGACCGCTAAAGTAGGCATTGTGCGGTGTTGTCTGAGCTGAGTTCTGGTATGACCCCGGTGCATACGGCTGCTGCGGCACGGTATCGTACTTGGCTGCATTGTTCAATCCAGTACCCGTACCGTCATCAGGCGGAGGGGGCGTCTTCTCGCGATACTGAACAGGCTCTGGAGCTGCTGGCGCGGCGGGGTTGTAAGCCAACGGAGTAACTGGTTTCAGAGATTCTGCAGAGGCTGGAGTTGGAGGACCGGGTAGCGAGTGTGCTGAGACCGCACTGATTGCTCTTGGAGGAAAGGCGGACCCGATAGCCGTCTTCTCCAGCTGCTGCACAACAGGGCTCATAGAGTCGCGGTGCTCTGCATGGGGTGTACTCGAAGCAGGCGCATTCTTGATGTCCAGCTGCTCACGGCTGAGAATCGTCTTCAAGTGACCCAAGAAGCTGTTCGCATCTCTCTCGGTCCAAAGATATAGATCAATCGTGTGCAGCTTGTACATATACTTTTGCTGGTTCCTCTCGTCAAAGCCGGGCAAATGCCACATGGACTGGTCCTGGACAGCAGCAGGATGAACAACGATGGTAAACAGGGTAGGCTGGAGATGTGAATATTGAACAGTGGCCGCGTTCAGGTAGCCATCGAAGGCATCTTGTTCTGCAGTTCCCGCGTGGTTCGCGATCTCTAGTTTTGCTTGCCGCTGGGCCGCGTTGTTGAACAGGTATACATAGCTTCCCCTATCGAATCGATGGTGTTGTGGTACTGACGAGGGCTTGCCGAAGTAATAGTGTACGTCCCCAAAGCTGAGCTTCTGTCAACGATATGCTGTGCTTACTCTTCCTCCGTCCCAGGCCTGTATCTTACACGGTAGTCACAAGAGATTCGCCTGGACCAGCAGGCATTATGTGTTCCTTCGCTTGCTCTTCTCGACGTAATGTTCAAATCCTCAGCGGCAGCCTTTCTTGGGTGTAGAGCAGTTCGTAGATGGTGAGGTAAGCTCTTCCGGCCTCCCGAAGGGCGTTGATGTACTCGGTGGTCAAGGTATGGGATGCCTGGATGGTGAGCAACAGAAGGACGACTTTACAGAAGAGTTCGAGGAGGACGACGGTGAACATCTGCAACGGATGCAATGCGAAGGATACATAAAGCAGCCATTCCTCCAGGTAACGTGCAAGCTCTCGCGTTATGCGCGCTTAGAGAGCCAATAATGAAGTGATGTCTTCCTGAGGAGGATGCGCTAGACTTGCTTAGCTAATCTGCTTGGCTCACGTGACTATAGTGCTCCATAGATTGTGACATCAAACAAACATGCCGACTACGAGATCGTGCGAAATGGTTGACCGGATGAACTTCAGCACGCGGTATTGCAGCGCTGCTTGGAGGCGGACGCGCATAGCAAACCGCTTCCGATTAAGAACGCAACACCAATATTCAGCAAGTCTAGACAGTGTATACCTGACGTTCGAGTACCGCGGGACTATGATCGTCTAGGATTCGCAGTGCAGAAATGTCGTACAATGAGATCGTTCAGGCGCCGCTGCTGACGAACCGCGCTAGGGCACAATCAGATGATATCCCGAGGTTTTACCGGTGATCTCTTCCAGTTGCACGTCTTGACGTAGCAAGTATCGAGGCTGCGTGGGCATTGAAGTGTCCTCTCTCAGCCGGCATTGAAGAGAAATCCGCATTTACCCCTTGCCGTCGAAGGTGGTCAGAGGCTGCAAACAGCAAACGCTGCGACCCAGCATTAGACGCTAATGCTGTAGCAGTCATTAAGATATGAATCAACAGTGCTAAAGTGTAGGTACTGAGCTTAAACAAGCGTGCAAGAGAGATGTTATGCGTTCAGAGCAAGGACTCAGCACCTATCCCATGACGAGCTATGGCTCATCCTTTCTCATCCCGTTTCGTCCATGGCACATATCGAACGAATGTCCATCATAATGAGAGGACCGCATAGTTTTTAGGCAGCGGTGGGATCTGCAAGACTCAAAGTCGCTCTGTGTATATAATGGTTTGGTGATGGCAGTCACCGGATCAATCCAATCGATCCGGTCAGGCTCTTGTTGGGACCTTTACCGCTTCAGTCCAACAGTTTGCTCGCGCCATATCTTTGCAGCAAAAGTCAAATCTCAGTCAATGAATTCCTGTTTGTATAGGCCTTCACGACCAGGAAAGACGACAGCAGCTGCCGAGAGATTCTGCTTTAACAAATGCCACTTCCAAACCATTCCTAGAGAGACCTGAAGACGGCAAGAGATTTGAGGAACCAATCGACCGTCACCGGGCCCCGCGATTCGAAAGAATGTAAGTACGGACCCAGGCTATTCCTGCTCAAAAAGGTGAGTTCACCGCCCCATGACCATCATCAACGTCAAACCTGCCCTTTTTCTCATGATTAGAACAATTTTGCCGAGCGGAGGAAGCGCCTAAACAATTGAGGCGTCCACTGAAGACTCGAAGAGCTGACATCGCCTGAACCGAGAGCAAAGCAAGCTGCACAAGTAATGTTCAGGACATCTCAACTACATTCAGCACGATATACTGATGTTCTTCCATAGATGAAGCGGAAGAATTGGAGTGCGACTTCGAATCCTTCTTGAACGCGGCTCCGTGGAAGTCCTGACTGACTGTAAGGGCATTCGATAGGGTTGATCAGAGGCCGAGCTCTCCGTTCTCGATGTTGTAGAGACCTTTACGAGCCGGGAAGGATTCGATATAGGAACTGTCGCGAAGCACGCTTGCAAATTGTAGCTTTTCCACGAGACAGAATTCGAAGTCTGTGGGATACTGCGAGGCAAACGTGGACATTAGAACTGGGTCTGATCAACCGGGTATGTGATAGCATAGTGACCTTGGGTCGGTGGTCTCCGAGGTCTAGAACCAGAAATCCATCGGGGAAAGAGTTGGCATATGGCGAAGTAAGGTAGAGACTGTCATTGCGGCGACTTCAGAGCCCGTGCACTGCACCCACGATGAATGGAGTCAGGGAGATTATTGCACCTGACGTTGAAACACTCGTTGTTTGAAGAGGCTGTAATGAAAGGGCTCGACCGTGTCTCTCCAACACGTGATGGCGGAACTTGGTCGGCGTGCGATCGGCTCGCTGGTCCAAGGAGTGCTCCAGCAGACCGGAGCATGCAGGGAGCACCGCAACTGGTCTTCCGTATGCGTGTACTACGTCTTTCCACTGCTCCGGTATACCTAAATCTGCTTATCGCACATGGATCCGGATTGTGAATTTGCAGCTTATATGCTGATGAGACGCTCTCACGCTGTCTTGCATTACTCTCGAGCCGGTGCGAGCTAGGATAGTCCCATATCAACCATACCTGAACATGAAGCAGTGCCATGTGCTTCACTTACGACAACTTGGGGCACCTCGGCATCGACCTTTTCGCGTCCAATAGATGCCACCTTGGCCTTTGGCAGTTCTTTGTGGCCGAAGGTGCCTGCGGACAGCCCTCCCTCCGCAGGATTGTGTACAGCCGAGCATCTATTGATCCGATGCAAGTAGACGAGACGCATCGGTGATCTCCTCGTCGCGGAGCCTGTAGTCCGCCAGATCACGGGAGATGGTGTAGAGGGAGACGCTTTCGTTGGAGAAGCCGAAACGGTTCCTTCGAAGGCCTAGAGCTTGGTGAGCTTGAGTTGTGTTCGCGCGACAAAAGCTGCAAAGCCGCGTATGTCGTACTCTCGGACATGGAGCTCAGAAGTAACAGACACCCCGCTGAGCTTCAGTACATGTAGTGGCTTGCATGCATGACGATAGTATGTCTGTGGGGGAAGGAACCGGACAAAGACGAAGAGTTTTTAGCTGTTGCGCGTGGCAGAGAAGGAGATGTTGTAGCGGAGGATGGCGAAGTTGTGTGGAAGCGTACTTGTTAGGAAAGTGGTACATCTTCATCGCACAGTATATGCCAGTCTAAGCGTGATTCGAAGGAACTATCCTGTCGTGGTTTATTGCTCGCTAACTGTTTGGTGGCTGACATTCCAGAGCGGTCTCGGCGGCAGGATTATTCGGAGGTAATCAATCTCATCGAATCGGGCCTGTTTAGGTACGTACTTTGGAGCTGCACTCTACAGGCGGACGGCCACGCAACACTCGTTCTCCAGAGTCAATCTTTCGCCTTGCATGTGCTTTTCCGCTTCACTCGTGGCACGAGAGGATTTCGACTCCTATTCGTTACAGCATGAGACGGCAAGTCGAAGCTCTCAAGCAGTGAACACTATCTCAGTATCCGCAGGTTGACAGTGGGCTAGGTGTCGGTAGTGCTGGCTTCCAATCCCATCCGGTATGTACTAGAGCGAGGGCTCTTGTCGGCTTCTCAACCGGATCCTTGGCGTTGCAGATTACAGTAGCGGTATTATTTTCACGACAGGCAATGCTCGCCGGTAGGAAGAATTCAGCGCCGGTGTCCGCGACAGGATGACGATGACGATGACGATGACGATGACTAGGGAAGCGGCAAGTAGTATCGCACGGGGCAATAATGGACATGGACGTCTTGCGAGTAGTTACTGCGAGATAGGCGCTGACTGTGCTTCAGCTAGGCGGTCAGCGATCAGGAGCAAAACGAGCACATGAGATGGCGTTTCGGCTCGCTGGGCGCGTCAAGGTGCCGGCAAATTGTTGCTGGTGAGCTGGCGAAAGGAGGCGATTATTTTCTTGTGGTGCAGCGGGAGGGAGGAGCATGTGATGGCTGTGCGAGGCAGGCGTGGAGCCGAGGAAAAGCAGGGCCAGCGGTGCGTGGCATCTCTCAGCAGGCGCGGGATCATGCGGCGTGTTATTAGGTAGGCTTACTACTGGTGCTGTGGGTGTGGGTGTTGCGGCGAAGAAATAAATGCCTCACTGCAGGGAACTGGCGCGGGTATCTGCAGGAGCGGTCGATGCCAGACAGGCACAAAAGCGGCGCCTCCTGCATTGCATGTTGGTGTCGTTGGCCGCGCGACTGAGCCATGTGCCCTCTGCAGCAATGCAGCGTCGATGCAAACAGGCAGAGACGTCCGATGTTCATTCCAAACGGGTGGCATCGAAAAGGATGCCTGTGGCAGAGTCAAGTATTGATTGATGGATCGAACGATTGATTGATTGATTGATTGATTGACGTCACTCTTCTCGGCGGGCGCCACCGACGAATCTGCTAAGAAATTGAGGGCTGTCTCGGTCAGCCGGCGAAGAGGGAACGCGCTTGTGCACGGGTGTGGTGTGGTGCACAACCACACAACTACTAATCAACATTCCCAGCGCTGCCGTGCAACAGGCCACCGGCGCGCAGGCATTTGTTGATATTATTACTACTCGATAGGAGGGAACAGTGGAGAAGGGACAGAAAGCAGCGATATCTTCCTCGAGTCTTCTTTGTTGCCCTGTGCAGGGCGGCAGTGCGGTCGGCCAATCGCAGCGCTGGCATGGCGTGCAAAGCGCTAGGGCGATAGCGTTGCAGTCGACGGAAGGAAAATTGCCGTACGGAAGCACAGGCCTTGGGTGCCTCATTTGGACCACTCGCCCGCTTCTTGTGTTCCACCCGCGCTGCACTGCGCTGCTCTGCTCGGCCATTATCATCACTACCACTACCACTACCACTACCACTACCACCACCTTTCCACCTTTCCACCCTTCCACCCTTCCACCATTGGACCTTTCTACCACACGCACCGTCGACATCCCAACACCCACAGCACATCACGTATCGCCCGGCTACGTCGGCTGCCCTGCGAAACGCGTTCAGACACCCACGAGACATCATCGGCACTCTCCTGCCGGGACTTCCTCACCTCTGCGGTCCGCCACTCGCGGCCCTCACAGCCCTGCGACTGCGACCTGCTTTCCAGCGACTTCCTGCATTCATAAAACGTCCACTCTCTACAGCCACCCTATCCTGGCTCCTCGCAACACCTGCACGTCATCACATTCTGGGCGTATCACCGCATTCACCCACCGCTTCACCTCCACCGCCCGCCATAAACTTCCTCTCCTCCTCCCTTCTCAGCGACAATCGCCATAATCTACACCCATACGCCATGTCTCTTTCCTTATAGCAACCGCGGCCCGTCGGGTCGCATCCTTGACGCGCGCAGCGTTCACCAACATCACACCTCGAGCGCGGTCTTGCTCGACCGTGCCCGCCGCACCTTTACACACACCGAAAACCTCGATTACCTACATCCAAACCACACTCCGATTAAAACGCCGATATGGACCACCACGCCACCGCACAACGCACAATCCAGCCCACCAGCAGCAGCATGGACCCAGTCGAAGATCTGACCGCTGAGGTCGACGAACCACCCGACGAACTCAATCACGCTTCCCACATCCATCACGCTTTTGACAAAGCCAACCCGCGCATGTTAAATCGGAGGGAGTCGCTTCTCACTCGACAATTGCATTCCGAGACCGAACACACAGACGAGGAGGACATGTCTCGGAGACCGCCACGTGCGCTCAGTACACAATCGACTTGGAGCAACCCATCCGTGGCCTCCACCGCAGAGCTCACGAGCGATGATGGCCACAGCGTTGCAAGCCCTGCCATCAGCCCTCTTCTCCCGCCCACCCACGTCCGAAGTATCATACCGATCAGCGAGAAGCCAATGCCTTTGACCAAGGAGCCTCAGATCATTGGACATGAGGAGAAGGTCGCCGAGACTGCCCCAGAGAAGTCTGTTGAGGAAGGCCTGGGACGAAAGCGATGTATCAGCTTCGCTTGTGGTAACAAGGAGAAGACGGCCCCTACATCACAACCTGTGCCGTCTCCGCCAAAGGAGGTCGAGCCGCAGAGCTCAGAACCGCCAAAGCGGAAATGTACGCTCAAGTTCGTCTGTCCAACCCGTGGCGGTGCCGAAGCCAAACGTGTGGATAAGGCGTCCATCGGCCCACGACGTCCAGTAAGCCCAGCGCCTCCGGAGCGGAAGTCTTTGAAAGGAGACGAGGCCAAAGCACATCGAGGATCTGACAGCACTGTTACCCATGTATCTCCGCGCAGCGTTCGGAAGACTCCCGTAATCGTCACCACTACCGGGACACCAGCTACACCCAACGTCGGGATGTCAACCCAACGCAAATTGTCCAACGATTCAGACATGAGCACTGCCGCTACCCGCTTTCACGAGTTCGCCTCTAGTGAAGACGAGCCGGAGGAATGGGTCCAGGAGTCTACATGCCACCGGAGCCGGCTGACCGTGAGTGACACTTTGCAGAAAGAGAACATCATCCGTAAAGCTTGCGAAGAGGTAGAAGAGGAGGTGGTTGCGGAGGAAGAGGAGGAAGATGAAGACGAGGATAATCTGGATGACGGAGATGACGACGATGCCGATAACGACGATGAGGAAGATGGCATTGAAGCCGAAGAGGAGTCTGACGATGGCTTTCACACGGATGACGAGGATGGATTTGCTGAGTCGGACTCTGAAGGCGAAGAGAGCGACGAGGATTGGTGGAGACCAGGGGCTCTATCAACTGCAGCGACTTCGATTGATCACCTGGACCGCCTAGCTCTGGCCAAGAAGGACAACACCGCCCCATCTTCGTCTGTGGGATCTGCCAGCTCAATGCACTCGGGCAATCACTTCGCTCGACCTGTCCCGAAGAATGTTCATCGCAGACACCACAAGCTCAATGTGCCTATGCGTACTCGTGCGGCCCCCGTGGATCTTCCAGACTCGACCGACTTCGTCTGTGGCACTTTAGACGAAGATCGTCCATTGGAGCAAGCATACCTGAATCACTTGAAAGAGAAAGAGGCTGCCAGGCACAAGGCACGACCTCAGGATATTGACCCTAGCTTTCCTACTTCGGACCCAGAGCTTGACGAGGAGGATGATGAAGACCTTATTGACTCCGAAAGCGAAAAGGAAAATCTGATACACGGAGAGCTCGAGGAACTCGACGGTGACCTGACTGCTCGACGTCGAGCTTCGCCTCGTCCTCGTGCACGAAGCAACGCTCATCGCTCGCCGCCACCACCTGTCCGTCACCGATCTCCAGCTCCGGGGCCGCTGAAACGTCAGTCGACCGCTCGTTCCCCTCCGCCTCCAGTCCGGAGAAACACGGCCCGTTCTCCACCACCTCGCAAACTGTTCGGTCATTCGCCAAATCGTGCCCGGTCGCCTGCACCCGTCAATATGATGACTTCACCGCCAAACACCCGTCGCGCATCGCCCTCGACTGGGCATGCCTTTGAGGCTACCGCAGATATACTTGCCAGCCGACCACAGCTTACTCACACCGCATCCCTTCCTCGCGGTGGCTTCATGCTTGGCAAAATGAGCTCCCTTCGGACCGGTGAATTGGTAGCGGAAGACGTCGTTGGTGATAACGTCAATGGAGACATCCCGAAGCGTGGCGCGATTGACATTTTCAAAGGGCTCGAAAAGAAACGCCAGCGCAGGAAGGAGAAGCTCTACCAAAAAGCTTGTGCCAAGGCTGCCGCCAAAGGCGAGAAGGCTTACAAAGTCAAGCCTGGCAAAGGCGCTGAGCGCATGCGAGAAGTAGGGCTTGAGCTCCAGCGCTACCACGGCAAGGGAGAGCACATCCTGTCAATGTAGAGCGGAATTGGCTGCAGTCTACAATGACTTGGACGTTTTTTGAAAACTTTGCTTCCTGTGCGAGCTTGAGCACAGCGCCGCCGGCAAAGCCCCGGCACTTTAACGGAGGACTTGGAGCCTTTTTGCTCGAAATCTCTGTCTGGTCGCTGCGCTCGCCCAAAAAAATCAATTCTTTCAATTCTCGAGGAGCATGCATGAATGGGAGGATTTTTCATAGCACCGTTTTTAGGTCTGAGCGTTCTCGCAGCGGAAATGGATTCATCAGGGAGGGGGCGGCTTTTTCTTGAGGGCACGGTTCGTTTCTTTCCATGTCACATATTTTGGAAGTCTCCCAACAAGGCCTCGCAACCTCGTGGCCCTGTTCTGAACTATATCTTCTTGCCTTTGTCGTTGTCGCTGTCGTTGTCTCGCTGTTTCACGTCTGTGCGCAGATTCACAGTGATGGGTTACCTCCTTCCTATTCAGGAGAAGGGTTGCTAGGAGGAGGGAGGAGGCTCTTTCTTGATCGGTTTGGGCGAGAGGATGGAGGTTCTGCAAACTATTCGAGCTGATCGCGTCGATGGAAGAACGGTGTGGAGCGGTTCTATCATCACAGATGGTAGGAGAAGTTCGTGATATCGGTATCGATTTTCGCCGCGGCTGGGTGAAAAGAGTGGCGTGTTGAACAAAGTTGATTGTGGTAATAGAAGATTCAACAGAAGACAGAGCAACTACATAGAGTGGGATTGTGATACTCATACCAGCAAGAAAAGAACAAATGACCCGTCGATTACACCTCCTCCCAGTAGCAGAATGATAACTCCGTCGTTCTAATGCTCTTGCCGCTTTGCACTGCCCTCCCTCATACTGTCTTACCCAAAGCAGGAGAGCTTTGGCTGCTGCGTCTCGACACTACTGCAGCGCCACATGTCGACCAAGCAGAGCCGAAACATGCCGGAAATCTCCCCAGAGCTTGCCTGGTCAAACGCCTTCTTTCCTGCCTGTATAAGGAAGCATTGGCGCCGATTCATGCTTGTTTGCCGCATTGAATGATTGCATCGCTCCGTCGTCGGATAAATTCTTAGTCCCCATGTTGGCGCGTGAAACTCGAGTAGTGCTGCTGGGATACACTACAATCTTTCCCACACCTACGAGGGGGTGTCAGGTTCCCTTCGGAAAGACGTTGCGTCGGTCCTGGAAAAACTTTGCGTCGGCGCTAGTCCCCCCGAGCTGCGCTCGTGAGTCTGGATGGTTACTTTCTTCATGTCAATAGCACCAATAGGCGACACTGTGCCGGCACTGTTGTGGAGAGGCGAACGTATGCTCCCGGAGCCGATCTGTAAGCCGTCCCGAAATCACCTCCGGAATACCTCCTAGTAACTCTGTGGAAACTGGCTGGCTGGCTGTTCGAGTAGTCAGTAGAGCTATTGGCTAATGACATTAGCATTGAGCTTCACTCACTGGGCTGTTGAGCATGTTCTGTCGCTTGTTACGTCCTTTCTTGATGTGACTCTTCAGAGCACTGGAATCAAGAGGCTTCAGAAGCTCGAAAGAACAGAGCAGCTCCGAGGAGACACTCATGACCGCGCCCCAGTTATCGAATTCGCCGCAGTACTAGACACAGTCAGCCACAGGTCTCGTATCTTGAGGGTGTGAGCAACTTACGTTCGGTGCTGAGAAGACGGTTACCAAGATCCTCTCATTAAAGAACTCGTATCCGTCTTCGACAACCATGTGCGCCCTGCACACCAGATCAAAGTCATGCTTTTGTAAAAATTCCATGATGACCTTCTTTCCAAAACAATAGCTGACTCCCCTCTCGTTAGCCTCCCAGTCGGAGTCCATCTCAGCCGGATCAGACCAAAGCAAATCGTTCAGCAGTCCATAGTCTGGGACGTCTGTCGGTCGTGCAATGTTTCTAATGTCGTCCATGTGTGATAAGGAAGGGCTGAGACCACCATGCACACAGAAGATCTTGCCAGCAACGATAGCGGCAATAGGAATGGTGTTGAATGTATCAACAAACGTCTTCCAGACCTTGACGTTGCAACGGCGCTTGCACTCGTCGTAGAAGCCATAGACGCGCGTTACGTTCGCGCATTCATGGTTTCCACGAAGCAAGAAGAAATTCTCGGGAAATCGTAGCTTGTAGCAAAGAAGCAGCAAGATTGTTTCCAAACTTTGCTTGCCACGGTCAACGTAGTCTCCGAGAAACAGGAAGTTGCTGTTGGGTGGAAATCCGCACATCTCGAACATACGGATGAGATCCGTGTACTGGCCATGAACGTCGCCTACAATCTTAACCGGCGGCGAGAGTTCCAGCAGAGCCGGCTGCGACAAGAACAACTCTCGCGCAGCGGTGCAAATGGCAGTGATTTCCGCGTTTTTCAGGCAGACCGTCTTTGTCACCTTGCCGGCGTAGCCTGCGTCTACCAGACGCTTGATCATGTCGTCTAGGTCAGCCGGTTTCAGTGCACCAATATCCATGCTTCCAGGAGTTGATGCGGACCGCGAATCCACTTCAGCGGCGATCTGCAAAGCTGCGGCGGCACCTTGGCTTGGCAAAGTCTTCTTCACCAGAATGGATTCAGTGGGCTCCTTGTTATGCGATTGATGAATCGTTCCCTGTGGAGGAGCATCTGAGACCGCATCTACCTCTCCGCTTCGCTGAGCCTCTGATAGATCGCTGTGTCCGCCTCCCACACTGGCCGACATTGTCGGTGAAGGCGGTGGCTGTGGTTCATCTTCGTCCACCAGGCTGCCTCTGCGCGGTGTTTCTGAAGACGACGGATTCCGCGAGTGCCTCCTATCTGACCTCCCACTGGTAGCCGATTTGACTGATTGCGAGTCTGTCTTGTCCACACTGCTCGTAGACTGGTCGCCAGGCAGGTTGGTAGTAGAGGCACGGGGGCTATCGGCTGTTGACTTGCCGGGAACTTTGTTGCGCAAGGCGGTCCTGAAGGAGCGCGCCGACTCCCTCGTGTCAGACTTGCTAAAAGACGGGTATGAGTCCAAGCTGGGGCCTGTGGGGGTCTGCGAGCCGGTGCTGGCTTTGTCGCCCTTCTCTCCCTTCTCTCCCTTGGACGGCTGGTTCCCCATGATGCGACACCGAATTAGGTACTCGCGTGAGATATCTCAATTACTATCCTCCTCGTTTCCCTGGTAATGATTGCAAGCGAGAGGATCGAGAGGGGGCGATAAGGAAAACGCGGTCTCGTGATGCGTGAGTATTCTGCTCCAAGAGGGCAAGTGGTTAGGGTGGTCTGTACAGTCTCGCCAAGTAGGCCAGACAATGCGCCTTGGCGGAAGCGGTGGCTATTGCTTTGGCATATGCGCTGTTGGAGGTGCGGCCTGCTCCAGGAACGCGATGAGGCGCTCGAGGGTCAGCGTGTTCTCGGCGACGGTCCAGAGTGCTGGATGACGCTGGGGCGGAGGGCAGCGGGCGGCGGTGGAGGAGATGTGCGGAAGGTAGTCGCAATGGTGATGTTCCCGTGCACGAGCGGATGCAGTGAGGACGTGTAGGGGAAGGTAGGTGTTGGTGGTGATGATGTCTGGACTGCGGTCTGTAGTGAACTCTGGGGTACGGGTACGTATACGGGTAGGGTAGGGGTACAGCAAGTCGATCCTGCTGCCCTCACTGCGTGAATGACTAACTACGTCGAGCCGGTGATAAGCGAGCCGGTTCTACACGACCGTGGAAGACGCAGACCTTCGCAGGAACGAGGCTCTATTCATTGCCCTTTCTCAGCGTGCCGAGATGGAGACAAAGAAGACAGTAACACTACGCAGCCAGCTGAGGCAAAGAACTCCTCCACGTCCTCAAGGGTAAACAAAAGTCTTGGCATCAGCATGTACACGGTCTACTCCGCACGCAATCCATGGATATGTCTCTGGCCTCGCGCGTGATGAGGCGCCTGCTCAGCAAATCACGGACGGCTTCCGTCCAAACAAACAAACAAACTACGCTTCGGAGGTGGTCAGCATCTCTGCAGCATGCACCCTCCAGACAGCCGACCCTTGGGGATGAGAAATCTTGGTTTGTCTTGGGCACGTTGCACACGACTCGTCTTCGGCAAGACCCTGTGGCACTGCCATGCTTGCCTTCACATGTTTGTCATGGTACACATCTAGCTAACACCTTCCTCCTCCATCTCCTCTTCCCATTCATCCTCCAGCACTGCTTCCCCAAACACGCTACTCCACACTCGGTCCCACAGGCCCTTCTTCTGCATCATAGCCAGTACCAGCACTATGGGAAGCTGCCAAACACTCGCCCAGAATAATGCTCTGGCTGAGCCCTTCTCACCGTTGAGCCTCCACATCTTGATTGCTTCTCGTAGCATCCAGGCGTTGATCACGCTGCTTGTAGCAACAAACGCAGGGTCTGTTACTTGGTAGTAGCTCAGCGCGGCGCAAATGGGGAACATGGCAAAGCTATAGCGCAGTGAAACCCGCGCCGCCATTGGGATGTTGGACGACGTCAGCATCTTGTACCCAGCGTTGGCGTACTCGTGCCTCACACCGTGTGAGAGCGCAAAGAAGTGAGGAAACTGCCAAGCGAAGAGTAATGCTGCAATCAACCATCCTCCAATTGCTTGCTCGGTGAAGAGCAACTCCTTGAATTCCTGCCCTATCGTTGCCGGGTCCGATAGAGAAGCGTCCGTTGTGCTGTATTGGCTTGCTGCAGCACACCAGCCCATGAGGGGCGGAATGGCTCCGACAATGGCTCCAACCCACGTATTGACGGGATGCAGTCTTTTCGAGAAAGTGTATGCAAATCCATACAGTGCTATGTTCCCGGCACCCAAGAGTGCGGTCGTGGGATTGACTCCGTACCACAGGACTCCTGTGCCGAAAAGCCCTGTTGCAATCGCAAAAAGAACGGCAGCCCTTCTGCTCAATAGTTTGCGCACCAATGGTCTGTTTCTTGTCCTGCTCATCTTCGCGTCGAATTCAGTCTCAAAGAGCATATTCAATGCGTTGGCAGAAGCTATGCAGGAGAAGGTCCCGCTCGTGAGGAAGAGGAGCGTGAGAGTGCTGAGCGAAGGAGCATCCGTTACTGAAGTGCTGAGGAGGGCCGGCACTGGGTATATCGAGTACGAGGCAGTCGTCGTGAGCACAATCAGGAATGCAAGTCGTGGCTTGGACAGAGCCAAGTAAGTCGAGATTATGCGTCGCCAGGAATTCGCAGGCGCCGCGGCAGCGTCCCGAGAGAGCGTGGAAGACGCATCGGGTGGCAGTTGGGTGTTTGTAGCATGGTCGAGAGCTGCGACTGCTTTCAGTCGCTTTCGTCGTCTGTGCGGAGGTTCCTCAATCGAAGAAGAGCTAGGACGTTCTGTCGTGGCTGATGTGTGTTGTGCCTCCCTCACTCCCCGGCCATTCGAAGAAAACCTCGACCAAATCCTCGCATTATCCTCCTTGTCAGAGGAATGAAATGCATTGGCCCAGAAGAACCTTCTGTCCACCTCATCTTCTTTCGCAACAGCAATTTGTCTCGTTCGTACAGCTTTGGAGAAAGATCGTAGCCGGGGCTCGGTAAGGCGCGCCAGCCTCTTTGCACATCGGAAACATATTGTGCTGGTATTCGAAGTGGTGTGGAGCGCCGCAATTGAAGGTCGAAGGAGCATTGGAAGGGAGGAGTTGGTGGTCACTTCATCAAGCGAAACGCGATTCCGCGAGAAGTCCCAAAGTCCGAGCGTCACGTTTCGGCAAGTTCCGGGCTACAGTCTTATGTCTGCGTCGACAACAATGTCTGCGTTGACAACAAACACAACCCTGAATAGCTTATCCTTCGAGAGCAGGAACATTTACTAGTCTCGATATAGGAGGACTCCCGAAGCTATGCTACAGGAATAGGCGCTGTATGCATCTGTCTACCCAAACTCCACGCTTCAACACGCTATTTCCCTCGATGGAGTGAACCTCAACTTTCACAGGACCAGCCTACCCGGTTGTTTCTCAAGCGCAAGCTTCATTCGCTCGAGATACTCTGTTGCCCGGTTCTCTTCACCAGCACCCACAACCAACGAGAAGATGTTGTCTGATGCTGCAATACCGGCTGTCGCGGGATGCACGGGTATTTGCCTCTTAGGCTTGGTTTGTTTAGAAGCCAGAATATCGATGATATCGGCCTTCTTCGCAGGTCTTGCAGGCAAGAGATCTGGCGAGAGGCCGGCAATATTGGGAAAGAAGTGTCCTCTGCTGCTCCTCGGTACCTTGTCGAGGCCAAGCACAGAGTTGAACAGATCGTCTGCGGTAGGCTTTCGATTCGTGCCGAGAGGCAGATCGTCATTGGCGAGCTCCGAAGCACGAGCGATGAAGGTTGACAGTGGCAGGAAGATGCCAAGAGAGTCTTCAATCCGTTTCTGAGTCGCAATTACTTGAGAGAGGCTGATATGTACGGCAACCTCGGTCTTTTGTGGTAGTTGGGGCTCAGGCTTCTTCTCCTTGGCCTGTTCAGGCTTTGCTTCTGCCTTCTTGGCCAGTTGAATGTTTGACAAATCCAGGTGTGAGAGTTTCTGTAAGCGAGCGGAGGACTGAGCGGGATACTCTTTGTTGATCTTTCCCAGGAAGGCCAACACATCTCCCTTGAGTAGACGGCCCTTGGGTCCACTAGCAGGGATGTTCTCTGCGTCTGCTGATGAAAGGCCGTTCCGGTGCAGAAGATGCTCAACAGAAGGATACAATGGGTACTTCTGTTTCTGCGCTGTGCCTCCTTGTCTACTGTTGTCCGCTTTGCTGGGGGTTTGAGGCTGTTGTTCTGGCGCACTCTGCTGGGCCTCCTTGACGTTTTCTTCCTCTCCGCCCTTCTGCGCTCCTCCACCAGACTTTTGTCCTTGCTGAGAACTGGAAGTTTCAGCTGGCAGCTCCATGCTCTTGACGTCGTCGCCTGGCTCCGCGGTAACAGCTATCCGGTCTCCGACCTGCACACCTTTCGCACCATCCCCCTGCATAATCTTCATGAGAATCCCGTCATCTTGAGCTTCCACATCCATAGTCGCCTTGTCAGTCTCGATCTCCAAAAGCACATCGCCGGCCGAAAACGAGTCTCCTTCTTTCAGCTTCCAGCTTGCAATATTGCCTTCCGTCATCGTCGGCGAAAGCGCCGGCATTGGGAAGTTCTGAGCTGCTCGGTCCTGCGCGGAGACTTGGAAGCCTGAGTACATGTCAGTCGTGGGTTGACGCCACGTCGCAATGGCACTTCAACGCACCTCTCCGCGCGACAGGTCGGCACGCATATCTGCTTGCGACCCGGGCTGAAAGCCGTGCTGTGTTGAGTACACCGGCCATTGCTGCTGCTGCTGCTGCTGCTTAATGAAGGAAAGGCGGAAAGACAGCTAACAGCAGAAGATAGAGTGCTCCGCCAAGGGCGCGAGAGTTGAGGATTAGAGGAGCGCAAGAAGATGTCCGGAACCCGTGAGCTCAACTGTTGTTGGGGGAGGTCTTCGGACTTTCCTGTCGCCAAGGCCGGAAAGGCGCCGGGATCTTCCTCTGAGTTTGAGGAAAGGCGCGACTTCACGTGTCAACACAACGCAGACTCCCTTCCCTCCACACGTTGATGACAGCCGGCTGGACGAGATCGGCCATTCCATCATGGCAGCTACGCTTCGAGGTCTGCTCCGCCTGCCGCCAATCTTGCGGAGTCAGGTCGTCTTGCGCGAGCCACTCGTGCAATGCCGCCTCCAAGCAACTCTTCGACACTCTCCGAGCAGCATTTCAACCCGAGCGTTCGGCAACACATCTGCACGTCTGGCCAGACAAGAAAACTCTCCACCTCTACCGCGCGTCGTCAAGCCCGGTCTAGCGAAGGCGCCCTTAGCAACACCCAGATTTCATGAGCGAGTCATCGACACTATCGCACCAGCTCTGGATCGAGTTCTACTATACGTATCTCCAAACCATGGAGCATTCTTCTTCGCCTCCTATATGGTCGGAATTGGATTCATGGTAGGCTCATTCATGTACGCTCGACTTCTCAAAGATGAGCCAGACCGGCCGAAGCAGCATTGGGTCACGAAGTATGCAGTCGGAGCGACGGCCTTCTTCATGGTAATTTTCGGCACCGCCATCGTCCTCGCTCCGAGCAAGATGATCAAGTCCATATCGATCATCACGGTCCCAAGCACAGCAGGAGCTGCCCCCACTCGAAAACTGCAATTCGAAATCAAAAGACAACTTCCATTCCTGAAACCCGACCTGCTCGAGACAGACCCGAGCAACGTGGAATTCGATCGCAGTGTTACCTCGCTGGGCTCGAAACTGAACATTCTGTCCGTCTCCAGATCAGAAGCCAGGGCCTTCACGGACAGCTATTTCTCTGGCACGCTGCGAACGATGCAACAACCCCAACGAGGACTTTTGTCGAGGCTCAACGGGGCGTTAGTGAACACTTGGCCTGCGATGAAACGCGAAACGAGGCGTATGTGTCTGCGGGACCAGATGGCCTATATTCGCATTCATCCCAATGGCAACTTCAAGATCGACTTACAGAACTGCACGATGCTTGATGGAGGACGTCCTCTGACACGACTTACTGAAGTTGACGATGTCAGGCCAAGCCTCCGGAGCTTTGTAAAGGGCATTTTCAGAGGCTAAGTCGGCCAACTTCCTGTATAGAACCTTGTACCTTTATTCCGCGGTCAAACTTAAGATGATCGACTAGCGACAAACGCTTGAACACGCCGTCTCATTTTCGATCAAATACGCTCAAGATGCTATGTACACGACTGTCTCGGGCGAGCACGGACAGTGTATATAGACACGACTCACAATATTGTACAATAGTTAGCCCCGCTTGCTTCTGCTCCTGCGCCAGAATCGTCCGTGGAACTTCACTGATACCATCAATGAAAAGAGAAGCTGGCACATCCAATGCCTTTCAGCGTCCACGCCGTGATATTCGTCATGGCGATCGAGGCGCGGCTTTGTGAGAGGACGAAAACATGCGAGCAAGCTACACCCGCATGCGCACGTTCCTGTTGAGACTCTCCAGAGCTTGCTCGAAGTAGCCAAGGATGCCTCCAGATGATGAGACCGAGCTGCTGTAGCCGCCTGACCATTGCCACGTTAGCAACCGTCCAATCCAGCCTGTATTCTGAACTTACCTTTCATAGCCTGGTCCGCAACAAGAGCAATCAACGCAGCGCCAACACCAGAACCGTCCTTGGCGATGCCAATCCTGATCTTCTTCTCGCCTTCAGGTCCAATCTCAGGTATCTCCCTCAGAGCCTCACGAATATATTCTTCGAATCGAGGATAGAATTCGACCAAGCTGCCATCGACGCCAATATCCACAATGTCGTCCTCGTTGGTGTCGAGAGTTGTCGAGCTAGTAGTTGCGATATCTGTAGGCTTTTGGAGTTTGCCAGTGGAAATCACAATTCCTGCAATCGCTACGGCTGAGAGGCGCGCAGCACGTTTGCCGATTGCGGACGCAATCAAACGCACGGCCTCGGCATCTTCAGCAGACGCTGCCGTGACGCCGTACTCCTTATCCAACTCTTGACGAGTAACCTTCAAGCCCGCTGAGTTGTCGCCTGAAGCGATCGAAAGGAACGAAGTATCCAAGCCCCATTGCTTGTAGAGAGGCGAGTCGAGTGCGACGTTAGTGGTGCTGTGCAGTTCGTTCTGGTTGCTGTCGGCGTCGCTGAAGAGCGGTACACTGTTGTCATTCAACAACTTCAGCAACGCTCGGCGTAGGATCTCGCCTAAGAACATTCCGGACACTCGCTTCTCAAACATCTGAATTCCCGGATTATTACTCTGCTTATCGAGGTCTCGATCGTATGGCGTGGTCGGCAAGACAGAGAGGTGATTATCAAACGAGCCCCACTCAGTATTGACAATCATCTCCCCAGTGCTGCTGTCGACCTCGCCCGATGCCTTGCCCATTTTGGCGAGTTTGGTAACCTTGTCCAACTTTTCCACATAAGCGCCATTCGTGCCTGTACCGAAGATGGCCCCCAACAATGTGCCTGTCTTGCCAGGGCTCGTGTACGATCTCGCCATGAGAGTGCCAACGGTGTCGTTCACCAGCGCTGCGACCCTTACCGGAAGGCCCAGCGCATCGATCTCCTTTTGCAGCAGAGCGCATACATCCTTGCCAATCGTGTCGTCAATATCGAAGCCCTTGGTCCATCGAATGAGCGTCCCTTTGTTGATGCCGTATTGCTGGACCGGAAAACTGAAAGTGAAGCCGAGGCTAAAGACGTCTTGCTCACTGCTGCTCAGAAAGCTTTCCCGCCTCTCCTTGTGGCTCTGCAGACCGTGGTGCGTCTTCAGAAACTCCTCGATTTGCCTGGCCAAGAAGGCGAAAAGCTCATGACTAGTCTTGGCAGTCATCAGTTGTCGCGGGATTGCAACCTTGCTTTGCGTCAAGCTAAAGGTGCTGTTGCCGTGCAATTGGATAGAGCAAACCCTGAAGTTCGTGCCACCGAGGTCTACTGCCATGTACATGCCCTTCTCTGTTCCATTGGGCACTGCGGTCACGTATGTGGGTATCTGGGAAAGAGTAGCTCCCGCCTTACCAAGACCCTCGTCCATCTCCCGGATGAACTCCTTGACCCCGCGATTGACCTGCTCCTTGGTGTACTCGAACTCGGCGGCCACCCGCTCAGCCGCATCTTGCAACGCCATGCTCCGAGGACTTTGGTTGTAGAGACTTCCAGGAATGTGCGGCGGTGCACGGCAGTAGAGTCCCTGCACAAATGGATTGGGGGAGGGACAGGACGCTGGCGGTCGGGACGGATACCTGGAACTGAGGGCGCGGAAGAGTTGTTGATACGGCACCGGAGTGATGAACTGTAAGACTACCAAGACAACAACGGCAAGGAAGACGATAGAAGTTGCTGGCTGGGTTGCTGCACGGAGTCGTCTGTCGTAGTAAGAGCCTTTTCCTCTGAGCTCGCGAATGAAGGGGAGCTGCTCGCCCTCGAGCTGCTTGGAGAAGGCTGTGTGGGTATGGGCGAGGATCAGACGGTGTCGAAAGGCGTCGTCGGAAGGCTGCGCAGGCGATGAATAGGAGCGCGGATGGTGTCTGCCAGTTGTTGCTGCCAGCGCGACGGCTCACGCAGTATACTTGAGGGAGAGAAGATAACGACGAAGAGCGAGATACGGGCACCCGGACGATGGCGAGAGTGGAGTGGTATGCGCGTGCGTGCAGCGTGCGGTGTGCGGAGGGCGTCGGGATAGCTGTGGAGTCTTGCGGTGGGTCGTGAACAGGACAGGACAGGACAGGGCGAGGCAGGGGAGGGCGGGGCAGGCAGAACGAGACAGAACGAGGCGAAGCAGAACGGGGCGAGGCAGAACAAGAGCTCATAAAGCAAGCAGTTTTCGTTACATGTCGTCGTCGTGGTCGGAGATGGAACCTCGAAGCCAAGCCAAGAAGCCATTTGATGTGCATCGCTGCAGCGGAGGTCCAAGCTCTCCCTCTCCCCTCACTCACTTGCACGGATCGGGCTAACCACCTTGGCCACGTGAGTCTGGACATGTAGCTCGGCCCGACTGAAGTATCAATGTCGTCTGCTTCTCTACAGTAGTATTTCGCAACGATCACGCTCATGCTGCTGCTGTTGTGTTCTCAAGTCGGCAAACCCCCGTCTGTCTCGATGGAAGTCCTTGCTGGCTCCACTCTGCTCTTCGCTAGCGGCTAGCCCACGGCCCTTTTGCGGCCGTCGGGAGCCTGCGTCCGTCGTGACAAAAAGTCCAGACGACATGCTGAGAAGAGCAATCGAAGCTTGCTTGCGAATTCAACTCCAAACATCCTCCTCGGGCTACCATCTTCGTTTGGATAGTCGCCAAACGCGTGGGGTTTGCGAGATACAAACGTTCTAGCCTCGCCCTCAAAAACCTCAAAGCAAATGTTCGCTGCTGTGTCCAGCAACCTGACAAGATCGCAAATGAATTGGTTCAAGCCCGTTTTCCCTCGACGCCTACGCTGTGCAAGTCAGACCCAGCCCAGAACTGGATAGCAAGATTGACACGGTCCCAGCTTCCAGCAACACCAACGCCGACTAGTCCAGCGACTGCGCTACTTCGTAACATCAAACTTCCCTCCAACTGCCTTGTACGGGTTTTCTACCAACGCCTCCTGGGCCTCCGTAGGCCTGATATTGGGTCTTTCCCGGCCAAGCTGGTTGCTGGGTTTGCCCTGGGCTGGTGGGACTTACAACATCGCTCGGTGGATGTGTATGATACGAAGATGCGATCGACGGCTGGATCGAAGGCTCGTACCCAGCTCGCTGCTGGCCTCCGTAAGACTGATTGTGTGCTGTATTGAAGTAGCCAGGTGTGCTTGGATTAGAGTCTCCATAAGCTCCGACATAAGGTGACGCTGTTGGATGTTGGTAGGTAGGCAGGTAAGAACTCCTTGCCGCTGCTCCAGCACCGTAGGGAGAAGAAGCATACTGTTGTGGTTGCTGGAAGTCTCGGTAAGGATTCGCGCTGGCATCGCCCATGTCGGCGCTCGGCAACACATCTTGCGTCCTGTTCGCAGTCGGTGTGCCGCTGCCGTAAAATCTCCCGGCCTGAGGTTGCTGTTGCTGCGGGAGTAAGGTGTCCCGATGGCTGTGAAGATCCTGATCCAACTTTTCCATCTCAACATCTTCAACTACTTCTTCGTGCCGCGATGCGGCGTGGTCCCAGCTCGGCATGGCTGGTAGTGCATCCTCGTTGCATGTACCGCTGTGTTTACTAGGCGTTTCGAAGGTCGCAGTCTGGGGTACGCTTGCGCTCCTGTATCCTGCTGCAGCATACGCAGGAGGTGACGGCTGATGATATTGGTTGTAGAATGGAGTCGGAGGTGCCTGCTGGTATCCCTTATCCTTATTCCGTGGAGACGGACAGCAGCTGTTGCAGCATGACAAGCACCCGCAACAGCATTCCGCGCCGCAGCAGAGACATCGTGCGCAGCACCATATCAATGACAGGACTACAAGGCTGCCGACGATGATAGCTATTATGACCGGCCATTTACTTGACCATCTGTCAGCTCGTAGTCGATGCAGCTACAGGGAGCGGGCCGACATACCAATATGCTTTCGACATGCACGCATCCCACGAGGAGAAGGAGTCCTTAACTCCACTGACGGTGTCCCCAAGGGCCATGTTCGATCGCGAAGACGCAGCAACGGATTTGATAGCAGTCAAGTTGCTCTACTGGAAGGTTGCTTGCCAGACCCCATGCGACTGATAAGCCCCACGTCACTTCCAAGCAAATCTCTCAAGAACCTGCTTGTTGCCGTGATGTCTGAGCTCGAAACGAGACCCGAGTTTGCATGCCTGTCCCTGCCTCTTGAATGCGCAGACCGGCTGCGGATGAGTGTGGAGGATAATCGCCGATAGAGGTGTAGTAGTGGAGTAAAGCCGGCGAGCGGTCGTGAGATGAGAAGAGATTCGGATTCGGAGGGTTCATGTCGATGCGACGGGGCGGTTGCGACATTTCAAGGAGGCGCAATTGAAGGTGATGTCTCTTGCAGGCCGTCCTCAAGTGGGACGCAAGACGCAGGAGGCAGGTACGGGCCACAGTCACCCATACTCCGCCACACGCTACGCGCGGGAGTGTGCGTGCCCCGCTCGTGCCGGACGGTGATCTGTGGGTCTGGAGAAGTGAAGCCAATCTTCAATCTCCAATACATCAATAATGTCAATCCAACCATGCAATCTCTCCTCTGGCAACTTTGTCGGTGGCCCGCTCTCCAACGAATGCAATATTCGCAATGTTTTTCACCCTCCCAACCCGAATCAAAACTTGGCGACGACCTCTTTGCTTTCAGCGAAGCGGATGAAGTCCCTGGACTGCATCAGCCACCACGTCGGCTTTCCGCCAACTATTCATCTTACCAAATTTTTCCAATTCTGCGTACTCTCCCATTTCATCACCGCAGGCGTCTCGGGATCGGCAGAGTAGACCTGCGACAAGTACGTATACTGCGTCTTGGATCGCTTCAGAGCTTGGGCTGGGACTTGCCAGCCACTGATAACAAAGTCGCAATTGATGCTTACAGCATTGATCGATCCCCTTTCCACCACCATTATCTCGCGGTGACTCGAACTCAAGCTGGGACGTGGTAGGTTTGTACTCCACAACGAGAAAGGGTTGCTTAGCTGCAGCATCGTTGATTATGGACTTGCACTTTTTCGAGTCTTGCTCAGAGGCGGGCATTCACCCAGAAGAACGGTGCCTGCTAGTTGACTTGTATAGTGCAGTCCTCTCTTGCCTCAGAACCATTGCAGCGCATATCTTCTTATTCGAACTTCGCCTCCTCCTCAGGCGCGCTGCAGTGTCGATTCCGCAAGAGTCTGGTGGGAATAGTCTCTTTCATTCTTCGCTTGTAGCGAAGGTGCGACTGTGCTTGGTGCATGTCAATGAAACGCGGTCTGTTTGTCCTGCTGCATCGATGCTTGACGAGAGACCAAAGCTGACCGGACTTCGGAAACACTTCACTCGCAAAAAACTTAGTTTGTGTGCTCTCAGACAACCAAACGCAAAGGCCTGAGGCGTGTGATGCAGAAGAATATGCAAGAGTCGAGGCTGAGGACAACCCCGAGCTGGGGAAAAGGCAGGACGGCAAGGATCTCGCAGCAACCATGCGTGCTCGTCGAGGAAACACCATGAAAGTTTACTGCGCGCACTGTGCGCGTGCTCCGGACCGCCCACGACCTGATTCAAGAATCTAACATCATCGTGCACCCTCTCGCATCATGGAGTGGCAAATGCGAGCGTACTGGGAGTATCGACGACGCCGTAACACTGCGCCCCTCCGCCTCTTCACTTCATTCGAGAACGATGGCGGATCAACGCCGTGGGGATGCAGACCGCATGGAACAGCAGTCCCGATAATCCTACTCTCTCCAGAGCGCTGACGTGTAGATGCCCTCGACCTCGGATATAAATGCGTCCTCTGCTCTCACACAGTATCAATTGTTTTTTTTCCTCCCATCGATCATTCGATGACCTCGCAGGAATCAGCTCGCAGCACACTCTTCAATCTAAACACAACCCGCTACCTGCTCTACCTACTCAAAGCACTAGGTTGAGGTACCTTCTTCTCCAACAAGCAATTTCCAATCAAGATGGCGACATTCCCGCCCTGGATCCTCTACGACACTCCCCAGCCTCCCAAGAACAAATAAGATTTGTGAGCATGAAGCTGCACATATTCAGAGAAGAGTCAGATGCTTCACGAGGTGTGCAAAAATTCGAGATTCTTGTGTGGCACCATCAATGCTGACGTGCGTGTGCAGGACATGAGACACGACCTGTTGATGATTCCGGGTCGACAACAATTCGTTCACCTAAAAGCTTGATGGTCAGGTCTCGGTGGAGTTGGTAGATCTTCTTCATTCATTCTGCGCCGGCATTGAACACGATTCAATTTGCCGGTTGTACATCCATTACGGGCTGAGCTGAGATAGGCTGAGATCCCGTAACCAAAAGCAATCAATGTCGTTGAATACCTATCATCAAATTCTCACACACATCCAGTCAACACATTACTCGTCGTGATATCCGGTCGTTTCCTCTCATATCAATATCAAAACACTCCACAACCAACCTCTATCCGGTGGTGGCCTGCCTCAAAGCCGCATCTCACATGATTCCGAGCGAGAAGAGCAAAACTCCCACCAGTAGGGAAGAAATGCCCCGTCCGGCGTCGAGCAGCACTGGTACATTGGCGGCTGCTCCCGTGTACGGAGCCGGCGATGTCCCCGTAGCAGTTGCGTTTGGCGGCAGTGCTGGACCGGTCGTGAAGCTGTTAGGAATTCCTGTCCCGAGGGGTGCAACGCCTGAGCTGGCTCCGATAGGGGCGCCGACTGCACTGGATCCGATGGGGGCCACGCCTGAGCTGATTCCGATAGGAGCGACAACTGAATTGTTTCCGACAGGTGTAGTACACGGACTGGTTCCGATAGGGGCGACGCCTAAGCTGGTTCCGACAGTTGCAGTAGCTGGACTGGTTCCGACAGGCGTAGGAGTACTCGGACTGGTTGTTTGGAGTGTGAACTGGCCATACACACTCGGACCGACACCGCTCGGCGTAGGAGTACCCGGACGGGTTGTGTTGGGCGTGAAGTGGCCAAACATACTCGGACGCACACCGCTCGGCGCCGTGGTTGCCGTGACGGCCTGGGACCACGGCGGACCGCCCGGGATCCGGTCCCAGCCTGCAGTACAGATCGTAGGAGAAGGCGTATTGGCGGACGCCGGAGATGCAGGGCGTGGACACTGCTGACATGGTTGACCGCCGCTGGGCGGGGGACCGTGCGCGACCTGTGGAGAGAGTTGGATCTGTATAGGGCTCGTCGTTAGTCTCCGTCACTCGGCACGGCAGATACAATGGGTTGTCAGGAAAAACTTGCCGGTGCCTCGAAATTCAGATTCCAGAAGAGTCCCCCGGACCATTCGGGCACGACAGCAGCAAACCTAGGCGGTGCGACGATGTTTCGGCACGAGTCTTCGCCACTTTCAGCGCCGGCTGAGAGACCGCCGAAGTCGACCTGTCCTGCTTCATTTTCGGAAGACGAGGCGGCATACGTGGCGCCTGCGTTGCTGGCAGATGTGGAGGAAGTCGACTGGCAAAGGGTCGAGATCTCCGAGGATCTGAAGGGGAAGATTGCGTTGGTAAACGTTGGTCCGACGGTAGTGGCAGCAGAGACAGTGCCTGAAGGCGCCAGCGTAGCATAGAGAGTTTCCACGGAGAGATAGCAGTAGTCCGGGTTGAAAGTATTGCCCCAGGCTTCAATGGGTGACTCGACAGCCGTGCCCTCGGAGTCTATCGGGGTACCATCTCCAGGTGGAGGGAAATAGATGAGGCCTGATGAACACGGAAAAATTAGTTCTGCGACCAGATCAAACTCAGTCAATAGCGACCACTTACGAGCTGGGCCACCCTGTACGGTACATGGAGGACCAGACGCATCGGCCGCGCCACCAAGATGGTAGAGACCATTGACTCCGCCGGCGCTGTGGATGTGTTAGCACGTGCCTCAATCGCTATCCACGCATCTCTGATTTGCGTACTTCATGCCATCAGACGTGCCTCCTGACTGGCTGCCAACGTTAACGCCAGCTCCTACATCACATCAGCCTAGTTGCACGCGAGGTCTGTCGAGGTCACAACGTACCAGAGTTGGCTCCAGGAATCGCGTCTCCATTGCCGTTCACTCCGACTCCAATTCCATTGTTGCTGTTGATGCCAGTCCCCGAGCCGACTCCAAGACCGCCGACTGAAACGCCAGTGCCGCCATCGCCTGTCGAAGACGTGCGAGTCAGTAGATAGGCGGATTACAACTACTCTCGTCGAAGAGCACTTACCCAGCGCGGCATGGACTCCGCCTAAACCACCATTTCCTAGGTCGAGGCCATTCATTTCGGTCGGATCAACTCTTCACGACCTCCCGCTACATCCGGTATGTATCGTAGATCGGTCCAAACGCTCCACCGTAAGTATTTTACCTGTGTACCGGAACCCGCAATAGAATGACCAAGAACACAAGGAAATAAAGCTGCAAGATTGGGCTAAGTATTAAGCCTCGCGAGGGAAGGACTACCGTTAGGTTGCAAGAGCAGTGGCTGCTCAGATTCATCCGCGACGTCCTTACAAGAACTTTACATACCCCGTCTTCAAACCGCTAAGAAGACACGATATAGCCCAAGATAAGGCGTAGCAATGCTATAGATGGTCCGACGACCGAGTCCGAAACTGGGTGTTTGATTAGACAAGGGGTTGCTTCACTTCCAAACTTTCCGCGAGAGAGTCGACCATTCAGCAATGCTCGGACAGAGTTAGAAACAGACTTTTTACCAGGATTGCCTCCCTTATACAGCCCTTGGGGTTGAATCCGATGTTTCAACCGGGAGGAACCTTCGCCAAATAGCCGTCTGTCGATCGAAAAGGCTGGGGAGAAAGACTTGCATGCGAGGTGGATACAGACTTGGTCAGGTAGAAGAGACATGTTTCATGAACCGGAGTGTGAACGATGCCAGAGGTCTGGCAACGTTAGTGTTCTACTGAAAGTCGTCCATCGGTCGTGAATTCGGACGACTTCGAGAAGGTGAAGTCCAGAAAGTGACACCAGGATCTTACTGCTGCCAGCAGTGCGATATATGCGGCATCACTATGACGCATCCCATGTTCTTCCAAACAGTGCCGCTTTCCAGAACCAGCGACTGGGACTTTGAACAAGTGAGGGCTCCCTTACGACTCAGAGATGCGTCATTTCTTACTGCTGTCGTCGTCGCCCATCTCCTCTCTCAAAGCCCTTACTTGTTTCTTGATCTCCCTCCATAGCACATAGTTCTCAAGGTCAGAATCACCCTCATCAATTCTTCTCACCTCCCAGACAAGATCGTATAGCCCCTTGAATGGTCGTACGCTTGCTCGATCGCAGCTTGAACCATTTGTTGGCGCCGCATGTGCGTCGAGGCATTCCAGACAGGTTCTCTCAGAATAGTCGTCTTCGTCCCTAGCGATTGCAAGCAACGAAGCCACCATTGCTTCTTGCAGGTACGCAAAGGAAAAGGATTTGGTGATCTTGGCTACAGCGGGGCATAATTTATCGGGGAATTCGAGATCGTGGTTGTCGGCGAGTTTACCTTGCTGCAAAAAGTTCGAAGCGTCAGTAGATGTACTTACATCTCATAGAGACCTCTGAAGTCAATCATCATACCCAGTATTTCATGTATAGAGTTCGCTCCTCTTCGTTGGGATTGTGGAACAAGTACTTCCGATCAAATCGAGAAGGCCGCTTCACGATGCCTGGATCCAGGCGTTCCAGATGGTTAGTAGATCCAACCTTCCGACGTCAGCTTTCACTGGTTCATTCACGCCAAATGCACACTTACGATCAAGATGCCATCGTTCTTGCGGATGCCATCAACCTCGTTGAGGAAGTAAGATCGTACATCATCGCTCACCATGCTATCCAAGTCTTCAAACACCAGAAGACAAGGCGCGGTCCTTCTGGCGAGGGCGAAGATCTGTCCAAGAGAATACTCTGGCCCGGCGAAAGAAGACAGGGTCCTGACATAGAGTGTCGGCACGGGGTCGTCACGCTGATACAAAGTGTTCATCATGGCCTTGATCGAAATCGTCTTTCCGTTACCAGGAGGGCCATAGTATATGATACCTCGCTTCCACGGGACCTTCAACCTGTCGTATGTGTCTTGTGAGTCGAAGAACTGGAGCACATCGTCCCGGATCAGCTTCTTCATTTTTGGATCAAGGATCACGTCCTCCCAGTGGCTCTTTTGAACGCTGTCCCATAGCTCTTTACTCTTCTGCCAGAGTCCTTGATCAAAGACCCAGACTTCCTCATGCAGCAAGTTGCCATACTGCCCCACCTCCATGAGAAGGGAGTTGGTGGCCTCTACGGAAGCGGACAGGATGTATTGGTTGACGACGTGCGGATAGTTTCCAGCTCCATCACGACCATCTGCAATGTAGAGAACGAACTCTTTATTCCGCCAGTCCACCAGGTACTTTCCAAACTTGAGCTGATCGGCCAGAACGCCTTTCCCACTGAGACGCGAGGCGGGAGGGATATAACTCCTCCATGACAGTCGATCTTTGGCACTGTCGATGGGCGCAACAGCTGCGTGGCCTGCCGATGCGTAGGAGAGGATATTGCAGCTCGCCTGCGGGACTACGGTGAGGTGCAGGTCAGGATACTCGGCACGCAGGGCTCGAACGAGGACAACGTCGGTATTGATGCGGTTGGCGGAGGAGTGGTCGAAGTAGGTGCGCGCGACCTCATTGTGAGGCTTGCTCGGAGCAGCAGGGCGTTCGGGATGCGTGCCGGCAGTCATGTTGACGAGGATGGTGTGCTGGTAGCTTGTGTAGCTGGGGTTGATGAGGTTTGAGCGCGGCGATGTTCCGCCCGCCGACGAATGTCAATCGATGAGGTTGTTATTCTGATGGTGTCAAGTCTCGACTCAATAATATCGCGCGTTGGATGTTCCTACCTCTACTCGAACGCGGCTGCCTTGTAAGGTACGAAGGGACAGTGGAGCTGTTGTTGTGCTCTGCTGCGAAGGAAGGAGCTGGGGCCGATCACTGCCACAATCGACCCTCCCATAAGGTAGGTACGCTCGGCCCCCGGTCATTTAATATTCCTTCCCGGTGCACGTACCCGACAGCAGCAAGTGAGTGGAAGCAAGCAGCAAGAAGGAGAGTGGAAGCAAGATGCGAGATGGAAGCTCCCCGGGAAGGGCATGACATGTCAGGTCAGCATCGACCGGCGAGTCGGAACGGCGTCTCAAACATCTCTACCACCCAACCACGGCCGTGCTCACACTCATCTCCACACCACGTCTACTCGTGTTCGCATCCTCGCTTCCATACCGTAGCTGCCTTCCTTCTTACGCAACAACTATCAGATCGGAGAGTAACTCACTGATCGCTGTACTCCTGTTTCTCAATCTCATCCCTCCCGCCGGACTGCCGCAGCCATGGATCGAGGGAAAACCGTCCTCGTCACCGGCGGCGCAGGCGGCCTAGGTCGAGCAATCGCAGAAGCCTTTGTGGAATCCGGAGCGAGTGTTGTGATATGCGACATCAACCGCAAGTTGCTGGATGATTTCCAAGAAAAGGTGGTTCTCGCAAACCCGGACCGAGTCCTAGCCATTGAGAGCGACATCACATCGGAGACAGCCCTGGATGATCTCTTCAGTCAGGCCGAGAAGAAATTCGGGGCCTTCGACTGGGTCGTAAACTCTGCCGGCCTCTGTGACAAGTTCGATCCAGCAGGCGACCTGGAGCGCGCAGAGTACGATAAGATCATTGCGGTCAATCTGACCGCTCCGACTTTCATTACCAAGAGGGCAGTCAACAAATTCTTGAAGAACGAGAAGAAGGGTTCCATCGTTAATATTGCTTCGGTAGCCAGTTTCAGGGGCTTCGCGAACGGTACTCACAGATGGCAGCCAAGCCGTGGGAGACTCGATGCTGATCCACTTGCACAGGTGCAGCTTATACCATCAGCAAGCACGGTTTGATAGGCCTGACTCGGAATACCGCTGCCTTTTACAGACTCAAAGGCATCCGCTGCAACGCCATTCAGGCTGGTGCGATGCCAACCAATATCGGGTGCGTATGGCTGAGGCTCGATGGTGAAGACCGGGCTGACCGCGTTGTCCTCCAGAGCACATCTAGCCAATGGCATCAACCAGGAGGGCATGGGCATCATGCAAAAGACCTTTGGTGATTGGGAGGGTGCCCTGACAGAAACCACAAAGATGGCCAAACTCGTGAGATTCCTCTGCAGCGACGACTCGGAGATGTTGAACGGAGGTAGGGACCGATCCCCTCCGTCGAGGCTTCGCCACGTCCATCCTCGCGGCCACGTTTGGTGAATGCAGGACTAACGGTCATTCCAGCGGTGGTCACGGCCGATGGTGGGATTACGGCGATTTAGAAAAGGAGCTGAAGATGAGAGTCCGTCGCTTTAAATGCAAGCGATCGAGTCTGTTGTGGGTGTCGTCGCCGACGCAGGGTCGCTCGTGCACGATGTGATCCTGGCAAACACGCGTACGGGGAGGATACGGAAGCAATGCATGGCAACGCTGGTGCCTCTCTGCGACTTTTGCTTGTCGAAACGAGCTCTGACCCCAGCTCCGCGAAAGGGAGAAACCCGCAGCTAAAATTGTGCTAAGCAGCTCTCCCTGTGCCCATCACGCCAATCTCCAATTGAGGATCGATGTGCAGTTCGTGGACGGATTGTAGGACGTCGGCTAAATGGATTGTATGCGCAATCCAGCCAAGCAACGGCGCACGCCTCCACATTCGCATGGCGCCAGCAATTTACCCTTGCCACCGCACGGGCGCTATGAGAAACGTCCTTGGTGTGCGTGGGGGAAAGCCGTTCAGAATGAGGAGAGCAGAATAATGAGGATTGCAGAATGTAAGATTGAGAGGTGAAAGTTCCGACGTCCTGCAGACCGAATCAAGTACCGAGAATGGGACGGAGGATGGCACGGAGGCCGACGGGCAGTACTCCGGGCCATCGACACTCCAGAGCTATGTGAGAAAGAAGTGCTCCAGAGAAGTGCTCCAGCAGAAAGGTAACGACCGAAGCTGCGTAATGGACTTGAATCTCCGTGGCCGATGGGATGCGTGGAACGCCATCGAGTGTGGTTGACAAGAGACAGCCAACCAGAGTACCAATAGACACGGCTCGAGCCTACGGTGCAGAGGTGCGAATTAAACAGTGGTTATGAGCAGCCGCTTCCGCGGTTATCCTTCATGTGATGCTGTGGGAAATTGCAGGCCGAGCTCGGCGTGGGTGCTGAGGGTAAGGCCCGCCAGACGGATGCAAGAGAATGACAAATGTGAGGGAGGGTTGAGCAATGCGACGGTGTCGGAGGGCGCGTCAAGAGCGCTTCGGCAGCGCGAGGCATGGACGTTGGCCGAGAGGCTCAAGATGAGGCCGCGATTAAGGTGTGCGGCCGCGGAGAGCCTCTCGAAACAGAGTTCGACGCTTGGCTGTTCTGGGGGAGCAGTGAGGGATCTTGACGTCGTCGGCGCCATTCTCTACTCCAGAGCTTCCCCAGACAGAGCAGCGAACTGACACTACTGACCAACGGCAGCGACGTGTGACCTGCAATGCGGAGGCGGGCGGCAGTCGGAAGCAACATCATCTGACAATTACCTCTACTGACTGACCTCGGCGCCAAGCTCGTCTCCGCTCGCTCGCGAGCCGACGGACGCGATGCGACACAGGACAATGATGCCGATGCCGATGCCGATGCCGATGCTGATGAGATGTGGGGGATGAGGTGAGACGAGGCGAGATTCCGTCCGCGATGGGATGGTACGGTACATGTACTGTAGTCGGGCGCCCACCAACCAGGCACTCGCAGGCACCGAGGGCAGGGCGTTGGAGACGATTGCGATACGACGACGACGGCGACGGCGACGGCGACGGCGACACAGACAAGGCAGGGCGTGGCCGCGGGTGCGCTGGCTACGGAGCGCAGAGATGCGCCGCGAGAGACCACGGCAGCGCCTGGTGTCAAAGGAATTGCGTGCACTGCCATGGCGAGGCGTTCCTCGCGCGACAGCAACCGCAACGCAGTCATCCACCATCCATCAATGCCTTCATCAATAATCCGTCCATCGATTCATCATCACCGCCTTCCGCGCACGATGCTGTGCCTCCTCTCGCTCTCAACGCCTCGTCCACGCGCTCCGCCAGCCGTCACGTCGGCGTCTTCTCCTCGTCCCCTCCTCGTCCCCTCCTCGTCCCCTCCTCGTCCTTCCACTGGCACTGGGTGGTCGAGAGAACGGGAGGCGGAGGGAGAGCTCTCTCGGATGCCATTGTCCGACATGGTCAACGCAGACGACGACACGGCCATCGTCCACTGGCTCCCACATGCACGGAGGGTACGTTTTTCAATTTGCCCAAGTGCTCGCTCCGCTCCGCTCCCTCGATTGGCCCGTCCGTCCCCATTCACCACCGCTAGCCCATGGACGGGAGACGCCCAGTGTGCAGGGCCAGTACCCCACATGCCGGGCGCCGGGCGGAGGTAGTCGAGAGTGTGGGCCGGATTTGTTATGGATGCTCATCATGCAGCTAGCGCCATGAGATGAGGTGTGGACGTGTCTGCATCCGCTCTGCTAGCCTAGGCCGAGTGCAGTCCCTTCGACCGTCCGCCGGCAGCCCAGCAGCAGCAGCGATCAGCACCAGCAGGCGAGCTGGCTGTCTGATATATAGGTAGGCGTCGTGACGTCCGCTAGCCCTGTCCCACTCTCTCCCTCGTTGCACCCCTGCACACTGTGAGAAGCGTCGGCAACGGTGGTATCAAAGACGGGTCCCTCTTGATTATATCGTATCGCCAGCGACCGAACCGACGTGTCGATTAGGACCGCCCTCACCTCCTCACCATCCTCCCCTCCTCCTCTCCGGCGTCTGTTATATACCTAATCAGCCAACATGTCGACCGCCCAGCAGCAGAACGACTTCAAGGCCGAGGCCGACCACATCAATGGCGGCACCGCGTCCCATGACCACGCTCACAAGCAGCGCAAGCCGTACGTCGCCCCATTGGCGATTGTTTATTACTTTTGAGAAATATGCTCATCGTTGTCTCCCGCATCTAGCTATGACTACGGTGGCAACCCGCTCGCCCATACCAACACCGGCGATTCCGCGCGATTGGCTGCCTTTGGTGGTGAACTCCAGCCGGGTCTCTACAAAGTCGACAAGCAGCGCAAGTTCGCCAACCCAGCTCCGCTCGGACTGTCCGCTTTCGCCTTGACGACCTTCCTCCTATCCCTCGTCAACTTGGGCACGCGCGATCTCGCCGTCCCAAGCTTGGTCATCGGTCCCGCTTTTGCATATGGTGGTCTCTGCCAGCTGCTTGCCGGCATGTGGTATGTCGTAAACAACTCGTAGAAACTGATAGCTCATGTCGTCTGACGGATCTGGTAGGGAAATGGCCATTGGCAACACTTTCGGTGCCACTGCTCTGTCCTCGTACGGTGGTTTCTGGATCGGTACCGCCATCATCTTGACCCCCGGTGGCTTCATGATTGAAAGCACCTACACCGCTGCTGGCGTCGGCACCTTCGACAACGCGTTCGGCTTATATTTGATGGTGAGTGGATTTGAGCCGCGAGATCGCAACATCAAGCGCGGCCGTGCTAACATCTTTCATCTCAGGGTTGGTTCATCTTCACGTTCCTCCTCCTGCTCTTGACCCTCCGATCCACCGTCGCCTTCTTCTTCCTCTTCTTCACCCTGGATCTCGCATTCCTAATGCTGGGTATCGCATACCTCGACTACGGCGTGACGGCCGGCACCGCTGCACCAAACGCCACCCTGCTCAAGGCTGGCGGTGGTTTCGGTATCCTGGCCGCGTTCGCAGCCTGGTACGTGTTTCCAACATTGCCCGATCCTGTTTCGAGAAACTAACGATGAATCTCTTCTTCTTCACAGGTACAACGCGCTCGCCGGTATGGCCGACTCGAGCAACTCCTTCTTCATCATCCCCGTCGCCCACTTCCCCTGGTCCGAGAAGGGGCGTGAGATGCGCGGCAAGGTCGACAACAGCGAGGCTCGCGCCGCGCAGTCCGTCTGAAAACAAACAAAGAATTTCAACCACCTTTTTGTGCGGTCAACATGTCAGGATTGTGTGGTCAACATGCCAGGCTTGTACAATGTCTTTTGAGATACCCAGTCACGGTTGGCGGATCGACGATAGAAAAGAGAAGAAGAGAAAGAGAGGGACAAATTAGCATCCAGGATTGGATTGGAAAAAAACAAAAAGAGACACTTCACAATTGTTTGGATGCTCGCTCGGTCGTCGAATATCTTTTTGTGGTGTGTAATGTGATATAATTTCTGATCTAACAACTCTTTTCTTGACTTGACGACGATTTTTAATGATGACCTCGTCGATTCTCTCCATGCTTCCTGAAAAACCCCCCCACCAAAGGCTCGACATCCAACCCTAGACCGTTTCATGGTGGACAAGACAATTAAGCACATCCCATCGTCGGCGTCTTCGCCACTTGAATTTGAAAAGAAGTGAGAGAGAGACTCTTGCATCTTGCCACCGACTCCCCATCACCCCCGTACCTCCCGTCTGGCGACCAGCAAAGTGGATAGATGCAATGCGTCGTGGCATCAAGTCTCGACTTCCGATCTGACTGTAGTCTTTGAAACTCCCAAATTGGAAAAAAGTGGACTGCCAAGGAAGGTCCGCGGCCTCTGCATCTAGCCTGTCCTCTTCACGTTTGACTGACTGGAGAGAGAGATGAGGACGGGTCCGGGAGATGCTGGGAAAGTTGAAAAAAAAAAAAAAAAAAAAAAAAAGAAAGTCCACATCTGAGGCCTCTCTAGGATCCGCGGCGATCTCGAATTCTAGCCTGACGATGAGCCCCTTGCCGTCTCGGGATAACGAAGGCTCTGGTATGGTAGGTAGTGATTCTCACGCTCATGGCGACCAACAACCTCATTTCGAGATTTCACAAGCAGACACTCTCATCAACGCCTAGTCCGGCGCGGGTAGGCTTCCCAGGACAGCAGCGTCGCGTACACTCCATCACGCTCGTGACAGCGTCATGTGACCAATTGGCTGATGGACAAAATCTTGTGTCGCCCGAGCATCTGCGAAGAGTGGTATCGCCAAAGATTGATCTGTGCAACGGGAAACGGGAACGAGCAACACCTTTGAACGTGCTTCACATTACATGTACCCCCGACGTATCCCAGGCAGCATGCGTTTTCCTTCGTCCTTTCTTTCCTGGCGCTTTGGGCTTGGCTCGATTCCCCCAGGCTGTCACACCTAGGTACAGAATTCTCCTATTGCAAAACCTCTCTTGAGCTGCACGCCCCACGGGTATCATGGTTCGGAAAAGTCGGTGAGCGTCGTATTCCTATTTTTTTTCTCATTCCTGGTATAAACTCCGAAATCGACGACATCCCCGATGGTAGAACAGTTTTCTGAAGTTGATGGCTGTTCCCATCTTTGCCAAAGAGGAGCATGCACAGCCGGCCTCTTTGATCTTGTACTTCAACCAGAGACCAAGCCATCCGGCAGCTTGCCCTCGTACAGTGTCGTTCGGCTTGAAGAATCCAAATGGTGGTAGGTCGACTCGTAATGAAGGGTATGAGCATAGAAAGACCGATCTGCGTTGAATCGAGGCACGTGTACAAGGAGTAGAGCGAGCAGGCAACGAGCCGCCACAAAACACCATTATCCATACGCCGAAATGGTGCGAGTTACGGAACGGACGCGCCGAAGTGACGTGCCAGTTCTCATCCATCAGCATTGCCCTTGCCCTTGGATTCTCGCCTTGGAGTCGCCTCCAAACTCGCCTCGCTGCGATCCGAACTGCTCCACAAACTCCTGCTCTCGCTTTCCACGCCCCTCATGGCCTCGGCCACGACCTCCAGCTTGGAGACAACATCCTTGACTCCACCATCCACCTTCTTGAAGTAGGCCTCATTCGCCGCTCGTCGCTCACTCGCGAGCTTGATGTCCTGCGCCGTCTCGTCCTCGAGCTGACTCCGTCCATCCGGTGAATTGGCTCCTTCGGTCGTTCGACTCTCGTCAGACAAAGCGGTCGAGGCACTGGTCACCGTGTCTGCTCTCTTCCGTCCATTGGCATGTCTACGATCCAGTGCGAGATCCTCCGCGCCTTTGAAGCGATTCACCGACGGCCCCGTTCCGGCAGTCTCTGCTTCTGTCGCCTTGCTCTCACTGCCTCGGCCCCATGCCCTTGCCAATTCCACCTGTGCCAGTCGCAGCTGGTCCAAGGCCGCCGCGTGCCTCTCGCCAAAGACGTGCGTGGAGCTCTGCGCTGTCAGCTCCACCTCGTTCAGTGTGCTCTGCATTTCCTTCCATTTGGCCTCCACCCTCTCTTCACTAGCCTTCTTCAGCGGCGGTATAGTGGCGTCCTCGCCGGTGGAATCGGCATTGAACGGTCGCGAGAGCGCCGACTTTTGTCTCGTGAGGGGATCGGGACGATTGGGCTTGAGGTCGTCTGTCTTGGTTCGGGAGATGGACAGCTGCGAAGCATTGCGGGACGGAGGCCCTACGAAAAGTGTAGGCGCTGGCAGTCGGTTGGGGGGCGTGTTGGCTGTGCGAGACGGCTTGTTGTTGGCTGCGGGCGCCGTGGAGGCGCTTGCGTTACTCGTCATGACGGGGGGTTATAAGCTGAAGCCGATCGGTCCATGGCTCTGGGAGAAGTGCGAGGGTCGAGGTAACGGAGGAGGATGGATTGTATTACGGACAGAGTAGGTAGAGATGCGGATGAAGTGTGGAGCGCTAGCAGAGCCCCACCTCATCGAACTGTTCGACTCCCTTCAATTCTCAACGCTAATTCATGGGCGAATACGGATACTCGCAAGCCGTCGACAGTGCTCAAGATTGACAAAGTGGTGTCAATGGTTCGATCCGCCAAATACTGCTCGTCCATTTGCGTGGAAAGTTCACAGATTTCACATGTCTGCCAAGGCGACTGCGATGCATCTCCTTCCCCTTACTACACGGAACGCATGATAATGCACCATCTCATGGCTCGCTCCCCTTTCTAATGACTCCACTGTCTTCAAGGCGATGGCAAGCACACTTCGAATCGCCTTTCTCGGTAGCTTCACCCAAGAGCAACCGTCAATGGCACTCTGGAGCCCAGTACTTGTTCCATAGGAGGGAAAGTGCGGGTGCTGGTGCCTGTTCGGCTGTACTTGCGTTCGAGCGCAGTGCATATGATTCGTGGAGAGCGGGCTTGAAGAGGCTGGTTGTCAACAACCCGTCCGGGCATCCGATAAGTACTACAGGTGGCTTTGATACTGAGGGTCAGCAACTCTGATGACGATTTTGCCATAGACTTTCCGATCGTGAAGGTCCTTCAGAGCTCTTCCGACATCTTCCAAACCGTCGTATCTTCCGTATAGCATCGGTTTCAAACGTCCAGTTTCAAGCATCGAGAGATAACCTCGCCAGATTTCCTCGAGTAAGGCCGGGTATCTTCTTCCGCTCTCGCCAAAGCGATAGCCGGTGACGGTGACGGATTTGAGAAGAAGTTTGTTCATCTTGACTTCTTCCATTACTCCCTTTCGTGCTGCGAATCCAAGAATCACAATTCTGCCAAAGTATGCCAGCGCCCTGATGGCATCATTGACCTAGAATAGACGGCAAGCAAGGTCAGCATGCGCTCGCAGTGCGTTTCACCTCTTGTCTGGCTGTCATACCATCCCTGTATTGTCTAGCGTGACTTCCACTCCGTTCCCATTCGTGAAGTCCATGATTCTGTCGACCCAGTTGTCTTTCATGACCAGAACGAGGTCTACATCCATGGCCCTTCTCATATGCTCCGCTTTCTCTTCATCGCCGGCCAATGCAATCACTCTGGCTCCTACTGCTTTGGCTACCATGCAGCAAACCGAGCCAAGACCTCCGCTGGCCCCGGAAACGAGCACATGCTCACCCGCTCTGACCTTGGCGATATGGACAACGGAGGCATAGCTGACGGCTTGCCCAGACATAGCAACCGCAGCCTCCATGCCAAGCTTGTCGGGAACTCTACGTATTGACCCTTCTGAAACGCATATGAACTCCGCAAAGGCTCCGATTGCGGCACCAAACACGCGGTCTCCTTTTCTCAACCCGCTGGGACTTCCATTAGTTGGAAGCGATTGCACAATGCCAGAAAAGTCAAAGCCGAGTATGAAGGGTGGATGGCACCACCCGCGCTTCGTGTTGTTCTGATGCTTGCCCTGTGCATGGAGAATGTCGGCATGCTGTGGACTGACCTGCGTTACCTGGACCAAGTATTGGTCCTTTGATGGCTGGGGATTGGGAACTTCGCTGGGCTTGAGAGCTGAGATATCCTTCGCAAACTCGGGAATGTGAATCGCCTTCATGACCACGTCAGTGTCCCAGATTGCGACGATGAATATTCTCGGCGTGCGAGTGCTATCGACAAGGCCAGTCCGCCGGCTCGTAGCAGGTCTGCAACAGATTCAGCACAGCCGAGGTCGTCCACGATCGTGGAGCTCCGGCGGGCGATTCAACGGCGCGGGGACTCCCGCGTCGGACCTTCTTAGGCTCTCTGGAGGATTGTCGAGCGAAACCGAGCCCGGAGGTATCATCTCGGCCCAACTCGTTACATAATCAGCAGTACGAGCCAATATCCCTTCCCTCGTGTCAGGCGGTTCAGGAGCTTCCAGGCTCGTCAGGACAATATACTCTCTGGCGCAGTCGGAAGCAAAGTCAGAAAACATCCAAGCGGCGGAAGTGCTCGGGTCTCGGGACACGTATCAGACGCTTCGGGCCTTGGGTCGAGGAGACATGGGAGACATCAGACGGGCGACATGGTGCTCTCACACAATAATGGATGGCCAACTTCACCTTCGCAGAGATGCATGGCATTGCGTCGGCTCTCAGCGGATCTGCTTCCAGGGCAGCGTCAAGAAAGCCGGCTCTGCAACAAGCGCCGTAGGGCTGGCAGAACGCGGTCCGAACTCCGCGTTCTGAGATTAGATTGCACGGTATCACATCGCCGCACTATGGAAAGCCTGTTTATAGCAGCGCCGTTCAGGCATCTGCTGGTGAGAAACGTATGCCGTAGATTTCACGGCTTGCCGAATGAGGTGCCTTCGATTCGGTACTTCTGCGCCGTGGACAATGCTGTTCCGCGCTATTTTGCGGGATGAAGGGACTGCTTTCGGGAAGTCTGCGGATGTTCACCCTGCAGTGCGTGCAATGGAGACCCCAGATATTCGTGCAGCACGCATGACGTGCAGACGCTCCTCTGATCAAGAATCTGGCGCATCAGACATGCTGCCAGAGCGAAGGAAGCGAATCACAGACCAAGCATGCGCATTACCAGAGCTCCATCGGCCAACACATCACGTCTCGAAAGGTGCACGGCAGTTCCGACAACCGTACGAGGAGCTGTCTCAAAGCAGGATTGTGCATCTTCCTGGAGCTAGAAAGCTGCTTCTTGCTCTGACCTGAAGACGTGAAGTCACGACTATGTTCCGGGTCCGGCCTCGAGTCCTTCGGCATAGCCTTGGATGTTCCGCCGACCGCGGAGTAACCTACACCAGTTCGACACGGAGTCGTGCAGCGACCTCCTCTGAAAGCAAGATTGGCGTCGGGCTTTTTCTTCGGTATGGTCTGCATGGCCCAATCTGTCGTAAGAGGCCATGGCCGCAGAGCAACGAGGGAGCTCAGTCGTGAGCGAGAGGAAGCCTCGCGTGATGGCGTGATCCGATTGCGAAGGAATCCTCCTGTTGCAGGTGGATGGTCTAGGAGTTGAAGCAGAGAGTTCCATATCGGAATTGCTGCATCTCCAGGTGCCGGGCAGTGCAACCCTGAATTGTTTCGAGGTCGCCGTTGATGTACCGGTCTGGAGGCCGTCGCGTTGATATGCGCCCGGTTGCGAAAACGACTCCCGCAATGCCAATGAGAGTAATTCAGTCCGAAATTCTGGAGTTGATGGCGCTGTCACTGGCGTACCATGAACCAGGTCAAGCATGATGCATAGATCCACTTTCCTCTGATCCCCATAGATAGGAGAGGCAAGGGAAGGTCAGTGGTGGTCGCAACTCGCTGGGTATTCCGCGGTACATGTATCGAGCGGCACTCATGCCAATCGGTGAGTGTGGCCCCGTCTTCGACACATGCACAGTGCATACACGCACCGTGTGCGTGTGCCTCTTTCCCATCGCTGACCACGTGCTGCTCGCATCTTCTGCTCTGCCGCGATGCTGGTCCCTGTCGGCAGCAATCTTCGATCAAGGAAGAGTTTGCTACGTGCGCAAGTCGCATCTGTTTGCCGACAGCGAGCTCCGCGAGAGCGATCCTGGTCCCGCCGGCGGGAGTGCAGGGGGGTGAGAGGCGAGATCTGTGCGAGGTGAGAGAGGGCCGATATTGGTAGGGCAATCAAAAGGCAGACGCACCGTGGACGCAGGATTGAAAATTGAAACACAGGCAGCGCGGGAAAGGAGGGCGGGTGTGACGTGTGGTCTGTCTGGGCGGGCTGGACATGAGAGAAGGTGACACAGCATGAGGACACCAACGCGGCCAGATCGCAAACAGGAAGCCAGCAAGCGGTGCGGTGCGGTGCGGTGCGGTGCGGTGCGGTGCGGTGCGGTGCGGTGCGGTGCAGGCAGGGCAGGGTGGCGGGCAAACTGCAAACTGGGCAGGGTGCCAGTCACGGTGCGGTGCAAGCTGTTGGGAGGAGGAAGCTACGGTAGCGGTAGGTACCCACGAGTTCGCAGCACGCCAAGCCGCAGCAGGCCTTGCAGCAGGAGCGGATGCAAGATGAATGATCCCCTAGCGGGCCGCCGGGCGAAAACAAGGTTGGCTCGTCTCCCGGGGAGCAAAGCCGCGTGTGGTGTGGTACGGTACTCGTCGCCGCAGACGAGGCAGCGCGCTGGCTTGACCTGTTACTGATCACTGTACCCATGGCATTAGGAGTGATTAACGTGGCCGGGGGGCTTCGGCTCGTCTCATTGGGAGGCAAGGGAGAGGGCGCGTCGAGGCGCCGGGGGACCGACATTGCAAGCGGATGAATCTGAATCTGATTGCGACGGGAGAGCATCAGCCTCGCGGGCCGGCAGCCAGGCAGCGTCGGGCGGGCGGGCGGGCGTATCTGTCGCGGTCACAGTGGGTGGTCGCGCGGGCGAGTCAGGAAACGAGTCGGGAGAGACACTCCATGCCCCCCCCCCCCGACAGTCGATGAGCAGCAGTTCACACACGTCTGTTCGCAATGAATGCATTGACAGTGGCAATGGCCATGGCCGTGGCCGTGGCAGTGGCAGTGGCCGCACAATGCGTTCGTTTCTGTACGGTATCTGTCTCCCCTTCCTGCTCGAAATCATCGGCCCACTGCGCTAAGCTTCCAGCCAGCCGTCCGGCGGGAGCAGCAACCGTCTTCCTGGGCCCGACCGGCCTGAATCCCGGAGCTTCCTGCTCTTCTAACGCCCTTCTAGCGCCGCAGGGATCCCGATGCCACTCCGACGCACCGCGACCGCGACCTCCTTCTTTCCTCTCCCTTCTCCCTTCTCGACCTGCGAGCACCGCGACACCGTATCTCACCCTCCGCAGACGAGCGTTATGCTGCCCGTTGGACGATATGTTCGGACAGCGTACGCATGCGGATGATGACGCGCTACTACATGATTGTGCCCGCGATGCCTGCATCTCCATCTGCATCGGTCTGCACACATGCACACCACTCGAGGTGCACCTGCGTCCGTCGTCGGGTGGTAGCGGTATCCTGATCTATTCCCGTTACCGGGGCGGCGCCCACTGCCGAAGAGCCGTCTGCAAGGCTACCTATAGAATATGATAATAAATGTGTCTGCGGCAGACGACACCACCACACGTTTTGTACCTGCATTGTCGATGCAGTGTCGATGCACTGTCGATCCAGGGGTGCCCGGCTGCAAAAAGTGTGGCCTGTGGCCCTCACCCTGGCCCGTAGGGATGCCTGTCGTCAGGCTAGCGGTAGCCAGCTGTAACATGTTCCGAACAAACGCTCGCCGCACGTCCAAAAAGTGAGATGATGTCTGTCTCGTCTGTCCACCCCGGGATTAGGGGGCTGTCCTGCCTTGCCCTGCCCTGCCGTGCCGACACTGCTGCGACTGCTGCCAACACGCCATTGCGCTCGCTGAACATTTTTCTGTACTTGATTGTCGCCGTCATCCCCACTTCCTGGTCGTTTGACTCTGCCTCCCGTAGGATACTTATACTGATTTTCTGACCGTCGTCGCTCCTTTCCACCACACAAGAGCTTCCTCACCTTACCTCAACCCAACTACCCTTACTTACCCCCTCGTATCAGCACCTCTGCTGCCCTGCGAGATATCTACCTCAGCCATCCGCGCACACATTGCAAATCACCGCGCCAGCATTCCAAACGCCGCCCTTTATCTCCCTCTCCTCGCCCATCGCACCAGCGCCCGCCTGCTCCACCGCGACTGCCCGTCCGTCGCTTTGTCCGACGTCGACAGAGCCCACCTGCCAGGCCACCGTTGCCCTTGCGAGAGGTCAGTCGATCCCCGTCCCTTTGGTGCGACTCGGGCATTCCTCCGCCCTGTCGCTGTACATAAATATTTCCCTGCGCCGCTCCGAGCTGTTTGCTGACTTTCTCCCAGACACCTCATCCCAATGATTGTCAGAGAAGACTCTTCGGTCACGAACATGGGTCGTGGGGCTTATGATACCACTGGGTAAGCCCTCCTGCATCAGGCCACGTCTGCCGATATCTGCCTCACGGATGCTGACTTTTGCTTCAGGACTCCGAAACCAAAGCCTCCACCAAAGCCGAAGCGACGATAGCGCGCCCGCTCCTTCGATCACACACACGCACACACGCGCGCACACACACAAACACATACAATCCCACACTCACACCGACGCTCTCGAGCGCCATGCGGAGGAGTTGCACGGAGAAAAATGAAGAGCACCGCTTTGGGTGGCTCTTTGGACAAAGCTGTCATCCTGCAGCTGCCGATCTACCTCGCAGCTTCTTTGCAGCTGTGGGACAAGCCATCCCGGTCACACTACTCCATCTCGCACCGGCGCATTCTTGACGACCTTTGCCCTTTCCACCACCACCACTTTTTCGGAGCGACACCATCTACTACGCGTTTTACTTTCCGAGCACAATACCCCGATTGAGCGTTGAGAGCATCTTCTGCTTCTTGTTCCGGCCCGACACTTTCGCTCCTCCGCCCGCGCTGCACACACCAACACTCTACACCTTTTCACTACCACGACACACACGCATACAACCTTTCTAATCGACCGACTTCTATCGACCTCGCCCCGTCCGCGGATCTAGAGTAAATGGGTTTTTTTTTAAAACGGTATGGGACGGCGACACCACTACAATGGGCACTTTGGGATTTTCGGGGATAGACACTGGATGTCGCAGAGCAATCTGCACGGGGTCAAAAGAACTGTACAACATATTGGCATCCTCTGGGCGGGCGTTACACGGCACTGGGTCGCTATATTGATAGCAATGGCGACATGAGCTTGTACGGGACAGCGCTGGCCGTCCGAACAAACACTCGTTGTGTGGGAAGGGTTCCTGATGGGCTGCGATAGAGCGATTTTCCTTGTAATTACGATACCGATACCCACATTGCAGTTGCTGTATCAATGGAGAGACATTGCGCTACGTCCGTGTCTGCACTCGGAGACTCCCGAATCATTTTTCCTTTGCAATCTCACAGTCTCACGCTCTCTCCCAAAGCGCTGCGACTCTCCGTCCAGATGCGGCGCAGGTCGCACACAGAATTTCGCATGGAAATTTCTTCAGCATGATGAACCCACATGCCGAAGCCGATGATGTCGACGCGCGTCTGCAGAGTGCTCAGCACTGTTGTCGTTCCTGGCGGCTGTATCACCTATGGCTTGCAGCGGCGAACAGGGCATGTGACAGCCTGCATCTCCCGGTCGGCCCATCGGCGCGTCCCCTGACTTGCCTTGAGAGACCGTTGTACTCAAATACCGACATGCAAGGGTGGTGGTGTTGACAGCTGCCAAAAAGAGTGGAGCGGGAGATCTTCTTGCAGCGCCATCACACCGCTTCCCGTTGCCTTGCCGATGGGGACTCTGCGCAACCCGGCTGTTGGGCTACGGTTGAGACACCGACACCGACGTTGAGGGCCTTGATGAGTTGCAAACGCCAGATGCGGCAGACGGTGACATTTCCCATCCATGCAAGGGCAAGTCTGGCCTCTTTTTCGAGGCCTACCGGCTCGGGAGTTCAAACACAACAGATACCGTCCCATCCTCGATCTGGTGACGGATATCGGGGAGATGCTGGGTCGTCTGTAAGACAATCGACAGGCACACCTCTTTCTTCGCATCGGCGGCCGCATGCTGGATCCTGATGGAGGGCTTCTTGGCGCTGCGTACTTCATGTGGCACCTCGAGACCGTATCTCCCCTCGCCTTCCAAATCGTGGTCCAGGATAGCGGCCGTGGCGCTGCTCAGGCGCGAGACTGACGCCTCTTGGACCTCCAACAGAACTCCAGCCATTCCGAGCACTCCCGAAGGATGTCTTGTGTTCTCGTCAGGTACTCGCCGACTGCGTGGAGTGACGTCGTGACAGAAGAATGGAACCGTGCCTAACCCAAAATATTGGCACCGTCAGTCAATGTCTCGTACAGGCAGCTGTTGCCTCCCGACCGAGCGTTTGCTTGCCTCGAGAGGTTCCCTCTGGAAATGTCACCCTCCATCTCAGTTCCTGCCCGTCGGGCTTGAGGCGACCACCTTCCTTGGGCGAGGAGTACGATATGCCCGTATCGGTGGACGCCAGCCGCTCCTTGATCGATCCGAGCTCCGCAAATGTCTCATCTGGTGTTGTCAATGCGTAGTCCACCACCCCATAGGGTTTGTCCCACCAGTGTCCCAGGCGATGCTTGGGGTCGTCGTCAATGAAAGCGATCAGTTCGAGATAGCTGCCGTCTGCAAAGATCACCAGCCGGTTCTCGGTCTTGCCATCTGCATGTCGGCCTCCGGGACTCAGGGTGAAGTGATCGGTTATCCATTTTGGTGGATCCACGAGGTCCTTGTAGGGGACCAGGAGCACCACATGATCCAACTGGGCCTGGATTGAGGGCATTGCTGCTGTCAGGCTCCAAACCTTCCAATCTCACCAAGTGCAGGCGTTGAGCGAGTCACCTTGGTAGAATGTGAAGAGGAGAGCTCCATCATCTGTAGTGAGTGCATGATCTTCCGTCATCGGTGGTGGGGGCGGAGAAGCAGAAGAGCTTTGTCGAAGGTAAGATGTTGCCTGAGGCACGAACAGTGAAACACACCGTGTGCCGAGCTGACCAGCCCCATCAATTATCAGCCTAATAATTAATTGAAGTTGAAGTAGATTGATTTGGTCTTCAGTCTCCAGGAGGGACGTGGCTTCTCCCTCACATTATTTACCTCACGTTCCTTCCACTTCGATTCTTCTGTTCACCCATCACACCACGATTCCAATGGAGCGCTAGCCGCCAGTCGTCTCTTCCAGGCGCTGCGCTAGTCAAAATTGAACATGCTTTCTCTTGGCACCTGAGATAACCAAGATCATAATGGTCTTCACTCGCTCGTTAGCATTAGGGTTTCGCCGAACTACGCTCCACGCAACAAGACACAGCAGGAGACCACAGCTGGGCACTTTGGTCCAGAAAAGATTCCAAGGCGGTCCTCTTGGCCTCGGGCCTCAATTGCCTGGCCAGCAAGATGAAGCTGAGGAAGATGGCAAATCTTCTGCCAATAGAGGTGGTGGCAAGAAGGATGAGGGTTCTGCATGGGCATCGACCGTGTTCAAGATGTTTGAAAGCGCGCTGACCACGGCTGCTTCTGCACGTCACCCGAGGCCAAAATTCCTCTACGGTCAGGCTGACGGAGATTCTGATAGGTCGCCATTCTGGCCGCCGTTGGCTATGGCTACAATCGATACTACAAACATATGGTACTTGAGAAGATGGAAAACGCCTTCAAACCTGGAGATCCGATGCTGGACCTAGCTGCGACGAACAAGCAAGGCACCGCGACTGGTGGCGTGGTGCTCGTAGACGAAGACGAACAGCGCGAACACTGGGTGATACGAGACGAACAGAACACCATCGACGACATTGTCGCCGGTCGTGCAAGGGGACAGTACCATCTCCTCGTAGGCGAGAAGGGTACTGGAAAGTCAAGCATGCTCATAGACGGTGAGTACGCCCGTGACTACGTTCGCCACCACATGACATACGTGCTTATCCCTGATAGCCATGGCCAAAGTCAATGGCGAGGGCTGCGCAATGTTCGAAGCACATTCAAATCCCGAAATCTTCCGAATACGCCTGGGGAAAGCCTTGGACTTTGAATTCCACGAGGATAACATTGGATCTCTCTTCTCCATCCGTGGCCCTCGAGATGCTGGAGCAATTCTCGACATTGAACGTGCTTTCAACAAATTGGAAAAGGTTGCAATGGCGCGGCGCGACCGAGTCGGGAAGCCGCTCATCCTGATTTTCAATTCGATGCATCTCTTGCGAGATGACGATGCCGGCAAGGATCTGCTGGAGCTCATCCAGCAGCGGGCTGAACAGTGGGCAGCAAGCAATCTAGCAACGGTCATCTTCAATTCGGATGACTACTGGATCTATGAACGTCTGAAGCAGTATGCAACCCGGATGAATGTCATTCGAATCCTTGACCTTAGCAAGGACAAGGCGATAGCCGCGCTTCGGAATTACCGCGTGAGGTATAGGAACGATGATCCGTCGCCATCGGTGTTGAAGCAAGTGTACGACAAGGTTGGAGGCCGCATGTCATTCTTGAGCCGCGTCGCCAAGGCACCTGACATGTTGAAGACGGCGGAAGACATCTGCCGTGTGGAGAAGACCTGGTTCCTCAACCAATGCTGGATCTTGGGCGCAGAGATGGACGACGACGTGATGGATCAACAGAAATACGCATCCGCCGCAATGGTTCTCGCCAAAGCACTGGTAGAGCTAGAACGGGAGATGGAGTCCACCTATGACCCGGAGCATGGTCACATTCTCCCCGAAATCCCACTGCACAAGGCCCGTCAAGTCATGACGAGAGCCGACTTCATCCAGAGCTACGACGCCATCAACATCTTTGCCATCGACAGCAACGCCAAAGTCCGCGCCGACTCTGTGCCCATGATGAATGCTTTCCGCGAGATTTGTAGCGAGGAAGGCTTTGACGAGTATCTCGAAGCTACCCTCAACCGTATTGGCGACATCGAATCGCTCGGACGTACACGCGAGCTCACCATTAAGGACCTATGGGATAAGGGCAAGTACCGCGTCCGGCTGGAGGATGCTCGAGGACGCGGAACGGGAGGCCTGACCTTTGAGGTGGAAAAGGCCGAGGGAGACGCTGATGGCGAGGATGATTGAGGAAGGCGGTCATTTGTTCGAGATACCCGACGTTCACAGCTCTTTCTTTCCTAGGGTTTGATAGTAAGAACCGGATTGTTCGAATTTACAGGATCGTCACACAGACCGGCGTGGGAGCACAGTCAGACAGCGCGAAGTCAGCTGTATTATCATGTACATCATATTCTCATGTATCTTCCATCCGGCCAACACCATCGTGTAGCCCTCTTCGCAACAGATCCCTGCCATCAATACCTCCGCCGTGCTGTGTGTCCGTCTCAGCCAACCTCTCTGGCTCCCGCTCTGCCACGATCCTCCTCCGGACCCACCCAACCCTCCTTGCACACTCCTTCTCCCCCACCACCATCCAGCAGTCACCGAACAAAATCCGCAAGCTCGATATTCGGCACAATGTACGGCCGCACATCATCGCGATGCATCGTCCTCTGCTCATACGCATACGCAAAGCCAATGAGATCCGCCTCGCTCCATTTGGGCCCGAGAAAGGACAGGCCAAAGGGCACGTTGGGGCCCGTGGCGACGAGATTGCCGAAGCCGTTCAGGGTGACGTTCCACGTCGCCGGGTAGAAGCCCATGGGGACGGAGATGACGGGGCTGCCGACGAGGGCGGGGATGGACGGGGAGAGCTGCGTCGGGAGGAGGACGGCGCGGGTGTCGGTGCGGCTCAGGGCGCCGAGGATGCCGCCTTCGCCGCCGTAGAAGAGATTGGCCTGGTACGCCTTCCAGAAGCGGGGGTCCGTGTTGGTGTAGCTCAGATTCAGAGCGCCGTCCCAGACATCCGTGTCCCTTTGCGGCCAGTCTTCGGGGGGGAAGCTGTGGGTGAAGTTGCGGAGCTTGGCGAGGTCGTCGATGCCGTGGGGGTTGTATGTCAACTCGGAGAGATATGTAGCGAGATTCGTCACGAAGTCTGCTTCGAGGACAATGGAGCTGCTGGAGTCGTTCTGCGACTGTTGGAAAGCGGTAAAGTTGGCGTCCACGATCGTGGCTCCAGCTGCCTTGATTTGCTCCACGGCTTCGTCAAAGGCTTCGAGGACAGGTGCGTCGGTAGTTGATCTCAATATCTCGATAACGTTGCGAGCGACACCGATGCGAGCTCCCTTGAAGGCATCATATCGACACGCCTCCACATAATCCGGGAGAGTGCCATTGTTTGGGATTGCCAGTGTGTAGTTATCGTTCACATCCTTCCCAGCAATGCTCTGCAGCACGTATGCTGCGTCCTTCACCGACCTCGCCATGGGCCCGACGGTATCCTGGTGTTCAGAAATTGGAATCACCAGGTACCTGCTAGTCAAGCCCACAGTCGGCTTGATGCCAACCAAGTTGTTGACGTCGCTTGGGCTCAAGATGGAACCCGACGTCTCGGAGCCCAGCGCGGCTAATGCAAGGCCGAGAGAGCTGGCGACACCTGAGCCGCTGGAAGAGCCTGAAGGGTCCTGACCGGGATAGTATGCAGCATAGGTCTGTCCTCCGTACGCAGACCAGCCGTTGGACGTATTGTCCGAGCGATAGTTGGCCCACTGGGAGAGGTTCGTCTTGCCTAGGATGATTGCCCCTGCCTTCCGAAGTTTCGCTGCTAGAGTGGAGTCTCGTGGGACTTTGGCGCCGCGAAGAGCCCACGAGCCAGCTGTGTTGTTCATCGTGTCATCCGTCGCAATGTTGTTCTTGATCAGGATGGGTATTCCGTGCAGAGGTCCTTTCGTTCCATTGGCCGCTCGCATGGCGTCCAGAGACGCCGCTATAGCTTCGGCATCCGGATTGAGTTCCGTGACGGCATGGAGAGTACTGTTGACTTCGAGTATCCGGGCTGTATACGCCTTGACCAGATCCACGGAAGTAAACAAGTTTCTTTCCAACCCGGCGACCAGATCCTCAAGGTCGACATCGAGCAGGGATGGGAAGTCGAAAGGCGCGGTGCCGTTTGCTGTTTTCCATGTCGGCCTCGCCCCAGCAAGGCCGAGTGTTGCTGTAAGTAACAAGCACTGAAAGCGCATCTTGGCCTCAGGGAAGTACAGGACAGGCTACCTGGTACCCGGCTTTCACATTCTACTTATTATCCAGCCCGCCTTGTCTGATGCATGAAAGAGGAGATCACCTCGCCTGAGACTGATAAGGTACCTTCGAATCATCGGCAGTTACAGCAGGGCAAAACGAGTGAAAGTCCACCAAATCTTTCACAGCCATCATCCTTGCATGCGGCTCCACAGTCTGCACGCCCAAGCACTTTTGGTATTGGCATCATCATCACGGCTGAGATGTGCTCTAGCTTGCGGGGACCAGCTCATGCATCCGCTTCTCATGTGAGATCTTCTGTCTGGATTGCAAGGAAAGGAAGGTGAGATCAAGACTCGCAAAGATTGAGGCCGACTCGGATCCAGAGCTAGTGCCAAATAGGAAGCTCCCAAGCACGACGTGGCATGGATCGGATGCCGATGCATACGCATGTGCTGGCGAGGAGAAACCGCACTTTCACTCATTATAATACACCATACCCTCTATCTCCTTCCATTCCGATGCGATGCTTTTCCATCGTAGAGCGCGATTCAAAGGTAAGTCCGTGAGATGGCAGATTGCGGCTGGCAATGCCGGTATTTCCGTGCAAGTTCCCCAACGCCATTGCTAAATCTGCTCGATATAAACAAACGGAAAACAATTAGATACTTACTGCTCGCCGGCGCCATTTGGCGGCTCCGGAGGTACTGTTGCGGATGATGATGCCGAAAAAGCCGTCTCTGTGTCGTTGATGGGCGTAGGCGCGATTCTTCTCCTTTTCTCCCGTCCTTGATCCTCGGATTCTGAAGTTGCGCTGACAACGCTTCCCCGCTTCACACCAGCAACTGGAGGAATGTTGCTCGCAGAGCCATTGATCTGACCTTGACCTGGTGTCTGTGGTGGTGTGAAGAGTGGCACGCCAGAACCTGGATTGGATGAGCCTGCAGCCGCCAGTGAAGGCACCGAGCTAAACGATGGAGTTGGATTGTTCATGGCAGGTGGTGCATTCCGGTCAGGCACTCGAGCGAAGCTGGCCTCGGTAGCGATGCTGGAAGCCGACATGCTCCGAGCTGGACTCGCTGGCCTTCCGCCCTCGGATCCTAGGACATTTGTGAAAGGCGACGGCGATGCGGCGGCAACCGGCTGTGATATAGGTGTGACGCTTGCAGTAGCAGGGTTGCTATTTGAAGCCGGACGTGGAATTCCTGGCGCAGATGTCTGCGTGGGGCCAGCAGAGCCAGTAGGTGTCGGTTGAGGAGTCGAGGCGGCTGAGTTCGCCTTCGCGACGGATATCGGTGCTGGGCTTGGTCTCGAGCCAACTGCAGTCGATTGGTGGTACACCGAGCCCAATTCGCCAGGTGCAAATGTAAGAGCGGAACAGAAACCGTCTGAGGAAGTCATGAGTAGCGTCAGGCCGTCCGGTGACCTTCAAGGCTAGTGTTAGCACCCGAGCAACTGTAGTTCAGGGCTGCAGACTTACCAAGTGAGGTCCGTAAAGGTGGCATAGTGCAGGTTGCTGACTACACACAGCGGTTTTGGTTGCTGCGTATCGTACAGGTGCACTGCGTCTTGAGTGGCCACGGCGTAAACGATTCGGTATGGCAAAGCGAAGGCGGGTGCAGGACCAGGCGGAGGCGCGGCTGTAGAGGCGGTAGATTCGGAGTCTGCACGAGGGCGAGGCGACGCCATGGCAGCTACACTCGGGGACGGCGATGGAGCGCTTGTCAAGGGCGGGGGTTCCATGGCAGCATTTGATGTTGGTGCCTTCGATGGCACTACTGGCTCTGGCAGAGGCGGTATGTCTTCTTCGGTCCGAGTGTCGATGGTAATTTCCTTGGTTTCGACAGTGGTCGACCTGATCTGGTAGTAGATCGGAGAGCACTTCACAGCTATGGAAGGCTTCTTGTGGCCAGGAAGATATGCGACAGGAGGCTTATTGAGACCGGCTCTTGTGTAGATGTAAACGGTGTTAATGATCTCATCGGTGCCCTTGCCACCATTAGGTGCTGGGTGAGTAGTCTTATACTGTCCGGCTGGGGTGAAGAGCAAGCTTCCATCTGGTGCGAATGTCAGTCGTCGGAAGAAGGAAGTAAATGTTTCGTTCATGTAGAGATTGGTATTCCGGACGCCCAGGCCAATGCCTCCAGACAAGCTTGGAGATGCGGACGGCATGACGGCAGGCAGTGGCATGGACGGACTGGGGGAGACCGATCTCCGAACAGACTGCGAACCGAAAGAAGAGCGCCGGCTGTGCGATGTTGGTGGAGGATTCATAGGCAACGCCAGTGATTGAGGAGTCCCGGGCGCAGAGGGTCGCGGAGAGGCAAGCGCTTCGGAAGTGATATCTTGCACAAAGGAAGCTCGATGGCTGCCGAGGCCGACGTCAGGCGGAGCGGGACTGTTGGAAGAGATTCGACGTCCAGGAAGGTCCATTTTCGTGACTTTGTTGTGCTGGTTCAAGGTGAACTGGCCGTCCTTGGTCTTGAGGGTGTAGATGTGGATCGAGCGGTCGGAAGATTGGGTAGCAACGAATTCGTTGAGGGGATCCCAAGCGACACCTTGCACATAGTGGTTGTGTTCTGCAATCTGGCGAACAGTTTGTCCTTTGACCGAGTCAGAAATTGTGTCCATGGAGTTCCAAAAGGTCTGGACCTACCAGTAGTAGCATTGTATATTCGAGCTACGTTGTCCATGCTCCCAGTCATGAAGAACATGCCGTCCGGAGACCAGGCCAAGTCATATATCTCAGCTCCGCTGCTGGACCTGCACATGGTCTTTACTCTCCAATGTTCCACATCTTCATTCGCATCGTCGCCGAAGCTGGAGGCGGAGGCAGGGTTATCGGAAGGGGTCCATAGGAGGACGTTGCCGTCGTCTCCGGCAGAGGCCAGAAGCTCGCCTGTATGGCGATTAGAGAGGATGGAGGATGGTGAGGGATAGGTGAAGTAATACCTCGAGGACACCAGCGAACGACATTGACGGCTTGGGTGTGCTTCTTCAGGGTGGAGAGATAGACGGGCTTCCGTTCATCGCCGTTCACCTCGACGCTCCATATCTAGCAGCAGAGTATTAGCACACTGGACGCACAGTACCTGGGATGGCAGGTGGAAGCTCGCGCACTCGGACGTGGAAGTCGCCGCCGGCAGTTGCCAGTCGTCCCTTGCCGTGAGGCTCGAAATGAGCGGAGTAGATGGGGGAGCCGTCGTCGTGCCAGGCGACCAAGAGCGGAGCAGCCTTCATGGTAGAGGCAGCGCGGGAGCTGGCTCCGGGCCAGTCGTGTCGTGTGAGGACAAAATGGTGGCAGCAGCAGGTCGGAGGAGAGATGGGAGTGCGGATGCGTGCGTGCGTGCGTGTAGAGAGGCGTCGTGGCGGAGCGGGATGTCGAGGAGGTGGATGGTAAAGGATGGGAGGAAGCAATGCCTCGTTGTCTAGTGTCTAGAGAGCTCTCTCAAGGCCAGGCCAAGAATTCGAGAGGAGCTGGAGGAGGCAAGGCAGGCAGACGCACGAGACACGCTCCCTCATTGGCTGAACTGCCAGCTGAAGCGGGCGGGGGCCCTGGCGTGTTTCCAACGCGTCCTTCACTCTACCAATCCAGCACATCTCTCTCCACCTCCTTAACCTTGATATACAACTTGATATACCACCTCATATACCATCACTCTCGCTCAGATATCGACCGAGGCATCATCATCGGAGCTCTCAGCCTGCTATGGCACTGCCCTGGCTTCGACTTGCATGCTTCCAGAAGCTTCCTCTTCCCATCGCCATCTCCGTCTCACGCAGTCCTAGCATCCACAACTCGTCAATCCGTACTTTCCGCTCATCTCGACGCGTCTCCACGCGTCAATCGATCAAGTCTGCCCGAAGCATGACACCGTAATCTTTGGTGTCAGAATTTGGACCATCTGGCGGGATCCTGCGTTTCGGCGACTACGTCAATCGGCAGCTACGATCAGTACAAGATTGCGATCTCTCTCATCCCCTTTCCATCAAAACTTGGCCACGAGCTGCTTTGCTCCTTCATCTACAAATCATCTCACGCTAGCCACCACATCCTTATCTGACGCAACAGTCTGCGCTCACGTCGTAGCTCCGGCCACTTTGCGGGATTGTCTTGTATGCAATTGCTACTACGAGCATTCGCCAAGCTCCCGATGCCATCCCATCTCGTCAACCTTGCTCGCAGACGAGTGAGATCTGAGCCGAGCATTGTACGCCTATTGCATTGCTTGTGAGTATAGGGGTAAGACAATCCAATGAGCTTTTACTGAGCGTTCGTGCACAAGCGGCGTTGCCCGTGCCCTCCGCGCTGAGTCTAAGGTATCAGCATGGACTTGTAATTGCGACTCGCGGTTCGTGACCGCACCGGCCGAAAGTGATCGATTCGCGGAGGCAGAATAACTTAGTGTGATTTGACTGGTGTGTGAAAGCTTGCCAACGGATGCATGTGCTCTACCGCATGGCTCGATACTTCGCTTGATAGAGGTGCGATCGACGATAAAAAGTCCAAATCGGATGGGCTAGGGTCTCAAGACTGTGAATGGCTTATTAGACAACTCGTCGTCAGTGTCTCCTTTGCATCTCAAAGTGTGGTTGAGCTCCAAGGAAAAGATGCCGCAGAAACGCCAAGCTCCGGTCGGGCCGGACAAAGCCAGAGTACATAAACGCATTTGTCCCTCTCGTTCAACATCACATGACCATTAGACGTCGAACAACGATGTCTAATCCAATCCTCAATGGTCTAGTGGCTATGATTTCCGCTTGTCATGTGACAAGCCGCGGGAGACCAGGGGTGAGTCGATGATTACCATGTTCCAAGAAATATCAGTACTAACGTCAATCCAGTTCGATTCCCTGTTGGGGAGCTCATCCAACTTTTTTTTTCCCGACTGTCGCCCTTTTTCAGAAAAACTATTTGGTGCCTCTGTGCGCTTTACTTTTTTTCCCGAATCCCGAGATCTTATCACCAGATACTGATAAGGTCGTGACGGCCGCTTCCGAAACACTCCGGCAGCGGGCAGGAAAGATATGGAAATCGCGATCCGTCGAAAGCTTGAAATGCTCCTAACCGCCCCCACTCCTGGTGCCGGCCATCTGGAAAAAAGGTCATGACAAAGCTCGGGGAACAAGTAGCATCAGGTCTAAGGACCTGACCAAGACCTGGGGAAAGCGTCATCTCGATCGAGTGCTACCGGAATCGCTGACATCCAACCTCTGATTTTTTGGACGATTGTGATTCAGCGAGGAGAAAGAATTCGAGAAAAGTTTGGAAAGGACAAGCTGCCATCTGGCGTCCATGAGAGCTGCCCCTTACCCGCTGTCGAAGCAAGCCCATGGACACCACGGCCCTCTTGACTATTGGAATGGAATTCATCACCTTCATGGACCTTGTGAGGTTGCTGGTTGGGAGTACGGGTGCGTTCGAAGCGCTGCGTGCGCGAAATTTGTATGAAATAAGACAGTGAGTATCTCAGCATACCCGTTATGGATGTTTGGCCATAGCGATAGGCCTTGCGTATCTCATCTCCCTCCGAAAACTGGTTCAAGCCATTCAGATACTCTAGCGGCCCTGAGCCCTTCACAGCATTCTAGTCGTCTCGCAACAGTGTAGTGTAGGTTTTCTCCCTCAATGACCTGATTCTACGTCCAGATATCAGCTCACGACTGCTGTTGAGGACTGTCGGTTCGTCTACCTCAGGTATTGCGACAAACCTTCCACTCTCCAGGCTTAGATTGATAGCAATACGCATCGCTTGGCGACACGATTTTCTGGAAGCTGTTCAAGCAAATGTCGCGGGAAGCATATGATCCGGCTGCGCAGGTGATGCCTGACGATTGTTGGAGGGCTTGAGCGAGGCCAGAGAGTAGAATGGCCAGGAAAGAGATGGAGATTTCATCATGGTAGTATTGTAGGACAAATGATAGTTTACTTGCCTCTACTACTGGCGGCGGAAAGGATCATTTTACATATTTGAGTACAGTCGCACCACAATGGCAGATCGTGCTGAGTCTGGCGCAAAGCGATCGAAGTTTTACCGAATCGCCGCAATGGCGTTTTCTTGGCCGGGTGAACAAGGCGACATAAGATTCGAATGCCACTGGACAATCTCAGCGTTCTTCTTTCGTGGCCATACATGTTGCTCGGTCGGTTATGTGAAGCCCGCAGTCCGGGGAGGTGAGAGTGCCTTGGAATAGCCGATCATGTTGCAAAGACCTCGCCGATGTGAATTAGGCGACACAAGCTCGAGAGGGCAACAGTCCCGTACAATGATGAGACAAATGGTGTTGCGTAAAGATGGTGTAGAGGCGAGGTTGAAAGAGGGTTTGTTTACAGCAGTGTTTACATGACGACTGACCTGACGCTGCGGCGAGCTCCTTCCAAGTTTCTGCAGCACTCCAACCAACACCACCACCACCACAACTACCGCACCTTCGTTTCTCCTCGCCATCCTCCACCACTCTTCGCTTCTTCGAGAACGACGCTCGTTTCTACACTTTGCAGATCGCGCCTCGATAGCGTGCTCATTCCCCGTTCGTGTCGTCACAATCCTGATCGTTCGCCGTTCACCCGCTAACCACTGGAATGTAGCAGCAATAGATTCCCGCTCGCTCAGCACAGAAAGATCAGACTGGAAGAGAGGACACGATGACCTCCTTCATCAACACAATGTTCGTACACAGCTCCCCGCCCCAGCCATACTCGCAATCGCCCAAGCCTTTGCCCGCCCTGCAGTCCAATGTGCTCGCCAATTCAGAATCCTCCTACCCGCATCTGCATTGTCCGGAGAGCCCGCAGTCGGTGTACCACTCGCCTCTACAACGCCACATACAGAACGTCTTCGATCACAGCAACGGCAACTCCCCTCGGTCGCACATCCCCGTACCCGTCCATCTCGAGTACCGACATCACGAGACGCACCGCGCAGCAGGGCCGGGCTTTGGCTTCCAGGATATTGTGAAGAAGGCTGATCTTCTGACACGTAGCAACAGTAATGCCCGCAACCGGAACACCGCCGCCTTCCAGCCTCAGAAGCGCGCCAAGGGCACAAACAGCTGGCAGCTGAAGCAGTTCGCCGAGGCTACCCTTGGGAGTGGAAGTCTCAGGAAGGTGGTGCAGCTGCCGGAAGGAGAAGATAGGGACGAGTGGTTGGCCGTCAATGGTAGGCTTCCCATGATGGACGGGAGAAACTTGCACTAACACGAAGCAGTCGTCGACTTCTACAACCAGATCAACCTCCTCTATGGCGCCATCACCGAGTTCTGCTCGCCGCAGTCGTGCCCAGAGATGAAGGCGACCGACGAGTTCGAATATCTCTGGCACGATCCACCCGCCTTCCCCAAACCCACTCGCCTTCCAGCGCCTACCTACATCTCGCACCTGCTATCCTGGACCTCCAACCACTTGTCCAATCCGTCCGTCTTCCCGACACATCCGGGCGTCGCCTTTCCGCCCAATTTTCAGCAGACGATCCGCACCATCTTCAAGAGACTGTACCGGATATACGCCCACATCTACTGCCACCACTACGGCGTAGTGAGAGGCCTTGGTTTGGAGGCACACCTCAACACCGGCTTCAAACATTACGTGCTGTTCGTGGAGGAGTTCGGCTTGGCGGATGAGAAGGGCAACAAGAAGGAAGAGTGGTACGGGCCACTGGGAGAGCTCGTGGAGAGCATGTTGCGCAGCGATTAGAGCATCTTGAACATGCCTAGGGTCTCTGGCGAAGAGTCTACTTGTGCATTGATGTGGTGATGAATATCGCACCAATAGATGCGGCGCGAGGAACACGGTACTACTAGCACTAGATTTGGGCCGGAGTTTTGGGCATGCAAATGGATATCACGAGCTGGCCGTTGAAGGACAGGCCAGACATAGGGTAACAAGGCGTGGGTAAGGCTTCGGAGTAATGCGTTATGCTGAGTTACGGGATCAGTAGGATAGTACCATGCATGACTGATGAATGTACCGTGCTGTTTCCGAGAGTTATTCTGCTCTCCGCATCCTCATAGCCTGCGCTTGACGGTCAAATCAGAAGCAATCTCCAAGCCGACTTGCATATATGCCGAGTGCAACCTTCTTTCGAGCACGCGAATGGTGCCACGTCGTACTGTACCAGTGGACGGGCCGTCGCAGATATCGTGTTATCGTTGACTGCTCTCGTTGTCTGAACTGCTCACGCCTAAAGGGAGCAGTACTTGGGCGCTCATCAATCCGCCGACATATCACATGCCGACCAAGGCTCATTTACTTTCCCATGCCCCGGAGAGAATGGGAAGAAGTCTACCGTACACGCCGAATTCTGTTGCTTTTCGACACATACCAAGCGATGCGGTCAACCCAATGCAGCTAACCAAGATACCTTTTTTTTTTTGAATTGTCCTCGAGAGGGACGATGCCACCCAGCCCGCCGCATTAGTCATCGAAAATCATAGGCCGTGCTTGTGGCATTGGAGTCGCGGCTATCGCTTGATGCGACTCCTCTCCAGGGCCTCGAGCAACTCTGGGCGATCCTGGAGCAACTCTTTGGCGGTGCGATAGCTCATCCACTTGCGGTCTCGCTTGTGCTTCTCCGGCCAGTTGTCCTTCTCCTCCTTGACCTTGACCTCATAGAAGCGGTAGCTGGCCCGGGGAGCGGCGAGGCCGTACTTCTTGATGGCGGACGCGGAGCGCTTCTCGTCGATGACGCCGAGGTCGACCTCGATCTTGCACTCGATGCCGGCTTCCTCCCAGGCTTCGCGACGCGCAGCTTCTTCTTGTGTCTTCTCGTCCGTCTCCCACCCGCCTTTGGGGAGGACCCAGCCCTTACCGCCGGAGCTCTGGATCAGGAGGACCTGAGTGCGTTCGGCGTTCAGGGGCACCACGCCGGCTACTAGTCGCTCTCCATTGGGACCGTATCTGACGGGACGAGGTGAGCACGTGACTCTATCCATGGGTCGGACCTCACCCCAGAGGTCGATCTGGGTGGTGCAGATGAGGAATTGATGCGTACCTTTGATTGTCTCTGCCGGTCCTTGCGGTCATGGACCTGCCGTTTGACGCCTGTTGCGCCATTGGGAGCAGCGAGGGACGGATCTAGTGGACTAAAGAGCGTAAGAGTTGGATGTGTCGACCAGAGGATGGGCTGCCGTGGTATTGAGGGTTCTGTAGATGGTTCTAGAGGTAGTCACACGATCTGTGGATCGAGCCGGAAGGCGGCCCAAGGGGAGTTGATATTAGGGTGCCAAGCGGACTCTCTCGCAGCAGGCGGTGGGATGTCAGCGTGAGGACGGAGTGTCCTCAGACCCGCTTGAGACGGGGCTGCGGGCGGGAGGGCCTGGGGCGGCGACGTGAGCAGCCTCGCGTGATGATTGACATTGTCAGTATATGGGAGGAGCTTTGCGCGGGCGGCGCGAGAAAAAGGCCAACGGAAGGGGAGGCACGTGATGTGTGCAGACAGTAGTACCTCAGGCAACAGGAGGATTAAGTGGGTAGGTAGCAGAAACTAAGCAAAGCAACGACGTGTTCCGCACTAGAGGACAGCTCTAGCAGTCTGGCACTGCGGTTCAAAACCCTGTTCCCGGCGCGCTGCTTGCGTCTCCGTGCTATTCGCGGTGCCTAGCACGCGATGGATTGGAATGGAGTGCCTGTGTGCCTGTCCTGTGCCCGTGTGAGGTGTGCAACGGAGGAGAGCGCAGCAGAGCGCAGCAGAGGGGAGCAGACGCAGCCAGACGGTGCGCCAATCCGGATACAGAACTAGCGCATCTCGTGCCGGCCCGCAGCATGGAGGGGATCAGTCTTCCCTTCCAGTCACTTCCTGTTCACGTCTTCCACCCACAACCGGCGGACAACGACCTCCTCATCGGCCACACCACTGACCACAGACCGTTCCTTCTCCATCGACAAGCCGGATTGGCTCGGATAACGTCACTGGGCCTCCACACGGAGTTGTACCAGTTGTCCGTTCCCAGAGACCGCGACACCACACTCCCTCATCGCCTCCAGAGCTTCTAGCCCGGCGCCCGCATTGCTTTGCCCTTCCCAGGCAGGTTGGGACAGCAGAATCGGTAGCAGTCCACTTAGCTGCGCCAGTCCGCGTTCTTCGCCATGCAGAGCAGCCCAGAGACACAGCCAGCGCCCGGAGCACTGTCGCTGCTGATGCCGATAGGTAAGCTGCGCCAGTCCAATCGACGTCCTCAATTCAAGCGCGTGCTCGTCGGCGGCAGACGTGTATCGACCATCGACCCTGCCGCCTCGCACCGCGCCTGTTCGCCGTCAACTTCCCTGCTCCTGGCACACGACCATTTTGACCAGAGCTCCGCTCCACGTCCGGCCCATCCCACTGCAAATCATTATTATTGTTCAACAGATTGGCAACACAGGCTAAGTATTCGTCGTGCAGGCTACAACTCTGGCGATTGCGGATACTGCAAGGCTGCCGATTCCAGTAGGCGAACTCAAGATTCTCGTGCGTTTCCTGCGTCTCGCTCTTGCTCTTGCTCTTGCTCTTGCTCTTGCTCTTGCTCTTGGCCGTGCTCGTGCTCTTGCTCGTGCTCGTGCTCTTGCCCTTGATCTCCTTTGCCGCCGGCCGTTTAGCTTTCCTGCTGCGTTTCCATTCACCCACATCGCTGATCCCTTGGCTGAATCCCTGTAACACCCCACGCTGCCTCACTTACTGTGCACCTATGCCCCCGAGACAAGCGCTGGCCGGAGTTGTTTCTAACACTCAGGCCTAGGTGCCTCTTACTATGCGAAAGCGAACGTCCTCAGCCCTGACCATTATCAGGCTCTTATGGACAGGGGATGGAGACGATCTGGAAGTCTGCTTTACGTGCCCGATGTATCTCGATCATGTTGTCCGCATTACACATTAAGGTGAGACTGTGATTGTACGGATCTGCCAATCCAACACTCACTCATGGTCCAGGTTACCGGCCAAGGCTTTCAAGCCTACGCGTGATCAACGACATGCTCTCAATCGATGGAACCGTTTCGTGCTGGGTGAAGAATGCATCAAGCAAGTCAATCGCAAGTTCCCCAAGACCAAAGAGTGAGACAGTTCTTGGGCTCCAAATCTCGCATCAGGCTCTGATTATAACAGGGAGAAGAAGCATCAGAACAACACATTCGACTTGACGGCGACCGTTCACGAAGCCGAATTGCCCAATTTGAAGCCTGGTATCGATCCTCAGCATCGATTCGAAGTGAATTTGGAGCCTGATAAGTTCACCGAGGAGAAGTTTGCACTTTTCGACAACTACCAACGTAATGTGCACCATGAGGGCGATAGCGACATCAGCCGGTCGGGATTCAAACGGTTTCTTTGCGCTTCGCCGGTGACGAGACGAATAGAGAGTACCGGCAAACAGATCGGTAGCTACCACCAATGCTACCGATTGGATGGACGTCTGATCGCCATGGCTGTCTTGGACCTGCTGCCCCATGCCGTGAGCGGTGTCTACCTCATTTACCACAGTGACTTCGAGAAATGGTCGTTCGGAAAGCTCTCCGCGCTACGAGAAGCTGCTCTTGCGCTGGAGCAAGGCTATCAGTACTATTACATGGGCTATTACATCCACAGCTGCAAGAAGATGCGGTACAAAGGAGACTACAAGCCGCAATACGTGCTCGACTACAACAATCTCGAATGGGATCCATTGGATGATGAGATGAGAAACCTTATGGACCGACGAAAATATGCCAGGTGCGTTGCCGAATTTGCACGAAAGAAAGACCGAGCAGGGGCTGATATCTCCCAAGTATGTCCAAGGAGCGTGCGAGAAAATCTCACAAACAGCATTCGGAATCTGCACATTCAGAGCCGGGAGCTTCAGATTTAGATCAGGAAGAGGCAGTCCCATTCCCAACACCACTCAAAGCCATCGAATCTGGACTTTCGCTCCTTCAGCTCGGCGTACCAGGCATTCTATCCCTGTCCCAGCTGCACGAACAAGTCGATCTCGACCGGATGAAAGTGCAAATCGCGCGACCTAGCGCCCACGAGATGCGGGTAGGTTACCCAAGGTCCTCCTCTCGGATCCTCGACCACGTTGCCGCCCAGATTCGCACGCTGACCTGCACTAGGATATTCAGCAGTGGCATGCAGGCGATGAGCTCGACCATAGCACACTGAAAGGCGTCTTCGCGGAATTCGCGGCCGCCGTCGGCCCTGTGGTCGCGAGGGAGGCCGTGGTGGATTTCTCCCGTTGATGGAAGTCCCGCCCTCGGAGCGAGGATCGCCACCGTGGGAAGACAACGGGGTCCGTTCGCTATGAATCTACATCTGCAGGTTCGATGGGAGTGGCAGGCAATTGCTCGCGTGCCTCCTTTTCTTCTCTTCCTGCCAATTGGACGCACTGGTTTTTTTTTTTTTTGAAAAAAAATTCGAATTTCGAATGACGAGGTCTGCTGATTTCTTCTTTCTCCCCTCCCACGCACGCGGGTGATACCGCTTTTGCGCAAACGCTTTGGTCATCGGATTGAGTCAGAGGCGAGCGACGCGCTCTACGAGATTGGATCTGTCTTCGCCGTCGGCGAAGAAGTATATATATATATATATATAGGCAGTGGGAGCAGCAGATACCGCCACGACGTGTCGTCGCACGAACCAGTCTTCCGTTCAAACGTCACTCTACATGGACGTAATTGGAGTCAGAGAAGACGAATGAGAAGAGGAGATTCCTGACGAGATGAACAGGTAAGTCTGCTTCAATTCCTCATTCCATCAAAGGATTTGCAAGCTGATGATTCAACTCATGATGACTACGCCTAGAAGAACGGTACTTCAGTTTCCCTTGTCTGTCGTTCCACAGCTGGCTTCGCTCCACGTAGCCGGGCGCCTTCACTCCCACTTTGACTTCCATTCGCTCGAGATCTTCTCCAACTCCCGGTTTAGTCTCCTCTCATCATCTTCGCCAATCTCTCCCTCCAGCGACAATCTCTTTGCCCTTCTCATCACCTCCCTGTACTTGTCTTGCAACCACACTTCCGCCTCTCTTCTCTCCCTTGACTTCCTCACGAGATACTTGAAATCGGCTTCCTCTACCGCGCGGCGGAAGACTGCTCTCATCCGTCGTGAATACAGCTGACAACTACTGCCGACCCTTTCGCCGTAGACCGGTTGCAAGGTCCGGTTGAACCGCTTGGCCACGGAGGATCCCTTTTTGATTTCCGGCTCGACGACAGACTCGAAGCAATCCTCGCAGACCGTGAGAGACTGCAGGTCTGGAATAAAGTGCCACAACCCGCCGATCAGCATGTTGTCCCTCGTGCATTCGCGCAGACGGGTTTTGCGTTCGACGAGATCAATGAGAGGCATCGGATCCGCCCCTTTGCGATTCGCGACGGCCTGCTCATGAGTCGCGACGAGGGCGTCGAGGTAAGCAGAGAAACGATTACTCTCCGTGCGGATGGCGCAGATGCGCTTCTCACTTGAAGCTCGGTGAGGCAATTTGACAAAAGTGCCAGAAAGTGTCGGGAGTAGCCTTTCAATCTTGCGGACGTCACCAAAACAGACGTGGAAATCTCGCACAAACCGCCCATCCGGGTCGCGCAGGCCGTACCATGACTGCACCGTTTCGACGCTCCCAGGACAAGGCTCGGTGGTGTCTTCGATCTCTGCGAGGTCCTTCAAGAGGCTCAGGTCTGTGCGCTGCTGCTGGAGCGTCAAGAGCCAAGCGAGTCGTATCCAGGGAGAGCCAAATGCGCAGCGAACCCTGGTGTTCAGGCTACGGGGCAACGAACGCCTAAAATGAGGTCGGAATACTGTTCGCTGGAATAATGTATCGATACATTCCGGACAGAAATCGATATTGGTCGCGCCGATGATAGTATACCAATCATCGTGACCAACCACCGGATCTGGTCGTGAGCAGGGAGGCAACCCCTTTTTCATGAGCATAGCCAGTTCTTTTCTGGCCTCCGATGTCGTGGCATATGATTCGGTTCGCTTCAGCTCTGCGAGACGAGGTCTTGAATCGACAGAGCGAAGCTCAGAAGGCGATGCGTTGTTTGCGGAATAGCCTCTGGTGGTGAGACTTGGACGCGAGGGATCCGGTGATGGCATGTTGGGCTCTCTGCTTAGCACTGGTGAAGGGTAGGCGCTCTTTTGATCGTACTGATAAGACGTTATGATTGGCCTCCTGGATGGCTGGTACGCGTGATCCTGTTCCTCGGGCATGAAGATTGCGGATCCCATCAGAGTGCTATCTTCCGGGTATGGTAGGCTACTGGATGCGGACGATGCCTCCCATGGTGACTCTCTTCTTCGACGATCCGGTGAAGGGTCCTGCGGAACGGTCGATGCCAGGCGTGAAGGCCGCTTGGATCTCGGTGCAGCAGCATTGGCCGCTATCAACGATGCCCAGTCGAGCTCGGTCCTCGCCAGCCGAGGAGACTCTTGCGGAGTCCGCGGTGATGGTGAAGTTGGGCGAGAGGAAGATGCCGAAGGCGGCCTCGAGCCGAGCACGTTGCCGTCTTGAGAGAATTCCGAGCTCCATCTCGGAGAGCGAGATGCCGGACTCTGCCCTGCTGCTGAAGCAGCTGGAGAAACTGCGCGCGACGAAGAATAGCTCGGCTCTCTCGAGCGAGAAGCCGGATCAGCCGACTGCGGATTCAGCGACGAGGAAGTGACGGGATTGGCATCGCGAGCCTCGCTCAGTGAAGTAGAAACCACCAAAGGAGTGGTCCGTCGCGACTTGTCAGTACTAAATCTTCCAATGGTTGGCAAGGTCTCGTGGGTGTCAGTATTTCGCCTCGCATCGAGATTCAACTTCCTGATCGGCTGCGCGCTCACGGAAGGTGCGAAGTCGACGACGGAGGGTTTCGAATCGTTGATCGACTTGTTTCCCCTGGCTACAGCGGGATTGCTGGAATACTCTGAATCTTCGATTGCATTGTCGTTTCGAGCGTGGCCAGCGTGAAAGTAGCCACTGCCTTTTCGTAATCCCGGGCTTGGTCGCGCTGACTCGAGGGGCGAGGATGGCTTCGATTTGGAAGCAAAGCGGGCGGTCTTGGGGCCAGCCACGCCGGAAGAAGGCGGCGTCAGAGTGTCGTGCGAAGTGTACCGATCAGTTGAGGAGAGGTCGGTGGGCCTCGTGTATGCATAGGGAGATGCTGTCCGCCTCGACGTATCCGGCACGGCATCATCTTTGGGTAGATGGATGTTGAGCTTCGAAGGTTTCCTCCTCGCCTTGCGGGCCCTCTCGTCTTCGCTGGTCGGCGGCGTGGGCAGGCCAGAACTGTCCGATGCTTGCGGCTCATTATTCTGCTGCATCAACTCCGGTAGGTCAATGATAACGGGTTCCTGGTCGAGTGAACCCCGCGACGGCGCTTCATCTCTGCCTGCTTCGTGCAACAACTTGCTCGCATTCGACTCCCTGCGCAACGAAGCGACCTCGTCCTCGGCGAAGGGTTGCGGCGGCCATGAGCGGCGCTTGCGGACTGGGCGTGTTGATGAGTAGAGGGGTTGATAGTGGTGCCGCGAGTCGTGAAGGCGGTCGTAGTGTCGATGCGGGGGTGGTCGTTGGGGACGCGCGTACCCCGCACTGGTCGTCGTCTTCACTCCCTCCCTGGAGCGTCTCCGGGGCGTGTCGTGTGGGCGCGGAGGTAGTGAGGGCGGCGGATCGTGAGGGTCGTACATACTACTGTAATCGTGGTGGCTGCGGTCCATTTTTAGGCGGTTCTCCAGGCATGAGTCGTGTGTGCGAGGCTGGTGCACAGATATTGTGCGCGGTGAGGCGGGAATAGGGAGAGGAAGTAGGCGGGAAGGAGGCAAGGAATAAAACCGGGCATGTTCTCGAGAAGACCAGCGGTGCAATGCGTAGAAGTATCAACCTTGTTCGCTGGTTGTAGCGCAGCGTGAGCGGCTCCGAAAGCAGCACAGTGTGCAGGTGTGAAACTTCAATCCACCCTACCACACTACCACGTCTACCACTTCACGTCGATGGGGAGAAGGAGCGTGAGGTGGCATATGCAGATGGCATGGTCAGTCAGTGATGAGAGAGAGGAAGAGAGAGAGAGAGAGAGAGAGGCGCAGCGAGCATTGCCACTATTGTGTTGACTAGGACTACTGCGGAAGTCGACTGCACTGCAGCCTCTCACCGCCCGCCGCCAACCGCCACTCCGCTGGGTAGTAGTCAGCAGTGGTTGAATGCTGCGAATGCTGCGAATGCACCCTGAATGCAGCGTGAATGCGTCGACGCCGTGCCACTTTTGCCTTTTCACGTGTCCGCGGCGTGTTCTGACTCAGACATGTTGGGGACTCAGGCAGGAACCATCCACTCGTTGCCCGCATCCGCATTGCCCGCGTTGTCCGCATCGCCGACCACGCCAGTGCGCCTTCCCTCGCCTCACTTCCCCCGCACGCACATGAGATTTCGGAAATATTCCTCCATCGACCTCGACCTCGACCTCGACCTCGACATCGACATCGACATCGCCGGCGTGACTCGCTCGACGCGGCATACTTGGACCACCTCAACCACCACCGCTCACTCCACCGTACCCACCCCTTCTCCACACGAGCACCTGTACAGTACCTGTGTACATTGCGACATGCTGCAGTTGGGGCTCCAACTGACTTTCAGCCATCATCTTCACCCTCCTACCATCGCGGCCGAGCAGAGGGCAGAACGACGAGGCGCCGGATGTCGGCTCCCATCTCGTCATGTGTCCCACCAGAGGCAAGCTTGTCCTGCAGGGAAACTGTCCTCGCTGCATGTAACGTGTCCGCGGTGGAGGAGGGCTGCAAAGCACTGCCTCAGCTGACGACGTGTGCCTGTCTGTACGAGCACACTGCTGGCTTCGCTTCAACGGCAGACTGGCCTCGCATTGCATACTTTCGAAATGCTGCACTGCCGCCGCGACCACATCCTACCTCTACATGGCACATACAAAGGTACCTCCAGCAAACAACCTTCTCTTACTGGCTGCCTGCATGCGGCTTCACGGCGACGACCGCGATCCATCACCAACGTCTGCCTCTTTCAGTAACCACGCCTGTACTCTTCCACCATGCTCTCTCGAAATCCGATCGTATGCTCGCTCCGTCAGAAGTTTGCTTCTCGTGAGCACACCCCAAAACTGCTTCAATTGGCCATTCTACCCGCAGATCTGCCAAGAATGCCATGTCCAGATTTCGTTGAAACGCAGTCGGAAGCCGATTCTAGCGCTTTCTATTCCCTCGGGCCTGTGATGCTCGCGATGGCAATGGGAATCTTTGATCTTCCTCCTCAGTTTCCCCTTCAACAAGCAGATACGTGCAGGATGCGTAGTGTGACAGCTCGTGGTCATCCAATCTCTCAGTGCTGGCATCCCGATGTATTGCCCATCAGCATATACATGTCCTCTCGCCTTTTATCCCTAGACGCTGCCCGTTCTGCACCCAACACTCGCTACCGATGTTTGAACGCATGTCCCAAGCTGTCGGTAGCGTGCGTATCAGGATGTACATTGGGGTTGGGACAGACATCCTTCCACCGCACCAGCAGTCAAATCATTCGGCTAAACGTAAATGAACAGAAAGTACGCTTACAGTGACTCGCTCCCTTGCGGAAACGGGCCCGATTTCAACCCCCACCTCCAAATTGCCACTCGCCTCCGGTCTGGCTTGCCGAGCCGCCCTTCAAGCCTTTCAAGCCAGACATGATGACGTTCGTCATGTCTTGACGGGAAGAATGCAGCATCTGGCACTGGAAGAAGAGGAAACCCCCGGGGAAAAGCTGAGAGTGGCGTACATCCTAGTTACCTAGGACGCTGCTTGAGGGCTACAAAACTTCCACTCGTACGCCCTATTCGGGTGAAGTACGAACGGACTTGGTCGTTCTGAGGCAACCGAGAAGTGATTTACATAGCTCCCTCTTCGAGTGCGATAATACGAACGCCCTTGGTCGGTTTCAGACAAAATCTTGCAAGACCTCCACCTAAGGGGAGAGACTTGGCCGTTTCCAGACGAAACCAAAAGGGTTGACCTACAGGGCGCCATATACAGGTACACGGCGAACGGATTTGGTCGTTTCGACAAGACTGAAGTGGATAATATATAGGGCGCTATATATAGTTGTACGACTTACGCGGACTTAGTCGAAGTATACGACGAACGGACTTGGTTGTTTTTAGACAAAATTCCGTACGACTTCAATTTGCGGGAACGCATTTCGTTTCTAGTAACTTAAAAGTTCGGCCTACAGGGGGCCATATACTATAGTATTACGGGACGGACTTGGCTATTTTCGCCCTCAAAATCCTCGGTGTATAGGGGGCTATATACATAGGCGCATAGTGAACGGACTTGGTCGTTTCGCTTAAAAGTTTAGCGTACAAGGGGCTATATACATAGGTACACGGTAATCGGACTTAGTCGTTTTAGTAGCTTAGGGTTCATCCTACAGGTAGCCATATAGACAGGCACACGATAAACGGACTTGGTCATTTTCAAGTATACTCGGTGTCAAATTTTCACTTTCAAAAGGCAGCAGTGATCACATGTAAAAGACGCTAGCTGCACGGACCATGTGACGCTTCAGCCCATGCGCATGGTCTGTGCGCACGACCCGTGCTCCAATCCTATAAGAGCCTGGCTTTCGTAACTCACTCCACCTCATCGATATCCACTTCCACAATCTGATTCTCGAAACACCTACGATCGAACCCGCCGGTCTCCGCCATCATCCTTCTCATCAACTTCCGAACATACCAACCTGCAACCAGAAGGTCATACCAATCATCATGGCCAGCAACGCTCCTGCTACTGCCACTTCAGAGCTCCGCGAATTATTTCCGGCACACGCGGACACCTGGCGGGAGCTTGGAGATGCGCTGATAAGGAAGAACAACCTTCGCACGTTCTGGGAAGACATACCCAATTACCAAAGGATCGTCTTCCGCCAGCCCGCATCGACCCCCGACCTGAACGACCTCCGCCGCCGGATCGGCGACATTCTCAGCCCTATCGCCAGCATCCACGACAAGTCCTTCGAGCCATTGCGAATTACCCTGAAACTTGAAGCATTGGTTCCGGTCTTGGACGAGCTGAAATCCTCCGGTCGGTGCGATTTCCCTACCAGCACGACCTGGATCGCCCTGCTCAGCGCCGCGCGCCTCATTTTCACGGAGCGGGGCTTCGGCATCGAAAAGCCCACGGACGTTCCAGGCCGGATCGAGGCGTTGGGAAGCTTTTGTGTGAAGCTGACGGAGTTTCAGAGGGAGGTCGAGGACTGCCAGCGTGCTGGTGGCCTCCCCAGCTACCACACAGATCTCTTCTACCTCGTGAAGGCGGTAAAGGGCTTGGCGGATGATGAACTCCTCGTCTACCTCCTCGAGTGTGATGGGCAGCGGCGATCTGGTCTCATCCGCGACTTGGACGAGTACCTCACCCTTCCCGCCGTCCCAGAGCTCGGCAAGATCCAGTGGGCTGGTACCGTCCGTGTGTGCTGGTACGTGATCTTCGTGTCCGAGGATGGCAAGGGAGACAGCCGTGGGATCTTCCCTTACCTTCCACAGGAGCTTGACCGTAACGACTGCATCTTCCGTTACCTTCCATCGAATCTTGACGGAGGCATCCCAGTAGACTTCAATTCGGGACGTCAGGAAGACAACCGCATCGGCTACCTAAAGACGCAATTGTTCGTGGTGAGGTACTGGCTTCGCAAGATCGTGAAGGCCATGGAGATTACGATCGGCGAGAAGCACAAATACTCGACAGTGGAGGATGGAATTAACAAGGTCCTCTTCAAGTACCGATTTGCGAAGGGTTTGTTCTGCTGCGCGGAGTTGATGCGGTACTACGAGGATATGGTCAGACAGTATCGCGGCTATTGTCAGTACTATCCCCCGACTCTGTCCTCACTGCTAACAAGATGTAGATGATGCGCGCAAATGGTATGGTCTCTTCACGAGCAAGGTCATCCCAATCGTCGAGAATGAGGAGGCCTTCCTCCAAGATGGTCCAATGGAGATGAAGGCTTGGTGCGATGAGGTTTGGCAAGCCATGCCGAGTCTGGAGGACTTGGTCGACGAGGGCGAGACGGAGTCTTGACGGTAACACCTCGTGCGATAACGATTCTACCCGTGGCATGCTAGATCGGGCCTTGAAAGTTTTGCTTTTTTTCCTATGTCTATAGCAAACTATAACGATACCGGTGCTTCCCCCAACGACTCTCTCATGCGTGTCCCTCTAGCTGTGCACGTCCCTCTCGGTGAGCGCCGCAGCCTAAAATAGGAGAGACTTTCCGTATGTAGCATTTGCATGTGTCGGTCGCATCATGCTAGTGCTTGCTGCGCTGTCACATGATCCCGTTTTCGGGCCGCATTGCCGAGAACCTTCTTCCTCACTTCTACTTCAATCGTCTTCCACCGCAACACAGACTTCCAAAGAACACACCCGGCAATCAAACTCTACACCCACAACCCTCGGAACACCCACATACCAAGAACCCTTCCATAACACCACACACCTAGATCCAACCGAATACTACTACCACTCACTGTCTGGGACATAACGACCGCCAATCCCAAAGCAGATCCCTCCGCGCCTATTCCCGAACAAAGGCGCTTCACAAGGACCTTGACACCCTCCGTAGCTTCGACTCGTGTCCCATGGATCCCGACACTCCGATACAGAATCAGACCGAAGGGGCCCAGCTCTATGAGTTCGTATAGCAGTGTCCCTATGCCAGAAGCTTACTAATCCTTGATCTAGGAAGCTCAAGACCGAGCGACTTATCCGAATCTTCCCCGGATCGCAGAACGAACCAATTCTCCTGTCGGAGCAGCTGCTTCGGTAGGCTTCGCCGCGCTTTGCCGAGTGCCTCAACAACGCCTGCCCCGAGCATAGAGATGACCTGCCATTCCCCTTAGAGAGTAGAGAGGTTTGGGAGATCATCGCGTACTGGATCCTGAAGCGCGACATTACCTACCCTAACCTAGGTAAGGCCCAGGACGGCGAGCGACGCATTCTCCTTCGGCTCTGTAAAGCCTAGGTCGCTACGGGAGAATACAGGATGCCAGGCTTGCAGAATCGGCTCATGATCGATATCCTCGTCTACCTCGACGACGAGCGCGCAGTCGGTATGTTAACGGCAAGCTGGGTCTCTCTTTATACCGAGCCTAGCGCGCCTCTAAGACGTGCAGTCCTAGAGAACCTAGCTATAGAGTACGACTCTGGCCGCATCTCCGACGAGGATCTCGATGATCTTAATGACGCGTACGCGGATCGTGTCTCGATCTCTGTCTTCAAGGCGTACAAGACCGCGATTCACAAGTTCCTACATGGGCGTCGTCCGCCCGTAGTACAGTCCCTAGAGGAGTACCAGGTTCCGGCTTGAAAGATGACAGAACGGGATGATTCTACTACTCACGATGTTTTGACATGGCTGCGCGATACAGGATTGCGATGAGAAATTGCGGCTACTAGAGCACCACAGATAGTCTTATTAAGTATAGGGTAGATATCCGTACCAAATATAAGGCGGAGTATTAACCTACGCTTCTTCCCGTTCCTAATACTATCTCGTCGTTAAATCTAGCTATAGTATAGTAAAGCCGGAGACTTCGCTATATAATTTAGTATTATAGATACTCTTCCTACTTATTCTAATAGCTTTAGATATTATATAGATCTTAATAGTATTAGAAGGTAGAGCTTACTTCTAAAGGAACTAAAGAACTAAAGACTAAGAGGAGTTAGAAAGTATAGGTCTTAATTTACTATATAAAAAGAAATATAAAGAGGAAAGGAAGAGGAAGAAGCTTATAAGATAAGTACGCTTTTAAGTGTACTTAAATAAAGAGTAAATAAGTACTAAGTTAGTAAAGGAAGCAACTACAACCTAACCCTCCTATACGGAGGCATTAAGCTATAATTGACGCGGTAAT